CCTACTGCTGGTCAAATTCCTCTGCAAACAAATACTGGTCTGCATAATCTCCAGCTCACCTTGGAGGTACGCGATGTCAATGGAGCTCGGATCGATCGCTGTGTGTTCCCGTCTTCAGCGAACACGTCACAGACGGCCTGGCGGACTACCATTGCGGCACGTGGTTCGCCTTGGAACCAGACAATTCGTCTTAAGATCCCAACCGAAAAGATCCCTGGATCACACATCATCATGAGTGTTGCAGATGCACCGGAGTTCCCATTTGCCCTTTCTTGGATGCCTCTCTGGGACCAAAAGGCCTTTATTCGGGATGGAAATCACTCATTACTGCTTCATGCCTATGACAAACAGACATCAAGCATGGAGAATGGAAAGGGTGCTTACCTGAGTCTTCCGTGGAGTGCACTTGGCAAAAACGAATCTGCAAAGGATGAAGCACTTACAGGTCCATTGGCAACTCTGCGCCTTGAGACCCACCTATGCAGTACTGAATACTCCCAAGATCAGGTCATTTTAAGTTTGTTGAACTGGAAAGAACGCCCAGTGGATGAGGTGCTGGATACGCTGAAGCGGTTGCTCTTCGTTCCCGAGATTGAAATTGTAAAGCAGCTGCGCGGCGTTTTCAATGCGTTATTCGGGATTTTGGTAGAAAACGCTGGCAATGAGGAGTACGAAGATCTGATTTTCCACAACCTAGTGACAGTACTAGGGATTGTTCATGATCGACGATTTAATCTGGGTCCTCTGGTGGACCAGTATGCCGATGAACAATTCGACTTCCCTTTTGCCACGCCATGCCTTATTCGAAGCTACTTACGACTCCTGAATGCCCCTACGGACCCAAAGCAGTCTCGAAATCTCCGTGCTGCATTCAAAGTTGGCCGCCATTTGCTCAAGTTCATCATTAATGCTCGTGAACAACAAAAGGCCAAGGAAGAGGGCATCGGCATTACTTCAGTGCAGTCGACCTTTAACAGAGACCTACACACTATCTTCAAGTCAATGGAGAAGTTGATGAAGAATTCCAATCCGGCATTGGTCGGCAGTAAGACATTGATTGTCCAACACTTCCACACGTGGTTGCCGGAGCTTTCTAAGGTCTTTGGCCGTGACGAAATGATTATGATTGCATTGAGTTTCATGGATTCATGCAAAGAAGTGACAGGCATGTTAGTGTTATACAAGCTGGTGCTTATCCAAAGTTATACACAATTTGAAATCTTCTCATCTGGTGAGGAGAGACAAACTCTGATCTCCAGCTGCGTTGGTTGGTTGAAACCGTACTGGGGTTCTGGCGCGGGTGTCTCGGACCAATACCGCGACCAGGTCCGATTGAGCAGTGCGATCGTTGCCCAACTGCTCACTCAGCCAGATGCACAATTGTATGACTTTATGCCGAGTGTTGTCGCCTCTTACTGCGCCATCGTTACAGAGGGGGTGGATGATACCGAATATTTGTCCCTTCTCTTTAGCAAGTCTTTCCCCTTCCAAGTCAAAACGTCCAAGACACCCCAGAAGTTCGATGAATCTTTGGTGGAGCTTTCTGCTATCATGGCCGCTCTGTCTAAGATTGTGTCGCCCAAGACCCCCAACCTCAAAGAACTGGAGCTTGCAACCTTTATCGCGCAGGCTTTCGAGGCCCACAACTCCATCATCGACTGTGAGGCATACCCCGAAAGCTGGTTCAGCACTCATGTCTACAACCATCGTGCCGCTATCAAGGGTCTTGAACATCTGGCCCTTCTCTTGGTTGAAAAATTCCTTCCCGCTCCCGATGATGCCGATACCTTCGATACGAAGCTTTGGGAGTCATTCTTCACTACATTACTGAAGGTTATTTCTAGTGACGCCCTCGCTCTCGAGACCTTCCCTGAGCAGAAGCGACGAGCTGTCTGGAAAATTGCCGGTGATGTTCGTGAGCAAGGCGCAGACTTGTTGCACTCAACCTGGGAAGCTATCGGTTGGGAGACCACCGACGATGAAAAAGAACGATATAACTTAAAGCGGATGGGTGGTTACCAGGTTCAGTACGTGCCAAATCTGGTGCCTCCAATCATCGGGCTGTGTCTTAGTGTGCACGAGGGCCTGCGTCACGTCGCTGTTCATATTCTCCGCACTATGATCTTGAGTGAATGGGACTTGAATGAGGATATTTCTATCATCGAAACGGAAATCATCTCGAGTCTGGATTCTCTGTTCAAGTCAAAGCACATGAGTGAGAGTGTCAGCCAGAAAATATTCATTGGTGAACTGCTTGATCTCTTCGAGGCAGATGCCGAATCTGACGAGGGCCTGTTCGACGCTGTTAAGGGTCTTATCTCAACTGTGGATGAGCTTCTTGATCTCTTGGTGGCCTCTCAGGGTAGTGCTGCGATCCAGAGTCTGCATGCCCTGAAGCTTATGGAGTACATGAAGGACATGGGCCGGGAGGATATCTTCATTCGCTATGTGCATGAACTCGCCGATGGTCAAGCTGATGCTGGCAATTTCACGGAAGCTGGGCTTGCGCTTCAGTTCCACGCCGATCTTTACGAATGGGATGCTGTCAAAGTGTTGCCGGAGACAATGACCCCTGCTTTCCCAGCGCAAACTGCGTTTGAACGGAAGGAGTCTTTGTACTTTTCAATTATTCAACACTTCGAGAATGCTATGGCCTGGGCACCTGCTCTAGCTTGCTACAAGGAATTATCCGCCAACTATGAAGCCGTGACAATGGACTTCGCCAAGCTCTCCCGGGCCCAGAGCTCCATGGCTCGGATCTATGATTTCGTTGCCAAGGGCACCAAGCAGTCCCCGCGCTATTTCCGTGTTGCTTACAAGGGCCTTGGCTTCCCTGCCAGTCTGCGCGACAAGGAGTTTATCTTCGAAGGATCACCGACAGAACGTATGGCGTCGTTTGTTGACCGTATGCAGCGTGAAAACCCCACTGCGCAGATCATGTCTTCAGGGGAGATACCTGATTATGAGGGTCAATTTCTTCAAATCAGCGGCGTTACTGCTCATCGTGAAATTGCTCATCCCATTTATCAAAGGTCAAAGATTCCTCTTTCCGTTCGGGATCATCTTTTGATTTCCAACCCGATCCGGTTTGCCGCCACTTCAAGAAGGCACACCTCCAGCCCAGATGTGCGGGAGCAATTCGTTGAGAAGCTGATATTCACCACTGCGGAACAATTTCCCAACATCCTTCGGCGAAGCGAAATAATTGCAGTTGAGGAAATTGCTTTGTCTCCCTTGCAGACTGCTATTGAGCGTACATGCCGCAAGACCCAGGAACTGCATCTCTTAGAACGTCGGGCTACATCGGGCGAAGATAATGGCCTGTCCAATCTTACAGAAGCGTTGGAGCAATTATTGGATTCTCGATCGGCATCGTCGAACTGTGTTGCTTCGTACCGTGGGTTCCTGAGCGGTGCGCAAGGTGCAAAGGACAAACTTGACGAGGCAGATGAAGACGACCTGGATGAACAAGAGGACGAGGAAGAGGAATTACCGGAGACCATGGACCCGATGGAGAATGCGCTTGCCGTTGCATTGATTGATCATGCTCTGGGAATCAAACAGGCGTTGTCCCTATACCAACGTCCTGCCCAGCAAGCAACCCAGGCGGAACTTCTCCGGCGCTTCGAGAATGTATTTGAACCCGAACTGGCTTCTCTCTCTTCATCACCACCAGACATGCAAAGCCCAACCCCTACTCAGACAGCCCGCCAATCCTTCAACTCGGGAAGCCGCCGCAATCAGACTGGTCACAGATCCGTTAGTCCAGAGCAGGAGCTCATCCGAGCTTCTCGGGCCAATGGCCATACTCACAAGCGATCAGAGCGTCAGTCAGTCAGCCACCGGATTAGTATCATGAATCCGTTCAAGCGCCACGGTGCCTCAAACTCGATCTTTACGCTCCAGCAGGCAGAACCTAAAGCCCAGAATACCTCGGCTGAACAGGATGACGTCGATGACGACGCAGCAACAATTCACAGTCGAACGACAACCCATTCGCGAGGTGGTAAGAGTGAGAAACGCCGAAGCTGGTTCGGCGGTGACAAGAAGCACGGCTCTTCTCCTTCAATTGCCGGTGCAGTTGATGAAAACGGAACCGCCTTGAAGAACAGACCCTCACGCAGTGCCTCCCGCGACACCGCCGCCCAATCCCACGACGGTCGTAGTCGTGCAGGTTCACAACATCGTGGCCCCACTTCCAGCGGCACCGCAGGCACATCTGATCGGCCTGCCCCTGCAGCGAGTGGCGGTTGGTCCACACTCCCCACCACACGTGATTACTCCCGCCCCGTGACGCGCGATAGTTCCCATGCTCCACGCGAGTTGTCGGTGAATACCAACGGAAGCGGCACTGGAACCACTACACGTGTCTCATCCACACCTGCCGGGCCCAACGCTGGTGTACGCGACTCCGTCTTCCGTCGATTCAGTCTTCTCAAGGGTGTCGGCCGCAAAACCAGCCGTATGGACTTCAAAGCCAACGGCACCTTGCAAGAGGAGTGATTGCCATTCCTTTTATGCATTCATTGATCTTAACATTTTAACACTTCCTTCTTCTCGATGTGACTTACTACTTGATTTACTATTCCCCTATCTACCTATTTTCTTTCCCTTTGCCTTTTCATTTGATCTCTATTTGTCACCTGTGGACCGGGGAAATTTCTTTGTCAATTTGGTGTTATGAGATAGATACCACTTGTTTAACTCCTATCTTCGCATAGTCTATACGGCTTTGGAATTTGATTTTGTACACTATCAGCAGTTTTGAATGCTAAGCCTATCCGTAATGTCTGTTGATTATTTGATAGAACTTTGGCTTTTCTTCCACATACCTCGGGACTGTTTTTCCGGTAGCGAGTGCCTATTGGCCTAAAATTACCCCGCCGGGTTCCATAGATCTGCCCCCAAGATTTCAAATTGACGAGCTCCTACTTCAAATTTTCCTGATACTATCTGCCTCAGATTACACATTGAAGTCCAACTTGTGTAAGACTATTGCCATGGGGTCAACAAAATCCCCAAATAAGCGGAAGTATGTGACAACTGCTTGCGACACGTGCAGAGAGAGCAAAGTCAAGGTCAGAACCCATTGTCCATTGCGTGACGATATGTAGCTGGAAAATGTCTTTCAAAGAACCCTGTAATCCTAAACTTAACAGTGCGATGGAACGCGGCCTGCTTGCGCAAACTGCCAGCATAAAATGAGGCCATGTCATTACCAGGCCGAGGATAGACGAAAGTAACCTTCCCCCTCCCCCACATGTAAGGCAACCTCGTTAACAGGTCACTAGGATATCTTGGAAATCCGTGGTGGATCTGCTCACTAGTCGAGTGAATGAGCTTACTCAGTTCATTATCGACCAGGGCTTCACACCACCACCCACGCTTGATGACAACGAGGCAACATTGAAGAATGCATTGGACACCTTAGGACTTCACCATATCCAGAGGTCTTTGGAGGGAGCTGAAAGGAAAGAGGTCTTTTGCAAACAGATCAATATTGCAGATTTGGATCAAACAGTTTCAAACGATGACGCTGCTGCCGAGAATCTGGACATAGGAGAGTTGGACCCGAACATGAGCTTGCCGCTGGAGCCTTTCATGATTGTGGAGGGCAACCATTCATACGATGCTCAGTCTGAGGCGGTGCCTTCACTGGATTTTGTCTCTGATGATTTAATCCAGCCCTTTTGGGATGGACGCCCGGCTGTCCCGGACGAAGACCACAACAAACAACATAGCCCATTACCAGAACAACATATTGGCCCTACACCCCCCAGCGATAATGAAGTTAAGAAAGACGAGACCCCCCCACAACCTGATTTTGATGATGGTACAGAAGACATCGTTGATCGACTTTCAGATCGCATGGGCAGTCTTCAAATCGGATCAGATGGGCAAATTCGATACTACGGTCCCACATCTCACTTCAATCTTCTACGGATGCCAACCCCTGACAATTTGACAATCCATCGTACCATTCGGAAGGATGGCCAAGATCATCTCAATCGAATGGGGCTCGACAAAGAAGTTCCCCATAGTATGGAGGAGCATTTGATCAATCTCTACTTTACGTGGCACAGTCCGTCCGTTGATGTGGTGAACCGGGATATGTACGAGATGGCAAAGCAACAGTGGAAGGAGCAGATGGAAGACACGCCTTACTATTCCGAAGCTCTAACAAATGCTATGTAAGTGCAATCAAATGATGTGGGAAATCGAGCACATGCGTCTGACCACATTCAGGTGCTGCCTTGGCGCTGCTTTCGAGCCCCGGTACCATCCAAACTTCATCACGTATCCCAGATCTTTATCCGACTTCTTTGCAGATCGAGCGAAGTCGCTTCTTGATATTGAACTTGACTCTCCCACCATGGCCACCGTGCAAGCGATGGTGGTTCTCAGTGGGCATGATATTGGCTGCAAGCGTGATGCGCGGGGGTGGCTATACAGCGGTAGGTCATACTACAAGTCCTCTGGCCAATGACAGCTCGGGGTTTTGATTGGCTTTATTTAGGTATGGCAATGCGTCTCGCATTCGATCTGGGATTGCATATTGACATGTCAAACATGGTCGCGAATGGATCTATTAGCGAGGTCGAAGCTGACGTGCGACGGATGGTATTCTGGGGCGCTTATACGCTGGACCAGTAAGTTGCCACTCATTCCCTGTATAAGAAGCCATTGCTAATTTTGTTACGCTCAGCCGCTGGGGATTCCTTCTGGGACGCCCATTCAGGACAAATCTCGAAGATGTCACGATCCAGAGGCCTGGCGTTGGCTTTAGAAAGAACCAGGCCCAACGGTGGTACCCGTATGGACTACCTCATCCTACCGAATACCCTCCTGGTTTGTCAATAGCCAACTCTGCTTCCTCACTAAACCTGCATCGCATTACACTCTGTGAAATAATGACACCACTGGGTCATGTTTTGTATGGATCTTCAAAGATCTCCAGACAGGCCCTCCAAAAGTTGAATGCGGAGACTACTGACAGACTTTTGCAATGGAAAGCCAACTTACCAGATTTCCTACAAATCAATATCGACGAGCACACCACTCCTCATTTACCACATGTATTACTACTCCAGTAAGTTTCCACCCTCATATCGCCACGCATGATCTAATACACTACATAGTCTATATTATCACCAAGTGGTAATTCATGCTCACCGACCATGGATTTCAAAAAGCTCAATCCAGCCCCAGCCACAGCAAGGTGCCGGTCACGTCCATGCTAGAAAGATGTGCGTGGATTCAGGCACCGCAATAGCCAAAATCCTTCAAATATACGAGAAGTTCTATACCTTCCGCCGCATGAACATTCAAGTCGTGGCAATTACCTGCTCAGCAGCACTGATGCTCATTTTCGCCAAAGCTCTTCATCGCAGTGCTCACGATGACGAAGAAACCGTGGCAAACCTAAACATTTGCTTCCGCGCATTGGAGGAATTTGGATCGGCCTGGGAGAGTGCTCAGCGCGCACAGAGCTTTCTTCTCCGTATTCAAGGGCTATGGGATATCCAAATTCGACCTTACCGGGCTGGTAAACGGGCAGAATCTCAATCCATGGGTGCCTTAGGTTTGCGTGAGGATTTTATGCGGTTTAAACGATCGCGAACTTCAAATACACCCCTGTCAGGTAGGAACTTTGGGACCCCAGGCAGTGGTGATGCCACTAATACTGACTGTGAGTCCGAGGAGCTGGAATGTTTGTGGGCTGCTACAATGGGAGCTGTACCTGCCTCACAATGAAAGTTGCTTGAACTTGCTGAGGAAAAGTGAAACAGTGTACAAAATACGCATATGCACTTTCATAGACTCTTATAAACCAGGGTTTTATGCAGTCAATTGAATTACCCAAAATGTACTATTGAGGGTGGATATTCTTGAAGTGTGGAGTCAGAAAGTCAGAAAGTCAGAAAGAAAGAAAGAAAGAAAGAAACCTTGGAAGTCTATTCATTCCAGTCAGAGTCTGGTATTTGCCGTTCATTTACATTGTGGTGGTCAAAAACAATTCAATGAAGCCGCTAAAGCACATATGCTAGCCTGGAGGTATTCATTTGCATCTGCCCTCAATAAAGTAAAGAATGGAGATACCAGGACAAAAAAAGTTTATGCCTGATGACTTCTTGCAACACATTTGGCCGAGGCAGTCCATTCATATATTAATTAGATATCTGATCTGGAAAGCCAAGCATGACCCTCACCCATCAATTTAGTAACCGAATCAGGGTCATCCGTACCAGGGAGGGTTTGATCAATCTGAAACCCTTTCTGGGACATCACCCAGGATAGACATTTATAACTGTCCCTGACACCTTTGAAGTCAAAAGCAAGGTCCAAAGAGCTGGCAGCGGGCATCGTCGGTACCAGAGAGTCTTGATCGTATATAACGACCAGGGATATAAGCTTCCATCCGTGATCCGTCTTTTGAAGGCGGGAAATAAATCGACTGTGGGACACGCAATCGTATTCCTTGTCATCTAGACGTAGACGGATCTGTATAGTACCGACAGACTCCGTGAAGGCTTTCTCGCCAACAACTTGGATCTCCACTGGAGTGACCGTGTGGAGGGCCTTGGTTCCGCCTTTGACCATGGCTTGCGAGCCCGAAACAAAGCCGTCAATATCTCCATTATACCTATTCAGTGGCGTTAGAGACAAAACAATGTAAAGTCTTAGTTGTGGGGGAAAGATGGGATAGTCATACCAGCTAATTTTCACATTTGTCTGTGTGGGGTCTGGATGCCAGCACTGACGTAGTTTTTCCCATTGCGAGGTGTCTCTGTAGTAGCGCTCTTGAACTAACAGAGTTTGGATTTGGAATTGAGTCAAAAGTGTACTGTCATTCATGTTGTCCGAGCCTTGTAGAAGGAATCGGAATGGGGTTACAGATTAAGCAGGATGTGTCAGATGCACAAAGGGAGCTGTGGAAACATATGGGCGTTTTATACATATTATGTCATGTATGAGCCTAACTTATGAGAGAATAAAGTTGAAATTTGACCACAAGAAGTCCCACATTTCTCCAAGAAATTGTTGGGTACTAGCATTGGAGGTATGAATCACAGCTGCGGGGAGCGATAGTTTAGAAAAATAAGACTTGTAGTCCCACATCCAATACTGGAGCCCCGCAACTCTGAATGCAACGACGGAAATACGGGGATGAGAATACAAAGGGGCCTGTGCACTTCGGAGCTCTCCAAACTCAAAGAGAAAAGCTACCAGTCCGTTCCCAATGTGGATTTGTGCACGGTGGATGCCCCTCGTGTATATAGAGCACACACGTAGCTCCCTCCAAGTGGGGCGCGGGGACATTTGGTGTCAATTGGAGCGAATATACTATCCACTCCAGAGACCTCGAGAACACTGTATGATCGAATACTAACATCTAATTTCTATATAAAGCGAAAATCTTATGTTAATAATTCAAGCCATGTCCATACTTGAACAGAGGGGACTCTGTGTCAAAGGGAAGGTCTGCCTTGCTCTTCTCCACTGCTCTCATACTGCTAGGAAGGTCAAATGGAAGCTTGCCTTCAGGATGGACGTTTCCAAAGACGACATCGAAGAATGCACCCTCGTTGCTACCATAGCTCACCAGCAAAGCGGTTGCTTGGTCTGCGACCTCAGGGATGACGGCCGGCCGGTCAAGATACACATCCACAATGCAGGTGGGGACTTTGGAGAATATCTTCGCCTGTCGGGCCTGCTCCTCCGCGGAAAACGCCAAGGACCCGGCGTGGAAAAATGATTCAAACCCGCCAGTGCGAGGCTCGTATGGGCATTTGAGGCGCAAAAATGCAATTTCTGCTTCCTCCACGGCAGTCAATTCGAATTCCCACTCCTTAACAACTTCCTCACTGATACCCTCCACATAGACCTTCTTGCCAGTGCAGTCTTCCTTCTGAAGAGGGAGAATGCTCTTGGAGTTCTTGAGAAGAGTAAAAGCTCGTCTTTGAGCTTTTTCTCCATCCTCTTTCCATTTAGGTTGTCCAACAATCTTGCCGGCCTCTTCAACATCAACAAAAGGGTTCTCGAAAAGACCAAGAAGGAATGTTTCTCGCAAGATGCGACTCACTGACTGATCTATTCGAGACTCAGGGATTAACTTGTCTTCCACGAGTTGAATGATCAGATCAGTACGCGACTCCCCTCCAAACTGGTCGCAGCCAGCATCGAGAATTTTCTTTGTCCGCTCGAGCTCAGTCAAGCCCTCACAGCCCCAAGCTCTAGCCGGCATATCCTGACCCATTATTGCGGTGTCTGTGATGAGGCCCCAGTCGGTACAGATAATACCGTCAAATCCTAGCTTTTCCCGCAAAAGACCGGTCATAACGCTCTTATTGAATGCAAAACCAACCTCTTCCCACTCGGTGCCTATCGGCATACCGTAGTACGGCATCATATAGCGTGTACCGGCCTCAATGGCCTTTCGGAAGGGCTTGAGATGATACTCGATGTTATCTCCGGGATAAACTTGCTCACGTCCATAGGCAAAATGGGGATCTTCTCCGTCCATCTGTGGACCACCGCCGGGGAAGTGTTTCGTCATAGTAGAGACACTGGCAGAGGTGATATTCTTGCCTCCCTGGAATCCGCGAATATAAGCCTGAACAAGTTCTCCGGACAAATCAGCATCCTCACCAAAGGTAGCGCAGATGCGAGCCCATCGATACTCGGTTGCCAAATCAACCTGGGGGTGAAGAGACACACGCAAGCCCAGGGCAATATATTCTTGTCTAGCTATATCGGCAAATCGCTCGACGAGATCCGCATCCCGAAGAGCCGCAAACCCCAGCGGTTCGGGCCATAGGCTCAGAGCGCCGGCTTTGAATGCAGCTCCGACATTGTGCGTGAAATGATTTCGGGGATCACTGGAAATCGTAATAGGTATCCCCAGGCGTGTCTGCTTGAGAGCATGTTCTTGAAGGGCATTTTGCCATTTAGCGACCTGGATGGGGTCTTGAACTGGTCCAAAAAGGTTGAAATGAGTCATGAATTTTTCTGACACAAGCTGCTTGGTATCTTCCATTCCAAACATCGGGTGGGCTGGCGCAAGGGTTCCCTCGGGCCCAGGAAGGAGCATATTGTGAAAGAGTTGACCGGCCTTTTCAGCTAGAGTCATGCGTCCTAAGAGATACGCCACCCGTTCATCGATCGACTTCGAAGTATCTCGATAGAGGGGCTTGGTCTCTGCCGTTGTGAGGTCACCCATCTTTGCAATCAATTCGTAGTGACGTATCCAGTAATGGAACCCTGGAGAGAATGCTAAGGTAGAGAGGATGGATCGAATAGCGAGTCCCTGCTAAAGAAGTAATATCACCAGACTTGGTGGATGTGTATTTACGCGCAGCAATAATTGATTTACGCGTGACAACTCCACTATCCCGAAGATTAGCCGGTTGTTCTTTTCTTTTCCACTTACCTAGTCGCTAGAATGCGGATACGTCGGGAAGGAGGTTGGAGCAGCCCCGCGCGTTTGATTGGATCCCACCCCCCACTTCTGCTCTCGGCTCTTTGTATTAATATTTCCGCAATCTATACATCGCGTATGCAGCTTATGAAGGGCTGAAAAATCAGCCACATGGGGGAAAGTCTGGGGAATACTGGGGCAACAGTGCTAGTAAGTGTAAGTGATCTACCGAAGAAAAGAGACTGCCCTAAGGCCATTCGCCGAGATCGACCTCGTCAAACATCAAGTCCCAGGGACTTTACAAAGACGTCAGTGAGTTCTCATTCAGTTGGATCCTTTCGAAACAGACACAGAGCGAGTTGAACGTGTTTGAAAAGCTCGACAAATTTACTATTCCTGATTTTTTCCTTTTTCCCTTTTATGTCATTTTGGCAAGCCCCATTGTCTTGGGTACATCACAATGGAGAGAAGAAGGCAGAGAAAAATTTGAAATATGCACATCTGGGACTTTAAAATCGGTGCCTGGGTAATGATGCTTCTCTGCCGGGCTTCAAGCCCTTGGATCATGGAAAGAATTCTCAAGATTATGCATTATTTGAAGTCTTGCATGGTTACTGTGCCGGGCCCCACATAAGCACTTAGTGTCCGGAGATACGGATGCTATATCCGATCTTCCTTATTGCGGAGGGAATACGACGGAATACCTTGATTTTGAAGTCAAGGGGGTATGGAGTTCATGCACATACTTCTTTTTTGAAAAGAAACCTCGGAAAATAGATAGTTCTCTGCCAATATTCTAAACAGATGAATAACAAATTTGGACCAAGTGTGAACGCGACCAACCAATACCGGGTATTTCAAATGAGGCGAAGCTATAGGCCTTCAAAGAGTACGCTAGAGCTCCACTCAAAAGTCTCAGCCGTGAGGTCAAGTCTTACATGTTCCATGAACCGAGGGCGGAGTAAAAGGCGGGGTATGTGTATGGGGTAAGCAAACTTCTAGCGCCAAGCTATTCCGGTTTCTCCGACTTCCCTATGTTAGCACATTAACCAGGCCTGGCGCCATATTGAACAACTCACGGGAATCCTGATAGCCATATCTGTCTCGACCGCACCTCGGATAGCTAAACCGTTTCAATCCGACCCCGATTTTTCTTTTCTGCGACACTATCAGCTTTTCCAAGTGAGGTTCCCAGTCGCATTCTTGTGTTGCTGGACAGGGCAAGCCTTGATGTCTGGAAATCTGGGGACCGAGACGGGTAACCGGGCTAAAAAGCCCTTACAGCGCAATTTCCAGTGCAGAATCTGCGCGCGAAGCTTCACCAAAAGCGAACATTTGCTACGTCATGTTCGGTCACACACCAAAGAGAAGCCGTTCAAGTGTCCTGACTGCGGCAACCGTTACAGCAGACAGTAAGGCAAGCCATGCTTGACCGCTGATTAGGTTGCTAATGTGTTCATGAAGTGATATTTTGATACGACATCGACGTGACGTGCGCTGTAAAGCTCCCCCCAATGCTAGCGAACCAGCGAGTGCATTCAATGAGCCGGTACCAATTGTCCATACACCGGCGACAGGACATGACATTGATGCGCCAACATTGGGCCCAAGAAGTCCAGTCTCCCAGCAAACAGATAATTCAAATATTTTCGATTTTCCTCTGCCCAGAATCTCAATTTGCCCACAAGCCCCGATTGGTCATACCAATGCACCGGCGGCAGGAATAGAGCAAGGTTATCCAGGCGACCTAGGCCCTACCTTTCCGCCCGGTCCAAATCTCATGAATGATGACTTTGCTGCATGGATATTTGGCTCAGAGTTTACCAGTGGTGAATATGAAATGGACGTTTGTCTCTCAGGCTCTGATTTAATGACGCAAGAGACAAGTGGGGATCTTGTGGATCCAGAGCTCCTTCAACTTCAACACGTGAGCTCTCTTTGGTTTACTAACGTCTGGAAGCCATTATCGAGCGAAACACCTCATTCAAGCCTTGAAGACCCGGCACAGGGTGGAAATGCAACGCTCGATGAACAGTATCGACAAAGCATCCGGAAAAAACTGCAAATAGCTTCATATGAGCCCACAGTTCCCTCGGCAGATACGTTGAACATGTGTATTCACTATTATTTTGCTAAGACACAACCCGTGTTTCCAATCGTTCATCCGGCCACTTTTATGCCATGCAAAGCAAATGCAAACCTCATAATCGTGATGTGCGCCTTTGGGCTTCTATTTACTGGCTCTGATCATGGTTTGCAGCAGGGTCTTCATATCTTCGAAAGAATCCAGAAGGCTTCGCTACAAACTTGGGAGAATTCTGTTGGCAGAAGCCGAGAAATGATAGTCTCAATCATTTACGGTGCATCACTGGCACAGGTATTTGGCATGCTATCAGGGAGCGCAAAAACACTGCTCAATGTCGACGCGTTCCATGGACCACCAATATCATGGGCCAGGAACTTGAAACTTGATCAACCAGCGGTTGATATCTTAGTAGAGCACGAAACAGGGGGCACGCTTCTTGAGGAACAATGGCGGAGCTGGGCCCGTCGCCAAGAGTTAATTCGCGTGGTGCATGCACTTTACATCGTTGACGCCGAACTTGCCAGCATTCTGCACCATGAGCCAATTCAAAGCTTTGAATCCTACAAATTCTCTCCCACATGCTCCGAGACTGTGTTCATGGCACCGAACGCCATTGATTGGAAACATAAGCTCCTAGCAGAAACCCGCCAACTAAAGGACCGGCCAGCTTCGTTTGACGGTCGAATTCTATTATCAGATCCGGATAGCCTTCGCCGAATCCCCGCACATAGCCGATTCACTGCCTATGCCGTGCTAGAAGGCATCAGTATGCGAGTAATTTCATGGCGGAAATCTCTCGCCGAACAGGTTCCAGCCACTAGGGAGTTTGACGACCTTCTCATTGCATTCTATACCCGATTCCTGGACCGTCGGCAACAACAACCAAGCCACGACTCCCTTCAACTGGAAATTCTGTGGCATCTTGTTTACATGGAAACATCCGCAGATTTCAATCTTCTGGAAAAGGCTATCGGTCGTGAAGGTACCCGGCTAGAACCAGCAGAGCTCTCAGCTATTATGGCCTGGGCAACTTCTCAAGATGCCGAACGATCTATACTCCATGCATCCATGATTCAAAAACATGTTCAAACCATGAGTGTTGTCTCGGAATTTGCGATTCATGTTCCGCGCGCCCTCTTCTGGGCAGGGTTGGCACTAATCTGCTACATGCGCTTCGGATCTAAGTCAATTATTTCACCCGAATCTTCGCCTCCAAGCAATCATCACTTCCCAGAGCTTGCTTTTTTTGGCATGGCTGAATTTATGCCCAATAGTGGGATAGGTGAGCGTAGGTTTGATGGTGCTTTTTCCCAGAAAACTCTTCTCTTTTCAATCATTGACCTACTGGACCGTATTGGACATTGGGAGCTTGCTCGCAAATTTGCCAGCATTTTAAGGGCTTCCACTGTCTTTGTATCTGATAATCATGATATCCGAATTTAATGATGTTTCATTCTGTGTACAAGAATACCATTCCAGTTATACCATCAGAAAGAAGAACTACCAGTCATCAATTTCAGAAATTTTAAATAAACTTGCTGCCCTCGAGACTCCATGTCATCAGCCTAGTCTCGGAGAATTCTCGCAGACCAGCAAGGGCATTATTGCGCCCCCATCCACTACCTTTGACACCTCCAATTGGGAAGGTAGCTAAATCATCAAGTTAGCGACCGTGCAAGAACATTCAAGACAATCTACTCACGCTCATCATGTGGTGTCATGTTGTTGGTATGAACTTGACCAAATTCAAGTTCCTGTGTCATCACCCAAGCTCGGTTGAAGTCTTTAGTATGTATAGCAGCGTTTAAGCCATACTTGCTATCATTGGCCAGTTCGATTGAGTGCTCATCATCGCGAGCAATGAACAGCGCAGCAGAAGGACCAAATGATTCTTCATTCCAGAGGGTCATTGATTTTGTGAGACCCATCAAGATTGTCGGATGCAATTTCGCAACGCCCATCTTCTCTGGCTTGCCCACGAGGAATGTCGCTCCCTTTTCCTTTGCATCGATAAGCTTTTCTTGGCATGCTTCCACGATGCGGGGGCTGACACCGTCGGTGATTCTGAAAGACTCTGCCTCTTTGATCAAATGCTTTTTGAATTCCTCGGCAACGCTCTCAAGGACGATGATTCGTTCTGTCGAGAAGCAAAGTTGTCCGTGGTGGAGATAAGCTATAGTAACAGTTAGTTCCCTACTGAGCAATCTATGCAACTGAATGATGAGATACATACCTCCAGCAATACAACGTTTGGCAGCAGCAGGTAGATCCGCATCATCAAGGACAATAGCGGGTCCCTTTCCACCCAGCTCCATAAAGATCGGCTTGAGGTGCTTCGCACAGACCTGACCAACAATGCGTCCGACTGCTGCACTTCCGACAAACTCGACCTTGCGAATAGCAGGGTGCGCAATAACAGCCTCGGTCACCTCGGGAGCGTTCTCTCTGCTCGCCTGGATCACGTTCACAACGCCTTTGGGAAGACCGGCCTCTTCAAAGATTGTGACTAGCATATGATGCAGCTTAGGACAGTTCTCCGAGGCTTTGAACACCACAGAGCATCCAGCCGCAATAGCGGTCGCAATGTTTCTCGCGCCCAGAATAATGGGTGAGTTCCAGCTAAATTTCCGTTTTAGCGAGAATGTTTTATCCCGAGAATTAGAGATACATACGGCGCAATAACTAAGACCGGGCCAATTGGCACCGTGAAAACGAGTGGCAAGACATCGGAAGACTCGCCCTGTGGTATTTCACCCTTCAACGAAGTAATACAGGCGGCAGTTTCTTGAATTAAGCCAACAGCCAGCTGTATATTCTTCTTCGCCAGTAGCTCGGGCGCACTCGTCTCTGCCATTTGAACAGCGGCTAGCTCTTCTGCATGGCTTTGAAGTAAATCGGCATATCTCAGCAGGAGGTCTCGTCGATCTCTAGCAGGAGTCTTTTTCCAAGTCTTAAACGCAACGGCCGCAGCATCAGCAGCCGCTTTGGCGGTTTCAGCATTGGCTGACTCGGCAAGATACACGTCTTTCTGTTGCGCGTAACTATACACTGGGAAACGGTCGCTAGGTGAACCAGCTGTTTCCACACCGCCGATGAGCAAGGGAACAACAGGAAGGTCTTCGGTTGTTTGAGACATGCTGGAAGTCAATCGCTATGCTCGGGGATGTTGATGTTAGGGATGTCGAGAGAAGGCTCTTTTGAGAGCCGAGTTACCTGCTTATTGGTCACGAACTTATACATTCAGTGGCTGAGAAGACCGGAAAATCCGGGACGATGTAAGGTTAGGCGACGTGGGACTGCAGGAGCGGGGACGAAGCAGTATGTCATTTCCCCACATTCCCCTCCCCCGCCGTGGGTGTGTGGGTAACATCAGGGCCCCACGCTGTGGTTAGTGGGTACCTTGACTATGTGACAACCAGATGAGGAACTGGGACTGAATAGGTATCATAGAGTCTAGATGTAATCTTAAGTATAACCTCGTCTCTGACTGCCCAATTGCCAGACTAGAAATTTGAATTTTCCCTTCCCTCAGTTTTTGTCCCTTTCAATTCCCTCTGTCTTGAGCATAAAAAGTTTGAAATGGAGTCTTGGACTTTTCACACCATTCGTCGCGGTGACCCCAAATATGAAGCAGCACGATGTGGCGCAGTCTGGAATGGTCGAGTCCCAGATCGATACCCCGAATTGATCACCTACCCTGAGAATGATGCCCATGTTCAAGCGATCGTTCGCTACGCCAAGGAAAAGAAACTGAGCATCGGCACCAAATCAGGTGGTCATTCATGGACAGCCTCCTTTCTCCGCGATGGGGGCATCATGGTTGATCTTGTGAAAATGAACAGCTTCACATTCGACGTGAAAGCTCGTGCTGCAGTTGCGCAGCCTGCGGCGTATGGTTCGGACCTCAATGCTGCCCTCGTCCCGCACAATCTCATGTTTCCTGGAGGGCACTGCCCGACTGTCGGACTGGGAGGTTTTCTGCTACAGGGAGGTTTTGGGTGGAATTCGCGCAAATGGGGTGTCGCATGCGAAAGTGTCATGGCCATAGACGTCGTCACGGCGGATGGTGAGCTTATCCGTGCAAGCCCAACTGAGAACTCTGAGTACTATTGGGCTAGTCGTGGTGCTGGGTGCGGCTACTTTGGTCTTATCACGCGCTTCTATCTTAAGCTCTATACGCTTCCTCAGGGTATCATGACCGCACGGTATATCTTCGAGACCTCCGACCTGGACGAAGTGCTTGCTGCTATCGACGCCGTTTCCGAATCTGTTTCCCCCGATCTGGAGATTGGATTCTTTGTCGCGCGTGATCAGGATGGTATCATGGGTCGGCCGACACTTGCGATTACGGCTGATGCGCTTTCCGACACGGAAGAAGAGGCTCGCACCGCTCTCAATCTTCTACATGATCTACCCGTAATGAAGAAAGCGCTCAAGTCAGCTCCGTTTGTTAGTTGTACGTTACGGGAAATGCTCAAGCGGTTCGATGATATTCTCGACAATCGCGGGCGACGATATGAGGCCAATAACCTGTGGACAGATCTACCTGTCACAGACCTGCTCCCCAATTTCCACAAGATCATCGATGCGCTTCCTGCGGCACCCTCCCACCTCTACATGATGTGGTGGCTCCCGGTTAAAGGTCGTCCGGAGATGGCGTTCTCTATGGAGGCACGTCTCTACGTCGCTCTCTATGCGATTTCCACGGATGCGGGGCAGGATACTAAGAATTCTGGATACGTGATTTCTTCTTTGGAGAAGATGGAGCACTTAAGAAAGGGGATTCAACTCGCTGATGAGAACCTACCGGGTCATCCTGGAAAGTTTATGCGTACGCAAAACTATGTCAGATTGGAAAAGTTGCGCCAGAAATACGATCCGGAGGGTCGATTCTATGGCTATATTCGAGTACCCCCCGAGTTTGAAGCTGCCCTTTCTTCACTGTGAAAGCAAAAACCTGGACTTATAGAAACATATTATTGGGTCATTTGTAACTTATCTGGTGTTATGAGAATGGAATCTGTGCCACCATAGCAAAAAGAGGTCCACCTGGCCGTCTAATTATGAATTATATTTTGAAGCGTTCGAGCTGAAGCCCGCAACATCCACGGGCCATTCCATCAACTTTGACAGATTAGAATCGCCGAGCCCCGCTACCAAAGCATTAATCTTCGTGATCTCAACACCAAAATTCTTCCCAAGATACCAGAGGTCACCCAGAAGCGTGAGTAGTAAATATAGATGGGCAAGAATGGTGAAAGACAAGCCAGTGAGTATTTCCGGACCGTTATTCGAGTCAAGTGACGAGATGAAAATTTCCGGAACAAGGTGCGGCCAAGATGTAATAGCCGCATCCTCTATCTCGCCTTGAACGTCACGGTCAGATGAACTCGCTTCGATACGTTGAAGCTCGAGCACATATATGACTCGCATATACATCTGTTCAGCAACATCAATTGCTTGGTTCTGTGCCTCAAAGACATCGCCTAGCTGTTGAATTTCATCAGATTCGGGGCTGGAGCCAGAAATTTGGGATGTGCCAAGACCACCACCGACTTCAAGCAATGTTGCTTTCAGGGTACCCAAAAATCCTCTAAGACTTGAAATTGCTTGAGGTGCCCCGAGCGAAAATGCAGAGAGATTTTCTGATCGTATATAGCGTGGTGACACAGCTGATAGAACATGATCTGGACCGAGTAGCTTCCAGTCCTCGTTGGCATTGTTAAACATTAAGAGTGGTCTCAATCGCCCTAATTTCAGCGTCTTCCAAGAGTGCCGCGCAATGGAGCTGACGCCTCGAACTAGTCGCAGCCACTCTATACGGGGCCCCTCAAAGCGATGAGGCGAATCCGGGGAGATATTTTCCCTGGAGACTTGTGATGTCTGGGTAGAGAGATCCAAATTCTCGATCCGCAGCGAGCCGAATGCAAAGCCGACGATCAACATTGATCCAGCAAACAAGACTTCCGCACTAGTCTCTTCAATAGAAGTCAATTTCTCTTGAAGACCCTGTAGGCCTTTTTGGTGATGCTCAACCAAACTTTGCAGTTTGATTGCATCTGAGGTCATTGCTGTTCGCTGGTCCGGTTTTCGAGTTGTCAAGATATCCAGACCTGCCAGTGCCAAAAGCAGGTGCATGAGAAAAGGGTTATTGGCAGCGATTTCCGGAATCACACGTTCCCAGACCATAATTTTGCGAGGATGGAGACTTAGGTTTCTCGAGGTATGCAATAGATAGTGCTGTAGAAGGTTCAGGTCATGCATGTTCAAATCTCTGGTACCAAGGTCAGGATTGGCTGCCCGGGATTCAGGTATGTTAAAATCTAGCGGATGAATGGAATCTTCAGGCAAGCTTGACGGTATGCTTGAACTAATTCCATCCTGGTGCATCAGAGAGCGACGAGTCCGAGGCTGTCTTCTTGTCTGGTCACGTGTCTCCTGTGGTTGTGGAAAGGTGCATTCATCTCCCCTGACGGAGCAGGCACCACAGATTGGTCGTTCTTCATCACACTATCGCGATCAGTCTTTTTTATAGAAACAGGGTTATTTGATTGGTACCTTGACACGGCGGTTCTTGCATGGAAAACACCCATTCCTGGATTTTGTGTGGCTGATCCGATGCTTCGGACGCCTTGTCAAATTTGACATTGGACAACAAGGGGGTTGGGCCTTTGATGCGTGATGTGGCGCAATCTATAGCCTCACATGTGAAAGGGATAACTTGGCATGGTAGGTATATAATGCGAGGAAATGGCCACTGGATTGACTCCCTGAAGTACGTGAGGAATGTATGTCGAAGTGATGTGGCTGGAAAGTGCGGGTCTAGCTGGTTGAAACCCTACCGCGGTCCTGACCACCCTACTTTGCCATGGTACGATCATCTTCGACGTCTCCACTAATTCGATTTTTCTGAATTATCTAAGTCTTGGGATTCATGGATTTCAATAATTTACCTTTGGGAATCATTACTAAACACAAACCTAACTGCATAAGGCAAGGCGGAGTTATCGAGATTCAAAGTAATGATATTGTAGGATACATATCACAACCTTATTTACTTAATACAGTATGTCTAATATAAAGTTTGATTAAAAAGTGAGATCAGCATACATCTATGTCGGATTCGTTCAGCTTCCTCAAGCCTTGGACATTGGATCTCTGTGAGCGGACGCTTCCGTCGACATAAGTTGAAGCTCACTATCCCTTTTACTGCCCTGCGGTAGGAAGGAACCAGGATAGACAATGATCAACACTATGCCTGTCAAGGACATGAGACACGCATCAAAAATGTACAAAAGGTACTCTCTTCGCATAATGAACCCATTGTTTCCCTCAACAAACTCAACGACTCGAAAGACTGATCGCACTAGAATGAGAAGGCATGCGATATAGAGCGCCCACATCATAGCCTCCCATGTCATACGAGTTTCGGGGCCATGCGACCGTGTGCTTGAGACATGGATATACCGCGGCTGCCTCTTGAAACGCCAGTGGAACACGGCGGAGACGACTACGAAGAAGCCAAAGAAGAGAAGCTGAACTACCAACCCGCCAACGACAATATTGGCTCCAGTGTTCATAGCGGAAATCGATCCAGCAGCCATATAACCACCACCTATTGATAATCAGTACCTCGATCAATTGGTAGGCACCCGGTAACTCTACCTCCACATTGCATAAGAAAGGATATCACATCTCCAACAACAAATGTTTTCGTGAGAAAGCGAACTGGAACCTTAGATTGCTTTTCAGCGCCGAGTTTGACAACAACCCGACCGAGTGTCATGTATATAGAAGCGGCGAACAGAGGGGGAGCGACCAGGATGAGCATAGTCTGGACTATGTATGGCCCAAGTGCCATCGTATCGAAGTGGGAAAAAACGCGAGCAATATAACCGGCACATTCAACTGTAGCAGTGTTAGTGGCTTGAACATGAATTGGAAGCTTGAATCTCACATAATAAGCCCACGATGAACGGGATGAAGAAGTAGGTGCGATTGCGAACCAGTCGAACTAAGTGGAGGATGGAAAGAAGAAGGAAAATTCCAGCAAATATTGCTGCAGCTGGTATGGATGGGGTGTATCGATAGAGAGCGAAATCTAATCCGCCATCGTTCGTGGTTGCAGACATGTTAGGCGGCTTGAGAGAACTGTAAGAGAGTGACAATAGAATATTGGATTTAGGCTCATTGTAGCGAGTGTTTTTATATATCAATAAACTCTACGCTCGTCGGACATCCCCCTGAACATGAAAATTTAGCATCCAAATGGAAGATATACGAGAATGCGAGAACCCTGTAGTGCGAGAATACGAGAATGCGAGAATGCGAATGCCAAGAACAACCTTATTTGCCGCAGTGGATCTGCATCTTGATTTTTTTTAGCTTGACTCAATCCACTTCATGCCTTTTAATAACCATCAAATGTGAGAACACACCCCTGCATAGGAAACCGCCATTGATTCAGCCTCGGCTGTAGTCAGTAAGGGTCTCGGCAAATCTCTCAGAGTCGATTCCATCCATCGAAACGGCTGCCGTCGATAGAACACTCATTAGAGACTATACCACTGATATCACCCCAAGCAGGCTCATGATTGGAATTAAACCGATTTTGTTATCTATACCGGTGTGCTCTTCTCGTCTTCTTCGATATAATCATCCATGATGAGACCTTGAACCAGTTTATGGTGTGATACGATAATGGGGTCGCGAGGATGAGTTTAGATACAATTTCAGGACTTACTTGTAAACATGTTCTAACTAAATTTAATCGACCACTTTGTACCTGTACAGAGTAGACCGCTCATTAACGGGGCCTTGAGATGAAAATGGCGAGGTCAAACCCCCCGCCCTCACAAGAGCGGCGGCAAGGGAGCCCCACGTTCGCGGGGAACTGGATTAAGTGTGATCATATCCAAATAAATTAGCACTTCATTGAAGAACCTAATTATAAATACGACATCGAGTATTTTGATGACTATCGTTAACTCTGATCTGTTTCTTTGAATTTGTCTTTGAAGTCATTCACCTCAAACGAAAATGTCCAAGGAATCACTAGCGCTTGTCGCATACGGCCCCATCAGTCGCGGGCAATGGAAATTACAGCCTGTTACTCCGCGCCCAATTAGACCAGACGAAGCTCTAGTGCGGCTGGTAGCCAGTGGAATTTGCCGTGCAGATATTCATTTTGGCGATGCTGCGACAGAAGGAAACTCGAATCCGGGGATTTATTATCCTCGCATTTTGGGTCATGAGGGTGGGTGATTAACTCAATTGAACTCCTGGAAATTGAGAATATTGACGGTATCTCAGGATCTGGATTTGTTGAAAAGGTTGGGAGTGCGGTGACGAGCGTGAAGATAAATGATCCAGTTATCATGTCCATTTCATCTTGCGGAGAGTGCTACAATTGTGACGATGGCCACCCGGCGTACTGTGTAGATGGGTTTAAGCACAACTTTATTGGCGAGAAGGAGATGTATTCTGCGTCAAATGACGGCAACTTTGACATTGCAGCGTCTTTCTTTGGACAGTCGAGTTTCGCCAGAATGGCAATTGTCAAAGCACGCAGCATTATCAATGTCTCTGGTCTAGGCGTGACGACCGAGGAACTCAAGCTACTGGCACCACTTGGTTGCGGAGTCCAGACGGGAGCGGGAGCGATGACGAATATCGCTGATGTCCAACCCCATCAAGACGTCGCTATCCTTGGAACAGGGGGCGTTGGCCAAAGTGCAGTCATGGTATCGATCCTTTCATTTCTTATACTCATGCATATCTAACACGGCATACAGGCTGCTGCCATGCGTCAGTGTCGAACAATCATCGCCATCGACCACACCAAGTCTCGTCTGGAACTCGCAAAGACCCTAGGAGCAACACATACCATTGACACGTCCGACCCAAACATTGACCTGGTCGCGGAGGTGCGCAAGATTACCGGAGACAGAGGTGTACATGTGTCTTTGGACACAACTGGAGTGCAGAAGCTGGCTAAAGCTTCATGGAACTTTGTGCGATTTCTCGGCAAGGTCTTGCAAGTCGGCCTTGCAAAGCCTCTAGATCAATGGGACGTCTCCATGGCGGATCATATGAATTCTGGAAAGCAAATTATTGGATGCATACAAGGTGATGCTATTCCTCAAAATTATATTCGTGAGATGATAGGATGGTATAAAGCTGGGAAGCTTCCAGTGGAAAGAATTGCCAATTTCTATCCTGCGGAGGAATACCATCGAGCATTTCAGGATATGGAAGATGGAAAGACTATCAAGCCTATCTTGGTTTGGAATGATTCGTGTCAGTCTAAGATCTAGTCACCTTTTTGATAATCAATCATAAAGTCTTGTTCGCAGCTAAGCTATAGATTTGCTTTTATTGAAAATAGGTTTATAACCTTCAAGCCCAGTGACTACAGGATACAATGGCCTTCTGCTCTCCCGTCCTCGCTCGCCCCACTTCTTCCGCACACGATCAACTTGAAACGATCTGAAGCAATGTGGGCTACTGTCTCGGCCTCGGGTCTAATTTAACGCCGAAAATTATTGGACGGGACACCGGAACTCCTCTCGTGTCCCTATGGGTCTAGTGGCCCACGTTAGAGCTAAGCGCCGAGCGGCCATATAATAATTTTCCCCGCATTTTATGACGGCCTTTCGTTTAGCCCTTCAATGATCGGCAAGCTACGTGGGGCGAATCACCACTAGGCCCGGTCCTCAGCAATACCCGTGGAGACTGTGCCCGTCTCGGATGTCGAAGAACATGTTCCGGTAAACTCGCATGATATCCATCAATGGTGATCAACAACGGTACGTAATAGCTTTGAAAAGTATACTATAAAAGCATCGTAACCCTTGTGTGAAAAAACACTAGATACTACATCTACTCTCTTACAAATATCATCGCGGAAATGGACATCCAACATGTTATTCACGAAAATCAAAAAGTCCCCGTCACCAAGGGTCTTGCCCCGAAAGACGTATTCCCCGGCTTTGACCCCACCCCCCGCACATTCAACGACGAGGGAATGAAAATCGAGTATAACCATCCCATCAAGCTCCGCGATGGTATCCAGCTCCGAGCAGATATCTACCTCCCAGAAAACCAGTCTGAAAATGTCAAGTTACCCATCGTCCTCGTCTACACGCCATTTGGCAAGCAGACGCCATTTGACATCTCGAAGGTGCCGACCTCCCGAGACTTCGATCCGGGATATCACGGTGTGACATTCTCGAAATACCTCATCTTCGAAGCTACAGACCCAGCTTTCTGGACGAAGAATGGCTTTGCGTATGTCGCCGTTGACTCTCGGGGTAGTTTTGCTTCGGAGGGAGATTTCTTTTCTTTTCTTACTAAGTCCGATGGACGCGATGCGTACGATGTGATTGAGTATCTTGGTGAACGGCCTTGGAGTAATGGTCGGGTTGGAATGGTTGGGGCTAGTGGATTGGGACACATTCAATGGTATGATATCCACGTCACTCATCACTTATGACCCGTTCCTAAACTTTGTGATAGGCATGCTGCTGCTAATCGCCCGCCTCATCTGGCCGGAATCATGGTGCAAGATGCATATGTTGATTTCTATCGTGAAGTTGTGTGCAAGGGAGGTGTCCCTCATATGAATTTCATTGAGCTCTTGTCTTCAATGTATATGGCCCAGTCAAATGAGCAAGGTTGTCCCAAAATCGATATTGTGAAAGCCATTGAAGAGAACCCCCACGATAGCGAGTTTTGGGATATCTTCAGGCCAGATCTGGATCAGATAACTTGTCCTCTTTATCTAATTACCAGCTTGGCCGATAAAGGTGTTCACGTCCCTGGTTCGGTTCGTGGCTATCTTGCCGCTCAGTCATCTACTAAGTATATTGAGCTTCATCCGTGAGTGTATAATCTCCTCCTATATTCCTATGTGGGAGAAGCTAACACTGGGGATAGCTATTTCAAATGGGAGTGGCAGCTCACCGCGGAATCACAAGAGCGCCAACTTGCATTCTTCAATAAAGTCTTGAATGGTCCGGATCAGAAAGCTGCTGGTGCAGTAGACTTCTGGCCACCGGTTCGTCTGCATGTTACAGACAAACATTACTCCGGTAGCTGGCGCAGTGAGAATGAGTTCCCAATCGCGAGAACCCAGCGGACAAAGTTCTTTCTTGGTCCAAATGATGATCTTCTTAAAGATTCTCTCATTGGCAGTGACTCCGCCACTTACGACACTAAAACAGGATCTGTCGCCTGGCAGCACACATTCGATAAGCCTACTGAAATCACCGGATCATCTCTTCTTCACCTGTCGCTTTCCATCTCTGAGGGCTCAGACGCAGACCTGTTTGTAACTCTTCAAAAGATTAATCGGGATGGCCAGATCGTCAAGTTCCCATACCACTCTTTTGTGAACGATGGACATGTGGCTTGGGGCTGGTTACGAGCTTCTAAGCGGAAGCGGGCAGGCAATCCTTATGGTGATGAGGTGATGCACACTTTTCTTGAGAAGGACCTGCAGCCACTTAATCCTGGTGAGAAGGTGGAAGTGGATATTAATCTTCAACAAACTGGTACCCTATTCCGCAAGGGTGAGATTATTCGGGTTGTTGTTCAAGGCCGGGACTTCAACGAGTATAGCCCCAATTGCCAAGTGCCACGCGCTGGAACTGGTTGCAATGTTGGTCAGCACACCATTTTCATGGAAGGTAGTTTTGTTGAACTCCCGATCGTTCCTTTTAAATATGCCTAGTCGCTAGGTTATGACACTGCAATGTGAATTGATTGAGAAAAGTTCCCAGGGCAATATCTTATCAGCTTGCGGGGTTCAATGTGGAGCCACGTCGGTTCGAGTCACCGAGCATGTTTCGTTCCATATGTCCTCTCGCTGAAGAAAAAAGCAGACTCATAAAATTTAAATCGGAAGATATATACTGTATGAATTGTACTTAGTGAGTCGCTTATAAGTGGGGCAGCGTGCATGACTCAACTTGGGATACCCCGCGGACACACCTACCGAATGCTCGGGTGCCCATACCGATACTGTAGGACGTCTATCTCCGATATCGCGACTCACGATTCCAATCGTATTCTTCAGTCGCTACATTTATTTAAACATCCACGTACATACGCACGTACATACACACCTAAGCACAGAAACACCCTTCACAATGGCAGCAGAAAAGACAGTGGCGTTCATTGGATGCGGTAGGTGACTTTAGCCCCTGGCAGACCAGGATAGACCGACTAATGAATACTAGGAAACATGGGAGGCGCAATTCTCAATGGAGTTCTTGATGCTGCATTCAAGTCTGTGGACTCAGAGCAACAATCGCGACCAATTTCGAAGTTCATAGCATGCACCAAGAGTGCAGGGTCTGCCGAACGCATTCAAGCAGCCCTCCCAGAAGAATTCAAATCTCATGTGAAAGTGGTTTCCTCCAAGATTATCGAGAGCATGCAAGAAGGCGATGTCGTTGTTCTTGGATTCAAGCCATTCATGGCTGATGACGTCCTCAGTATGGAGGGCGTAAAGGAAGCACTTGCTGGCAAGCTAGTGATCAGTCTATTAGCTGGACAGACACCGCAAAACCTCGTTCAAATTATTGAAAAGTCAGACGCCAGGTCATTTGAGCTTCCGGTAGTGGTCCAAGTTATTCCGAATATGGGTGCAGAGTTCCGCCAGTCAATGACCATTATTCGAGCACCTGAAACTCCACTCCCAGCTGAGATGAAAGATATCGTGGAGTGGATCTTCAATCAGGTTGGCTGGATCAAGTATCTTCCTGAAAGCCAAATGGATGTGGGATCTGTGCTCGTGGGCGCAGCTCTGGCCACCCTAACGGTACCGATCGAGGGAATCCTGGATGGCTGCGTGGCTGAAGGCATTAAGCGCCCCGATGCGATGGAGATGGTCTTGCGGGGAATTCGAGGATTATCAGCCGCGCTAGAGGCAGGCATACATCCTGCTGTTCTGCGTGAAAGTATTTCGTCTCCACGGGGATGTACAATTCAAGCACTTCTAGCCCTTGAGAGGGCAGGGAGCAGGGCCGATTACGCCGACGCAATTATCAAGGGGACTCAGCATCTGAAGAAATAAGTTTGATCGTGCAATTCTTGGATTACAATGAATAATCTCGAGAATTCGGTCTTTCTCTGTGTCGGAGAGCTTTTTTGGCGACTAGAGATTGCCTTAGAGCCACCTTCTCGTCGTTCATGCTCCTTCTTGATCGTATATCAAATTATAGATAGTCAGAGGCAAAAGAAGAGTATTAGGCGTTATGGAGAGGGGCTAGAATTGCCCTTCGCGTTGTATTAACGATCGAGGACCATCATATTTCTAAACTATGCTTCGATTCAAAACGACTCGCCACTAGGATAAACTACATGATTTTCGCCCAGTCGTGTAAAGAGTATGACTATTTCGCAGCCATCATAAAACGCCCAGGTTTTCGTCACCTTCACTTATCCTTCCTAGTTAGATATACCAGGGTCTATGACTATAAAGGGCTCACTAGCGGATGCTCCTCTAAGGCTATTAGCTTAGCGAAGGAAGTAACTCACATCCATTTAACAGTGGCATTAGAGGGTGGTGATTCAGCTCATGTTCCAGTTATTACTTTAAAAGAGATTCTTCCTATCCATCAATGGCTAAACCTCTATCATCTGGTCTTTCTAATTTCAGCGTCAACACATCAGACTTAATTGATCTACCTTGTTCGTCATCATCCTCACTACGTTCTATTAAGCTAGGATCCCTTGGGTTTCCTAACGATGAAGAATGCTGGTCTAAGCTAATGGAGCGGATGCGGGATGAGCTTGATTCTACTAAGCGCGATCGATCACAGAAACCGGGCGTGAGAATCATCATGGAGATTGATCAGATGCAATCTGGGAGGTTCGCTCTTCTCACAGATGGGAAATGAACTTTCTCTATGACTCTGGTGAAATTCCAACACAAGGATATTTACTTAACTTCCCCAAGTTGGGAATGGGTACTTTGCACAATAATTTCGAACCTGAATATACCCGACCACACGTCGGTATGCAGGAGCTAAAGGAATTGGGAATCTTTAAACATTGACATATTTAGAAGCTTGAATAGACTAAGGAAATACAGCCAGTGTATATAAATGACGGTGCGCCTCCGGGGCGGTTTAGATGACATCCAGTTCTCCACGCGAATTAAATTCAATCATGTTTAGTTTGAACCCTATCCCCACATATCGCCTTCATCTTTGACCAGATCATCCTCATTCAAGGCTTGAAGATTGGTTCCTCGCTCTTCGCGCTTCCTTTGACGTCTAGTCACAGTTCGTCCTGGTGTGAACGGAGTTACGGGAGTGAAAGGCATGTACGGGCTATAAGGGGTAGGCATGCCAGTGATAGGCCCATTCTTTTTGGCGGGCCGTTCCAGGAAAGTTGTCTTCGTCGCTGGCGCACTCTGTTGAGGATAGGCCTGGCGGAATGGCAACGACGACGATGAAGACGGGGAATGTGAGGAAGTCGCCAGACTAAGGGGAGCAGGGGCGCGTGCACGGGTGGTCGGAGGGGCCATGACCGGTCCAATTTCTGGTGCTGCACGGGGGGCAGTTGGAGGGGGACCAGGGGTATAGAATCGTGGAGACATGGGGGGATGCTCTTGGCCGTATGACTGGCTTGCTTGAACATTTGGGGAGGGAAGAGGAGATGAAATGCCCAACTTTCGGATGGGAAACTTTGGAGACTTCAGCTTTGCCGCATCGAGGTCGGAAGGGGTGGCTGATTTCGAGCTGAACAATTTGGACAGTCGATTGGAATATCTGGGGGATTTTGGTGGTACCATTGGTGCTGACACGGAGACCTGCGAAGCTGCACGGTCGGTAAAGGGATTGGTGTACTGGCTGTCTGGAGATGGAGCCAGCGAATCCGAATCCCTCACGGAAGCCACATTGATGCCGGCAGCCTTCTGCGCATCATGTTCCATCACCGCTGCGTATAATCTTTCCATCTCATCCTCGGCCCTTTGCCGATCGGACGCAACAACAGACTCATCCACAGTCACCATACTGCCGTTGATTGAAGGCTGTGAAGGTCGGGATCCTCTGGGGATGCTGCCCCAAGAGGTAAAAGCAGTTGACCTGTTCGGACTAGGAAGGTTCTGCGTGATTGGAGTGATAGGGCTTGGGTCGATGCTGACAGAAGGCCTCACTGGCTTCAGCATCTCCATCTGCAGCGAGTATTGGGATGACTGAACGGTCCGACGCAGTCGTCGCCCGACGAACAAGACCAAGGCTAGAAGAAAAGCAACAAATATCACGTAAGATGCGACGATACTTCCAACCTGGATGGCGAGTAGAGGCCTATCCAGAGCAGGACGTGATTCCGCACTTCTTGGGATCTGGAAGTGTGCTTCTACTGCGGCGGACACTGGACTAATATGCACAACCAAGAGGGAAAACAGAAAGGGAGAGAACGAGGCAACCGGAGGAGTCATCGCCAGTTCCTGTGACAGGGAAGTGCAGCGGGGAAGAAAAAAAGGGCTCAATTTTAAGTGCAGGTGCAGTCACTTTTCTCTGATCGACATGTCGCCGCGTGGGAATGGCGAATCTGGAGAGGGAGAGGATCACATCGTGAGGAAGTGATGGGGCGGCAGGAGAGGGGCACTTCGTATAAAACGTTGTGAGCCATCGGATGTGATGAGGTGAAGAGCAGTCTCGGGGCTGCAGGTGCAATTGCAATGAGATACAGCCTGTCGTTGGTCGTCAATACGCGCCGCCATGCACGATTGTCACTCGGTGGGGACCAATCAGGGGTCATAGATGGGTGTGATTGGAAGTGATCAAAGTGTGGATCAGCAGTCTCCACTAGGGTCTTGGCACCATTCAACGGAGTATACTTCCAGACTTCAGTTGTATACAAACTCCAGAGTAGACTATTGCCAACAAGATAATGACAGCTTCATATTTTCGTCAGCGCAGAGAAGCCGCTCCTTCCTTCTGTACGGTTTATGTTGTGTTCCTTCCAATGTTCCTCGCATCAACACCATGGCTCTCTTCCGACTCTACCATTTCACATTCCTCCACTTAGTCTCACTAGTGTTATCACCCACATTTACTTCCTCCATATGGGCCACAACATTTCATCGGTTAGCGGCGTCAAGTCCGACAACTTCTATGAACAAGGGAACGGAATTAATGAGATCTGGGTTGACGGCCTGGAAGTGATCTCACGATTGCCGTTCGGCGACTCAGACCTGGGGCAAGCCGGTTGGCCTGCAGGCGACTGGCCGAAAATACCGTGGCATCAGTTCATTATTCCTCTGAAACGAGACCTCACATCCACTAGCAACATCAACAGTGCTAAAAGTGCCAACGACACCTTTGCGATGACAGAAAGCATTGCTTGCTGCCCATGTCTGAAAACCTATCCGGACTTTGGATACTTCGGAATGTACAAGAACTGGAATCCATTCACTGCTGCACTTTTTGGGAATGTGGCTATGGCATCCGGCCTTGTTATTCTGGGGCTGCTTCTCTTTTTGCTCCAATGGAATGAGGTTATCATGGATCTGCATCGGTTCATGCCGGATACCGCTGCGTTCGGTGAAGCAGTCATGGAGCCTCCCGTCCGCGCTGGAAGCTGGCATTGTATGAAGCCATGGCTTTGGCGGCGTTGCTTGTCTAGATTCCTCATGCTTGTGGCTGGCACCGTCCTTGTGGTGTGTGGGATCCCAGGCGCCATGCTGGCCATGAAAGATCGATCAGGTCCTGAGGTTTTCTTCGAAACTTGGAAGGGGATGGCCATCGTACTTTGGACAAACGTTGGCTTTCAGTTTCTTATAAATATTGTTCTATTGTATTATTATTGCTGGCGCCACCCAAGGGGAGAAAATGCGGACAGTCTGCGAAAACGTGAGCAAAATCCCGGATCCAGAAGTTTGACAGTTGAAGCCTCGGTCGATCCTGGGTTGACTGTTATTCAAACCATGAAGGTTGAAGAACCGAAAGCTGAAGAAGCTTGAATACAATTTCACATAATGTGGACTTTCTTCACCATAGGCGAAGTTCCACAAGCCGGGTCTGCGGTACGGTTTTTTTTATAATGCTGTCTTGCTTTTATGTGCTACGGGATGGACGATCAGGCTCGTCTGTGGCAATCTCTCTAAGAGATATTCGGTGATACCCATGTTCGAAAGAGGCTCAGAACATGTATACTATTCTTAATTCATTCCAGTCAATGGAGGTTCTGCTGCTATGTTACACTCTTCCAGGTATCTGTAGCTGGGTCATATCCATTCCGGGTATATTCGTACAATGCCATGTTTTATCGCTTGTCCTCTTTAGAAAAGAGATCCCGCCACATTTCCTTCCAGCCGTAGGCTTTATTTTTGTCTTCTTCATACACGCGCACCGACGGTCCAGGGCCAAGCGACCCAAATTTACTGGCTGTGGCCCTAACGGGTGAGCTTGACCCACGAGCGCGTTCTGTTGCTCGCCGTCGTATCTCTTCAGCCAGTTGAGGTGCGACATCCGCAAAACAAGACTTCAACTCGCGGTCGAGATTTGTATACGGCTTTTGAGCAGAGCGAGGGGCTTGGAGGTTGTAGGAGCGTGTGATGGCATTGAGCTGTTTGACAGCAAGCTCATGGTAAGATCGTTCGTTGCCCATGTATTCAGGGTCTCGCAGTGGAGGCAGATGAGGAAGTTCCTCCTTTTCGCTCGGGTTCGGTTCGGCTGCGAGGTCCACAGCATCAACCTTTGAAAGAATCCGGCCATCGCTTGCTATTTCCGACACCACATTTTCATCTGAGCTTGCAGCACTGCTGTCGCGAAGTGCCGCTTCCAGTTTCATCTTTTCTGATAAACGTAACTCCGCAGCAGCATAAGCTCTCGCTCGCTGCATCTGGGCTTCCAAGGACCCGCCCTGGCTAGCGATGAGTCTGGAGGCGTGTCTCCTCCAATCGGCACGTATCCGCTGCCGGAAACGTCTAATTTCCATAGCAAGTTCCTGCTGCTTTTCGATCCACGGCGGAACGATATCTTGCTTCTGAATGATCTTGTTCATAAAATATTCTGTGGTGTCAATAAAAGCACTATTAGCATTGTGATCGGTCTCGGTATTGACGCCTTTGCCTCGACGAATCTTCTCAAACTGCCCTCGTCGTATCGCATCTTCTATACGTTCGTTCGCCAGCGACGACAGGCCCTGGATGGATATGGGCATGGACATCGCGCCGGGCGATAACTTCTCGCGCATATCACTGCGAATCGCTTCCCGTTCTTCTTCCGTTAATCCAGGACCTTGACTCAATGCGTAGTTGGACGTCTTTTCCTTCGCTCTGGCGATACGGACACCGGGGGTGAGCTTCGGCTTCGGGGCTGGCTGAAGATTGATCGGGCGGGGGATTTTGTAGGGCGTTCGTATGGGTTTGCTGGCATCATCGAGCATTCTAAGAGCTGAGTCTTGCAGGCTTTCTGTTCCTGTCCATGCAGGAGCTGTTGCAGCTTCTCGTGTGCCTTGGCCTGCGCTAGCCTAGAATGCAAATGCAGGTTAGTCGCCGCGCTCTTAGCGGTGGGTCAAGTTGTGGCCATACGGGCATGTCAAGGATAGAGTGAGCGATGGGATTTTCGCTTTTGAAAGACGCCGCCTTCACTCGCTCTTCCAATTGTTGCTTTAACTCCTCTGAGAAACCCGCGTGCTCAATGTTGCGGCGTGCTGAGCTCCCGCCCTCAAGCAGAGCATCCTCTGCCATTTGGGACAAACGACGGGCCATAGCACCCTTCTCCTTCTCCTCATCCTTTGTATCCTCTGCATCGTCATGGCTTTTCGTTTGCGTCGAGGCAGAAGAGGTATTGTGTCTGCATAGCTGCGCCGCTGGAAACCGTTTGGATGCGGGAGCTACCGTAAATCGTGATGTATGTAGTGACGATCCGACCTGGGACCTCAAGATCTGCTTTCCGGACATCGCCTTGAGAAGCAAATAGTAGACCAAATGTCTGTATATTTCCGACACAGAATGAACAGATATTCAATCTGAGTTCGTCAGAAGTGGCAACCCCATCTTCCAAGTTGATGGCGGATCCGCTTATGTCATCAACTTCCGCGGAGTCGAAACTTCCTGTGATTTTGTTGCTCCTCCGTCGCCGGCGTCAGCTTCCCGATTGTTGTCCACGAGCCACCTCGCCACATCTCGATACCTTTGATTGCGAGTGTCCTCGGACCGTCCTTCATCATGGCTCCCAAGAATGTCACCACCCGGCTTAACCCGCTCCGTTTGAACACCATCAACCACCTCCGCGTCCGCCGGCCGAACCAGAATGAGCAGAACACTTGCGTGACTGTCATGTCCTCGATGCTGAGTATGTTCCAACAACCACTCCCCTTGAATCAATTATCAATCAATCGTCTGCATGTCGAATATCGCGTCATCGCGCATCGACCGTTGCCGATGCGATCTCATACCCCCAGACCTTAAATGAACCCGACAGCTAACAATCCCTCTCATAGACTGCTGGGCTTCACACGGATACGGCTCCGAGGGCTGTGCGGCTCTCGAGGCCCAATTGCGCAAGTGCATGGACCAACCTGTACGTCTTCCAACATACTTCCCTTACTCCCAAATCCCGGATCCTAGATACAGATCCGCATCCACAGAGCACTCTTACTGACCAAATACCCCACAATATAGAAACCGCAAGAAAAGAAGAAGAACACCGTCAACTACCACCTGATGAGAATGTACCCCAAGGTCGTCGGACCCCGGAAGAAGGACGGTGTGTTGGGCTAAATTGTCGCGACGACCGTTCAATGGAGTTTGGGATGTTTTTGCGATAAATCCCGCAGGACGAAGACTTGACGTGCAATACGTTGCATGACTGGACTGAGACTCATTGGGTATTGCATGGGAGTTGGTTCTTTTCTAATCGCACATTTGTACAGTATTTAACTACGTCGAGTATGGCATAGCTTTTGAAAATTGATTGTATCATTACTCTGGATGTTCTGCATCGACTTCATCATGGTATCGGTTTCTGCTGCCTTAAACAGCATGGAACTTGAGAATCAGCTTTTCGGCCTTGGGGTGCACGGTATAGGCATCTATGGCTTCGATGTCGGTATCATCAACGATCGTGGTGCGGAAGTTGGAGTAGATGGCAGCTGCCACCAATTTCGTTTCTAAGACACTGATTAGCTTCATTTCATCAGTAATCCATGTTTGCCATATATTACCTTGCAAAGCGAGATTGCTGCCCACGCACATCCGTCCTCCACTACCAAATGCCCAGAACCAGCGGCGCCTTTCCTCGAGCTCGGCGGCCGAGTTCTCTTCTTTCAACCATCGTTTAGGCTCCCATGATTCTGGGTTGGGGAAGACCTCCGGATTGCGATGCAATGAGTACGCCTGCGCATTGACTCGCGTGTTCGCCGGAATGTTGTCATAGCCCGCCAGCGAGCAAGAGGGCGCGGGCGTTACCCGAGGCTGAATACCAGGGATCGGTGCATGAAGACGCAGTGTCTCGGTAACAATAGCTTCCAAAAGAGGTAGGGAGTCAATTGATTTCGCCGAGGGCAGCTCGTTGGATTTGGGGAAAGAGATCGGTGGGTCGAGAGTCATTAGTTCTTGACGCAGCTTCTCTTGGATCTCCGGGTGCCTCGACAGTTGCCAGAACAGATACGTCAATCCCACGGCGCTTGTCTCAAATCCAGCTGTGAGTTGGTCGTACATTTCGCAGGCGATTTCATTCCGCTGCTCGACGAGATCTGGTTTGAAAATACCTGCTTTCAACGCCTGCTTATCAAGACCCTGTTTCAGGTGCTTATATACAATAGGTTCAAACGCTGGGTCTGTTGAGTCGATTGAGTCACCAGCTTTGGCGCAGAGATCCAGAGCCCAGGCGTCGAGCATTGCGTTGGCGGAGTCGCAGTATTTCGGGATAATTCGGAGACCAATGCATTTCATCCATGGAGCCAAGTTGGGAGCTTCTTGGTGGTAGAACTCGAATGGCTTTCGGCATAGATATAGGTGCAGCCAGTGCTTGCGGAATGCATGATCCTGTAAATGATTTGTCCCATTTCGTAGGCCGAAGAGGTATCCAGAGACGAAGTCGAGGGTAAGTCCCATGTTCAGATCATGAACATCCATGGTCTCATTAGCATCCACTGACTCCTGAATAATCGGCAGAAGACGATCATAGATTACGGCATCAGAGACAATGCTAAGATGAGGTGATGACTGCAGCGTAGACTTGGAATAGATGTTGGACATCATTCTCTTGCGAGTGGAGTGGGTCTTCGTGCCGACCATCGTGAACATGCTCACGGTGCTGGACTCGGCGTTAGCTCCTATCAGCACCTCTATAGCATCGAAGTCGACTCACTCAAGTGATCCAAAGACACGAGGATACCACTCATGCTTCTCATATCCACCAGTATACACAGACTTGATGCCTCCATCAACGCAGTTGACGGAGATCTCCGATGGCCCAAGCCGGACAATCGGACCAAGCTTTTCATGTGCAGCTTGAATAGTCCGGTTGTTCTGCATCCGAAATCGTTTCCAAAGCATCCATAGTGGCGAAATGGGAGCACTCCAATGCGCATTAGGGATCTTGGCAAGTGGCGACACAAAGGCTGGGTAGATGACTCCTTTGTATAGTACAACGGCCACGACAAGCACAGCCACCAAAGACGTGACCGACATCGCCATGGTTAAGATCAAAACATTCACTATAACCAGTTGTATAGGCTTCACTCCGCGTTTGTGCGATGTGGTTTTCGGTGGGAACCCACGGGCACTTATCTTTTTCCGAGGGTTCCTCGGTTTAGGTAATTGAATCCTACACCCCGCGCGAGGATAGTCTCTTTGCCGGATAAGGACCCGATGTGGTAAACGATACTGTGCCGATGTTGTGGGACTGTGGCTTTTAGGTAGACTGGGGTTGAATGCTGTCCAACCAGATTGTGGATATTACTTTCTCTCTCCACGCGATACTGATAAACGCGCGATAAGAACCGAGATATCAATGACATAATGGGTGATCGGGTCTCCGATTGCCGAGGGCATATTCAATCCCATCGTCTATCTGGTTTACATTTGAAATTTACCTAGGAGATTCCTTGAAGCTTGAAAAGAGTCATGCCTGGAGAAGTTCAGATTGGTGGCTCAGTATACATGGAAGGACGAATTTTGAGTATATAAGGAAAGGCCAAAGGATAGGCAAAGACAAAATACAACGAAAGGTAACTTGCTATCTGGAAGAGCATCTCAAGCTCAATGAAACTCTGACCAGCAGGGTTGCTTCTGGTGATAAAGCAAGTGAGTTCACTAGCAGGATGCCTAGGCGCTATCGCATTACTAACGCATCGCAACTTATTTGAGAAGGTTAGCCAGGATGCCTGGGGCATCGGAGGCATCATCAGGGTAGACGTAAAAAGCAAGGGCGAGAATCAAGTACCTGAGAAACCAAGTTAGTAACAGAAAAATTGCAGAAAGATTGGAATTAACATACAGTCCCAAGCACATGACACCCTCGAGGTAGTTCGACTTGCCGTCCTGGATCAGCAAAGTGACAACCAGGCCAGAGATAAAGAAAGCGACAGTCTCAAAGGTCTGGAAGTGGAGCGTCATCTCGATGCCCATGGTCCAGCCGAGGATGACCAGGAAAGGCGTGACAAAGAGGGCGATCTGCAAGCTGCTGCCAATGGCAACTCCAATAGCAAGGTCCATCTTATCCTTGTATGCAACCACAACAGCGGTGACGTGCTCTGCAGCATTACCGACGATCGGGATCAGCACCAGACCAATGAACGTCTTGCTAATGCCAGTCTTCTGCACGATGCTGTCAATGCTGCCAACCAAGTAGTCTGCACAGATCGCGACAAGAATAGTGACGGCAATCAGAGCAACGGTTGCAGCCCAAGGGCTCAGAAGACGCTCCTCTTCCTCCTCTCCCTCTGTGCCCGGAATCGTCTCGGTGCCGGCTTCATTGGCTTCTTCGAACAGGTGGGCGTGGGATCGCAGCTGGAAGTAAAGATACATCACATAGATGATGAGGAGAATGATCGCAGTGCCGTGCGACAAAATGAGAATGTTGTCTTGGGCGTTTTGCGAGGATTGCGACAGCGCGGCATACAGGGTGGCCGGGATGATCAGCGAGGCGGATGCGACGGACATCAAAGATGACATAGTGGAAGCCACAGTGCTGTTGAAGGATTGCTCGGAGAAACGGAGGCCACCGACGAAGAAGCAGCATCCCAAGACCAACAGGATGTTGGACAGAATACTTCCCAGCATACTAGCTTGCACCACCCGAATCTGTTTATCCTTGAGCGCGATGATGCTGACCTATTCAACCAAACAAACACATTTAATTAGCTTTCCAGATCAAAGAGCGGGAAAAACAATCAATGGCTCTTACAATAAGCTCGACCGCGTTACCAAAGGTAGCGTTCATCAGACCACCAAGGGCCTGGCCCATGGTCGCTGCCAGCTCCTCTGTGGCAAAGCTCAGGAGGGAAGCGAGAGGAATGATAGCAAAGAAATTGAGGACGAAGATAGCCGTAGAGTCCCAGTGGAGTGCTCCGGCGATAATACCCAGCGGCACAAATATGAGAAGAACATTGACGTAGTCACGGACCAAGGTCAACCAGGTCAGACGCACAACATGCAGCGGCCAGCGCACCCAGGCACGATTGTCCTTGGGATGATGATGGTGGTTACCATGGTCTTCATGCTCATGGCCAGACAAGCCCGACAGGGACCGACGACCAAGAAGCGAGGTTTGCTCGCCGGGCTCTAAAGACCCATTACCGGAGTTCATTCTTTTCCCAGGACCGAAGCTATGGCTTCGAAACTCTTTGCGAAAGTGAACGGAAGCTGTGGTAGTCAGTACGTGAACAGAGCGGAATAGCAGAAGCCGGGATTGAGCGGAAGAATAGAAGGCACATCACGTACACATATTGGGACTAGGAGCCAAGCTTTGGGAAAGTGAAAACGCGAAATTGGCGGGGTCTTCCAGCCACAAGATCCGTGGTTCCAAAGACGTAATCAGTTAATTAGCGGCGAGGATCCGTTGTGTGAATGGTGAAAATGAAAATCAAGGGATCCGTGACAAGCACAGCCTCGATGGCTCTCTTCGCTGCAACAGCAGACGACCTTGGCACGGAGCTTGGGCGCTGATCTCACATCCACATTCTCCACATTTCATTTGCTCCACCGCCTTGTGATTCGCTCCGATCCAGGGCCAAGGTGTGCACTGCCACACCATTACCCAAGAGCAATGCGACAGCAAAGACTGCATCTGCCGACGGTGTGGAGATGAGATCAGAGCTCTGTACCTGCCCCATTTTAACCTACAGCTCACCAAGCTATCCTAATTTGATGATGTATATGTGGAGCATACCATTCTTCTCAGGTTCTCTCATTGAATACAATGAATCTACTTACAGTAAATGGTAACCATTTATACGATTACGAGTGGATATAGACGTGGAGCTCCGGTAGTGCCATGGCATTGAGGCGGGGGTCTTGACTCAGGATCCATTGCCCAGTGTAAATGGCGCAAAACTCTTGGAAGTCCATCATCAAATTCAAACTGCGCCATCGGAACATGATAACAATCTAGCGGAACTTAAAACACAAATCTTTAATTCTAAGCCCCTGCGCAAATACACCAAGCGGTTATCTGCATGGGCAAATGGAAAACTCAACTGGATGGCCCAGTCTGCACCTGTGTGCCACATGTCTCCGACAATTCCATCAATCCCATGTTTTCCAAGAGAACGCCTTCCTAATAAAAAGTAAGCATGTCACCCTTGAAAGGAGAGAGTTTGAATGTTCCGCACCCATTGCGTGGCCACCTCGGCGTTCAAAGACGCTGTCTTGGCATTTTCTGCATGGCTACCCACCCATATTTTGCCTGTTGACCCGATCTCAATGTGATCAACCACATGATTCGCGTATACCTTTACTGGCATTCGAGCGTAAGCGCCATGACCATGTGATCGTTCAATCGTGGCTTTGATGGGCTTGTACAGCGATGATGGTGGCAGGGCAAAATCGCCGGAGGCCTGATTACTGGACGCGACACCCCCGGTCACGATTGAAAGAACTTTGACTTGGAATGGATGTAGCTCAAGGCGGAGAACCTCTGACAGATGCTCTAAAGACCGCTTGGACGCCCCATACACTCCTGATTTAACCATTGTCAGTGATACCTCATCGAAACTTTGACAGTCCGTTCTTACCTGAGTACGGCATAGCATTGTGTCCAGCGATAGAGGTAATATTAACCAGCGTACCCCTGCTTTTGATCAAGAGTGGTGCAAATGCCTTCGTAATAGCAAGCGGACCCCACACGTTTGTATCAAAGGTCTTCTTAACCGCTTCAATATCGTCGTCTAGTAAAGGCATATAGTGGAAGATGCCTGCGTTGTTGACCAGTACTGACAGTGTGCCCCCAGTCTTTTCCGCGACAGACTTTTTGGCCATATGAATATCCTCAGACTTGAGAACGTCTAGTTGCAGCAAATTGAGATTCTGGAGCCCTTTGAGATCTGACATTTTCTCGACGTTTCGAGCTGTCGCAAATACTTGGTACCCTCTTTGCTGGAAAGCAAGTGCGAGACCCGAGCCGATGCCGCCATTGCTGCAGCCGGTGATGAGGACTGAGCCTTTGGTACTCATTCTTTACGGTGATTGTCCACGCGTGGAAGGAAATTTTAATGACACCTAATTATATATTGTTATTATAAGAGACAGACCTCTTTATATGATTGTCGGCAGACGAGCATTTGCGACGTTCGGTGCCGAGATGATTCTCGGCGCCGAGCGCAGAAGAGGCATATACTTTGAAGGATGGTAGTTCTTAATACAGGGTAGATCCTTATGCTACTTGAACTGCGTTGACTAGTCTCGAGAATTGCATTTTGACCGTGTCGCCCGCTCGTGATGGGTCTATACCAAATGTTCCAACCTGGAGTGCTCGGCGCCGAGGGGGCAAAAGTATGAAAAGGTGCATTATAGCTGCAACTTCCAGCTAAGTCGATGGGATTGTTTCTTTGCCACAGTTACTGCTTTGCCAGAACCTTGCGTCTCTGCTTTAGCATGTAGGAGTACATCATCACCGACCCTATCACAAATTAGACAATGCTTGCACGCACCAACAGAGAGGAGAGATACTTACCAGGTACGTAAAGCCCCAAGAAGAAATAGAAAATTCCCAACACAGCCCAATTAGTCGCAACTGTAGTCGCTTTGTACATCAACCACCATTCGCTACTAATTCCGATCGGATACAGAATCAAGAATAGCGAATATCTAAGCCAACCTCATGTTAGCACCATGACTTAAACCTGAAAAATGAACCAAAATGAATGACCCACCTAGACCATTTGAGAAGCCCAGGAACTGGATAGCCAGCTTGCATAATTGCAAAATACAAATAGCGAATAGTATCTGCTGAGGACCAAGCCAAGAGCATGGCTGTGTACGCCACCGAGGGAGCTGTCACATCGGGGAACGCATAATTGATAGCCCACACCTGCACGGAACGAGCGAAAATCTGAGTGAAGGTGGTAAAGACAGGCGAGCGAGTAATTTCTGCCATACTGAATTAGTATTCGTGCGACCGAGGTTGGAATGCTAGGGTAAGGGGCGGGTACTGAGTGCGGCGTGGAGGATCTCAACCACAGCGATGGTCTGAGTATATCTCGTCAAAGGCTCGGCAGATCTGTATACTGCTGTGATGTCGGGTGACTGGATCCAGGTAGTCACCGTTTTGATCAAGATGGACAGCCATAGAGCGGCACAGGTCGCATTGTACAACAGAAGATAGGTCCGGCTTATCGAGGACTGAGGCTGAGGTGGGTCTTTCGGGGCCATTTTGGGTTTTTGAAAATTGCAGAGGCTCTACATCCATGCAAAACTGGAAAGAAATGATGGTTTGATGTGTCGGTTTTTGACATGTGAAGATGCTCAGCAAATTTGACATCTTCAGGTTAACCCAATCAGGAAAGCGTGGACCCACAATGCTGGAGCTATTTAGATGACGCTTTCTTTGAAATGCACACCGCGGAGACGAGGAGTGAGATGGTACCAAATAGGCCTATGTCTTCCGAAATATGAACAAGCTACTAATATGTTTTCTAGAAATCTTGAAATCATAAAAACACCGTCAACTCGTAACGTCCGATGATACGCAAGGTTACTCACGCAGCAACGACAGTCTCGATCTTCTTTCCCTTGACACTGCGCCATTCAACACCCAATGCACCCACAATACTCACACAGCCAACGTTCAGTGCCAGCTGGAAAACGTGCATTAGAGCATCATTGTAAGCCTCAAGCACCCTCGGCAGTTGATCCGAAGTCACCATTCCCCGTAAGCCAGTCGCACCCGCATGCACTATGTCCGATGGATCAAGACCTGACATGTTCAGCGCAGTCAAATTCTTCACCAACTTTGTTGTAAAGATGGTTTGTGCGACCGTTGTAAAGAGTGCACCACCAAGCATCTGTAGGAACATGACGACCGCAGTGCCAATGGATGCATCTCCGACGCTGAGAACGGTCTGAGCGGCAACCCCACCTTGTTGAAAGCCGCAGCCCGCACCTATTCCATAGATGAACATGAATCCAACCCATTTGGCTTGGGAGATGTCGACGGTGAAAGTAGTGATGAGCCCAGCGCCTATTGAGCAGATAATACTACCCGCGATGAAGAACGGGGTGTAATAACCGAGACGGGATGTCAGGGCGCCAGATATGATGATGGCGACTACATGGGCGAGAACCAGTGGAAGGGAGTCAATACCTGCGCCGACTGCAGTGGTGCCGCGAATGGCTTGGAACTAGATGTGAAACATCAGCGATAGGCCCAACAGGCCTAGCAGGCTGAACATAGCTTTGAGTGACTTACCCATATGGGGATATAGTAAACCATGACGAAGAAGGAAGCACCTATGCAGAAACCGAAAACCGACGCGAATTTGATTGAGCGTTGCTTGGCAATTCGGACAGGAACTGCTTGGAGTCAGTTTTGAGCTTTCGACATTTAGACACAGACCTACCCGTTGCGTTTTCACCCAAGGCTATCTGCAGTCCGATGAAAATGATAACTCCAATGCCGAAGAGAACAAAAAGGGCGATGATCCGCCCATTTGACCAGGGATACTGCACGCCGCCCCATTGCAGTGCAAGCAATAGACAGACTATCGATGGCACAAATACCATGGTTCCTAGAGGATCCAGGCTCTTGGTTGTTTGCATCCAGGAACGCTTTTGGGGAATTGCTCGTGGAGGCAGTTTTAGTAAGGCTAAGATACCCACAGCAGTGATGCCCCCGATCGGAAGGTTGACATAGAAGCACCAGCGCCATGTTGCATGATCAGTAAATGCACCGCCCATCTGTTTAAAGGCTTTGGTCAATGCTCTGCGAAGGGTCATCACACAGGGGATGGGATTCAAGCTTCTCTTACCAAAGGGCCAGCAACAGAGGCAATTCCGTAAACCCCGCCAATCATAGAGAAGAAGATAGGTCGTTTCTTGAGTTCCACAATATGGCCCACTGTAATGAGAGCCCCAGTAAAGATTCCAGCACTTCCCAGCCCAGCAATGGCTCGTCCAATTATCAAAACTGTCGAGCTTGGCGCAACACCACAGATCAATGAGCCAAGCTCAAATATGCACAGCGCCACAAGAAATACCCATTTGATGTTGAACAGGGTGTAAAATTTGCCATAGAGTAATTGGAATGCTAACAACGTGGTTAGCCCTGGTATTAAGATGATAGCATACGCCAGTTACAATGGAAATATGCGTACAGCAAGTGGTAAGAAGGTAGGACGAGGCATACCAGCCTACATCATTGAGGTTATGGAATTGATCGGTGATTCGGGGAATGGCAACCGCAATAATCTGTTGGTCATTGTAAGTAAGATCAGAAACTACAACAGATGCGAAGGAGCAGGGCAGCGCACCGTATTGTCCAGTGCGACGCAGAGGACAGCCAGCATCAAGCTGATGGTAATCAATACCAGTTTCGTACCAAAAGGCATGAATTGGTTCTGGTCGATGTCCCTGGAGGGGTTTGTCCTTTCCTCCACCTCTGCATTTGTGCATTTGTTGGTCATCTCCATCATCTGGTCCTGGTTGGTGTCTTCGGAAAGGTTCGTACTTTCCTCCAGCGTCGTATTTGCTATTTTGTTGGCCATCTTGAACTTCTCAAGCTTGCGTCAGTATTTCATCAACTCCATCTAAAATGTGGAATGAGGAAAGAGTTGTGAAGGGGAAAAGAAGACTATCCCGGGGAGGAGGAACGTACTCTCACGACCTGCTACCACTGTGACACATGACTACGGAGGCCGGTGTCAATATGTGCTCATACTGAGACAATGAACCTTCAGTAGGAAAATGCTGACATCATATCATCTTTCATTCTCTTATCTGATGTTTGTCATGAACACAACATGTATATCATTGTTTCACTCTGCCTGTATTGCGTTTACTCTCTCTGCGTAATTTGGTGTCGTGTATATTAAGCATTGAACCCGGGGAGTGAAGAAGCTTTATCAAATCGATTGGCAAGGTCAACATTGGAAGAGATTTCATGAGCTGTCAGGTAGGTATAAGTAAATTGTATTCTTATGTGCGTGGATGCGAATCTAAGTGGTCTATCTGATAGTGATTAAGTATATATCTGCTCCTTGGAGTGTCAGACCGAAGGAACCTCACGCTGGACTCCGACCAATGGTAGGAAGTACCGAACCATTACAGCAAAACACGAAAAGACAGGTCAAGGCTGGTATCCAGCTGTAAGAAGTCGGCCAAGCGACCCAGATGGTCAATCCCCCAAAATCCTTCTTGGTCTCCATCCGTGTTGACACATTCAAACCACGGCAATCCAAAGGCTCCGGAATCAAAGGCTCGCTGTGTGTTTTCGAGCAAGATGGCTTTCACATCCGACGTTGCCAACTAGCCAATATTAGCAACAGTATTTTTGTGAAATTCCAGCAAGTATTCGTACAGTATTCTGGATCTTCTCCGTGGCCTCCTCGCCTAACTCATTCACAAGAACAGCTAAGAATCGTTCAGGTGTAGCTATTTTCGTGTCCGCCTCAGCCCAGAAAATATGGTAGAATTTTTCGACAATAGACACAAGTTCCTCGGGCAACTCTTTGGCAATGAGACACAGTGCGGTCTGGATATCGATCGTCGAGGCGGGAAATCCCTCGGGCACGGCATCCGTTATTGGAACTCCAAATCGATGACCCCAGTACAGTCGCTCACGTTGGATCCATTGGAGCTTGTCTGTGATCTGTATCAGCTTGCTGAGATTCACATTCATGGATCCCATATTTACTCTTCACTGCAATTGGAGGAGTATTATTGCATTTCTGGAACAAGTCACGAAGTAGAACCGGCACGTAGTCGATCTGGCATTTCGAGAAGACGGGGGAGTTCTGCCAAAAGATCGATTAGTAAAATTGGTCAGTATACTCGTCTGTGTCTTGATAGATTTGACTTTACCCTGAGGATATGGAAAGCGATCTGGCTGAATGGGCTTCCAATGTCAAAGTAAAGGGTAATGCGAGGAGAAGCCATGGTGTCCATATGCTGTTTGCTTGTAATTAAATTGAACGATTTCCAATTGTCTATATAGTCTTAAGTACAATTTTTTGATTATGTATCAATAGCGAGTTGAGTCATCGTGAACATTCCCAACCATCCACAGTATCGTGCCGGGGAGTTTGTTGAGAAAGGAGTGAACCACTGGGTGACGACGTCCCCACACCCAATCCTCACCAATTCCCGCAACGCCAGTTTACGTCATATTAAGCCTCACATCAAATTTAAAATACTTTGTTCTATATTGATCGGTCTTATTTCAATGGTTCAGTTCGATTGTTCAATTGAAAGCCAAGATGTACATTATTCCACAGCATTAACACATGACCAATATTGACCCACCGCTAAAATAGACAATCCATGATGCAAAATTCCAGCCTCGAACCACCGTGCAGGACAACCCTATGCAGGAACTTATTGCTACTCGGATTCCTCAAGCCCCTCAAATTTGCTCATAGCTCTCAACTTCTTTCCGGTCATAAATAGCACCCAAGGTACAGGCAGAAGCGCGATGGCGATAAACCCAACCAAGCTTGACGCCCATGAAACGTGAAGTTTCGTATACACTAGAGCAGTTAGTCGTATGCTTGTCTCATAATAGAGCAAGGACTTACTTTGAATTGCGAACAGTGGAAATGCTCCCGCAAGCCCATACCTAGCCAGACTGTTTGCACTCATAGCACTGGCTACCGTGATACCACGGTAAGTGTCAACCATATACTGTGATGTACTAATAAAGACACACAAGTTGCCGCATGCAAAAATCATAACAGCTACAGTCGGACTGGCCCACGAAATGTCAGCTTTGGAGGTCCAGCCGAACCAGAACAGTCCAATGGGCAATCCGAAGCTGCCTATCATAGCTGGGTATAGACGTAACTCCGGAGGTGCTTCATGTGGTGGGTACTTTGCTGACTTTGGACGGTAAAAGAATATGTCGCATAGCAAGACTGTCAAAGCACCGAGGAAACACCCGACAACTATGGCCAGAAATATTAAGCCCGATTTTTCAAGGTCATATTTGTAAATAGTTTCGAACACCAGAGGGATTGCAGCGAAGAATGAGAAAAGAGTGGCGAATTCGCACGCCACATATAAGGATATAAAAGCCACGATGGGCTCTGTAAAAAGCATTTGGATCGGCCGAATGACAGCCATCGTCAAGAAAAGGTGAATCCTCGATGACAACGGTTGCAACGGAGGTGAAGGCAATCCTAATTTCTTTGCGCGCTGGCGTTTAATAATTGGATGATAGGTCTCCTGGGCCATGAGTGCTGTGATCAAAGCAAAGATGTCGAAAAATAATAAGACCCATTGCGTCCACCGCCAGTCTTTCCGGACGACAACGAAGCTACCAATGACAGGCCTGCCGTGACAGTTAGCAAGTCAATTCAAAGCAAGGGCTCATAGAGGACGAACGCTATGCCAGGACCCAAGAATGGTGTCAACACAAAGCATATCGCAGGAATTGCCCGCTCGGCAGGTCTCCATGTTTCGTTGATAGTTCCTGCCGCAATTGCCAATATCGGCGCAAAGCAAAATCCCGCGAGGAATCGCAATACACATATTCCTGCAAAACTATTGCTGAATCCAGCACCTAAAGTGAATAAGCCCCCAAATACAATCGTGCCGATGTATACAGGGTATCGGCCGATGGTTTCTGATAGAGGCCCACCGACCACTGGGCCTAAGGCCAGGGCAAATACATAGAGCGATAATGGTAAGATTGCAACCGTACTGCCGACATGAAATCTCTCCATAAATTGCGCGTGTGCTGGTGTCAATATTGATGTTCCAAGGGAACTGAGGATGGCATTAGTGTCAGCTGATCACTTATGAATTCTTAGGATAGACTCACGCTGTGAATGCTGCGCTCGCAATCATCAGAATTTGTCGCAATTTCAGATTTGCTGGCCAGTTATACGGGTTACTGGGATCATCATCCCAGTTCCATGTAGAGTGTTCTATGGAAGCATCTTTTGGCTCGTCCAATCCCCCTTCGAGATCGGGAGTTTTCACACCGGCTGAAAATTCAGCAGAGGCAGTATCCATCCCTTTTGTACCTTCAGAGTCTGACATGGTTGCCGAGTCAGCTTACTACCTTGTTAACTAATTGGCGAAGGTTCGGGTATCAGATCCAAAGGCTACTCCCGCGTGTAACTTCGAGGTGATTGGAAATGCATTTAATCAGATAATTCCAAGGTTCACGGATGGCTTTTAAACCTAAGCATGTAAGCGATATACGTCGAGGTATCACACGTGCAAAATCAGCCTTTGGGGTCATCATGATCACTATTCGATACACGACAGCGACGCCACCTGCAGAGGGTGTAGGTCCAAGTGTATTTTGTTTGGGGGCTTTAGGGGGAAAGTCCACTCAAGTTTATGGCTACCAAGTTACACAAGATACGATCCATACGCGTTTTGGCGGATATAAACCGAGATCAGTAGCAATATTCCACCCAAGAATTGCTGAAGGATTAATCGTGGTATGCAAGGTGACTTTCTCGATGAGAATCTCTGGTTTGTTAACAAAAGTTGATGTGCCTTTCGATTGGTCCATGGTGATCCACCCGGGTTAAATAGCCCACATTTCGAAGGTCCGAATTATCGATTATTAAACACGATTTTTGTTGAGATCGCGAGAGCGATCGAGTATGACTGGTCGTTTCCCAAACAAAGAGGTCCAAGCCACGATTTTCTGAGGTGAGTTCCTCCGGCTTTGCGGCTGAACTGACTCGTTCGGCCGTAAGCCGGAGAAGTGCCCTGAACAAGCCTTGTTTTATCATCGACATCCAATTGGCTAAATGGTGAGTCATCTTCATTTTTCGTGGTATTGATCAGTATTACATTAATTTTCGAAATCAGCTATACCGCCATACTCTTATTGCTTAATTGCCGGGAAATAACTTCGGAAGTCGCTAACCCGTTGCGCTTTACCCCTCATATTGTAAATCCGGCAGTACTGTTATCGTGCTGATTGTATGGCCATAATGAGTTATCGTCATAATACAGTAATGTTTACTTAAAACAATTTCGAGTTGTTTTCTAGATGTGGCGATCTGGCATGATCTCCTACTCGGTTTTTCATCTCCTACTCGGTTTTTCAGGCTACAGTCGAAGCCACGGCAACTCTTATAACGTTGATTTATTACTTCCTCAACTTGAACCTTACATCCAGTTCATAATGCAATCATCCAACATTGACTGGGATAAAGGTGATAAGGATGGGCTTGTCTCCATTGGTTCCCATAACCTCTATCTATCCGTTTCGGGGCCAGATCGCAAGCCCGGAGAGCCTATTGTCGTCCTCATGCAAGGCGTTGGCAGCACGATCGATGAGTGGGTTGTAGTGCGAAAGCTTGTGGTTCCATTTGCTCGTTGGTTGAACTATGATCGTTCAGGGATGGGTAGGAGTGAAGGTCCTAACCAGACACCACTAAGCATATCTGCAGCATCAGTTGCAGCAGAGCTTGATACTCTCCTTAGGAATGCCGGTATTGAGCCTCCGTTTATCATTGTCGCTCACTCGTGGGGAGGCTATACTTCTCGCGAGTTTCTGGAACTTAGGCCTAATGATGTTGTGGGCATGGTGTTCGTGGATTGCAATACGGAACGTTTCTTTGATAGTGGTGCGTGGGGTTGGGACGTTTTCTTTCCAGTCCTTGGTGGCCAAGATTTTATTGAAACCACCGGTCTTGCAACGTCCCATATCCTATCTAAGGAGGAGTGGAAAGCCGTCAGAGACGAGCAGGCTGATCCCCGACATCAAGCCACCGAGGCTGCTGAGATGCAGGCGGTGCCGAATGATCGACGGGCTTTAGACCATAAGAATCAACTCGAAAAGCTACTTCTCAGGGATTATCCAGTCAGTGTTATCATTGCGGATACACCTGAAGATTTTCAGAAGATGTATGACTTTGGAGTGGCCGCAGGCAATGGGACAGAACAAGAACGGGCTCTATTTCGGAAATGTCTTGGTAGATGGCGCGAGATGAATGAGGACTGGCAAAGAGAGCTTTTGAGGCTTTCTCGTCTTAGCAGATCTGTCCGTCTGCATTGCAGTCACAATGTGCAGCTTTTACAACCACAGAGCATAATTCAAGAGATAAAGTGGGTCATGGATAGCTGCAGATAACTCGAGTGCTTTCTCTTCCTTGTTCTCCGATCGTCGGTTCAAGCTTGGTTGCACAAAACGCGACGCGACGCACAGAGGTACAAGTGTGACACTCGTAACTGTGGCCGAAACGCTTCAGGAGTACTCTGCAGCCTCGAGGGATATCACATCAGCTAGTCTTCTCACTTGCATGTCATGCCACTTGAATATTAGTACCTTCAACCCTCCTATGATTTCTGTTGGTTCCTTCGTACATTGGCCACTTGGCAATAAAACACTCCCTTTACTCTCTCAAGTTCAAGTCGCCTATGATGATGGCTGTCCATTGAGAGCATTATCAGTTATCACACCGTCTAAATCTCCACTTCACTATAGCGGCATAGATCTACCCATTTAACCCTCACTAGGAAATGATCTCCACGCCTTTGATAATCGAATCTGCGTAACGAGAAATCTGGCCACTGGTATTACGAGATCGCGCAAAGAGAAACCAGTTTGGTATAGTCTGTTGTACAAAAGTCCATGTAAAATGCACACTGCGCAGTACGTCTTGGCCCCTCCCCCTCCCGCTGCAAGTCGCGCAATGCTTGCTTCTGCGACCGCTGTTTCTTCGACCAAATAAGTTCTCAAGCTGACAAAATGGGCGATATGCAGGCCAAACAAGGCTATCAACTAGGTATTGACGTTGGAGGCACATTTACGGACGTTTATGTCTTTACCCCGCATGGCGAGACTGTTCGAGCTAAAGTACCCACAACTGTCGAAGACCAGAGTATTGGCATCAAATATGGGATCTTGAAGGCCCGCAGGTTACTTCAAGAGAAATTTGGCTGGTCGGGTAAATTCCAATTCATGCACCATGGCACTACAACCGCAACAAATGCCGTGCTAGAGGGGAAAGGTGCTCGAACTGCGCTTGTGGTTACAGCGGGGCACAAAGATATTCTGGCATTGCGCCGTTCTCAAATTCCTGGTGGATTGGGCGCTTGGTTGAATTTCACGCCACCTGAGCCAATTGTGCCGCTTGAAAGAGTTGTACAGTGCAAGGAGCGCATGTCTGTGCTTGGCGAGCCGGTAACCGATGTTGACATTGAGGATCTGCGACAAAGTCTACAAGAGCTGGCTCGCCAAGATCCCGAGGCTGTTGCTATTTCGCTTTTGAATTCTCATAGTAATGATGCACATGAGAAGATTGTCAAGAAAATTGTGCGTGAGGTGCTCGGTGAGGACGTTGCGATCGTTTGCTCTGCTGAGGTTCTTCGCGAAGTTGGCGAATATGAACGAACTGTGACAACATGTACCAATACACTTGTGAAGCCTGTGGTCCAGAACTACCTAAGAAACCTTTCAGATGGCCTTGCAGAACATACTGACACGATCCGGGTTCTCAAGAGCGATGGTGGATTGACCAGTTTGAATCTTGCTTCCGAGCTACCAGTGAACATATTGATGTCAGGGCCTGCTGGTGGTGTTAAAGGAGTGGCGGACGTGGTTACCCGGAGCACACCATACAAGAACCTCATCACCCTTGATATGGGCGGGACATCCACGGATTGTGCCGTCATCTACAAGGGGCAGCCCCAACTGCGACGCGAAACGGTCGTCGGTAATCTCTCGGTTCGTGCACCTGCAGTCGATGTGAAGACCGTTGGAGCTGGCGGCGGCTCGATCACATCGTACATGGAATTGACCGAGACCCTCCGGGTGGGCCCTGAAAGCGCAGGCGCTCAGCCAGGACCTGCATGTTATGGAAAAGGCGGGCGACAAGCCACTGTCACAGACGCAAATCTTGTTCTCGGATACCTTCCCAAGACCTTGCTCGGCGGAGAGTTTGAACTAGATGTCAATGCAGCAATGGCGGCTGTTACTGAGATTGCAGACCAAATGAAGCTTCCTGTAATGCAGACAGCGGAGGATATAATCACCATCATTAATGAAACCATGTATGGTGCTCTGAGGCTGGTGTCTGTCGAGCAGGGATACGATCCTCGAGAGTTTGCTCTTGTGGCGTTTGGAGGTGCCGGCCCTCTACATGCCAATGCTGTTGGTCAGTTACTTGGCGCTTGGCCCGTCATTATTCCCCCGTCTCCTGGTATTCTCTGCGCACAGGGCGATGTGACTACAAAATTGCGACATGAACAGTCTGCTACGTTTATCCACTTGGTATCTGAAACGACGGTGGACGAAGTTCGAACCCAATATAACTTGCTGGAAGAGCAGGGCCGAGAGACTCTTCAGCGATCAGCCGGTGATTCCTGGCCAGTGACCTGGAAAGCCCAATACCAGGCAGATCTGAGATATAATGGGCAGGCTTTGACGATCACCATAGACCTTGATATTAACGATCTCTCCTTGGATACAGCGAAATTGCATGACCTGCTTCGGCAGAAATTTGACCGACAGCACCAGCAGATGTTCACTTACTGCCTAGCCGACTTTGAGCTGGAGCTAATGCGACTTGGCGTTGTTTTGGAAGATTCTTCTCCAAGCATTGAGATTCCAGAGGTCTCCAAATCGATGACAACTGACCCTCCTCCTGAGGCGAAGATCGGAGAACAAAGTATTGTTGTGCAAGGTAAAGAGCAACTTGCAACCCTGTGGGACCGACAAAAAATCACTCAGCAAGGATTGAAAGTTCAAGGACCGTGTATTATCTCCGAAATGGATAGCAACACACTCGTCTTGCCCGGCTACTATGGCGAGATCGACAATATCGGCAATATTTTGATCAACCCCTTGGAAGACAAACCAGTTGTTGGGACGGATCATACAGCTGAGAAGGCGGCAGAGTTAGTCAAAGCGACCCCTGCGATTCCAACTTTGATTTCTTCGACTCTTGCTTCTATTCGAGGGGAGATGGATACCATGATGCTTCGATGCAGCATGTCACCTGCCATTCGCGAACAGCAGGATGAATTCAACGTCATCACCAATGCCGAAGGAAAGATGCTTGTTGGCCAGTTCGGAAGCTTCATCACTGAGTTCCTCAAGATTTGGACAGGCACCATTGAAGAAGGAGATGTGTTCGTTACCAACGACACTTACCAAGTCCAGGGTGCTATCAGCCACCTCAACGATGTAATTGTATTCATGCCCATCTTCCATGAGCATCGCCTGATTGGATATGCCTCACAATTTGGCCACCTGACAGATGTGGGTGGCATTGTGCCCGGTAGCATGTCCATCAATGCCACGTCTGTTTTTGATGATGGTGTGCAAATTCCTTGCATCAAGTTATATGCTCGAGGTGTTATGAACAGTGACTTGGTGGAGCTTCTGTGCCGTAATTCTCGGCAACCAGCATGGTATCGCTCGGATCTGACGGCCATTGTGGCGTCATGTTCTATGGCTGCGACGCGGGTTCGCGAGCTAGCGACTCGGTTTGGCCGCGAGGTCTATTTGGCTTCATGTGATGAGCTGCTATACAGAAACCGCAGTGGCTTTGCAAAGATTGTTCAGCGCCAATTTGATGATAAGAAGAGTGTATTCACCGATTTTGTTGACGATGATGGCCACGGCGTTGGTCCGTGGGCATTGCGTTGCTCCATGGAAAAGATCGATGGTGAGCGGCTGCGCTTTGATTGGAATGGAAGCTCTCCGCAAAGTCAACACGGCATCAACTTTTATCTCTCGGAGACCATGTTCAAAATGTTCATCGGATATTATATTCTCGCCGCAGCCGCCCCTGGAACTGTCATTAACGATGGTTTCCATGATCTAATCGATGTGTCCATCCCACGAGGCAGTGTTTTGAAACCCGTCAGACCTGCACCTATCTCTTGTCGCACCCATCTCATGGGCCGAACACTAGACATCGTACAAGCATTGATCGGCCAGAAGGACGACGCATACCAAGCTGCAGCTGGCTTCAGTGACTCGCCCCATTTCTTCTATTCCGGCTTCAAGCCGACTGGTGAGTGGTACCAGCTTTACCAGATTGGGTTCGGAGGTGTTCCAGCCCGACAGGCTGGTGACGGTCCAGATTGCCACTGCCTCTTCCCAGCAATCAAGTCTATTCCCACGGAAAGCATCGAGTTGAATTACCCTCTGCGTATCGAAGCGAACGAGAGTGTCGCCGACAGCGGCGGCCCAGGATTCTTCCGAGGCGGTAATGCCCAACGAACCCTGTACCGATTCTTAGCTCGGGGGGAGTTCAGTCTGCATGATGACCGATGGTTCACCAAGCCCTGGGGTCTGAAGGGAGGCAAGCCGGGGCAGCGATCTCGGAAGGTACTTTACCGCTATTCTCAGTCAGCAGAGAACCCCCCTACAGAAATTCTACCGTCCAAATGTGATCACATCCGTGTCGATCCGGGTGATCTTCTCGAGTGGATTACTTGGGGTGGAGGCGGTCTTGGGGACCCTTTGACGCGACCAGCCGAAAAGGTCGCGCTAGAAGTTCGCCGCAAACTTGTCACGGTAGATGGGGCCCGCAAAGGATATGGTGTGGTTCTGAACAGTGATCTTGGCGTTTCGCAGCATGAGACTGAGGAGCTGCGGGCCCAAATGCGGCTTGAGCAGGCTCGGCTGGAAGAGCCTCCCACGTATGATCGTGGTGGCGATATTGAGGCACTAAGACAGACATGTCTGCAAGAAACGGGACTAGAACCACCGGTTCCTCAATGGGAGACGGATCTGTATGGACCTCATTGTGCATTGAAGTACGTGAAGGACTGGTATGAAGAGATGAGGATTCAGAAAGGGTGGAAATTAGAGTAAACATAGACTGTAGTTTGAATAGTATGGGCGTCTTCATGGGCACCGGCTGGAGCTAGCTTTGCGCTTGACTCCACTTTGCGGATACGTCCCTTCTTTGGTAGTTATTTTTGGAATTCTGGCCAGTTCTGGAATGGTCGGTATGGCTTCAAAAGCAGCTTGTGGCTGTAGGGCTTAGCCGGTATCTGGTTGCCTCAGGCCACAATGATCGGCATACACAGTTTTCCGCTTTTAGTATGCAGCTGAATGCAGCAGGGATCAGTTGCTGTCAAGGCGATCGACATATATGCTTTATTTCTTTCTTTTCCTTTTCTATCATTTCACTGGCACAGACCTTCTATAGTCATCTGAAACTTCAGCTTGAGGGTGGGATTTTGAATCCTATTGACCCGTCCACGCTGATCAACCCCGCTCCCCGCCCTAAGAACGCGGCTGTCGTCATCGTCGGAGAAATCGATTCGGTCTCGTCGGACCGGACTTGTTAAAATTGGAGCATCTCCACGCTTGTGCCCGATAACACTTGGCGTAACCAGGCACCAGACCTTGTGCGCAAAAAAATTATTAGTAGTGGACCGGGGCAGTACGCAGTATGTTTCACTTATCTTGGCTAGTGTGCGCGGCCGGGTGGCGGCTTTGTTGACGGAGATAACAGTTAATATATGACTCTTCCTCCTCTTACTCTTCACTTTCCTCAACCCGACCTCTACCCTCGCTGACTCGACAAACCGCCCATATGCCCCTCACTATCCTCTCCCGATCGAACCTCCGCGAGCTCCTCCACTCTCTCACCCGTGACGAGATTCGCACCCTCCAAGCCAACCTTTCCGAAGCGCTACGAGAATATTCGACTGGATCTCAGGATAAAGGTTGCTCGGCTACATATCAGCCACAACGAACAGCGATCACACGCCAGAATGGCTGTACCACTTTGTTTATGCCTGCCACCACGGGCAAGACCCTAGGCATAAAAATGATCTCCCTCCAGGACGGAGCCAAAGCGGGCTGCGCAATTGAACGGAGCGGCTATGACGCCGACGAGAGCGATTCTAATTCAAACTCTCGGCGAAGAGTCTCCTCTGCCCGAAACTCGGTAGCCTCGATCTCCTCCGAGATGAGCGATCTATCGGTAGGCTCCTCACAAGAAGATGGTGGTTCTGTGAGCCCCACGGCCACCAAAGATAGCGGGGGTGACAGCACCGATAGCTCGACTCTTCTCACCGGCTGTGTGAACCAACAACCAGTCATCTCCAAGACTCTTGGCGCTTGGCCCGGAGCGGGGACCCGCGACACCTCACCTCGGGGCAGTGTGACCCTCCTCGACGGGGAGAGTCTTCCATTTGCCCTGATCAATGCGCATGAACTCACAGCCTTCCGTACTGCGTTGGCTTCGTTGATGATTTTCAACAAGCGCAAGAAGGTGCGCACCCTTTTGGTTTTCGGAGCAGGCACTCAGGCCTACTGGCATATTCGGCTCGCGTTGACCCTTCGCGGCGACGAGATCCGTCGTGTCTACATTGTGAATCGATCATTTGATCGTGCTGCCAAACTTCTGCAGGATATCTACTTGCCTGAGAACTCGGATTGGCGCCGCGATGTGAAATTCTCTGCTGTGAGCAGCGATTTTGGCGACTATCTCCGCATTTTGAAAGAGCATGTGCGTAAAGCGGATGCCATCTTCTGCTGCACGCCCTCTCTTACCCCTCTGTTCCCGGCCGAGTTCCTCACGTCGCGCGAAGGTCGTCAGAAGGGTCGGCTGATTATCGCCGTTGGATCATACAAGGCGCACATGGCAGAGCTACACCCTGATATTCTCCGAGATGAGGTCAACGTGACCCCGCCTCACCGTCACTTCCACAAGCATACTCGCCGCAGTGGGGTTGTGGTTGTTGACAGTCTTGATGCGGCCATCAAGGAAGCCGGTGAGATCGTTCAAGCTGGTGTCAAGCCGAAGCAATTGGTCGAATTAGGCGAGCTGTTGATGGTGCGCCATGCCACACTAAATGATGATGGCCAAAGTGAAGAGAAGGGTCTGACGGAGTGGGTGGAGAAGGGTAATGTCATCTTTAAGAGCGTCGGACTAGGCTTAATGGATCTCGTCACGGGTGGTGATCTAGTGCGGTTGGCGAGGGAGCGCAATCTGGGAACTACAGTGGACGACTTCTAGGAGATTTGCATTTGATCGTGTTGGACACTGTTTTATACCCTTTGTTGCTTCGTGTTTACGTTTGTTTCCATTAGCCAATACATTCAAGTGTGTCAATCCAAGAATTTCGTTTTCATATACCGATCATCCGAGGATCCTCTTTCCCCGCGTTTGAGTCGGCATTTCTCGGTCTAATCCCATATTATAAAAGGCTGTAGACCAGTTTGACTTCAAACACATCTATTCAAACCGATTGTAAAGATAAAGATGTCTCCCAACGCCAAAATTCTTACAAATATCACACGCAGAACAACTGGAACAATAGCCCACCTCACAATCTCCCGGCCAGCTAAATTAAACGCCCTCAACACCCCTCTACTCGAACAACTCCCAAGAGCCTTCGAAGCAATCACCGCCCAAAATGAAGATCTTCTCGGCATAGTCCTCACAGGCGCAGGACCTAAGTCCTTCATCGGCGGAGCAGATATATCCGAGATGGCCCAATTAAACTCCCCTCCTGCTGCAGAGGCGTTCATCTCGAAAGTCCACACGGCATGTAAAAGTATACGCAACTGCCCTGTACCAGTCATCGGGCGCATAAACGGGTACGCACTCGGCGCAGGGTTAGAAATGGCAGCATCCTGTGATTTGAGGGTCGCAAGCTCAAACGCAGTGTTTGGAATGCCAGAAGTATGTTTTCTACTATCACTGCATGATTATCATGTTATCTCCTTGCTGATTGATTCCAGGTTCGAATTGGGATTCCCAGTGTCGTTGAGGCGGCTCTTCTGCCTGGACTTATTGGGTGGGGGCGGACGAGACAGCTTCTCATGCTTGGGGAGAATATTGATGCTAAAGAAGCGTTTCGGTGGGGTCTTGTTGAGAAGGTTGTCGAACCGGATGAGCTGGATGATGCTGTGGAGATTTGGTTGTCTCAACTAGATAAGAATGGACCCCTTGCTGTGCGAAGACAGAAATCATTGATGCGGACCTGGGAGAATGTTTCAATGGATCAAGCAATTCAGGCCGGTGTTTCTGCGTTCAGGGAGGCTTTTGTTGCCGAAAAGGGAGAGACAACGGAGCCGGCGAGAATGATGGAGGCTTTCTTCCAGGCTAAGAAGACTTAGGATGTTCTACTCATATTCGAGCGATGATTTCATGTCAAGTCAAGCATTAGTCGATTAGGCATTTGCTTTTATGTCTTTCCCATCAATCTCCAGTCTATATTTGTTTGAAGATACAATTGGACTCCAATCCCCATAACCCGGACAGGTATTATACATCCCACATGATTATCGATACATCAATCAATCCAAGTTTCAAAACTCATTATGTGCGCTTTACAGCTTCATGCGCAGCAGGTTGGAAATCATCTCACGACCAGTGATGCGAGTAGTCGCCCACAGGGTAGGGAAGTCCAGGGTGCTGGAGAAGGTATCGGCGTAGCCGAAGAAGAGCATGGGAGGGATCCAGCCACGAGCGTACTCGAGAGCGAAGCAGGACGAGTCCATCTTGTACTGCTTAACCTGGCCGCGCTGCAGGTGGTGGACGGTACCGGCGGGGTAGGTCTCGGGCTCGAAGGAGCCAGGAACGTAGGCCAATTGGGTTCCGGTGAGGATGTTGAAGTAGTCGTCAGCGGTGTGACGACCAGTGTGGCCCTCGGTACCGATGGCGGTGCCGAAGACGATCAGGTACTCAGTGATACCTAGGCAAGAATTGTTAGTCAATTGAGCCCTTCAATGGTGGAAAGAAAGGAAGCGCTAAAAATGGCGCGATGCGCTATTCGAAATTCACGTACTGGCATGGATGATGTACATCGCGCCCATGGCACCACCGGCATTGTTGAAAACCCACTCCTCCTCGACGCTCAGGTACTTGGGTCCAACCTTCTCCTCCAGCTCGGAGACAATGAAGTTGACGATGGAGCGGGTGTCCTCGCCATGGCTCTTAATGGCGCGCTGCGACAAATCGTGCAGGTGCTCTGGGTCGAAAATGTAGAACTGCTCCAGGCGCGCGTCGAGGTAGCTGTAGACGGCGGTGAACAGGGCCAGGAAGATGGCCAGGAGGCTCAAATTCCGGATAGAGAAGCAGCGGCAGCCGCAGCCGGAGCTAGTAGGCTTCTTGCTGGAGGATTTGGAAGGCATTGGGAGGGTTGTTGGGGGGAGGTGTGGGAGATGCGGAAAGTGAAAACCCGAAAATTAAATCGCGAAGATATCTGCCCCTGGCGAACCCCGGAGTTCCACTGTGGAGCCTGCACTGTCCACAACAATGAACAAGGGCAAAGTTATGCGCAATGGAAATGAAGCTGAACTGATTATATTTTTGTTGAATGTTTGGTTATTCTGTATCTGAGTATTTGATCTTTATATAGCCTTATCCATTTGGTCTCGAATAGTCATAGCTATTGCAGTATGTGTCCGCGGGCCCCGAAGCATCCACACGCCATATCGGATCGCCTCAATCCGAATCATATCTGCGCTGATTGGTCAAAGCTCGAAAAGATACCACAGTAAGACATGAAAAACAATTGGAGTACAGCTTAAGAGGCTGAGAATATAATGCGAGAGAAATTGTGAGATTTTTCCTCGGTCGGCTCGGGTGTATACAGTTGCCGACTGGATTCGAAGTTCATCTGGTCGTCTGATCGCTTTCCCCTTGCAGTCTGTGTATCTATATTGGCATATATAAGAGTGACTTTCCATGTTATTAGAGTTCAATACTATGAAAACCATTAATCAGGTCGAGCGACATCTGCCAAAATTCTAAATGATAGTCTACTGCGTATAGCTGAGCATCTCTTGCAGCGAATGGTGTATGGAAATCCAACTGATCTAGCTTTTTTATCTTGTTTACGCCTCTAGGGCTGTACTCTACCCCGATGCACAAGTAATCTATTGAATATCTGTGCATGAATAATATATAAAATATTGGTGCCTATATCTCGGTAGTTGGAACTTGATGAACTTCTTGATTTGGTCTCGTTTCAATAGAACTACCCGTGGACCCTTATGACCCCTTTAATTTCCAAATCTCCTTGAGATCTATGATAATATATTGAGCACCTAAAAAGTTATTTGCGGTCGTTTTATTCAAGCCGACCGGCGCACTTAAACACACGTCACTGATACTGTACACTCTCATCGAACAATGTTCTGGTAGGCCCTCATAGTCTGAAGAAGCATCCATTGTCCCCTTAGAAATATATGTTGAAGTACAGTACCTACCTGGATAGCTGTATATTGATTTTACTTGAAAAACACGGTGTGTATGTTCCTGCGCGGAGAAACCTGGGCATGCTTCTGATTCAATGTTGCCCTAAATGGTGCTCCGCTGGCACCGATATATAACTCCGCGTGGCCGATGGCGGCCGTCGCCATAATAATACAATGTCCATGATTACGATCCATGACTAGGCAAAACCCAATGACCTTGACATTTCCTTCCAAGGTCTTATCCTGCTCCATATAGATATCAAAAAAACCGTTGATCGTCTATAAAATCTACCGTCCATGACGTGGTGCTGATCATCGCCCCCTGCAAAACGGGCCTGTCTCCGGACGCGTGCCCACAGGGAATATAGCCTAATCCCAAGGTTCTTCACAAAAGCCACTTACGAGCTAAGTCACAGGATACTATGAAATGACAATGCGGGGTGCATGACAAGAGTCTTCATGAAATTGTGGCTTGGAAAATCATCATTCGATCTCTCGGGTAAAAAGAGCCAAGCCGCAGAAACTTTCAAGGTCGAACCTTGAACCTTGGAAGTAGATTTCTTCAGGACCCAATTCTTCCAATAGGATAATTTATTGTCTAGCTATCTCTGTACTATTGTGCACGGCCTCATGAGGCCTGTCAGTCAAAATTGAGAAAGGGGGAGGAGCATAAGACCATGAGCCCCTGATCCATATATGGATCATGGACGTTGTCTGGAATGGACGAAATATATAGTGTTTCTAGAAATACATCCTTAGTCCTTTAGTGGATCGGTCTCGAGCGTCAACCATGGGTCAGTTTGCCCACGTTCCTTGGTTCAGCTTGTTTGAGCATGATACTCCGCTGAGCGGGCCGGCGCCGTCGTCTCAAATTTTCAGTCTACGCCCGGAGATCTTCCACAAATGCAGAGCACTCCAAACTCTAATCCCGTCTCAGGTAAAGCCCAGTCGTGGAAAATCTTTGCGGACCGCTTAGCCGAGGCTTGACGTCGCGGATAAGTATGAAGCACCGATTCAATTAAGCCGGTGGAGCTCCGTAGGGTCAAGCTGAGACAGGACTGCTCCGTGCTCTATAAGGAATCCACCACGGAAGAACTTCCAAAACCATTATCTCCGAAGTGTATATAAGCATGTTATCGCTGCAAGTTGTCCTGTCAAGCTGTCAAACAAGAGACTGTCCTCGACCTCTTTACTCTCATTACTAGTCATCTCGTTACCTTTCACCTGGCACTATGAAGTCTTTCTTTGCGCCGTTGTCGCTCCTTTCTGTTGCGCTCGCTGGTCTGAGCAATGCCGCTACCATCCCTACCAAGTCTTTGGACAAGCGCGCCACTTCCACCTGTGACCAGTGGGGTACCATCACCACTGGTAGTTACATTGTCTACAACGACCTCTGGGGCGAAGCCGAGGCCACTAGCGGCTCGCAGTGTGTTGGTGTGAACTCAGTGAGCGGTTCCACTATCTCCTGGTACACGACCTGGACATGGGAAGGAGGCTCCTCTGACGTGAAGAGCTTTGCCGATGTGTCGCTGCAGTTCACAGCCAAGACGCTGAGCAGCGTTACCAGCATCGACTCGACCTGGGACTGGAGGTAAGCGAAAGGAAATGATATGGGACAATGAGAAGAAGCTAACAACAATCAGCTACTCCACCACCGATATCGTCGCCGATGTCGCGTATGATATGTTCCTGTCCTCCACCGCTGATGGCGACGACGAGTACGAGATCATGGTCTGGCTTGCGGCGCTGGGCGGTGCTGGCCCGATCTCCTCGACCGGCTCTGCGATCGCGACTACCACCATCAATGGTGTCACCTTCAAGCTGTACTCTGGTCCCAACGGATCCATGACCGTGTACAGCTTCGTTGCGGAGTCGACCACCACTGCCTTCTCGGGTGATATGCTGGACTTCTTCACCTACCTCATTGATAACGAGGGATTGAGCTCGAGCTTGTACTTGATTGATGTGCAGGCTGGCACTGAGCCTTTCACTGGTAGCGCCACTCTCACTACTTCCAAGTACTCCGTTGCGGTTGTGTAAGCTGTCCGAGGCGCCGATTTGGGGGCGAGGTAGGGACTGGAGCTTTTTCGTATATAGTCATTTGTATAGGAAGATCTGGAATCAATCCTCTGTGTTGAACTATTGGCCATGAGTGTAGCATAGAGTTGAGACTGAAACCTGTAGCAGTGCATGCATAATTGCACATCTAGCAAAAGCTGTTCTTCAGAAGTGACGCCATCGACATAAGATCCATTGCACTGGCCGTTTCAGCCACCGGTCGCAACCAGTGGATCCTCATCTCTAAGCGCTGAAACTTGGCACAGTAGTTCCTGAAACCAAGCGCCAAGTCCCTTTGAAACCGACTTCCGTTTCACCATACATAATTCATCACCGGTCGCATTATGGCGCATTCTCTCCACCACCAGCCTGGCTCAACAATGAACATTTGGAACTTGTAAGCGAGACGCCGCCCCCCCCACCAAGCTTCCAGTTCCAGGTTCACATCGCACATTCTCACTGCAATCCGATCTTCCCCTCAATCCAGGAATTGACGTTAAATGTAGCATCCGTAGCGGGGACCCGACGAGGGCCTACCCGAGCGCGTATGCATCCTAAGAATAAAACTGCTATCAATAGATTTAGCGTAGCGGTAGGGCTCTGATTAAATTAGGAACAGAGACGTTCAACAGGTAACGCTGGTGCGGAGATCTCTAAGCGCTCGCGGGGGAGGGCGCTTATATACATAGAGCAGCGAAAAGCACGAATCTTTTTTTAGACCCCAGGCTAGATCGAGGACTTGCAGGCGGACGTACCGGAAAATTGCATGCATTGATAGCAGATGCATGATGAACCTGGAATTCGGAATTCAGAATTCAGATTTGAATTCTAAAATCGATAAATCGAGTCCATGCGTGTAATGCCACCCCCCATCCCAGCCCCAAATAATGGAATCCTGGAGGATAATTGACTGTTCTCATGCGAGGTGGCCAGACTATTACATGAAATCCACGGGTCGCGTTCCTCCATATTGGATCAGTCAATTGGCATGTTAACACGCTTCGACCCACCGTGGCGCCGTGTGACAGGGGGTCATTTTGCGAAATCTTCCGCACGGACATGGGATTGGATGATCGCAACGCGCCAGATTGAAACGCGAACTTGCCACATTGTTCCATAGGTTCTGGTCATGTTAATATGCTACACTAGCTTGGCCTTCAGCTGCGGACAGGACGAAATCCTTTCGCCCCCCCTGTCTGTACCTAGGACAGGAAAGGGCTGTGTGCCCTTCGGAGTTCAGGTTCAAAGGTTTACAGGATCAGGATTCAGAGTACAAGGTTGTCAAATAGATCACCCCTCATTCTCTAGGTTTTCTAGGGACGTGTCAGAGGGTGGAGAATCTGACCTGGCATTTTGAGGGATAACTAGTTCCCCCGCGTCTTGGACAGGAGTAACTTGAGACGGTCGCGAGTTTCAAAGTATATCGAATGAGGAGGCTGGACTTTGTTAGCTGGATAAGACTCCACCAGATACACACTTTTTTCTTTTCTTGGTTGTGGTGGGTCCCCCGGTTGATCTCCTCGCAGGGTGGAGGTGGAAAGTTCTACAGCTGGATTGGCGATCGCCCCTCAATTGCTAGGATCGTTTGGTTTCTGTTACAGTAGCCAGCGCTTGTACAGACATTACCTATTCTAGGAATACTCCAACTAGGGAATTAGTGGAGGTTTGGCTGGGCGAAATGAGGCACAGACCGAATCACCAACAATTACCTGAATGAATCTAGGGATGGATTGGGCAGAGCTTTGTACATCTCGTAATGCATAATCCCCACTACATTCCATAGGGGAAAGTCTCAGCCAAGGTTCATCTCAGATCCAACTATGCATCCCCTGTACACTCTGACTGGCTCTGGGTCCTTGCAGGTCCTCCAGCCGCCTACAGTCCCAGCTCCCCTTTCCCATGGCGCATACCGGAGCTATATCTACTCCCAGATTCCCACTCGGATTCTTCACGGGATTCATCCACATGCTCAACGTCGTCACCCTCCTTTTGGCACCCCTCTAATTATTTCCTTTAATCGTTATTATAATCTCTCATTTCCACCCTGCAGGAGGTTCGCCAAACTATTGATTCTATTTGAACTCATAAAATTGTGGACTTTGTCTCTCCCGATAAAAATCTCCGCGGCAGGTCTCAGAACTTCATCTCAGTTAGGGCTATCGATAAGGGTTGACACGACAACCTCATCCTTACTGCTGCATTCTTTTAACTGGCACTCCTGCTCATATTTGGATCCTGCTGGCCAGGAATTTGACTGTCATCTCATTTACAACTGTACTTGTTGCTTTGTTTCCCGTCTCTCACAAAGCAAATTGTCTGTTCGACACGAACAAAGCCTTTCATTTAGGTGAAGCTCTTCTAACGCACCTTTGACTTGTTCTTTCACTTGCATTTACTTGTGCTTGCTCTACCCCTCGACACCTCAGGCTATTTAGTAGCTTCCACTTTCCCCTGCCCATATTATGCAGAACAACACCTCAACAATGGCTCTCAACCGAGCTGCCCTCGATGAATTCGTCACGCAGCGAGTCACTCGGGAGATGATTAGCTATTTGGCTCAACAGGCATCACACGTTATCCGCTGCGAAGCCCATGTGACCAACACTGTCAGCCAACATGGCCAACCGACACCCCCCGCAACTCCTCCCATGGACCCGGCAGACCCCTCCCTGCCCCCATTGCCGTCTACTGAAGTCTTCATCGCCTCTCTCGTTGCTCGGTCGCAGGTCCAAGTGCCCACTCTCATGAGCTCCCTCGTGTACCTCGGCCGTCTGCGTGCTCGTCTGCCTCCTGTCGCCAAGGGCATGCGCTGCACTGTTCACCGGATCTTCCTCGCCTCGCTGATCCTCTCCGCAAAGAACCTCAATGACTCGAGTCCCAAGAACAAGCACTGGGCTCGGTACACTGCGGTCAAGGGTTACGAAGGATTTGGCTTCTCACTACCCGAGGTGAACTTGATGGAACGTCAGCTGCTCTTCCTGCTGGATTGGGACACCCGCGTGACCGAGGAGGATCTGTTCACATACATGGAGCCCTTCCTCGCTCCCATTCGTCAACGTCGTGAACTTCAGTTGCGCGAACAAAAGGCTCAGGAGGAGCAACAGCGCAAGCAACAGCAGCACCGTGAATGGTATGCCTCTTTGCTCACCAACATCCATGATATCTCTACTCACACTCGTTCCAGGCGCCGTCTGCATGTTTCGGCGGATCTGCTGGCCAGCCGTCTTCGTCGTCAAAAGCTGGAGGCCAGAGTCGATGGTCGTCGGATTCCCGATCACTCTCTTCGTCGTCTCCCGAGCCATGTCTCGTGCCCCAGCATCAACACCACCCAATCTCCGCAGTTCGCTGCCGAAACCGATCGCTACAACCCATATCCCCGTCATCGAACATCGCCTCACAGGCCTGCTCGATCCATCTCTCCCCCATCTATCCGTGATGTTCCCGGTCTCTCCCACACCGAGACTTTCAACTCTCTCTGCTCTCGTTCGTCCAGTGTCGCCCCCAGCTCCCGCGGCACCCCAGGAAGCATCAGCACTGTTTCGTCCCACAGCAATGATGACTTCGCTATTTCCGACTCGAACACTAGCCCATCCACCGCGTCTCTGACCTACAGCTACGTCAATGTCGGCGCCATGGAGAAGCAACCCTTCGAGCCGGTCCGTCAACCCAGCAAGAAGATGAAAGCCCACGGTCACTCCGGCGGCTTCGTTGCCCGCTTCCTCGCCTCTGCTACAGGCTCCTATGGCCGCATCGGTCGGCCACACGCTTAATCGAGCTGGTCTCGAGTCGTGACTGGCGCCAATCTAATACCCCCTGCATCTTGTCATTTTCAATATGCGCTTCCTTTTACCCGTTTTGTCTTTGTATCCTCATCCCTTCCCTCCATCTCACCATCTACATTTTTATTTACTGCTTGGCTAAAAGCATGCCATCCGTTGATACGCCTTGACAATACCCTTCATTTCCCGAGCTCAAATTTGTTACTCCCCTTCATTAGATATCCTACTCTCTTTCACTTCTTACACTCGCTACGCTACATTGCATCCTGGCATGGCGTTTTGGTACTGGTCATTGGTTCGGTTCGGTCTGGTTGGTCTACGGGTTTTCCTTTCTTGAATCATTTTATGGGGTCGGTTGGGATGATGGAATGTCCATTAGACGCTTGTGTCATGTATCTACCGGATGTATTTATCCTGTCAATTTCAATGTTCTACCCAATCCTTACCTTGACATACAGTACAAAGTACGCATAATGAACCTCGTGAATCTGAAACACCCGACGCGACCCGTTGGTACATAGCAGCTTCGTACATGACATAATGTACATTCCTTGCTTTATCCGTCTTTCCGTCCCGCAAATATCTCCGCAACTCAATGCAGACTCGAGGCAACTGGTTCTGTTTCAACGGTCCTGCAAGGGTATCGATGCCCCACATACCTTGTTACCCTACGGCTCACCGGTCCGGAGGCGAAATTATCCACTACTCATCCATTAAATATTGTTTATTGCCTAGGAGATTGGTAGGTATCTAAGACATGTACTTTGTATCTCAGAATTAGATCTTCATTCGCGGAAGTCGGGCCAATTGCCTATGGAGATATAATAAGACATATGGAACGCCACGCCATAGCCCCCCTAACACGAGCGTGTAGAGCTGCATCTGGTGGTTTAAACGTGAGTAAAATTGAGTGCCTTGCTTTGGACATTTGTACTGGAACCTGCTTACTGATAGCAATGGATCGACGCTGGTCGCTTTCAATACAGTCTTCATCCACCGAGTAACGGGTGAGACGGATATAAGTTCCATGATTAAAGGAGTTTGTGGAATGTGCGATTGTGCCGCGTATCGCAGATCTTTGAAGTACAGTATAAGCCACGGTATAGACAGCATAGATTGCAAGGTAGTATGTGATAGATAGGATACAAACGCGAAAATCTGACTGTGGAAGCGAATACAATATAGTCAGATCATGAAACGATCGCTATCACATTCAACGCCCGGCTTACTGGATCCGAGGCTAACCCATCTAGTAATAGGCCCCCAACTCAAATTCGTGAACCTCAAGGGGACCAGCCCGTTCTAGCAATAAGAGTAGCGCCCGCGCAACAGATTCCCAATAAGGAAGGATCGATGCTGCGGGGGCCAGAAGATCAAAAAAATAAGCGGGATATGATCTCTCGCTCCGAACCCATCGTTCAACCGGTCGGACTCCGAGTGGTCGCACAGACTCGTCTCACCTGGGTTTGCGACACAAATTCGAGGTACATTTCCAAATGGGGTTTGAACTCATTTTTGGTCGATCATGTTGCCACAAGGGTTTGGTCTGGACTGGTGGGGCTACATTTTTGGGTGTGGGGTAGGGGGCCGTTGGTTGAAGGTTGGGGAGTTCGTGTGTTGGAAGCAGTTGGGTTGGAAATGATATGCGGAGGGTAAGTTTCTCAATATTGAGGTGGTTCTGAGCCCGGACTTTACTTTCGACTGCATGTGCTTTTTGGTGAGTGATTATGCTGGCTTAGAAATTGTCTTGAACTGAGACCCATAGGTTGATCTATGTGACGGATCATATATCTCGGCCCGCAACAAACTAGTATCTGCCGAGGTCTTACTAGAACGGGGCATTTACTAGAAAATTTATAGATCGAATCTAAAACATGGGATAGAGGTTAATAGTGATGGTGGACCATGGTTCAGGTCCCTGAATTGGAGGAGTTACCACAATTGCACACACCGTAGTGGATACATCTTGGCCAATGAGAATCTTGGAAACTCACAATGATGTTGTGCTATGACCTGCCTAGACTTCCACCGTTGCATCTTTCTCGAGACTATCTGGATTGAATCGTGAATTTTATGGTCATTTCGTCACAAAAACTGGAGAACTGACTACAATCCCTTCCATAGATTCTATCAACAAGTTGAGGTACTGGGATAGAGGGCTTCGATCTAACAATTTTCAATCGAGTGGCACCCGCGTCTATCCACAGACTTCTTCCAATGATATATGAAAGCGATATCCAACCATCACTTAGCGTGATATCCAACCCCACATATATTAACCCCTCATTCAAGCGCAGAATATCAAACTTTGCACGGTATTTCACATCAGCTCGAACCGTATATGACGTCCAATATAGCCATGGTCCAGATCGCAATTATCACAGGTGGTTGTAAGAAGCGCCCCACGAAACAAAGAAAAAGGTAAAACTCCCCGAATGAGGTCCAAACTAACATCAGACAGCAAGCGGCATGGGTCTAGACGTCGCCCAAAGACTCAACAGCACGGCAGACTGGAAAGTCCACATAATCGGCAGCAACAAACAACGTGGCGAAGCCGCAGTATCCACACTGAACAATACAACCTTCCACCAAGCAGACGTGAGCAACTACCAACAACAAGCTGCCGTCTTCGACAAAGTTTTCACCGGGAACGGGCGCCTAGACTTTGTCTTCGCAAATGCCGGCATCGCACAGGACCCCGGGGCTTTCTTTTCCGCGCACGAAACTGGGATCCCACCGGAACCTAATATAGATGCCCTTGTGGACACGAACTTAAATGGTGCCATTCACACAAGTTACCTGGCGATGCATTATTTTCGACGATCGCCACCTGTTAGTATTGGGAAAAGACATCTTGTTCTTACGTCGAGTATTGGTGGGTTGTATCCATGTATGCAGACGCCGGTTTATTCGGCGACGAAGCGTATGTCTACTTTACCATTATGTGTCTCCTTGGTACAGCAGCTGATGTTATGCTAGATGGAATGATTGGATTTACGCGCTCCATTGGAAAGAAGCTTTGGGAGGAGGGTATCAAAGTGAACGCTATCTGTCCGGGCGTGGTCGAAACACCCTTGTTGACGCCAGAACTGAAATCCATTTTCGGTAAGAGCCTTGTTCCGATTTCTAGTGTCACGGACGTGGTGATGGAAGTTCTATCTGGGAATGAGATGATTGACTCGAAGGGTACGGCTGTTTCTGGGGAGGATTTGCATTCGCGGGCCATTTTGATTTCTGGGACGAATCGGTACTTTATTGAGATGCCGGATATGTATGATGAGGAGACTCGTATTACCCAGGAGGCGATGATGGGTGGATCATAAGGGTTGAACATAGAGTATTCGCTCAGTCCTTTCAAAAGTCGACTATAAGAAGGTTGAATAGTTATATCCGTGATAACATTTGTGATAACATCCGCGATGATCAATTTGGAGGTGCGCGATCATTGTAAGATAACGTTTAGAGTTAATTACAGAACAGCGTCGAAGAGTGCAGATTGAAAAGGTGTGCCTCTGATATAGTACCCCGAAATCACTGATTATGTTTCGCTCAGGTACGAGACCTAAATCGACAGTATAACCCATGCTGCTTCGCAAACCAGAAAGTCTCAACTTTCCATTCGGGGTCCTCAGACGCACATTCAATCTCGAATAAGCGAATGAGCTGTAGGACTAATTTCCCCATCTCCATTATGGAAATGTTCTTTCCAATGCATGTGCGTGACCCATATCCAAACTACCAGATGTCAGTCATACTTTTTTAATGGAAGCTTCAGGTGACATACCGTCATGAGATGCCGGTCCATACGCTTTACTCCCTCTTCACTAGACTCCAGCCACCTTTCAGGCCGAAAAATTGCCGCATCTTCCCCAAAAATGGACTTGTCATGATGGATTACAGCTGGGTTGATTCCGACAATAGTCCCGGCTTCTAGATGGACTCCACAGAGTACAGCTCCACCTTCGGGAATGATACGTTCGAAGGGTAATGATACCGCGGGATGGCACCGCATTGCCTCTTTCATGACCACTTGCCTGTTGCTAGTCAGCTTCACCCAAAAAATTGATGCCACCGGGTCGGTCAATGGGTCACTCACAAATAAGGAAGCTCTAGGCACTTAGCACAAGTGATGTAATCGGATAGCCTTCCTGCCGCGTTTGCTTCGTCTATCTCATTTTGCAGTTTTCTAGACTGGCTCATTTTGGACGAGAAAGTAGATAATAGCACAAAGGGAGATTGCTGTCCTATCGCTGCCGGCGAGCCTATTACGTGTTAGCTATTATCAGATTCACATGAGTGTTTCTGGGACTAACAAGTTATTGCTAAGATGATTCACGACATCACGGTTGGACATCGGCTTCCCCTTTGTCTCATCACTACTGAGCCATGCGAGGCAAATACGCATGCGGTGATAGAATATAGGCAGAGCAAGGAGCGTCAGCAAGTGACTGAGCCAGTATCCGCGTTGAGCATTGTGAGCAGTGGAAATATTCTGTTGTCGATTGCCTCCCTTGATTATCAAAATCTTGTGGATTGTAACGTGATCAAACATTGAATGCTACCATACAAGCCTACACAGGTTCGTTGAAATTGAGACCAGAATGATAACATCGACTTCAATTGTGCAATAAACTATAAAAGAGAGTGGCAACGAATGTACCTGGGTACATTCGCAGTAGTTGGTTGAATACTACCCATTCGCATGTTAAGAGATACCAGTCTTTCAGGATCGATCATCAGGATCAAACCGATCTGGAGCCCATGCGCGGAAATGGTGAGTGAGACCAATTTGGGTGATTTCTTCTATCTCTTCGACTGTCAACTTCAAGTCGAGAGCGGCCAGATACTCAGAGAGGCGGCTCGTATGAGAAGTCGTGGTAACTGGCACAACGTTTTGATCAATTTGCCACTTAATGAGGACGGCATTCTCTGTGACACCATGCTTCTCCGCAATATCTGCCAGCGGTTGATCGAGGGGACCGGGCCTGGCTTTCGTAATCGGTGTCAGGCCATTGAAGCTAGCCACTTCGATCCCTTGCTCGCGCATCCAAGGCACGTAGTTGTGGGATCGCTGAAGATAGGGATGGAATTCCAGTTGGTTGATGGCTGGGATTATTGTAGCCACTTTCAAAATCTCCTCTAGATGAGGACGCTGGTGATTCGCAACCCCAATCGACTTTGCCTTACCCAAAGCCCTCACTTTTTCCATCGCCAACCAGGCAGGGCCTAGGTCGGATGGGTCTTTTGCGATATAAGGCGAATGGATCAGATACCTGTCGTATACAATAAAAGTCTTAGCTCTTATGAAAAACAAACAAGAGACGCTGGCAACGTCACTCACATATCTACATAGTCCAACTGAAGTTTTGACAAGCTGGAGTCAATGGCTGCTGGAATATCGTACAGCCCTTCCAAGACCTTAGTCGTGATGAACAGCTCCTCACGTGGGACCCCGCTTTCTTTGATGGCAATGCCAACCTCATCCTCCGTTCCATATGTGTCCGAACAGTCGATGTGACGGAACCCTTGCTGGATAGCAGCCTTCAGCATCTCAACTAATTTCGAATTGAACGGCTCGTTCGGGTCTTCTTTGAACCAAGCGGTGCCGGTACCGAACCCAAGCTGTACAAATGTTCAGCAGATGGAAAATATTTAGCACAATTGCTCAAGGAATCGCTGACCATGGGTATGGAATTTCCATCACTCAGAGGAAGGTACGGGAGACTCATCGTAAAGTTTGTGGTGGTGGTAGTAGTGCTGAAAGTTCTGGAAAAAGGAATAATGCAGCAGAGGGGCTGGAAAGCTGTGTTGGTTTTAGGGAAGCAAACATGGGCTAAAGATAGCAATCTTGTGCAAAACATCTGGATTTTTGGTGGCTTTTAAAGGCTTATGAGCCAGTAAGTCTGAGGCTGAGAGAGTGTGTATTATTGGATATATGTCTTGGTCTAGATTGACTCCCGGAACAGCCTGGTGACTGCCTAGAACACAAGAGTACTGTGAGAAAGACAAACAAAAGCGGGGAAGAGAAAAGAGAAGAGATATCACTTGCTGCAGGACTAATCTATAATTGGTGGCATGAGATACGCGCCTTGGGCCATTACACAATTTACTAGTGGATTACGGGTGTTTCGTGGACGCATAACATTGGATGCGTTCGTTCAGCCTCGGGTGACAGCCATCATTTTCCTTTTGAAGAAGGACATTAATACAAGTTACTTCAAAGTGGGATTCAGCCTCAAAGGCTGAAGGGTCCGTCCTGTAATAAACTGGAATTAGTTATCTCATTTAAAAAGTTAAGTGGGCAACCTTAGTTGACCCGCCTTTTACCTACCATGCAGCAGGCCCAGCAGGAAACTCTCAGTCTCTCTCTATGGCAGACATTGAGTTGGGACTTATCCAGGCGAATCGTCGGGCCGACATCCAGCTATGTCAGGACGAAAAGGAATTTCTCTGGTTGTACTGCCGATCCAACGATGATGCTTTCGCCCCTATTCTAGCATGGCAGGAGTACCTATCTCATCTATCGTCTCTCATAGGGGAGGAGGCTATAAGAGTCTTCAGGAGCACACTAGAACCGACTTTTTGTGAGACACATTCGGACTATCAGGTAATAATTCGGGCTCTTTGCGCAACTATAACAATTATTCGCGAAGATCCGCGAATATCAGTATCACGACTATGCGACCGCCTCGCGGAGAAAGGAGTTGTCAAGGAAATGACGACTGAGTCAACGGCAAGATATTGCGTGCTATCGCTCGTCGGATGGTGCTCCCTTCTTTTTATTCCGTCGCAAAAGGTCATGCATGGAAATTTTATCCTAGATACCCAGGGTGCCAAGTGTTTTGGTCGGCCTTCCATGGCCATGCAACAGGCAGGTAGGCCGATCCATGAGTTACTTCGATCATTTGGTGAGCTTCTTCCCAAAAGAAAGTCAACACTGGGTAGTCTGGATGGACTGCAATCAACAGAATCAACTGCCTATAAGTTCTACGTGTCATATGTCAACGTGGCGGCTCTTACGAAGCTGGCCAATATAGAAATCATCTGGGTCGATACCGTCAGCGCTCATCTCGATTTCGACCCAACAGGGCCAAGTCTTCGGATTTTCAAGGTCCCCTCGTACTGCAGATTGCATGCTTCAGACGATACGCTCCTGTCAGTGTACGTGTTCCCTCCACGCACTTTACCCGATGGGGATAAGCCTGCTGACCAAGTTCTTTGAAGACTCACTAGGGAATTCTATTTGGAAGGAGAAGAGCCAATCGATAATTTCGCGTACCGTGACTTGATGGAAGAAATCATAAAGTCTTATAGTCTTCTGTTCTCTGAGTGGAGGTCTGCTAGGGTTTTATATCACCGGAGAGAACGAAAGAAAGCATCGATCAAGGCCAGGAACGGAAAAGAGAGAGTAGATCCATTTCTGGATAAGATCTGTGGATTTGATCGCTCAAACTCAATGCTTGTCAGTCTGTTCTCCAATCGAGGAGTTCGGGAAGTGTACGATGCAAAGGCGGATTTTCCTGTATTGTCGCCGAAGCTGAAGTCAATCCAAATTTATATGGAAGGAATTCAACCTGGCCGTGCATCAAGCATGTGGCATGATCGGCGCGACCTACGACTCTGGTATACCATTTGGGTTGTTTTGATCATTGGTGGTATCAGCATCATCCAATCATGCATCTCCATCGGTATCTCTGGCGCTCAGCTTGGCATGGCCTACAAAGCCTATGATCTTCAGAAACAACAGGGCAGCTAAGAGGAATGAAGTTACTCGTTGGAGAGCGATAATGATCTGCTTGCATTCATGAAAACCAGTTTTCCGCGCTTCACATTCACCGATAAAGCAACCCAATCAAACTATCATAATTTTGCTCCTCGCCAGAGCCCTGGGCGAAGAGACCAGTAGCAAGTAGCTCTATCTTGGATTTTTCAGCAGCTTCACGATATGCCTTTGCTTCAGCCTCCCTTCCCTCGCGTTCCATGACCTGGGACATTCGCCACTTGACCCTTGCCGAATCCGCCTGCGTACCCTTTCCTCCCTCATTCGTCTGACAAATAGTCAAGGCATCCCTAAACAATCGCAGAGCCTCTGCATCTTGACCTTGACGCATGCGCACACAGCCCTGCTGAAAACGTGCCGCGCCGACGCTTATGTGAGTTGGCTTTCCTTCTGCCATTAGGTCGACTGCTCTCTGGAGGAAGCCGTATGCCTCGTCAAGCTCACCCTCTGCTGCAGCGACTTTGCCGAACATGTAGGCAGTCCTGGAGTTTCAGGTCAACAAAGACATCACCAGGGAGCTTGAAATGGACACCACGGCTTTTGTGAATCACTTACTCTCCGTGATAATGACTATTTTCTCCGTGAATCAATGTCTGCCAATACTCGGCCTCTTTAAAATCGGCTTTGGCGTCCTCGTACTTCTCAGCTACATAGTAAGACCGACCTCTGTTGCGCAGATACCGGTCAGGGTTGAGCTTGAGCTTCTGAGCATGCTCGCTAGGAGAGCCCGAAATTGCTTTGTTCGCGAATTCGAGTGCATCTAAAGGTCTCCAGGATGCAGTAAGCTCAACACCAACGGCACTATATGCATTCGAAAGCTGGACACTTCCCGGAGGAGATTTTGCTTCATGAATCTTCAAGGAATCCTCGAAGTATGAAAGGGCGAGGCCCGCATGGCCCTGGCGATCATGAATTGTGCCCGCTGTATCGATCAAGTCCGCGTATGCCATCGAATTTCTATCAACGCAGTTTGAGAAGGCAACATTGATCAGTCTCTCACTGGCCTTAAAAGCGCCAGTTTCTTGAAGGTACCTTCTGGATGTTAGTGATTTTCTGCGACTAGAGGAGTTGGAATGCAACGCACCAGGCAGCATTTTGAATGAGATATGTCAGCGGCTCATAAGACTGGAAAAGATCGGGCCCGCCAAGCGAGTCATACATTTCGGCAAATGCTTGCACATGCTGGATCAGGCTCGAACAGAGCTCCCAACGGGTGTACAAGTGGCGCCCAGCATCTCGAGAAAATGAGCCTTGGAGTAAATCGACCACGACTTTAAAAGTCGCCTTATAATCATCTTCACTCATTCGATTTATGTAAGCTTGTTGGATCAGACGATGTACAGAAATCAACGATGCCTCTCCATTTAGTGATATCAGCGACAAATCAGCTAGCTCTAATTTGGCTTCATCATATCTTCAAGAAGGTTAATATAAGGTGACATACGTCCTTGGCTGGATAACGTCACTCACTGGTTCATCTGGTTTAGAAAGCTATACTCTGTGGGGAGATTCTTTCCTTCTGAAAGTATACGCTCGGGGATGTCTGTTGGGGCCAAAAAACCGAAGAGCATCATAAGGCGTGACGCAGGGTCTGTCAGGACATCGAAAGAATTTTTCCAGACACTTTCAAGGTCTTTCTGATAGTATGGATTTTTGATACCGGTTTTTGGTTGCTTGTGAAGCATTGCGCGATTCTCGTTGTAAAAAGGCATAAATTGAGCAAGTGTTTTACGTCGAATCTTGGCCTGTTTCCCAACCAACTCGAGTGCGAGCGCGAGTCCGCCCAACATGTTTGACAATGTCAGAGCTGATTCCAAATCTGCAGGACTCACGTTCTTCTTCTGTCCAGAGCTGCTCAGTATGAAATCACGCCCTTCTTCTTTGGAAAACATGGGGATCTCCATCGAATCATTCACCAATGCCTCAACAACAAACTCACTCCTACATGTAACAACGATACTGCCATGCCCGTGCGCGGGCCAGATTTTCTGGATTTCTGTGGCACCTTCGACATTATCGAAAACAAGAAGCCATTTGACATCTGCGTTTAGTCAGCTGAGTGATTTCATATTGGTTGTTTATAGTTTCGTACCAGTCTTCTGGAGGTATTCGAGGACGAGATCTCGATTCCGATCCGGGGTGTTAGACCGTAGCACACCTGGTAGTTGAAGCTTCTGGGCAGCTTTGTTGAAGGAGTTGGCTATTTCGGTTTCTTTCTCGCATGCGATCCACAGCACTATCTGACAGCCTGTAGATACTTGTTGAAAAGCATATTCCAGCGCGATCTGAGTCTTACCAATCCCACCAGTTCCCCAGAGCGCAACTGACCTAACCTCTGCACTACCAGACTCAGTAGCTAGAGCATCAGTGATTTGCTTGAGGATTTCAGTGCGCCCATAGAAGCTCGGATTCCGTGAAAAGGGTAGAGTCTGACAAGGAAGCGAAACGGTATTTTTGGCAAGTTTTGCTTGCATGAACGTAAGGTCTTCGAGCTTCTGAGCCACTTCTGCGTATGATTGATTCAGGCCTTTGATACTTTGTGCTTCTGAAATGCTTCTAAGGAATTCTGCCTTGTCCGCAATATCAGTTAACACCTTGGTGAATTGACCACGAATTTTGTCCCAAGCAGCATTTCGCGGCTGGAAATTACCAACATGCATCCGAAAGTGTCTGATAGCAAGAGCGGAACATGTCATCAATTCCACCAAGATATCAAATACAGCATCTAAGAATGCGGCATCAAGTTTAACATCTTTGGCATATAGATCGAATAAAGTCAGGCTTTTCTGGATGCCGCCAAGAAGAGTCACAATTTCATTTAAGGCCCGTTCGGATTGACTTGCAAGCTATTACTTGAAGTAAGCAGATGTGTCTGCGTAGTTATTAGACATTGGGGTATTTTTACTTGGATGAGAAGATTAATGGCCCCCCAGATGCAGGCTAACGTGAGATTATTGGGCCCGATGGAAAGTAGGATGACAGTGATGAAGGTATTCAGGCCCTGGAGCTGTGGCAGCATACGGCTCAACACCAGGACTATGCTGCTATCGGTGCTATACGTAAATTTAAGCTGCGATATAGCGTCCTTCAATTGGTCGGGGCTATTAAACTCGGTGATGACATTGTAATCGTCGTCCCCCAGGACAACGCGGCATTGTTTCATCGCCTCCTGCCAGACCTGCTCGTAACCTCTGTTCCTAGATAACATGTTAAAGGAGAGTGATGAAGCCGCCAAGGAGCACCTACTGTGGATTCATGTTTTTGGTCGACAAGGCTCAAGCATGTGTGGAACTGACCTCTTTTCTCGGCGTGGGTGAGATGTACCCGGGCAAAGCACGAGACTGAAAGATGCCGGAGCGGGGTCGAAAATGGGGTGGGTAAATGAGGCTCAGAAATGTAGGAGCGGGGTAGAGAAGGAAAATGGTAAATGAAGGAGGGCGACGGAAGAGATGCTGACGCGCCACGTTATGCGACTCATGCCCAGGGTAGCACACCTGGCATGCACCATGCAGCTTTCGGATACCCAACCTTTCCAAGGTGCCCGAATATCCTCTACAGCACTAGATGGAGTACATAAATGGTACATCAAAGGTGTTCACCCTTGCATGAAGCGCCAACAAATAGATTGATGTATACTGACGACTCGGCACGGATATCCCGTACCCGTCCTCTAGTGGTCTGAGCACGGGGTTGTTACTAGCCTATGCGTTCTTTTATGCTTTTATTACCTAATTGGTTGTCCTTGGAATAATACATTCAATGAATGTGGTATTGATCCTTTGCTCGTTTCTTTTTCTAAGAGGGTTATGAACGCCAGGTGATTGTGACCAAGCGGTAACCGGCAGCATTCCGACTTGGGCTACAGATTTAATGAGAGTGGCACCCACTCTAATCTCCGACGAATTACCTCCAAACTTTGGAAAACATTTCATGAAGCTTTGCTGCTTTTTGCGCAAAAACTTCATTTGATCTATCTATGAACCATTCTCAGGATGTCTGAAACAGCCATCTCGCATACCGTCTTGGCTTCTCTCAATCATCTCAAAGATGATCCCCTCTACAAGACCGAACGCCCGTATGAGGTTTGGCTAGACAAGGTACCTGAAGGCTTGCCAAAGACAAACGTGCAGTTTGAGCTTCAACATAATGTGCCGGTAGTGGACGCACGAAGTGTTGGACTAGAAACGTTCAAAATCGAAGAACATGGCTTCCAATTCCTCGAGCAGCCATTTCCCACTCACTTCACTATCAGCGGCTCAGACGCCGCCAACTCAACCTCAGAGCAACGCGAAATCATCTTGGGTTATCTAGAGCACATGGGCGACTTTTTGTGCACATCTCTTGGAGGCGAACGTGCAGTCTGTTATGACTGGAGGGTAGGTGATCATCTCCTGATTCTCTTTAAGATGCCGGACTGATGAAAGCGCCAGGTTCGTCGATCCCGAAATAGCCCCGTTAATAAGATTCCGAGGATATATACAGTACCCGACGAGATTGACGCTCGCAAAATCACGATTGATGTTGCTCATCAAGTGCATGCAGGAATGTGGTACCCTTTCTCACATTTACTCATTCCCATTCATGGTCAAGTTCTAATTGGAATTGCAGTAAAGATGGTTCGCCGAATGGAATCAAGAAGTCATTGTCCTACCTTCTCTCCGAAGAAGAGGCAACTGAGATTAGGCAAGGTCGATGTCGGTTGAGAGTAATCAAGTACGGACTTGCCCCCAAACTAATTCTCAGCTGGTTTCCATGCCCACCTGCTCCAATAAAATGCTGATAACTTTAGTTTATGGCGTCCGCTTGTGCCTACTGTCACGAGCCAACCTCTTGCCCTGTGTGACCGACGATCCGTATGTGGTTCAGACTGGGAAGAGGTAGAGAAACTACAGACACAATGGGTTGAAGAATCAATGTATTTGAGGAGAAACCCAGAGCACCAGTGGTTTTGGATCAGTAATCAGACGCGTGATGAAGTTACGGCGTTCGTGGTCTGGGATTCCCTCGACCCTGATAATGTAGCCGGTATGCGAAGCCTTTACCGCTACTCTATATTATGCTAATTCATCCTTTGTAGCAAGCGTGCCGCATTGCTCATTCAAACTCCCCGATCAAGAAGCTTTGGGGATGCCTCGGGAAAGTATTGAGGTCCGTTATCTTTTTTGGTCAAGTGTCTGAAATATCAGGATTCACGATTGAGAGCACTGTAGCGCAGCCTTCAATTTTTCGGTAGTATTTGAAATCCATTGATTGAACAACATATGCATAGAGCTGTATACCTGAAGCCACCCTAGGAGGGCGCTGACGTGGCTCTCGAATAAATAATACAGAAGAATCACTGTTTTATCGTACGAAGATGGAACAACGCTTCCTTCCGCTTCTCATTGATAAATCCTGTCCATTCCTTTTATCCAACCTTGTCGTTGTGCAGGCCGCCATTGCCCTCCTTAGCCCCCTTTTAAACTTGACCCTGCTCACAGGGATCTCAGGTGGAGCTGAACCCCCTCGGCGTGCCCGATGGTCAAAATCATAACACATGTACCCCTCTCCTGAGCAATAACTTCATTCGGAAGACATCCCGTTCCTCGAGATTCCGGACATGGTGATTTAGGTCATATGGCAAATTATTTTGCCCAATCACTACCCTGCCTACCCATGCTGTCATCTCATGCTCAGACCGCTGAGCGAGCAAAGTTCATCCGATCGTAAGCTTTATTGGCCCGAAGCCTCCTCAAACCTCTATCTTAGCCTCAAGTCTCCTCGTATTCACGTAGACTATACAGCGGATTGCTATAAATTGAACTAAACTTGCCTCGATACGATGGTAAGAGTGTTGTATTATTTTATTGGGAGATAGCACGGACCTCGGTCACCGGATCATTATATGCAGCCCTTCGAATGTGTGCATATTTCCACACCACGCTACCTCTCAGGTACGTTAGAATCCATAATCTCAATAAATAGCCCTAGAGGCTATTGGTGACTCTGTATGAGCGCCTCGCCCACCACTCTGAGTTCGCTAACAAGTACCCACTCAGGGAAACCAACAGAGAAATGGACGAGATCCTAGACATTGATATCCATGCAGGAATGACCAAGTTATAAATTCCCACCCCTCTCCCCGTCTTACTATTAGATCAAAGGAAGAGCATCGTTACCCGGCCCTAAAGGTAACAAACCAAACCCCCAAATACTTGAGAAGAAACAATACCAGCCACAGTGAGTGCCTCATCACGTCCTATGTAATATGATGTGATATATTCGATATTACCCTCTTATCAGTCAAGAAGCTAAGATGTACTTCTGTCATAGAGAACAATGGATCCAGAAAACACCGCCCAAGTCTATATGCGCCAACAGACCTGTCTCAATGTGAAGACCACGCGCGATACCCGATCCCAGCCTTGGCAACAATATATGAAAATCACTCATACTGCCGATAAACCTCTTAAGATTGGATCAAATGTTCGTCTGTTGGGTCAACGCGTAAATGCGCATGTTGGTTGAATATTTGAAGCTATGTGTCAAGCGTATCGGTCCTTTTCATGTATTGATGTCTTGACATTGTCATCCTTGTGCTTTTTGCGGCTAAGGCAGGACTTCTTCCATCTTTGAATACGCGTGAACTCAGTTATAGTCCTAGTCTATCAGTGACGGAATTTATTTAACGATGATTGAGCAGCTGCTTTCTCGTGGCAGACGCGGATTCGCGGAGCTAAGGCGCTATTCAGATAATTTGAGCCTTGTAAAAGTAACGGAGGAAGGGAAAGAGAATGGTCAGTTACACTTGCCGTATTATTACGAATGGTACACAGATCATACTTGATTTAGGTAGCTTTGGTTCCCGTCAGTTTCCTATGACTGACATTTTCCTACCGTAATGTTTCCTGCAGGTAAATCGGTCCGCTCATATCTACACATTGCAAAGCACGATCACATCGGATTTTTCTGATCAATTTTTATGACACCTGTTTTCCATCACGCTAGTATGCTGGGTACGGTTAGTATCTCTAGCACCTCGAACATACTACGGAATTTCAACACCTCTCTCATCTGCATGTACGGGTGCTTGCCTATGGATGTGTCGTACAGACTGCGGTAGCTTGTGTTGCTGTTCTGTGCTGCTAAATCCCCACATCTTTCAGCGTGCTTCCAAATATTGTTTCCCTCTTCACTAGGTATTGCTAACCTCTATTTAGTCAGCTATGTCTACCTATGAAGCCTTCGAGACCACGGCCAGTCTAGACTGGGCAGAGCTGGAGGTATTGGATATCTCGGCTTTTAACAACACCAGGGAAAAGGAAAAGCTAGCATCACAGTTAAACGCAGCCATTCAAACCTACGGGTTCCTCTATATTGTCAACCCGGGTTTGGAAACTGCACAAGTGTCACAGCAATTTGCCTTGGCTCAAGCCATTTTCAGCCTTCCCCTGGAGGAAAAGAACAAATACATCGACCACGAAAGCATTCCAACTCTAGGCTACAAGCCTTCTGGCGAGCGCGCCATGTCAAGTGGCATGACTGATCATGTTGAGATCTATGACGACCCCAAATACAATAGCTTTTTCCGCGAATACCCTCGTCCAGGTCCGTGTATTGCGCAGCAGGCCCAGACCGAAACCTTTTGCAGGTACCTACATAGTCATGTTTTGTACCGTCTTTTGGTACTCACAGCTATTGCACTTGACTTGAAAGATGAAGAGGCTTTGTGGAAGATTCACAACTTTGATGCCCAGTCAGATTGCCATTTGCGGTATATGATCCATCATCCACGCACGGCGCAAGAGGCAGAGATATTGAGGAAGGAGACAGATGATAGCGACATCATTCATCGGCACCGAGATTTTGGGACATATACGCTACTCTTCAGCCAGCCTGTAGCTGGCTTGCAAGTTTGGGTTGAGAAAATGGGAAAGTGGCAATGGATCAAGCCATTGCCAGGCAGTATCATAGTTAACGTTGGGGTGAGTTATGTCATAATTCTCGTGGATCCTGACTAGCTTTACGTTTTTCCTAACGGGGTTTGTCGACAATCTTAGGAGTGCTTAGAAATGCTGACCAACAGCTTTTTTAAAGCTCCTCTTCACCGTGTCGTGGTCCCACCTGAGGACCAGCGTCAGCTAGCTAGATTAAGCACGATTTACTTTACTCGCCCCGGTATGTAGTATCTTTTCCCTTTCCTCTTCTTTCTTTGAAAATGTAGAGCTTCCTTATGTCATCAGTCGATTGCCTCTTGTGCTCCCTTGAGTAGTTTCTAACACACTTACTCTAGATGAAGATACTCCCGTACATGTTCTTGACAGCCCTCTAATAAGCAAAGCGAGCGAAGAGGAATCCAAGTTCCGCACTATTGGAGATTGGCAGCGAAATGTTGAATGGGTTATTGGGTATAGTTACTCCTAGTATTTTGATGAATATGTTTTATGTTGTCTCAACAAGCTCCTGGGTGAAGAGGATTTCAAGTAGATAATTGTAGTCCGCTGAGCTTGCTTACTTTTAAGTCTATTCAAAATGTTCTTTTCAATCCCCATAATACATGTCCAGAAGTATTATGGCCCAACTTGTTTTATATGTATGTCAGTTTAGATTTGTGCAACCGGATTCCTGAGAGGTATCATGTCAATTTGTACAGTGAAATCATGAAATTTTGGTACCATGTGCCCATGTGGAATAAAAACGCCTATCGATTTATTTAAGATGGTATAGTGGACGCTTATATGAGCAAATAGTTTTTTCCCAGAGGCAGTGGGCTGTATTTTCTTAAGGTGGAGGCTGTTGGCTTGAATCAAACTTCATGCTCCAGATCTATTCGACGGTATTGATCATAATAAACAGCAAGCATGTGATTAAGATGTGTGATACTAACTGCCCGTGTACCCCAGAACTAATTGGCTAGTCGTAATTGTAACACAAACTCCTCCGCGTTCTTACAGAGTACCCTCTGCGCTATTCCCAACCCAAAGCTCTTTACAAGATTATCGTCCAATCTCTTAGCCAAAGATGCAGCAGCGGGAGCTGGGGTGTATGGATAGTCACTCCCATACACAAGTCTAGACGTATCAACAGCCCGCAGCATCCCATGAATCTGATCCGGGAAAGGAACTCCAGCAAGATCAATATAGAAACGAGTCTGCAACACGTTCTTGATATCCGCCTCTGACACGGCTTTCCCGCCCAGGAACTTGGAAAACTCCGCAATCCGTGAGATAATTGGCGGGAGTGTCGCTCCACAGTGGCACATCAGGAATGTAATTCCGGGACATCTAGTGACTGTGCCAGAGGTGATAAGACTGGCGATAGAGCGGGTGGTGTCGAACATGAATTCCATCAAGGGGCTAGGGACTCCCGGATTTGGGGTAACCCGGATCACAGATCCAGTTTCCGGGCTCTGTATGTGGCAGCTAGTCGGATGGAAGAACACAAATGCCTTTCTTTCGTTGAGTTTGTTAAAGACTGGGGCGAAGCGTGGGTCTCCAGGGTAGATTCCGTGGGAATTGGTCAAAAATTGGAACCCCACAGCACCGAGGTGGTCAAGGGCGTAGTCGATCTCGGCTAGAGAGCCTTCAACATCGGGTAAGGGAAGAGATGCAAAGAATAGGAAATATTCGCTGTGCTCGGAGCAAACCTTTGACATGTCCTCGTTGACTCGCCGAGTCAGGGACCGGGCCTCTTCGTCATTGCCCGGCGTCAGGTGTGTCCCTGGTGACGACATGCTGAGAACTGCTTTTCTGATGTTGAGTCTTTTCATCAGCTCAATGTGGGACAGAGCGTCCCAATCCTATCAAGGTTAGCATGCATGCTCTCAATCCTCAAAGCTTCTGGGTGATAGCTCACGGGAATCGCCGGCATCCCATCGGGATGGCCTCTACCTGCGAAGTCATTCTCAAGACAGTACGCGCGGTATGAAGCGGGTACGCAGTGCGCGTGAAGATCAATTTTCTCCATCCCGAATTGTCGTGCTTTCAAAAATATTGTGGTGGGTAGTTTCAATCGGCATGACTTAAATTCTTGAGCTCCCTAGAGACCCACATTGTCACCGCACTATACGTACGCTTCTGCAACAGCATTGAGGGGGTATAGTCCCCACAATAGCCAATGCCGAGGTGGGGCTTATAGAACCACTAGGTTCGATCATTCACGAATTTAAACGTGCCTCAATTCCAAGATTATATGCATCTTGGTACGATACATCACTACATACATCTCAACCAAGATTCCGATATCCACTTGTTCATCGGTAAACGATGACGTCACCACATACTGACACACTGTGTTGTTTGAGAGCCAATCTTTTGACAAAGTATTTGATGCAAGCAATTGTTCAACAACCTTCTAGTAATAAAAGAGTAGCCGAAAGTTCTTCGAATATGTCCTCCTGAATTGAAGAATATGGCACATTGGGTCAATTCAGGATACGCAGTGTATGTATCCCACTCCTCCGTCTCTACAACCTTGGAATGTTAGACTCTGTTCCGCTTGGAAGTTCTAGACTTGAGGTAACAGGTCAAAGCCACGCAGGCAGTCGAGAGTTCCATAAAGGCCCCCGCGAAGATCTAGGCTTTCTCGAACTCTACTTGAACAGAAAGGGCATCAGCAATATTGTTATCCTTACCAGGTCGGGTTGTAGATGACGACTCATAACTGCTAGAGTGATTGCGAAGCTTACAAAAGCTGGATGTTCTGTTCCTCGAAAGTGCTCTTTCATAGGCTTTTGGCCCGTAACATAGCGGTGGCCGCGCTTAACTCGATGTAGATAACGGCAGGTAAATCCCAGAAACGGGTTCGATCAGGTGTTCTCCTTCAGGACCACAACGAGGCATATAATGTTCAGCCCGGTGGATCAGCGTTTTCTTCTGGCGATAATGAGGAGCCAGCTCAGAAACTTGATTAGTTGAACGTTTGTATGAGGAGGATGTTTCGTTAAATCCGTGTAAGTAAAATATTGGGCGACATGGTAGAGAATTGTTCCGTGGCTGTCCATAGGCGTCAGAGCTGGAGAGATAGGTCACAATGGGCCAACCATTGAGAGCTGGAGAACACGACCTGTATCTCGCCAAAGGATCTCCGCTTCAGTTGGGTCGGCAAGCAGCGCATTGAGGCCATGCCGCCGCCTACATGGTTGAACCAACCTTTCCTGTTTTGGAACAGATAAAGACCGGAAACCTTTCCTTTAGCGGACTTTATGCCGCTGAAGGTTATGATAGTGAATCACGACTAGCTAAGCGGCTAGAATTGGCCACTTGTATACGAGACCCACGAGCCAGATAAGCGGGGGTGGAGAGTGGAGGGATCCCCCGTCAACAACGCCAAGCCGGCATGTTTCGACGCGTTTGATTCGCTCGACTACTATCGCTCTCTTTATTACCCCACACCCCTTGAGTAACCCAGATAACACGGTCGTCGGCGCCTCCGCACGTCCATGCGAGTATACATATAACCATGGATCACCTCGTGTGGACAGGGCAAGGTGCCCCCTGAGGAGCTTTGAACATTGCCCTACTTTCACAGATGGACCCTGGTATGATGGACGAGCAGGATTGGGATGAGACCTTCTGGGCTCCAGGAACGGTCGCTTTGGAAGATAGTAGGTTGCAATTGACTCTTTCGATATCTTGAGACTGACCTATCTAGTCAATCGGACCAGAGACCAAATCGTTCTCTTCCCTACCCCTTCGGACGATCCCAATGATCCTCTAAATTGGTCGACGGCTCGCAAAGCTTTGAACTTCACACTGGTTAGCTTTTTCGTGCTATGGACGTTCGTACAATTGGATATTGGCTTCACCGCATGGGGCCCGATGGAAACAGAATTGGGCTTCTCGGTAGACATCCTGAACGCTGGAGCTGCTGTCAATTATGGCGGTCTTGCTATTGGATGCTTCTTCTTTATCCCTTTGGTCCACAAATATGGTCGTCGTCCGATCTATATCTTCAGCGTTGCACTCCAGCTTGCATCCTGCGTTTGGCAAGCGAAGATGACTACCGTTGGTGGCTTTATCGGGTCCAACCTCATCTCTGGTCTGGGAGGCGCAATTAGCGAGATCGTTGTCCAGATCACCGTTGCCGATCTCTTTTTCGTTCACCAGCATGCGACGATGAACGGATGGTTCGTTATATTCCAATCCGCAGGCGCCTTTCTAGGTCCCGTTGCCTCTGGTTATATCGTTGATTCTCAGGGGTGGCGATGGATGTGGTGGTGGTGTGTCATTTTTTTCGGGGTGACTCTGATCTGTGTTTTGTTTCTCTTTGAGGAATCAAAGTACATCCCTGTTATACACGGCCAACCAGTCATCCCGCAACTCCAGGTGGATCAAAAGGTGTTGAACCAGGACTCCAAAGACACAAAGCAGGCCGACCACGATGCACTGGAGTCTAACCCTGGTATCGCTCGCACGGTGACAATTAACCCCAACATCAGGCTCAAGTCCTATCGTGAGCGCATGGCCTGGCTTACAATCACACCAGAGTCTATGTGGCCTCATTTCTACCAGCCGGTCGTGACACTTTTTACTTTCCCAGCAGTGGCATACGCTGCCCTCACATACGGGTCGACATTAGCCTGGTTCGCGGTTATGACTTCTCTCCAAGCCTCATATATGCTTTACCCCCCGTACAACTTCTCTGCGATCGGCGTCGGTCTTATGAATGTGGCACCGTTTGTTGGAGCCATGCTGGGTTTCCCAGTGGGTGGATGGCTGAGCGATAAACATATTCTCTGGCTATCTAAGAAGAATGGCGGTATCTATGAGCCAGAGATGCGTCTCTGGCTCGCATTGCCTTGTGCGATTCTTATCCCTGGGTCGATATTGATGTTTGGGCTGGGCCTTGCCTATGTAAGTATTCTTGTTCCTTCGTTCCTAAGTTTGGGGTGTGCTGATATTTCCCCAGGGCATACAATGGTCTCTGCTTGCGGTTGGATTTGGAGTCTTTGGGTTTGCTTTCTCCGCCATCAGCGGCATCGCACTGTCATATCTCATGGATTGCTATCAGGATGTGAGTACCTTTCCTACATGACATCCTTTTGTTCCATTTGAAAACTAACATACTCATGCAGATCATTGGTAACGCTCTGGTGGGTGTGATCTTTATGCGCAACATCATTTCCGTTATTGTGCTATTCGTATTGACTCCATGGGTTAATGGTATGGGTATGCAAAATCTTCACATTCTTTGCGCCTTTTTGGGGTTTGCAATCTATCTTATTCCCATTCCTCTCTTGATCTGGGGGAAGAAAGCAAGGGTTTATACAGCTGCATCTTACAAGAAGATGGCTGAGAAACAAGTTACTCACCGTGCGGTATAGCCAATGACTGGGGTATTTCATTCTCTTCTATGGATATTATAACAGACAACAATGCACTATATCATAATCGCTCCAAATTATTTACAGATTCCCGCGTTCTTCGATAGATATTTTCCCATCTCGAACCAATAGAACTGGTTTCCAGAATCCCGAGCTTTCCAGATTGAAGTCAACGAGCTTTCGAATTTAATCTGTGCTTGCTTTGAAAACGTGATGATCTCCGAGCTTCGAGTCAACGCACAGTGCCTTGACTCTTCGCCTGCCACCTCGAAACATGCCGTCAGATATGCGAGCGCAGTACAAGGTACTGATCGCCCTGTTAGCTGAATGACAGAATGGAATTGATATATGATAGATTGAGACAGTATTTGTGCCTCAGAGTCGCGTTGTCCAAAGGGAAATCGTAGCCGATGAATAATTAGCAAAGCAGCCAGTTGCAATATCTTAGCCTGTGCCAACAATGCCACGACTTCAGCCTGGGTAAACCTCTCAAGAAAGTCCACGGGAGTTGACGGGTGCCATTGATCCACAGCTGCATGTATTTCATTCAGTCGGACCATGATTTCAGACCTATTCTCACCTGGGCCACACCGAAGAAGAGTACCCATTTCACAGATGTCGTAAAAGTGACAGAATAACGAATAGCTCAGACCAAGATAGCGATCAACAGTGACTCCACGACGATAGCCATCAACTCTCCAGGTTGGAAGTTTGCATTTCAGCAGGCACTCAAATGTCTCCGTACAGACAAGGCACATCAAAAGGTCCATCACAGGCGATTCAAAGTCTATTAAGCTCTGAGCTTGCTTGATCAAAGTCAACGTGTAGTGCGCGATAAGATGTTGCTGTCCATTTTCGACGTGCATGGCAAATGTAATCATCGCCACGCTGAGAACGAGTATTGTGGTTAAATCACTTTCATCACGTAATTGGAACGATCGAAGGGAGGACACGGCCAAAGCTGCACGCTTATGACCGATGGCGGAAACTGTATTGTATTTTTCTGTGGATTGCTCTCCGAAGAGCACGGCGGCACATGCTACTGAAGCATTCTTCAGTTCAGGTGTAGGTTGGATGAGGTTTTGGATGAAGGAAATGTGATGTGATTCGTGGAAGCTTGGACCGACTAGGAATTTATCGAGTGGTGAAGGATGATTGGTGTGCTCTTTTTTCATGAGGTTCAAGAAATGTCTTTCCCACTGATCCAGGTCGGAGAAGATGACTGAGTTGCTGCCTAGTCCGGCATTGTATGGTGTGGGATATTGTGTTGAAGGATCAAAGTTATTGGTGAACTGTGGTAGTGTGTATGATAATTTCCGTGTGCCTCGCGGTTTTCGACCCGCCTTTGCAGTAGTGCGTGTGGTTTGACAGGACTGGCCAAGCCGGGAGCATCTTTGACAAGGAGCAGTGCTACTGGTCCGTCGGCATTTCTCCTTCAGCGTATGACATTGGTCGCAAGCTCTTTTGGTTGGGCAGCTAGTAGGCATGGTGCTACGAGTATCACCACGGTGATAGGTCTTCACATGGGCCTTGGGGATGTCAGATAAGCATGGGACTCGATGCATAGGATGAGTCCTGTCAGCAGTTTAGATGTGGTTGATAATGCGGAGGTCTGATAAGGCTCGGCTGGACTTTACATTCAGGGTTAGACTCGGATCCGACATTTGCGGGGAAGTCGAGCCAAGATAAGAGTAGCAAGGTTAATTTGGAACATGATTCATGGCAATTTCTTGGACAAGTACACATTACAACATCTTTTCTTACTAGGGCCTTATCTATCCACTATTTGTAAAAGTCCACATGGTCGCGCTTGATAGCATCGGCGCCCTTCTCGGCTACCATGTAGACTGAGTTCTGGATCCGACAATCGGGAATGACAGGAATCACGGAAGCATCAATGACCCGCAGGTTCTTTACTCCGTGAACCTTGAGATTAGGGTCCACCACACCTTGTTCGATACTCTTGGAAAGCCGGGTAGTTCCACAAGGGTGGAACGAAGTCTGGCAACGGTCCAAGACAGTCCTTTTCATGAGAGCGTCGTCGTGAAGGGGCATCTCCCACGGATACTCATCCTCAATGATGTCCTTGAATCCATCTCCGTTCTTCAAGACATCATAGCTGAATCTAATGCCCTCGCGAACAGCGATGATATCAAGATCGTTGTTGAAGTAGTTCAGGTTAATTTTCGCCTGCTGGAGCGGGTCGGCACTGTGCAGTGTAACTTCTCCGGGATCAGAAATCGGGCGGACAATATCAACCATCACAGTGATATAGTTTCCCTTGCTTGGAGTCGGATAATGCCACTGGAACGCACTGCCAAAAAGACAGACGAAGTCCAGCTCGAAATGGGGCTGGCCGTAGGGGCAGAATGGATCCTTATTTCCATTCGACGCCTTGGCTTCCCGGTATTCGGGGCATTTTTCCAAGTACTTGTCGATTCGAGGGAATCCCACCATCTCGAGGAATCCAGAGCCCATTGGACCTCCATGGCCGTTGCTATAAGCTTGAAGGGCCTTCTTATGATGCGGTGTTCCCTTGCGAAGGATATAATCATCCATGCCGTAGCCGTCCTTGACACGAAGAACGAATGGAACACCAGGGTGATCTAGGAGGTGTTGACCAACATGGCGCGAGTCAACGATCACAGGAATATTGTGCTTCTTCAACTCTGCTGCAGGTCCAATACCACTAAGCATCAACAATTTGGGACTCTCAAAGACACCCTCCGAGACGATGACTTCTCGTGTGGCATATAGTTTCAGCTCCTCTCCGGAAGGGAGGATAACAACCACGCCCTTGCACGTGCGATCATCATCGATAATAAGTGTTTTCGCGTGAGCCTCGCCTAGAATGGTGACATTTGGCTTGTCGGCAACACAAAGGAAGCTTCCAGATCGTCGACCCTTGTAGATCGTATTGACACTGTACGTGAGACCATTCATGTGGCCATCAAAGACGTTCTCCGTGACCGGCTGGCCAGTGGACTTCCACGCCTTGGTCAGAAGATCACGGAAAGGCTGCATCTCAGGAATGAGCTCGGAGTGAGCAATGGGAATAGGTCCAGATGTGCCAATCTTCTTCAAGTCCTCTGAGTACGCTTTTTCATCATCGTGATAAGTGGCGGGCTTCCGCAGATACGGGAGAAGATGGTCCCAAGTCCATTCTTTTCCACCAAATTCCTCCCACATATCATAGGTGCCTTTGGATCCGGGAACCCAAGTAAAATAGTTCAGAGATGAACTACCACCAAGAGCCTTGCCGCGGGTATTAGGCTTCTCGATGCGCTCATAGTCGTCTCGCTTGACCATGGTTGTTTTGTAAGCCCAGTCATATTTGCTGTTTCGGAGGTCCATAGCCTCGCAGGGCGTTCTGATCTCGTCGATGTCTTTGGCGTTGGCAACACCAGCTTCGACGACTAGAATTCTAGCATTGGGACAGTCCGCCAGGCGGCCAGCAACAAGGTTGCCGGCGGTGCCACCACCAACGATGATGAAGTCAAATTTACTATTGTCTGAGACAACCATGATTGGAAAATGAAAGAATTAATGAGTTCGAATGTATTTGAATGACTTGTTTGGTCCACAATAGCATAGATATCCAGGACCTTTGGCACTCTTATATATGTGATCCATCCTACTAGAACTTCGGGAAGACCGGGATCATGCAGTAGTGGACAAGCAATCAGTCTGAAATGTCCCTGCGGTAAGCGTCATTGACTTGAATACGCACTGGAGAGACGAATATGGAAGGGGTATCTTGAGGGGAAAGAGTCATTGATTCTCTGGGCTTCATACGAATTGGAATCAGTAATTACGCCATGGTACGTCTATGGTGGGCTGGATCACCAACTCTGCGCGGCGTATGACACTAGTGTCATCTCTAACTCATTCATTCTAAAATGACTACTTGAATCAGTAGTTTACCCTTCGGACCGAAACTCTAATGGTCGGGTTTCAACACGAGAGATCACTATATCAACCCAGACGATATCACCGTGTTGGCGTATTGCCCGACCCATGTACCTGGCTAAAGCTTGTCTAAAGCTTGGTTCTAATAATAAGTGGTCCGAGACCGACAAGACAGGACCTCTTATTGGAAGCTCATATAACTTTGCACCGAGAACCAAAGTCCCTGGGATCTTCTTGAGTCGACTTTTCATAAGCGCCGATCCTTGGAGCTGGGATGTCTCAAACCTTACAGTGTGATACAGACTGATCTATAGGCTTTTCTGGGTTTGTGGGTCCCGGCGGACAATGAAATCGACGCATTTGGTAATGGTATTCGCCAATAGCATCACCCGTCGCCACAGTGGAGAGCTTTGTTTGCCTAGACGTATGCGCGCGATAAACGACTCACCATCTGAATCATTTGATCTTTCCGACTACCCGGCAAATACTTTTGTAAAATAGTAATTGATATCTGATTCCAAGATGCGATGAGTGTAAGTGTAATGCTGACGAAGCCTTATCCAATCCAGGACCACGAGGTAAACATGTGGAACACACATGAACTCTATATGACCCAGCTAAGCTTAGCTCTTGTGTAATACTTGTCTCCAAAATTCCTGAAGATACGCACTCTTCCACCAGGATTTCCATTCATTATGGCAAATTGCTACACATAAACGGATGGTAGAGCCCCTCTTGGATCCAGACTTCTATGTAGGCCGTATGGTGAAATCGAGGCCACACGCAATTGTTCCTCCTTTACCTCCGCTAGTTGTTCAATATGATCGAGAAGAAGACCCCAGCGCTTCAGCGCGCGTTAACAGTTGGCCCTGAGGCAGGATATGCTGATACCTCTCGTGATCTCCACGGGTGGGCGATGAAGTTTTATACGGATGAGGAAATTATGGACTAGGTTCTTAACAACACGGCATGTGTGTCAGTCTATAAATGAATAATCGTGAATTGAAAACTGAATCTTCTTTGTTGAACCAGATTTTTCTATTCGTGATCCAATCAACTTGCCATCCCTACGGACCCGGCAGCACTGAAGCTATACACTGAACATGAAAAGTGGGTGGGTGGGGTGGTGAGCTACGGCAGCCATGTTACCGATGAGGACCTTGTCGAGCCCGCAGCATTGCAGGGGGTTATTGGTCGGGAGCCCGGTCACCAGGGTCAATTGGTTGGAGATCGTGTTTCCCATTTGAAGGGCGCTCAGAGCCATGAGCTGCGCAGAGCTGTTTATGGCATGTGTCCCTTGAGTATTTGAAGGTGGTGCAGAATTGAAGGGCATATATTGACCTGGAAATAGGCTTTTTCTCTCGTATTAACAAGGGTCTGGTATGGGGGGTGCAGGAATATCCGGAGGCGGCAATCAAAGCCTCCTAATAGACAAGACTTCCTTTGTACTTGAAAGAAGATAAGATCGAAAGGATCGTGTAAGTAGAGCCTAAGACACTAGTATCAATCAGGGACGTGGGCTGGGCCCCTCTGATTGGGAATTTGGAGCTATTCTGTTTTCATATCACTCGGTGAAGAAAATGGATTGTGAATGATAAACAGAATGATAATATGATTCGAGGTAGGATATAAAGTTCGCCACTCTGATTAGCCACTCAATGCCTCCATGTCATACTCTGTTATGAGTTGGATCCCCTCACTTAGTGATATCTGTTCATGATGAAGGCATGTTCCCTCAGAAGAGGTTCGAATCGGCAATCATGATCTCATTCAAAAGTCAGTGGAACATGAGGGGTCATTTCATATCAGCGCCGCGACATGTGAGCGGCATGTTCCAACCGTCGAGCATATGTGGGTGGACCGGATACATGCACGCCCTTTCCGCGAGCCGAAAAGTGAGAAAGTTTAAGATCTCCCATCTTCGTAAATCTTCGGCTTGTCGAAAGATCCGAGAGGCATCTGGAACAGCCAAGGCCTTAGCGGTCGGTGCAAGCCTTTATCGTGCTTTGGCCCATTTTCAAACATCAAGATAAGCGAATCAATGTGGTGTTCTGAGTGGTACATGAAGCGGTGTGCGTGAGATAAACAATCGACTCAACCTTGGCAAATGGGCTCCCCACGTGGATCCATCTGTGTGTTCCAGGCATATGTTCTGTGTCTTATCCCAGTAGCAGATCCGTGACCGATAGATGTTTCCAAGGTTTGGTCAGCTTGTAACCCACAGCGGGGGAGTTCCATCAATAAGAGGCGGCAATACCACAATCTAGGTGGTTGCATGAAGATAATCAATTGCCTTTCTTGCACATCTTACCGCTGTCATTGATTGCAGTGATAAATCTGAATGGTTCGTCGATCTAGGGTGGCCCCTGCTAAACTGGTAACACAACATGAAGTTGCCCCTCACCGTGACCTGCACAATGCTGCATCCGCGCATTTTTGGGTCGAGGCTCGACAGAATTTTATCTTTGCTACATTTCCTGCTTGCATTGCATTTCGGGGCGCTTCCGCAGCTATTTATTCCTCGGTGCGACCCACTGGAAGCTTCAGCAAACATGGGCCCCCAGCTCAGGCATAATTTGTCCCTCACTTCCAAGCTCCGAGAAAGCCCAACCTTTCGACAGAGGTAACACCTCCAGACATTCACGATGGTATGGGATTACTATAATGGCAAGATCCTGTTCATCACTGGCGGGACTGGGGTCATAGGCACTGCCCTCCTATACCGCCTCTTGACCCAGTCCGCGCCAAAACGGGTCTATGTGTTGAGCCGCGGTGGTTACTCGTGAGTTGACAAAGTAAATCAGCAGAGGTTCCAAGTGCGACCACTGACATAACAAATCAGAAACGCAAAGGCAAAATGGTCCAGTTTGATGCCGGCTCACTTTGCGAAAGTCCTTTATGATAGCAAGTGTATAAAAGTCATGGACGGCGAATTAGGTGACACGGCAACAATGAATCTATCCGATGTTGATCTACAGATGCTGAAAAGAACTGTACACATCATCATACACGCTGGTGCCACGATGGAGGTCACAAACTCGCTCCGAGAGTTATCATACAAAATCATCGCGCCTACCTTGTGTTTGACCCAGTACGCATTGAAGTTCGCCAACCTGGAACGGTTCGTGTTTCTTTCGACGGCATACACCAATGCACACCTGTGGAAAACCAGCAAATCTACCGATGTTCCAGTCAAAGAGAGGGTATACCCTCTAGGAGACGAAAGTGAAGATCGACCCTATCGGACAGCCCCGGAAATATGGAAACACGTACAGAAGACAGGCTCATCAGACGAGTACGACACACACGACTTTCCCTGGCCATACGCCTATGCCTTGCACCTTTCCGAGCGGCTAGTTCTAGAAAAGGCCGCTCAGAAAAATCTACTGAATAAGATTCTTATCATTCGCCCTTCGGTCATTGGCCCAGCGGATCACTCACCATACCCGGGTTTCACAACCTCACACCCAACCCCGTCTACTGCCTGTGCTGCTGCATATGCACTGCACCCCGGTCGGAAGATTATGCTCTCCTCGCGCTGCCCGAATCCAGATCAAGAGGTTACTATCGATGAAGTCCCCGTGGATGTCGTCGCAGACAGATTACTCGTGCATGTAGCCCTGGGCTCGAGCGGGTGTGTTCATGCTGTCAGTGGGGAGAAGGGTAGACTTCGGATTGAGGACTGGTGGCACGCCTTCAAAAACGAGCGCCGACTTCCTTGGAATGTGAAACCTGTTTGGACGTCTGAGGATTGGCACTCTGCGAATCTGCATCATATGGCACGGGATTTCAAGATCATTGGGACTTCTTTTGCGTTTTCTGATGAGAAGACCGATGCACTGGTGAAGACGATTAATGCGGAAGACTGTGAAAAGCTGATCCTCTATGCGGACCGATCGAAGCCGTATCATCATTCGATGGTTCATCAACGGCATCATATTCACAATGCGGCGAGATCGTTGGCGAAGAAGACTCGGTGGCCAGTTTGTTCAGTGCGGTTCCTTTGTCGGAAGGGTCCGTCTCCGTTGCAGATGAACCATGTGAATGAAAAAGCTGTGAAATAAAGTAATGGAGGGGAAACTTGGAAAAGCAATGATATATCGTTGAGGACTAGGTGAAAATGCTTTAGATGTTCGTCTGGTCAATAAGACCTCAGTTCTTTGCCAAGCAGGACGTCACTTTGAGATGTTAATATCTACTTTCAAGAATATATGTTGGTATCGTTTTCAAGTATATGCAGAAATTGAATAAACATTCAATACTATGTTCACTATCCAAGAATTTACCTAGGTTGGTGTTGCCGAGGCAAGACTAAGGTATTGACGTTACATCAATTATACCCCCACACCTTCATACCTTGGGTAACGCCCTGTACAAGACTACCAACATCGGTGTCCTGATCAACCTCTAGACCTCCGAGAGCCCCTAGCACCTACGACATCCCGGACCAACTCTCTACACTACCGGCGCCGCCGCACCCTGCCGTCATCTTCACCCCCATCAAAGAAGACAAATACCATAAACATCATCAGGCTCCATATTTCATTCAAACTATCTTAATCCCACCAAAGATGCGAGACGACTATACCGGATGGGAAAAATCCTCACATCCTGATCCGGATGAGGCAGACCCCCCAACTGCTAATGAACACAAAATACTCCGGATTTCGTTGAGAATTACGGCATGCCCAACGCAATTCCAACAGCCGACGCTGCTCGTCTCTTCATGTCACTTCGTAATGTAGACAGCCTGATCAAAGAGCGCGGGAGTCAAGGTATCGATAAAGGCGAGCGCGTTTCATGGCTACTGAGGGATGCTGCTATTGATATGCCGCGCTACCAGCCTGCTATCTTGAAGTTAGTGGAGACTGTACGAAGTCTTCCGGAGCTTGATAGAACTGAGGAACAGGTCCGCACATCACGATTTCAGGACATGCTAGAAAAGTGGAGGAATCTAGAAGCATTTGAGGAAATCTGGCAAGATATTGATAGCCATGAGTGATTTACTACTTCTTTTCGCTAAAGGGCATGACGCAAATTGGCCGTAATTCACTACGGACTTCCTTAACCTACCTTCACAAGGGCTATATTCTCAAGCCTGGAGTCTTGCTAATTCCCGGGCGCTGATTATAGGTTACTGGGAAATGCGATATGGTACATATCCCTTTAAAGGGTGGTCCGCTTTCACCAATTGTAACGCCTTTTCTGCCCATCATCTTGTTGCATATCCGCCACATGACCCTGATTCACCCGAGCTAAGTAAGGCATTACGGATTCCTGTCTTTGCGCTAAAGCAGGATCCGTGGAATTATGCGCCAATGCCAGGCCCGCCCCGTTCTCCGTCGTTCTTGAAGCGACACGGCCTTCGAGATACGCGCGAGGCTACAGATTATATTCTTATGCTGAGTGTTAGTCAAAAAGCACAATAATCACTACGCTTAGCTTAACTATTTCTAGCCTTGAGACTGATGTACATGCTATGTTTCCCTTTTTCGAAATTGCAGGGTCCATCATCTTTAAGTTTATAGGTGAGAAGGACCTATCTGGAGTCGAAACAGTAAAAAGGGAGCCTGCCTGGAATCTATGGAAGGGAGACTATTTATTTTCGATAGAACGGTGGAATTTTTGGAGGGAGCGACTGCAATGGGTTAGTGAACAGGATGAGCTAATGGCAAGAACTCGAGACGACGCGCGGAAGCTTAGAAGACTAATGCATGACATAGAGCAGGAAAGTCGGACAGGAAGTTTGGCGCACTAGGATTAGCATAAATACACAGCTATACCCTTAGAATAAGATTAGATGATTCATATAGTCATGAAAAGGACGTTGAAATATTCTAGTATGAGATACTACGGATGGAGTAGGGTATATAGTGGCTGTAGAGGAACGCTGCTATCTTATTATCTCTTCTATTTTTAAGTATAAGATGCCTTAATCTTAAAGGGATATTGAATAGACTTCTTTAGAGCCTAAAATAGGCTAGGTCTAGGTCGAACTTCTATAGCCTAGACCCAACCTGTGGAATTGTACATATGGAATACAGGATTTTTTACAAATAGGTTGAATTTCGTAAGGTCAAATGCAAGGCAAGCCCCAATTTTTGAAATGCTCCTCCTTAAATTTTCCGTTTTACCCTATAGAAGAATCGCGCGGGGCCAACACTTGTGATCGATCTATGGCAGTAATCGGAATACTCCAGTTGGCCGCGGCGGGTCCGCGGGGAAAATAAATTCTTTTTTGCCCCTCAATACTTCCTTATCACCTTGAACCAAACCTCGAAACCTCACTCACCAACAACCCAACATGCCTCCATCAACATGTTACAACTGTAAGGCGGCGCGCGCCGTAATTATCCGACCGAAAAACCGCCACAAGCTCTGCCGCGAATGCTTCATCCAGATCTTTGAACTCGAAGTCCACGAAACAATCACCAGCGCAAACTTATTCTTCCGCGGCGAACGGATCGCGATCGGAGCCAGTGGTGGCAAAGACAGTACCGTCCTAGCTGCGGTACTGAAAACTCTCAACGAGCGTTACGACTACGGACTCGATCTCAGTTTACTTTCCATCGATGAGGGTATTCGCGGATATCGCGATGATAGTCTGGAAACCGTGAAGCGCAATGCAGTACAATACGAAATGCCTTTGGAGATCGTCGGATACGGCGAGCTATATGGGTGGACGATGGATCAGGTGGTGGAACAAGTGGGCAAGAAGGGCAACTGCACGTACTGTGGAGTGTTCCGCCGACAGGCTCTTGATCGCGGTGCGGCGCGATTGGGTATCAATCATGTTGTTACGGGACATAATGCGGACGATGTTGCGGAAACGGTCATGATGAATCTGCTGCGTGGTGATCTGCCCCGGTTATCGCGTGGAACAAGCATCGTTACAGAGTCTGGGGCTTCGGATATCAAGCGCAGCAAGCCGTTGAAGTACGCTTACGAGAAGGAGATCGTTCTCTACGCGCATCATCGTCAGCTCGATTACTTCAGTACCGAGTGCATTTATTCACCCGAGGCTTTCCGTGGGAGTGCGCGCACCTTGATTAAGGACCTGGAGAAGATCCGACCCAGCTCGATTCTGGATATTGTCAAGAGTGGTGAGGATATGGCTGCTCTTGTGCCCTCGCAGGTCAGAGGAGCTGGAAAAAGCTGCAAGTCTTCTGCACCGGCTGATGATGAGGCGGCTGGTGGTTGTGGAAGTCAGAATGGCCGGACTAGTGGTGGAGAGATGGCTGCCATGGAGAACCAACTTGCTGCGAATGATACTGCCGAGTCTCGTGAGACGGAGATCCGAATCCCAAGGAAGGGCCTTGAGGCTAAGAAGATCAAGACTCAAACCTTGCAGTATTGTGAGCAATGTGGTTATATCTCCAGTCAACGTATCTGTAAGGCGTGCACGCTTTTGGATGGATTGAATCGCAACCGTCCGAAGGCCGCGATCGAAATCAGCTTGGAAGATGAGGAGGGAAGTTCGACGTTGGCGAGACAGATGGAGCGCACTCAGTTGACCAACAGCTGATTGACATTGCGAAGGCATACAAAATACAATCTCGTCATCCGCTCTCTATCTGGTGAAGCCTGCTTCTGATACCGGCCGGCCTACAAACCATATCTCTCAAACAGGCTGCTATCCCACGAGTCTTCGAAGAAGCAAGACTTGCACTACACAAAGTCTGACTTCCGAGCTGAAGTACTACTCAGAAAGCCCGAGAAGCTTCGTTTCAGGGCATCTCATGAGCTACAAGGTTAGCTCCTGGGAGACATACCCCCAACATAAAGGGGAAACTTGAATGTCTACGATATTCATGGGTATGAAATGCGTGAGCAAATTCAGATAGAAGGATTATCCATTTTACAAGTTCTCTATGTTTTGTACAGGTGATCATGAAGTAGTATACAAATCAAGCCTATCAAGGCACTTCACCCCAGTATATCGCAATCATCCACTCTCTGCCAATCCAGGTTCTCCCAAGCACCATATCAACTGCAGCCACAAGCCAATCCAATCCCTAAGTCGAATCGGAGAAACCCTTGTTTCGCGCAATATGCCCGTTCAGCTCGGAGCGAACAGCGCAGTGCAGGACATATTTGGCTATGGATAATCGAATGCACAAGTTATCCCAAGTTGAAAGTAACGTAAAGGTCTCCACGGATGAGTCCATGGCGCAAATGGATCACCAGGCCAAGTCAACGACATTCAATTACTCCGAACCCTTCCCCTTGTCTCCCTCAGCCTCATACAAAGAAGGAACATCAAGTCCAACCCTTCTAGCCGTAAGCCTGACCCTCTCCTCCTCATCCATACCCATGCCGGGGTTATATCTCTCAAGCAACTCAACATAAGTCCGCTGCGCGCGGGCATACTTAGCCAGTTGCTCAGCTTCCTGGAAGCGCAAAGTAGCTTCTTCCGCGGAAGTGGGGAGTGAGAATGGGACAGGCGGAGATGAGGAGGAACATTCTGTGGAGGTGGCGGAGATGGGTGTTGATACTGGGCTGGGACTGCCGGTTGTGGAGGGTGTTTGTTCTTGGGAGCGGAAGAGCTGGCGGAGGCGTTCGTGGAGGGGGGAGGAAGCGTTGAGAGTGCGGCTTTTTGTGGGGATCTCGCGGAGGAGAGAGCGATACGCTGTCCGCATTTGGGAGGTGTTTGATGTCATTTTTGTGGTTTGGGTAGTGTTTTGGAGGTTGGGTTGTTGGCGAGATCTTATCTGCGGTTTTTGGCGGATCGCGATGGACGGACATTGCACGTGACTTGGTGGTCTGGTCTGGTCTGGTTTGGACTATTGGTTTTGTAAGTATTATGGCGGTACCTAGTTCAACACCCAGGATACATTATGGGTAGACGTTTTCTTGTTTCTGTTACTATATGTGCATTAGATGATTACTGGTATAATGATTTTGTAAATCTACCACAGGTAGAAATTGTCATCCGCACCGCGGCTGTTGATCATGACTACATACCACATCAACGTGCTCCTATGTACAAAGTGTCGTGGCGGAGCCTCGCCATTGAATCACTGCCCCGAGCGTCATCATTCATGCCATGGAACAATCCAGCAAAGCATGCAAGCAAAAAACAGGGATAGAACAAGACGGAATAAAAGCAAAACGCAGTATATATCAATCATAGAAGCGTATCAACGTGAGGAGGGTATGGCGGACAGAGATAAAAACAAGGTACGCGAGCAAAATTGTTAGAGCATGCCAGGGGAATGGTAGCATGGTTCTTGGTTTGAGTTAATCAGCGTTTAGGCACGTAGCCAGCCGAACTTTTTCCGTACGGGCTCGCCGCTGGTGGAGGGTTCGATTTGCAAGCTGCGAGCATACAGATCCTAATTATGTTAGTCTGATTTTAAAAGATTTAGACAGCAGGCATGTCTTACCTCTTCGTCACCGGAGAGCTTGCAGTCGAGTATCAGCCGTTCGATGTCCTCGAACTTTTGAGCCTGAGGATGGGGTGTCTTTTGGCTTCGTTGAATACCAAGGACAGCCTCTCCCATGACCTCAAACTTCTTCCAGTTGATTCGGGATTTATTTTCACCGACGAAGGTCTTGTTTCCTTCTTCTGCAGAGACCAGATCGCGGCGGTGTAATGGCAGGAATGGAATCCTCTCAGAGAATGAGTTCTCCCATGCTAACCGGTAAGCGAAGTGGCTGCGCTGGGTGCTCATTAGGATGACCAGCCGCATGAATTCCTTTTGCATCTGTATCGGGATCAATTCGCGAGTCTGTGACAGTCGGTGGACAGGTGTGCCATTGATAGCAGCAATCACAGCCCCCAGAGCGTTATAGTTGTTTTGACGACGGAGTTTCTAGGCATACGTTAGCGTCTGAGACCAGCGCACAGAGAACATAGACACTCACCACTGCGATACTCATAAACTTTTCAAGACACCTTGCCCGGTGCTTGGGTTTGTCACGAAGTATGATCATGCTTGCCACGAAGAAAGCCAGATGATTGAACTGTTTGATCATCCGGTTGACATTGGCCAAGCTCTTGACCTTGTCCTTGTCAACGCCAGAGATACTGACATGACGCACAAGATCGCGTGGCCGGAATGAGTTATACATGACCCAATCGATACGGGTCAGCTGCCGAGCAAACTCTTCGTCTGGTGTCTCCATGAAAAGCCGCCACTGAACCTTGGTGAGCGGATTTCGTGGATGCAGTTCCAGACGGAGAGCTTCCTTTGCGCAGCTTCCAGGGTCAGAACAGTGAATGATTGGTTGAGGGTACTGGAGGGTTTGTCGGTATTAGATGAGATAGAGAGAGTTCCTGAGAGACGAGAGGTTGATTCATGCGGCCCGTCGCTGAGATCCAAAGCGCTCAAGCTATATATGGGGTCTTCTTCCTCGTCATCGTCGTCGTCGTATGTGCCAGTCAGGAACGGTGCTGGCGAGCTTCGGCCAGAGTTATCAAAGAAAGTCTCTGTGAGGCTTGAGTCATCCACGTCTCCGTCTCGGAAAGCCCAGCCTATGTCGTCGTCTTCGGCGTTCGTCTCAAGGAACGATCCGATTTCCTTCGCAGCGAACATGTAAAAATGGCTCTTTTCGAGCGTAGTGACGAATTCGTTGACTCGTTTGCGAGTCTTGGGGTAAGCAAAGTCGCCGGGGTAATCGGAAGCCCATTGGGCGATAACGTTCAGCAACCGCAGCTGATCGGCCATGCGGGCCAGCTGGTCTCCATTACTGGTTTCATTTTTGTCGAACCGGCTGATCAAGGCATTGAGAAGGGTTGCAGGGGCAGCGAATTTGCGATAGAGGCAGAGAAAAATGGTTGCGAATTTGCCGTCTTGCTTCGACATTGGCATGGCGACGAGACGGTCGACTAGGTCATCAAAAGACAATCCCGCCTCGGCGCTGCAATTGCTCTCGCTACTCGGCTTGGGCCGCACGACACTAGTCGGACTCAATGGAGCTTCTTCCATCTCGTCCTCCATATTCAGAAAGCTATTAAAGGCGTCCGGGCCTCCACTATGCCGCCAGGCGGTTTGCATACGTTGTGAGAAGCTAGGCTGTGGTTCTTGGGTTGGAAGAATATCTCCTTGCGCTGATGGTCGGCGGGTATTCACCCGCGCCTCTGGAGGAGATTGCGGTCGCACCGGCTGGGAATTACTTCGGGCATTTCGAGCAAAACTTGGAGCATTCTGTTGCGCCAGATTGGAGCGCGGGGCTAGGTCGGTGGGCGGACAATCACCGTTCCCATCGACGCTTGGGTTCGAAACCGACGGTGTCGAGCCGCCAGCGGCTCCCGGTAACACGGCGGTCGGGATTTCTGAATTGGTCCGACTATGGTGCCAATCGAGGGGTGGGGTGGGTTGAAAGGACTTGGTCGTTGTTCGCGGCGGGGGAGGGACGGATGGCGCAGGATTATTATTAGGGTGGTCAGACGAAGCGAAGTCTGGGCAAAGTGGGAAAAACGGCAGAACTGAATTAGCTCAAGTGTACCAAAGAGCGAGCAACGCCACAAATCTCTTCAAAGTCTCTTTTGTTAAAGGATTCCCTCGTTTGGGGCTCCTCTGTCGATCGGTGGACTCTGGACAGGAGGTGAAAAAAGGGTAGCGAAGTGCTAGTACCGTGACCCACATGGTACCATTGACGGGGGTCATGGCTCACTAACAATCCTTTTTGATCCATTGTTGCCGAGAGGACAAAGAGACAAGAAAACCGAAATAGAAAAAAAAACTCACCTGCTCGCATGGAAATTACTGCCCGGAGAACAAGAGCAATGCACATTTGCTGGGATCGGGGCGACTCGGGCGAGGTTCGGTAGGTCTCGTGTCGCTCATGGATAGCACCCAGGTCACTGTCATCCGGGCGCAGATCACATTTGCAGGCAACCAACAGGAATGGCAATGGGGATGCATCAAGCGAGTCTAAATACACCCAAATGGTCAACTCAACCCCGGTCAATCGGAATTGTGGGCGGTCCATGCTTTACCCCAGGATTACTGGGGTATGTATGGGGAAAGCTGCCCGGGGATGGAGGGTTATATCGGGGGATTTCGTGTGCAAAGACCATCAACCTACCTACGAGTTCTCTTGTTTCGGCGAATTTGTCCGGTTGAGTTGCATCGTGCAGCACCAACACTCCGTCAATTGTCGGGGGTGTATAATCCTTTCCCAGACCTGGCCAAAGGATATTCTTCTCATGATCGAACTGAACCTTTTTCAAATCAACCTCCAATAATCGTACGATGTAGACGGACCCATCCAATGACATCTTTTTCCTGGTCAAGATGGAGGAGGGCGTGCTTTTCATATCCAATGCGCATTTTATAAAGCTCGTCTTGCCAGCATGGTCCAAGCCCACAACAGCAATGGTCACTTCAGGGAGAATGGCTTTGAGTTCCTACAGACAATCGACTACCGTTAGTGATTCTAAGATTCCTCTTGGTTGCAGCTACAATCCTGCATGACCTATCAAAGCCACAAGATATCGGGACACACCTCATCACCCTGCCGGAAGCGAGACCGCTTGGGCGTATGATTTCCCGACACTTCTTCTTCCTCCAATGTCTGACCAAGTCTTGCAGCAGACCCCTGTCTTCGAACCGAATCCAGTTTGTAAAGTCCTCCGGTTGGGGCCGAGGCTGTCCGGCCACCCATACTCGGACGTTGTGAAGCTGCCGCGGACATCGTCATTGCTTGTGCTCTGTCGCTGGAAGCCCGCTCATGACGGGGCTGCTGGGAAGCCATGGCGCCCGGTAAATGGCGGGTAGAATGGGCGGACGACGAAATAACCAATTGCGACAGCGCAAGGGATCTTTATTGTGTTTGTTCAAGGAGCCCGCACTGCAGCGTATCCATTATTGCCGTGGAACAGATCAGATTCGGTCGCGGGGCGAGGCACCCATTTGACGTAACAAGGCAATCGTAGACGAAGGTTCATAGACTTTTTAGAGGGTTCCAACTGCATTCAATAGCTAGTTAGACCTAATTGAACAATCTGGGGGATAATGAGGGGGAAAAGCTTCATAACGCACCGGACTTAGCGAAATCGCAACGAACTCGAACCGTGGAACGGACTTCAAGCTCGAATTTAAAGAAAAAAACAGGAAACGTAAAACAAAGAAAACGTAACCCTTCTCTATAAATAAGAAACCCACAATTTCATGGACAGATCACAGTGGATGTACAATGATTTTTTTTCTCGGGAACGGAATTCTCCTTTCCCATTGGAGTCGGCGAAGTGCGGTAGTGGCCCGTTCTCCAGATCGCAAGCCCACAGTTCAGTTCCCATCTGAACTCGAGCCATCCGAGCCCTTCCATTCGTGGATTCACCTTCTTAGCTGAGCTGAGACCCCATACCCATTATTGCACAGCTGCTTTATGGAGTATGCGTTATTCAGATCGACGTAAAACTGTCATTCGTGGCGCCGCCACTCAACATGAAAATAAACAAGTTGACAGGATGCTAGGATGCTCGCTTACGGTACCAAGACAAGAATATATCCGCATCACGTCCAGAAGTTCCTAATAGGGTAGTTTCTACTGGACAGGGGGAGAAGCCCCAAGTCCAATGATGCTGCAGAAGTGGTGATGCTTAGTGGGATTCGCTCAATGTGACAGCTAATCCACAAACTGCACGCCTCTGGCCTCTCACTGTGCATGACGGAGATCGGCAGCTTTAGCTCGGCCCTTTTGTTCTGAACTGCAGTTGCTTCCAAGGCTGACGAGACGCACGGGGGGTCGACATGTCGACTTTTGGCTATGCCCCGTGCGAAAAGCCTGAAACTGCCGCATATCCGCCCCCAAATCCATTTTATCCTTGCTGAATAGGTGGTCTTCTTCCCCAATTGTACTGGCCTGTTAAGGCCTGGCCGCGTTCGGGCTCCGCTCTAGAGGGGGCATGGTTTGGTTGGGTCCGCTAAGGATGCGCTATAATGGCACTTGTTGAACCCACTGGGACCCGGCACTTCGGTTGCGCGACGGGTCTTGGCTCGAACATCCCCATATTGTTGGGTCTTTGTTAATTAAAAATGGCACGTATGGAATATGTCAAGGTCAACGGCTTTGATAGATTCTAATGTACAGAGAGAAATAGATTGAGAACGGGTTCGTGGTGGGTCCCACATTTCATTGTCCCGCAATGATGCGCTATAGATCCCGCTACGGGGGAGATGCTTCCGAGGCTCATATATACTGTCTGAGATAATTGGGCTCCGGTTATGCCGACTTTGGCATCTGCGTACTCGGGTTATTATTGACCAGGGTGAGGAATTGCATGAAGGCCTCGGCCGTGACACCTGTCTCTGTCCCTTCTTCGCAATCCTGTCTTAACTTCCGTACCTTGCCGAGGGCACGGTTGAACCCTTTCTCCGCGGTCCATGGCCCCCGACTGCGGCGAGTAGGTCCCTTTCCTCCTCGACCATAAGGTCGTCCTCTAGTCGGTGGGGTGTACCACTCGACCCATTCGTCTTCCTGTGCCGCTTGGTAAATTTCCTGCAGCTGTGCGCGTAGCTGGGGGTAGCGCTGGAGGAGATCTTGGAGCTCAGACGGTGCGGCGCTAGCAACGCCAGCTGCAGAAGACGATTTTGGTTGAGCTTGAATGTTCCCCGTATCTGGCGCGGTTTCACCGTTAACCGGGGGTAGAGTGTTGGTGGCTGATGTCTCGGTTGCTTCCTCGATCGAGGCTTGCGGCTTGGGAGCGCAGTAGATCTTATGAGACTGGGTACAAGCAAGCGAGCAGCTGGTTCGACGTGAGTTAGCGATTTGATTCCATCAGTAAATTCAATAGCGGAGTTGATACCTCATCAGACCGCATGCTGGACATCGGTATTTCGAGGGCTCCGAAGAACACACCTCACAGGAACCAGGCATTTTATTGGGCAGTCCAGGATCCTGTATAAGACACGGGTCCCGTCATACTTGGCACGTCGATGCGCCGAAGTTCAAGGTTTGGAGGGGAAGTTCCTGCCTGCAGCGAACATTCAAAAAAAAAATAAAGGATAAGAAAAATGAGATAGAGCTCCGATTGCTGCCTCAGGCCACAATACCCGCTTCATCGGGAGCTTCCCTACACGTGATAGCGACATCGCTTGAATCCATCGAGGTTTCCTGCGCAATAATCCATATATTCTTGCCAACGAGAATCCTGCTTTTTGGTCGCCAGTTCTTGAGACTCGAAGCTGATGGATGACATATTCTCAGGGCTGATCTCCCGCGACGGCCCGGTTCGATGTTGATGGATCCATCAATCCACATCAAAAATGGGTGGCGTTCCGTATGGATCCAAAGGCTGCAATACATGCCGCCGACGGAAGGTCAAGGTACTGTCAAAATTTCCTAGACAGAGGGTAGTGCCCAATCTACAGAGCGTCCAATCCTGACCCCTGTTTAGTGCGATGAGAATAAGCCAGAGTGCATACGGTGCCTGAAGAACGGCCACGTCTGTACCGGGTATGAGAGGAATCATGTTTTCATTCACAACACAACTGACACGAAGGTTCTGGCTCAGCGGCCTCGAGGGCGGCCCCATGAAATTGTTGTCAAAAAAGTAGCAGCGACATCATCCCCAGTCGAAGTGGATACTGATGTCCCCCGCTTCAATGTCAACGTGCAAGTTAGGACACAAGTCGTGGCAAACTTTATTGATTTGTATGCGCCATCGGCGCTGGTTTATGATGGCAAATCTGGAACATTCATGCATCTTCAGGATACCTTCCCAATATTCATTGGGAGAACTCCGGTCCTTGATAAGGCTGTGACAGCGCTGAGCTCTGCCTTTCTGGCCAAGCGGAACCAAGATTACCAGCTGCTGTCGTACAGCACACGGCTCTATGGAGAATCTTTGCAAATCGTGCATCGAAGGATTCAGACCGGGCGCCATTGCAGTCAGGACTTCTTATTTGCTACGGTCATCTTCCAGTTGTACGAGGTATGCGCTATTCCTGGCAGCAAGATATGGCCTGAGTAATCATACTGAATGGATTATAGTTAATCAATGCTTCACCATTGGGATTCCAAGCGTGGCTGGCCCATGTGCAGGGAAGCAATGCGATTTTATCTCAACATGCCAGTCCCAGCCCGCCTTCAGTGACAGATCATCTGTTTTGGCGTCAACTGAAATTCGCCACGGTATGATCATTTCATATCCAGAGTCATGAACAGATTAATTGATGTGGTCGATAGATCTGTGATGCTGTTGGGAAACGCAAATCTGTCTACTCGTACAGTCCCTTCTGGCGACATCCGTCACTGGATAATCCATGGCGGGAACCTATTGATGACATCCAAGACTTCCTCATTGAATGCTCCGCCCTCATGGAACAAGTCGACGAACTGATACAGCGGGGAAATCCAGGCTTGCAGGATGATATACATACCGGCGAGCGGTTATGTCACAGTTGCCTATTATTGAAGGATAAACTTGACACCGGCTTTGGTGAGATGCAAGCGAAATTGGGTATTCCTTTTTCTTCTCCCGATCAAAGGTCCTTCTGGAGCGAACTGGATGACTCCATACCAAGCGATCTATTTCCGGATGCTATCGAATATCCCTCCATCAGCTGTGCACAGACACACTTACTTTGGTGGACTACGTATATTTTGGTCTATCCCTTGATTGATCAATTATTCGTCTTTCTTAATCGAACTCGCAGCAATGTCTCCTTTACTTTGTGGACGGTTCCAACATCATCGTCGCCCACAAACACTCCATCCTATACAAGAACAGCCGACCTTCCAGATGACCTCCTCGAAGTTGCTGAGCATTACGCAAACTTGATTTGCCGCTCAGCGAAATTCCTTGCACAGCCCGGAACAAAGGGCATGGGCGCTCAGGTTATGCTTGCTCCATTTAGTCAAGCCACCCAGTTCTACCATAGTCAGGAAGCCACCGATAAGCACCGATGGTGCCAGGCAGTATTCATGGTTCTTCCCCGACTAGGATTCGGAATGGCGTCTTTTATGAAGGATCTCATCTGGCCTAAATACGAAGCTGCCACAAAGAGGACTCCCACCCCTTCGCCTCAGTCCCAAAGTGATCAGGATTCCACGCCTTGATCCGATCTCACTTTCTTACTTGTATATACGGTATATACGCGAAACTTTGTCTCATATGTAACTTAGTCTATATCACACGATAAAAGTATGATTACAAAGTATCTCAAGTGTATAGCCAATATTTAATTCGCTATTATCAGCACGAACCGACTTCCGAACTTCGGCAGATCCTGGTTGCAACGCCTTCTCTCTCATTGGCCAACACAGATCCAATTTGTAATCCAGATCACATGACACTTTCATTGCGTCAGAGTCCGGGCCGCGGCGATTCTCAACTTTTTAGACATTATTTCCATTGTCTACATTGTTGTTTTGGCCTGGTAACTTCACATTTCAACTCCAAGATGTCAGTCAGCTCAACATCCACGAACATGTTCCGACGCGCCCTTTCCAGCGCTCGAGTTTCCAACTCCATCTCCAAGTCCATCAGACCCGCCGTCTTCAGTCCCTGCAGGAGCGTGTCGAGCGCTGCGCGCCTGCCCACCATCACAGCTTCAGAGACTCGCCGCCGGCCAACACTAAGACCGAACCAGCAGCCTGTGGCCGCGACCGGTGTGAACGGACTGTCGCCGACCAGCAAGCGGACCATTTTCATCCAAACCGAGAACACTCCTAATCCTGATGTATGTTCCATCCACACAGACACCATTCAATGAGCGCATTACTAACGCAAGACCAGGCCCTAAAATTCATTCCCAATCACGCCGTTCTGCCCGAGGACTTCCCTACCTCTTTCCTCGAATACCTTACTCCCCGCTCCACTCTCGCCCCTCCCTACCCATCTCCCCTCGCCGCCAAACTCTTCGACGTTGAAGGGGTCACCTCTGTCTTCTACGGATCAGACTTCATTACCGTCACCAAGGCCGGTGACGCAAACTGGGCGCACATTAAGCCTGAGGTTTTCAGCCTGATTACACAGGCCGTTACCTCGGGAGAAACGATTGTGTCAGTCGTCGAGGGCACAGGTGAAGCAGGTCAAGAGGTCGAGGAGGATTCGCTCGCCTACAACGAGAACGATGACGAGGTTGTCAGCATGATTAAGGAGCTTTTGGAGACGCGAATCCGTCCTGCCATCCAGGAGGATGGAGGTGATATTGAGCTACGTTCGTTTGAGGACGGTATTGTTATGCTGAAGCTGCGTGGAGCGTGCCGTACTTGCGATTCGAGTACAGTTACGTTGAAGAATGGCATTGAGTCAATGCTGATGCACTACGTGAGTTTTCCCGGGTTTAGTGACTGTATATGTTGGTCAGATTACTAATGTTTTTGGTTTTACAGATTGAGGAGGTCAAGGGTGTTGAGCAAGTTCAGGATGAGGAGGAGATCATCTCGATGCATGAATTCGCCAAGTTTGAGGAGAAGCTGCGACAGCAGAAGGGCGCCGGGGCCACGGCCTCTGCTCCTTTGGATTCCGCCCCGTAAATTGGGTATTTTGTTTTGAACTGTACAATATTCACTGCATACCACTCTGCCGAGGTTTATAGATAATCAAAATTTGAACTGCGACTCTTAGCGCTACTTGGGTCTCGTAATGGAGGGGTAGCTGCAAGCTGATACCATCATATGCATTGCCTAGACCTGGTCTATTGAGAAAAGTAATAAGTCTGCAGGGATCTTTGTCAAAGGACCCACTGTTATGTGCAAAGGCAATTGGAGAACGTCCCGGAAGACTATCTCCCGGCATACCTTTTTATAGAGGCTCTGTAAGATCCGACCCTAAGTAAGCGGGGGTGTGGTGCCTAGAGCAATATAGGAGTGAAGTCGTGAATGGTTAGGAAAGGTTAGGCATGGGCCGAGACTAGAGAGGTTCTATACCAATTACGAGCATGGGCCAGGAGTGATTGCGGGGTATGACGGTCGATTTCCCATGGTTAAGAACCACAACCCCTCTTTGTATATTTGGATCTGAAATCATCGAGTCCCCAATGACCTCGGATTGTCTTTGTTCGAGACCATGTACCCTTTTTGTAGTGCTTGGTCTAACGAGATATCTGTCTGGTTCGTGGCCAGATTTTCTTGTTTGTGGAGTTGGGTATGCGGCTGCCACCCCACCATACGTCAACCATGTCAAATGAGCCGTGCAGGACATTCTAACCCGGGTGTCCGGAGCGCCCGATGATTCGTGCCCAGGCCCTAGACCGTGTTCTTTTCAATTTACATTCCCTGCTTAACTTTGGCACTACTTGCACGTGTATCACACATGATTTTCCTGTACAACTTGCGACCGTTGGAGTGAGGCATATCTACTTCAGCGAATCGAGTGAAAGTTAAAAAGAATAACGAGAAGTAAGGAGATCGGGAGGGACCGAATGATAGCGGGGGAGTTAATGCAGGTGAGCTCTCCCCGCAAAAGAAGGATCAGCCCCTCTTGGCCCAGGGACTCCATTCCGTTCCCCACATCCTATCGTAAACTTGAACTTGAAGAGCATGATCCCGGGGAAAGCAAATCATCGAACCCCCGCAAATGTGCAACCCACTTTATGGACCGTGCGAGGCTAACTTCTCTTTCTTTTGATTGAATGCACGGGTAACAATGTGGGCTGACCGGGCCTGCAGGGCGGCTTTAATGGAGTCTCTCGCTTCACAAACCAGTGAGAAGCCTCGAATGAGAGTCGGCTTCCACCTCCTAATTTCAGACCCGCACAACCTAGGCCGGTTAGAAGCGTGGCTGGGGGCAAAGTAGAAGTAGAGTAATATGTATCACCGCGTGGAATCATCCGTGATGGTCCGTGTCCCCTGAACGGGGCGACGTTGCCAATTCCGGTTGCCCCCTCTTATACTCTGTATAGCATACTGCTGTAACCTTTCCCCCCTTTTCCTCAATTTCGCTTTTCTTTTTACTTTTCTGAACTGAGATCATCTATCCACTTGAGACTCCCAACCATGCATCGCTCCTGAGGGGATTTGGTTGATCCACAACGTCATCCCGAGGTGGTCACGCTACCCCAGCTCCCTTCAAAAAACCTCCCGAGCGCATTTCCACCCTTCAAACCCGGGGTGGCGATCATTTCGATCATTTACGATCCTAACAAGCATCCCCCTCCCCGCCCCAATTCTGACACCCGCGCATCCCTTACTTTGCCCGCTCTCTGACGGCCTACCCTGATTCCATTCCCCGGTCGCGGTGCTCGTGTGGAGACACTGAACGCGGAGTGATTCTGACGAGACCCACGATCTTCTTCACGGCGCTTCTGTTTTTTCGAATAGAATTCTTGAAGATCCCTTAGACTTGGTGAGTCGCGGGTCGTTCTTCCTGAATTCTGCGCGCGCGATCTTATATTCATCCGCAAGACTGTGTGCTACAGATACGATTACGATCACGCCCACTTTCTGCTTCTAATTTCATTGATATCTGATTTCGGCTTCCGACTTTCATCAGGCGTCTCGTGGGATTCATACGGGTCCAAAGTAGACGCATCCTAGATCTTCTTTTTCGCTAGGTACGTTGCTCACAAGAGCGCTTTCCTTTTTGTCGCCTCATCGTGCCGCATCCCCTATCGATCATCACCATCATTCCATGCCCACTCTCACATTTACCTTGAGACGCATCACCGAGACTCTTCCCCTGTGCGATTGAGACCCTTCACTTTCCACCGCGCATATATTGCCGTTGAGGTTCCCCCACTTTTCTCATGATGAGCCTCTATCATGCCACACTCAACACGTGCCCCGCGCATCGTGGACTATTTCTGCACGACTCACCGTTGCGATTACAATTCATTTTTGGTTACCCCTGGATAGCTAACATTTTCTTCGCAGTGTTGCACATAGCGCATTCATCCAGCCATCCATCGAAAGATCGAGATTACCTCCCTCCCTTCCAATCCCAATCTCGTCGAGCGCGTGGGAACAAAGACTGGTGCTTTGTCGCGTGTCCATCACAATCCACTAGTACTCTATACAGTACAGCCTAGTTTCTTTTTACCCAAAGATATCACAGGTCAGCAAATCCCGTGCCTATCCTACCTGCACCTCTCTGGGGTTTAGGTTCAATACTTTCTGGCATTGAATACACCGTGAGGAACTATATGAACTGACACCATTCCAGTATCAATTCAGACATCATGGCCGCGCCATCCCAAAAACAAAAATTGTCCCTCCAATCCAACACGCCTCCGGCGGCGAGTGCTAGACTCGAGAAAATTCACCCGGGAGTGCGCCGATCTACCCCAGATTCAGAGGCTCTTGCTTCGTCGGATGATGATGGAGACCATGCGTCTGTGACACAGAATATGATCTCGTCCCCGATCAAGCCTCGACGTCGAACATCATGGCTCAACGAGGTTCCACTCTCGGTACAAAGGAAGCACTCTCTTCCTGGTGGCCCCCTCTCCTCTGCTCCCTCTAACCCCACAAGCCCCGCGACTGATCAAGCGCCCTGGGCGACAAACCCAAGCCCGGGCATCGGTGGTTCGTTCAACTGGAATCAGTCCGGGGGCAGTACATTCCCCTGGGGAACGGGTATATGGAACAGTGAATCCCGCAAGGAACCACCGTCACGGCTGGCAGAGATGGTCCCTTCTCCGACCATGACCAACCCCGCACCTCCTCCTATGAGCGATGACATGCTCAGCCCAATCACTCGTACCATCTCTGGTGAATCAGCCATCCCATTTTCTATTCCACTGCACCCAACTCTGAAGACGTACCGTTCCCAGTCATACTCTGTTGGACAGATGGACCCTGAGCATCTGGGGATGATGGCCAAGGTTGGAGCTGGAGCTGGCAGCCAATACCCGAGCAGTCGTGCTCGAGGTCCCGGACAGACCTCAGCTAGCCAGCAACGTGGACAGCGGCCCAGCGTCCTGGGTGAGTTAGGACATGACTCCGCCATGCTCGGTCGTGTTCGCGAAGACGATGACGGTGGTGAAACCGTGAACAGTGCGGAGGGAGACAGCTACTCAGCAAGCCAGGCCAGGCAAATCGAACAACTCGCACGTGAAAACGCACTTCTCCGTCAAGCGGCAGCGGCAGGCCAACTAGACAGCCGGTACCGCGAGCGTGCACCCTCATCTGCCTCGACTGGTGGTGTTCACCCACTTCATCGTATCCGAGGTGGTGTACCCGAGGAAGATCTCGCGGGCGAGGACCTTGGGGAATTACGTGACATTTCCGGTTATGGTCAAATGCGCGGCAATGGCAGGCGACGATTCTCTGAGCATTCCGCCAATTTAGAACAGCAGTTCTCCTCGTTTGCCACTCCTCCTTTGGAGAACCGGGCACTAGAAAACGTGCGCAAGGCTCATTGGCAGACCTCGCTTGGCTTTGGCGGTGTTCCTGAAGCTCCACAGAGTCGTCGCCACTCCTTTGCTGATATCTCTCTGCGCCATGACTCGGTTGGCTCGGTTGACTTCCACAGTACTGTCACCCCCCGTGCTGGACTTGGAGATCGGAATGATGGATATGGCAACGTCAACGACGGATATGGAAACGTCAATGACTTCCCTAGTGCCTTACAGCAACAATACTATGCCCGTGAGCAGACCTTGCGTGGCGATGGATCCTCTGGGATTCCTGCGGCACTTAATCAATACGCAATGTCCGGTGCCTATGGCCGTCAACCCCCAGCGTTGTCCCATGCCCACCAGAACCAGCTTCTGTACATCGTCACATTTAAATGCCATCGTGCGGACGTGTTCTATATCCAAGAGGACACTGGCCTTCAAGTCAAGGCTGGTGATCTTGTGATTGTGGAGGCTGACCGAGGAACAGATCTGGGCACAGTGCAGCATGCGAATGTAACCCTTCAGAGAGCACGGGAGCTGAAGCAGCAGTATGCTGAGGAGCACTACAAGTGGCTCATGATGTTCTCCCGACAGGGCGTACTTGAGGGTGGTTCCAGTGTAGCCAACGGTGGCCCTAACCCTCGAGGTGCTGCCGAAGGAATGGGCCCGCATGCTCATGGTGTTCAAGAGACATCTACCGAGATCAAGCCCAAGCTCATCAAGCGCCTCGCTCAGAATCATGAGATTTTGACGTTACGTGACAAAGAAGGAAATGAGGCCAAGGCCAAGCGTGTCTGCCTGCAAAAGGTCGCTGAACATCGACTGAACATGGAGATCTTGGACGCCGAGTTTCAGATGTAAGTTAATCTCAACCTCGCCCTGTTTGCTATGAGAGCCGAGACTGACTATGATGCAGGGACTGGAAGAAACTCACCTTTTACTACTTCGCTGACTCCTATATCAACTTCAACTCACTGGTCACAGATCTGTTCAAGATCTACAAGACCAGGATTTGGATGTCCGCCATCAACCCTGCTTCGTTCGTGACGCCACCGACTGCTGGCCTCACCGGGCCCAGTGGGATGGCCAACCCACTATACAGCCAAGATGCGCCTCATGGAGAGCGGCGCCACCAGCAGGAACGGCCTTACGGAGGCCGAGATGACTCTGGGCGTGAAATGGCGAACCCCGTTGGCATGCTTCGTACTGCCTTCACAGACACTTACCAGCCATTCTCCCAGTCATCCCGGCAGGTAGATGCAGGACAGCCTGATCCTTTCGCCCCATACTCTCCCACTAGCTACGGAGCCCTGGAGACTGGTTTCTCCGACTATCCTTCCGGGGGTGCGCCCAGCACCCGCATGCACCCAGCACAGGGTGAATGGGCCAGCCGATTCCAAGGCCTCTCGCTCAACTCCTAAATTCCCACCCCTTCTCTGTACAATTCGAGTACCTTCGATTTTCTTGCCCGGTTTTCTGGTTTCTGGTTATCTGCAACGAAAGAGATTCACCCGCTAGACCTGCTCCATGATTTGCTTCTTGCTTTTTTACCTTTTTTTCCGCGCGAGTTTATGCGAAAGAATGTTTCTAGTCCATGGTTCTGAGATTTACCTTTCATTCTTTGACCCTGTACTACTTTGTTCAACCTAGAATTCATACCCCAAGGTTGTACAACCAACCACACACTCGTTACCATGTTCTCTGTTTTGTGTTTTCCTGGTCGTCTCGTTCGCTTTATTCTAATAGATTCGCCTCTTACGACCAAACAAATGTTGACATTAAGACTGGTTTGCGCTGCGCGCGTCGTTTCAGTCATTTGCAAAATTTTATTCCATTTTATTCATATCAAGTTTCTTTTCCATCAAGATTGGATTTACTAATCCCTTTCGAGGTTCACTGAAGTTCAAGTTTCTTCTATGTATGGAGGCTCTCCATTTATTGAGGTTTTTCTTCGACATTGGTACTAAGTGGGATTCCTTTCCGACGTTATATGATTCTTGATTTAATTTATTTTAATTTGCTCAAGATGGGTTTTAGCTATACAAAATTGTGGGAGATGATATGGGAATCGAAGCTAAGATGGGTCAGATATAGGGTTTGCAGATACTTGAAAGTCATATTGTAATGTGCTTGGCGTATCTTCTTCATCACACGTTTAGCCCTCTTATTCTCCTCGAAAGGATATTCAATATAACTCTTGTAGTGTGTTCATTGCTTAATGCTTATGAGTAGCCAATTATAATAATGGGCCTTTGTGATATATAGCGAGATGCACGATTTGATTCATCACTTGTATCCACTGTGGAGCCGTGGCTTGGACTTGACTCAGAGATCTTATCTCCAGCTTTCATCGCAAGCACCAAATAGATACCCTGCGCTTAGACGATTCGAGTTTGTTCTGGGAATCTGCATCCAACCTGAGCACCATAATTTGTATATCTTGAAACCTTTGAATGCAAAGACCTCAAGCAAACTTGTCATGCTTTCCCTTAACCTTAACATCCAACATAACCTCATGAAAATCACCCTCCCTCCTCGCCCTCCTCAACCTCTTCACCTCCTCCGCCTCCAACTTCCTCCCAACAATCCCCTCCAACTCCTTCTGACTAATCTTCTCATAAGCCTTCGACTCCTTCGACGCCCTCAGTCGCGGCTTAAACCTTGCTTGCATACGTATCCGCACACCAGTCTCAAATGAGATATTCTCCGCATCACCACGGATCTCCACACCAGCAGACGCTTTGGCATTCTCCTTTACACAAAGGAAAGTCTCCGCATCTCCACCGCGGGTCTGCAGATAGAATGTTCCGGGGATATCGGGGGATGGTATCACGATGAAGGATTCGTAGTGTCCGACTGCTGAAGCGGTGGCTGTGAATAATCCGTGGTTGTCGCAACCGAGGTATCTAACATGCATTAGCAACGACCATAACCACACAGCTAGAGCAGGAAATTTGGAAAACATACTTTCCATGATGCCCCTTAAAACTAAACCCGTCCGTGCCCGCAACCTTGGTGACAACCCAGACCTGCCTGACATCATGCGGCTCGGCTGTCGCTGCGTCACCCTCAACGAGATTCTCCAGCTCACTCGCGAAGACAACGCCGTTCGGATCGCTGGCTACGCAGGTGGGTTTATCGGATGGTAGTACTAGCACGATTGGACCGCCCAGATCGGTCGGCGCGTCAGCTGAGACCCAGCTTGTGTCGTCGGGTGGGTTTTCGTCTTCATTCTCTTGCTCTGTGGTGGTGGTTTTGCGGGTTTTTGTGACCGTTCCGTCGCTATCTTCCGTGCGGGTCTTGCGTTTCTTCGGCTTGTCGCCTTTGAATGTTAATGGTTTGACCATTGTGTGTGGTTTGGTTGTTCTGGGTTGGTGACGGGGTCGAGGTGAGAAAGTTAAGCTGCGGGCTTATCGTTATCGGAAGTGGGTCTGATGGATGAGCACCTTCGAGCTTGGGAGGTCTATTGACCTTACGAAGATATTGAATTCTGAATCCAACGTTGAATAATGATCTAATTCTGCAAGTCTAGGAAATATACTGCGATCTATGTGACTAGTCGGTGGTAACCTTCAGAGTCGTAGTGAGAGGTAGATCCCGACTCGAGGAACCAACATAAATCTTATACTCTCCACTTTGGAGGTGCCACTTCTGCGCTGTAACATCCCAAGTACTGAGATCACGACGGGTCAGTGAGAAGGATACCTCAGCAGACTTGCCAGCCGCAATCTTAACCTTGTCGAATCCACGAAGTTGTCGAACAGGACCACCGGGGATACCTACGTAGAGCTGGGCAACCTCTGCACCAGATTTGCTTCCAGTGTTCTTGACCGTCGCAGTAACCTTGACGATACTATCCCATAGATCGACCTGGCCACCCTGCTCGATGACACCACTGGGATAGGCAGCGATACCATCCTCCACAGAGGAAACCTTAAGCCCCGAGAATGCGAATGTGGTGTATGAAAGACCGAAGCCGAATTCATAGCGTGGCGTGATACCCTTTGCATCAAACCACTTATAGTCTGTAAGCACACCCTCGGTAAAGTTGGACTGCGGGAACAGCTCGAAGGGCTTGACTGCGTAGTCGTGCCAGTAGGCCGGGTAGTCGGATTCATTCTTGCCAACTGTGTACGGGAGCTTTCCACTGAAGTTGTCATCTCCGTAGAGCAGGGAAGCGATAGCACGACCGGAATCCTGGCCGGGGAGATGAGCGAAGACAATTGCAGTGACATTGGGGTTCTCGGCGAATGATTCCACCATACGGGTTCCGGCATTGTGGATGACGACGATTGTGTTGGGGCAGGTCTTTGCAACCTTGGCCACGAGGGCATCGGAGTAGCTATCGTATGTTCCGGAGCGATCGAGTCCCTCGGTAGCAAAGGCGTTGATAAACACAAGGCAGGCATCTGATGCTTCCATTACACCTAGTAGATCCGGGTTGGCACCGGTATCCCACATGACAACGGTGTTATCCTCGTATGCGCGCTGCTGGAGGGCGTCCAGAGGTGCACTAAGGTATGGACCCGCGTTGGCACCGGAACCACCTCCGACGCTCAGAGTGCCGTTGAAAGCAACCTGGAAATCATACGGCTCATTGGTGATGTCGGAGGTCTCAGACATTGCACTAAGCCAGGACAGGACTGGCTCATAGCCATCTTCCCAGGCATCCGTTGCGAGGACATTGCTGGGCATGTACTGAGAGGGAGCGGTAGCATCCCATCCAAAAACAGACAGCAGTTTTGGCGACTTCAAAGGCAGCGAATTGTTGACGTTCTTCACGAGGACATGGCCTTCCACGGCGCCTTCGAAAAGTGTAGGCTTGGCCTCTTTAGTGAGGGCACTGACAATCTTATGGGGTCCACTGATGTTGTAAGGCATTCCAACTCCTAGCGAAGGGTAGGTCGACGAGTCCTGACCCATCTGGTACCATGTTGCGATAATTCTGTGTCGACATTAGCATGCTTGGGCTCATATCGATAGTACCGCATGGGAGGGACATACCTTGTTGCCATATCATCCAGGCGAGAGAGCGGAACACTACCATTTGTGATGGCTTTAGTGAAGTCCGTACCCCAGTAGGTCTCACCAGTGGGCATGGCCATGTCAAGACCAGCTAGTGCAGCGCCCACACCAGAGTGCTGACCATACCAATCTGTCACGACAAAGCCATTGAAGCCGAGTTCTGTCTTGAGTAGACCGTTGAGTGTTTTGCTGTTCTGGCAGGCGTATGAGTTATTGATACGGTTGTATGAACACCTAGATTCTATTAGTCACTTTCATGAACATATGTTGACCATGAACTGACATGATGTTTCCAGCACCTGCTTTCAATGCATCTTGGAATGGCCATAGGTATGCTTCGTGCATTGTCTTATCGTCGATGTTGCTGGAGACGGACTCTACAGTCTGGTTATCAGAGTTGGCTGTAGGGTTCCGGTATAATTCTTGTTCGTAGCCGATAAAGTGCTATAAGGGATCATCTGATCAGTAATAGTTCGAATTTTAAGGATCATCGCGCTTGTTACGAACTCACCTTGACACTCGTGATCACACCTTGGCCTTGCATGCCCTCGACGGTCTGTGCCGCAAGTGCACCACTCAGGTATGGGTCGCTAGCAACACCTGTAATTTGTTAGACATATCACCCAATCACTTGAAGTTACACATACCTTCCCAGTTTCTTCCATCCGTGGTGGTTCTTCCCATCGGCGCAACAACAGGACCCAAAGCAACATTGACACCCTTTGTCCGGAACTCGCCCGCCATATGCCACCCGCGGTCGTGAGCAAGGGACTTATTCCAGCTATGAATATGTCAGTGATGAGCGCCATACAATAGTGTTCTTCTCTTACCTAGCACCAACATGAATGCCACTCGGGTAGCTGTTCACGAAATCCGCCATGCGAACTCCATTGCCCGCATCCTGAAGGCACATGCCTGGGAATCCAAGACGTTCAATAGCTCCAATGACTCCAACACAGCTCGTGCTCGTAGAATCAATTCCAAAAGTGAGGTTATTCTAACAATTTGTCAATTCATCTCCAATGCACTAAAATGTCAATTACTTTACCTTCTCCTCCAATGTCATCTGCGCAACCAAAGCTGTGGCCTTCTTATAGGCTGCAGCCCAATCACCAGTTCCAGTGCCATTTGCTTTATGCCATTAGTCTCTCTATAACAGCATAAACAGAGCGGATCGAGGGGAGACATAAGAGGACATACGCGACGGGTATACAGCTGGGGAATCTCCATAGAAGTAAGTATCGGAGGTAATATCGCTTTCAGCATGACCAAGTCCATAAAGGGACAAAACGGCCAATGTCAGGCCAAATTTCTCTAAGAACATTGTGCCCAAAATCGCAAGTGTCTTGACGCGTCCACGGGCGAGGGGAACAGGCGAAGGCCCGCGCTCCTCTTATATGTGCGAGTCACCTCATCTACTTAGCAAAAAATTGCAGCTCGGCCTGCTCACCGGTGATCTCATCCCGTGAGATCCGGTCTGATTGTGCGATCTCCAGGTCAGTTTCCCTGTTTTGACAAGCCATTTTGATCAGATGCGCTAGTGCCTCTCCACAGCAACTTGTACGAGAATCTAATAGACTACCAACCCCGCATATGGGCTCATATAGGGTCTGCTGCCCGTGGGGTGATGTCCGTGGGGTGCTTTCCGTGGGCTTAGTCCATCGGTGGTGACGTTGTTACGGTTAGAGGCTGGGTAAACCTCGGGGGAATGCAAGCCATGTTGCGGCCTGAAGCTCTGAGGCTGCGGAGATTATATTATTCCTTTGTATCAACAGAACCCCAAGTGGTGGATTGTGGTACTATATTACATTTTTCTTCAGTAGTCCGCCTCATCTAATCTTCAGTAGAAAGCCAAGATAGTCCTTGCAATCAAGCATTTCTCGTGTTCAAGCCCACACAAACAAGCCTCCGGGAGAGGAAGAGGCGCGGGCATTTATCGGGTGTACGAGCCACTAGTCCAACTCAGGCCGTGCGAGATGATGTGGAGGACATGAGCCGACTACAGTGTGGGGAGAATGTGGGGCCCCATGCGATTCAATCCGGGGTTTACAGGGATACAAAGTACAAATTACAAATCATCATAACTAGAACGGAGAGAATAATGAAAGGAAATATTCACCTCCAACTTTATACGCGTAAAAAATATCGGTATACATGTCTGTGCCCTAATATGTTGTGTAGTATTCCAAGGTTTTATGGCGGAAGCCTACCGAGGTTCGTCCGAGCTTAGCAAGACGCTATTCACCCTGAGCACAAGGGAACTCCGAGTGGGCCCATTTTTGTGGCTCCGTGTGGGTGTCACAGTGGGCCTATGGAGTATGGGATTGGTAGCGATCTCGGATCGGAGAAGAAGCTCCAAATCTAGTACTGATCTTCGACCTCGGGTAGTCCGATAGGTACTTGCCCCGGTGTCGAGATATGGTAGTAGTGTTGACGCCTCGCCGTCTTTCTTACTGTTGTTTGATCTTGATACACGTATATCCAGGACTTTGATGTAAGCCTTGGAATTTCTCTACTCTCTGGGCAGAGTACCGTATTAAATTTTCATTGTAGATCTCGGGGGTCCAAAATCAAGCCAAGACCCATGAAAAAGATACACGGTTTCAAAGGAAAGACCAACAAAGTGAATTGTGAATAGCATCAAAAAGGCAAGTATTGTTGGAAAGTCAGACACCTGGGCATAGGGAAAAAAGAGCAGCAAAGTTTGGGTAGCATCAAAAAGGCCAGTGTTGGAATAGCACATGTAGCTACAATATAATTGATTAAGCTGGATAATATCTTACAATCCTTTAGGTCCATCGCTATCATGCTTATCTAGAGCCCCTATCTCACGAACCAAGAGGACGATCCGCAAATCATCGATGCATTTAGCGAAGATATCAAAATCAAGACGGGAAGAAATAAGAAAAAGGCCAGCAAAACAGAGCCTAAATACATGGGCAACAAGCAACCCTCCTCAACCAAGTAAATAGACAAATATTTCCAACCAAGCAGATCGATACCTAAGATTACCCTCATTCCCGGAAAAAGTCACATCTCACACTGAGCTTAACTGCATACAAATAAACACCAGTCCGGATTCCACCCGGGTCGAAATACCCTGCCTCCTGTTGGAAGATAGGGTTAAGAACCACAAGCCGCAAGCTATCAAGGTCAACCAAAGTTAGCTTTATATGTGTCTTATAAGTGAAGTGGTACGACGACACTCACCACGTGATGTCGGGCGGACTGAAGGTCCTGCCTGTCTCTAGCAACCTGGTTTCTGCTTGTAGCAGTACCTAATATCTTGTAATTCGCGTATGTTTATATACCACGTTCTTCATCTCCGTATTTTTCCCCTGACAGAACGACATTAGGAAAAAGGAAGATGATCGACAAGGCCATTGGTCCTAGTATACATAGAGAGGTAACAGATGACCTTTAACTCAATAAAGCCCTTTGTATGACTATGTAGTTACTTATTGATTGATCAGCGCTAGCAACTCTACATTTCAAGTGGCTTGACTACCAAAGTATATGGAGTAGCAAATGACGTTCTATAGATGCTGATCTTGTCCTGTGGCATTCTACCAGTCTGAACCATTCCGAAATACTCTTTTTTACCGCCTCTCAAAGGCTTCACCCCCGCCACTTCTTCACGGCAAAAAGCATGTATTGAATGGCTGATTGGCATTTCGATGGTAGAGTTTTCAAAGTGTTACTTGAAATTAACTCGAACTTGTGTTTCGTTACTGTGGATTTCGCAACAAGAGATGTCTCAATAAGAGATGATCGAGGTTACCTTGAGCGCATGGTATGGATACTGGGCAACAAAGTTACACAAATTTGACAAAGTTCCAAGGTTACACCGTCTCTGGCAAGCATGGAGTACAGACTTGGTGTTTTTGCCACTGATAATCATCTGAATCATCTATTACTGTCCTTATTTAGTGATTTTACCTTTAGACCATAGAAAGCTGAGCAGATATTCAGGTTTATAGCTGATCCGAACCCGGACTGGAGAATTCTGGGAACGGGAATGATCAGCAAATTACCAAGAGCTGTGGTGTTATAAGCAGTATGATCCAGACAGCGCTGCTTGCCGACCCAACTGAAGCGGAGATCCTTTGGCGAGATACATGTAGTGTTCTCCGGCTCTAAATGGCTGGGCCATTGTGACCTATTTCACCAGCTCTACGTAGGCCTCGACGCCTACACTGTGGACGGCCACGGAACGATGCTCTGCCATGCCGCCCAATATGTTTACATAAACCGACTTAACGGAACATATACCCCGTTCAATTCCTGAAGATTATTGGGCACCTGATCGATGCCCTTCCTGAGGATTTACTTGCAGCTAAGTACATCGACTAAAGCACGACTGACCAGCTGTTTTATGAGCTAATGGCCTATAAATAGATGCTTTGGAGCAACAGAGCATACGACTTACGCAAGCTTCGCAATTTTTCGTCGCAGAGTATAGATATTGGCGTCACTCGGACGCACTTCGTTCAAAGGAGTTAGCGCGGTAGGTAGGTAGGTACTATCGATTATTGTGCGGCGAGGATGGCGTAACCTATCTCCTGACACCTCCCATGAGGTATTAGGGGCACACGAAGCTAGTGTAGATAGTTTCTATTTAGATAGAGTAGTAAATCACCCGTATTCACCATGAAACCATCCTCCTAGAAAGCAGCCCCAAGCAAAAGGCAGCTATCACCAGCTCAAGATTCCTGGCTTCGGGAAGAAGACGAGATTTTACGAGACCATCATGAACCACATGCCGACTCGCACTTTAATTTTCTGTCACTAGCGGGAACAGGAGGAAGCAGAGAGCATAGAACTGTACGGAACATCGAGCTATGGGAGAGATATGAAGGGAAGAGAGAATGCTATCTGTCAGTCAAGCGCTGGAAATAGTCCAGGGAACAATCATGCGACTCTGACAATTCTCATCAACAGCAAGACTCAGGTCGATTTTGTCGACGACTACCTCTACAACCAGCACATGTCACCAATTGCTACAAGAAAACCATACGCAGTCACATAAAGATCTATCATAGCTAAGCAAACGTCTAACATTCCATCACTCAGTCTTCAAATAATTACCAGTTGATTTGTCATAGAAGTGCATTGTGGCACATAGTCTGAACGGTGCCGAGTCCCCTCTAAACCGGGTAAGCTCCGATGCCTGTTGAAGGTTATGCCAGATAGGTACTATGCCTAATTCAGTCGCTCCAGGATCTTCAGTGCCACCTCCGTCACCTAGATAATTACACTTGAACAACCTAAATTTTCCTTCTCTTTTCATCGTCCACGCATTCCTTCCAGATACCCTTTCAAATCAGTACAAGCTCAGTCAAGATGGAAACCGAGTATGACCTGTGCCAGAAGCAGTGTGATGAGTTGGAAAAGATACTCCGCTCCCTCTTTCCCTGGGAAAACTTCCTCGATTATCCCGACCAACGTCTGGCTGGCATACAGACCTCTGATCTTGGAGTACAGCTACATCATCTCGATATCGAAACCGGTGATATAACCCCTCCCGACAAACCCTACTTTCTTCCCAGAAGGGATTTTCCAGACATCTCCAACGATTGCAAAAGTTCGCTCCATCGGGACTGTGTTCTTCGGCTGTTGAACAAAGACTTCGAGAATCAAAAGACCGATTCATGGATAGAACACGGCTTACACACCTACATATCCCTCGCCCTTCGTTCGTACTCATTTGATCTGGATAATGATATAAGAAGCAAGTTTTTTTGCATCAAGTATGTTGGTTTCCTGCAGGATTTCTGGAGGTGTGAAGATTACTTACTTTCTCGCCTTTGTATAGTTCCCTGAGCCGATACGATTGGATCCATGACTGGTGAGCTTAAATCCTGCACACTTCAATCTAATACTTCCAAGTTCTCTAACGTTTGATTTACAAAAGGGATACCGCGCGCAGGGAGTCGCAGGAATTTCATATGTGTGTACATGATGAGATCCCCCACGCTTCACTATTTGTATCGCGGCCCTACTGTCCTGAAGAACCGAAGAAGGTCCATAGCCGCTTAATTGGGAGGAATGGGCTGAACCACGGATGGGCAAGGGCGGATATCAAATCCTGTGGCAATGATGAGCTTCCTTCGATTGAAGAGGTAGTGGTGGTGGCGGGCCATCTGGTGAAGGCCGCTGACGCCCAAAGACGATCAGTGAAGGAGAACCCTTCAAAAACCTTCGATCGTGTTTCCCCGGTGAGCGTCACGATTTCCCTGGCCTTTGTCGCCACATTCCTAACAGGATATAAAGAGACTCGTTGTAGTCGTTGATTTCACGGGGCGCTGTCGCGTTCTTTCCGCATACTACGATGGAACGCTTCACGTTCATTTTACGCGGATCTTAAATTTTCAAGAGTTCACTGCTAGGCCACTGACAGGCAAAGTGTATCTTGATAGCATCGACAAGGAAAAGTATTTCCGAATGATGAATCTCATTCTGAAATGGACATGGCCAATCGCGGTTGGAACCACACACGGAAAAGCAAGATTACCAGTGACCTCGGAAACGAAAAAAAGATTATCAGAAGCTCCGGTCACTCCAAGGGCCAAAATATCGGGTGCGAATCATCAATCGATGGTGATTAGGATCATTGGCTAGGGTGGCGACTACGTGATGTCGAAACAGGAAAGGCTTCGGTGGCCAACGAAGTCGCTTTGCTACGAATTAAGAATGACATTACCAGCAGCGATACTAACTTAAGTATTGTCACCCATTTGAGCTGTGCAGACTGTATACTGGCTCATACGTGAGGATTATTAGAATGATCGAATAAACTTGCCACTCTCATTCAGTAATACTGCTCTGATATACTCCAACTGTAACATTCATTTAAACTTTAGTCTTCCAGCGTAATCATAGGAGGTACTTGCTATTCAGCTTGAAGGGGGAATTTTTTTTTTTTTTTTTTTTTGGAATCGATTGTGTGTGGCTTCGTCGAGTTGGCGCCGAATTGCACAGCACTGACTCGAACAGGGGCAGGTCAGCACAGTCTTCCTTCTACCCATTCGACTCTAGAGCAAGAAGGGTAAAATCGATGCGAGTGCAGAAGGCTTTGGCAAAAGGGTGGAAGGAAAACGCTGTGGAGGCCAGACATTAACTGTGGCTAATGGAATGCGAAAGATCGGACTACAAAAAGATGGAGGAAAACGAGGATCACGACTAGAGGTTGCACAGCTCTACCTCCCCTCGCGTTCCTCTCGGGCCCCCGTGAGATTGTCTTCTCCGTTTCTCAAACTTCTTCTCTCATCTTCCTAATGGGAATCTTTTATCGGACTTTTCTGTCTCATTTCAGTTCTAATATCGTATGACTTTCGTGTTCCAGATGCCAAGGCATTGGCAAATAAGCCTGCAATTGGGCCCTGGGGTAGGAACATCTGCAGACCCTGCGTTACCGTTCGAAAGACGGAGACTTGTCTGTCTTGCGCAAAAAAACATGCAAAAAATATGCATTCCAGACATCAAGATACTGGCATCGGTGGCCGCAATGTACTCAAGGACCGGACTGCTATAGTGATATGATATCGATCTATTTCCCCCCAAATAATGTCCTTGTTTGGGTCTCAGACCGTCGCAGAGTCTGCATTTATTTTTATCTTGCTGATATCTTTCTTTGAATACTAATATCCTTTGCAAGTGTAATGGTCTACATCAGCTCCTACATCACTCCTACACCAGCTCCTACATCACTCCTATACCAGCTCCTACACCAGCTCCTACACCAGCTCCTACACCAGCTCCTACACCAGCTCCTACACCAGCTCCTACACCAGCTCCTACACCAGCTCCTACACCAGCTCCTACACCAGCTCCTACACCAGCTCCTACACCAGCTCCTACACCAGCTCCTACACCAGCTCCTACACCAGCTCCTACACCAGCTCCTACACCAGCTCCTACACCAGCTCCTACACCAGCTCTCACACCAGCTCTCACACCAGCTCCTACACCAGCTCCTACACCAGCTCCTACACCAGCTCCTACACCAGCTCTCACACCAGCTCTCACACCAGCTCTCACACCAGCTCTCACACCAGCTCTTGCATCAGCTCCTACACCAGCTCCTACACCAGCTCCTACACCAGCTCCTACACCAGCTCTCACACCAGCTCTCACACCAGCTCCTACACCAGCTCCTACACCAGCTCCTACACCAGCTCCTACACCAGCTCTCACACCAGCTCTCACACCAGCTCCTACACCAGCTCCTACACCAGCTCCTACACCAGCTCCTACACCAGCTCCTACACCAGCTCCTACACCAGCTCTCACACCAGCTCTCACACCAGCTCTTGCATCAGCTCCTACACCAGCTCCTACACCAGCTCCTACACCAGCTCCTACACCAGCTCCTACACCAGCTCTCACACCAGCTCTCACACCAGCTCTTGCATCAGCTCCTACACCAGCTCCTACACCAGCTCCTACACCAGCTCCTACACCAGCTCTCACACCAGCTCTCACACCAGCTCTTGCATCAGCTCTTGCACCTTTGTACATTGATCTACAGGGAAATGCATCTCGCTGATCGGATGTTCTCCGCTCTACCTACCCCCAGCTTCCCTACTTCTGCTCTCTTACTGACAACTTCGTTTCAATGCAATGCCGATTATCAACACAGGGTACATTCGTCTCTCAAGGGTCATCTGGACGAAGGCACCGAGGCGATAGGCGCAGCCATCACCCCAAAGCCGCGAGAGCATGCAAAGAATACTCTCGGGGAAAAGACAAGGTCAAATAATCGGCCCCTGCAGTGTGACCGCACTGACTCCTCGCTGGCGCGCACTTCGCTCCTCACACGGAACTTTGACTGGGAACACGGGCCTTTGCGAGAAACTCGTCTGGGAATTCGTGTCACTCGATTCGCATTGGCTTTATGTACCAGCAGGTCAGCAAGGCCAAGACAATGGGGTCTCGGACTTCAAAAAGACCTCAGCGACGCATCGCGGGCGCCGAGCTCTCCGGGGTCACTAGGTTCTACTCCAAGACATGCATATGCTAGCGCGCAGGTGGTGATACTATCTCATAGCTTTCTTTTTCTTACTCCCTTCACTACTCCCCCACATCCTTTTCCTCCCCACCTCTGCCAAAGCCTCATCATTGCGACAGCTGGCCCCCTCGAAATCAGCTCCTTTGAGCCTCCACCAACCATGACACCTAACGCTCCATCGGACAACAAATCTACACGTAGCGCGCCAATATTCCGGAGGGTTCACATAGACGTACAACCGCTGGGATACCATCAGGTGCGAGCTGCCAGGACGGCCAACACGGACGCGGATGCAAATTTTCATCATGTAAGTGCGTGCAAGCCGGGGATATTCCTTGTCGAAAGTGAGCGGGGAACATCATGTAACTATAATATTCATCTTCCTGCATATCTCCACCGAACATTATTTTCTTGAAATCCTCTATTATAGTAGACTAGTATGGTAAATTGTACACATTGTACGGCGTTCCGTGGTTGTATAGTAAGGCGCGCCCCTGGAAGAAAAACTCTGCAAAGTGGGCCAAGGTGAACCAATCTTCCGCTGGAATTTATGAACGCCGCAGCACCCGACACCGCCTATACTGTAGTATGCTGCTTATTCAACGTGATCTACATGTCAGTGTGACAGTGTGACAGTGTTTGAGTAGCCTCACTGACATTGCTTTGACATTGATCACCCTGTAGGCCTGATCTTACGCACCATGGACACCCTGAAACCCCGACCAGAGCCGCACCAAGATCCACTTCTTGATTCTGTGTTTGAGCTAACGTATCCGTACTCTGTACAAAGACCTCGGAGTCTCGGATCCGCCCCGACGGTCATCCCTGGACCTGCATGTGGATATCGCGGAAAGTAGTGTCCGGGCCATCACCGACGCTAGAAAGGGCTTGCCACAAGCTAAGCACGATATGCACCTATCACAATGCATTTGTATTTTCGGGCTGGCCCGAACAGTGTCGATACAGCGCTAATGAGTGTATTCGGAGAAACCTCGATGCGCTTGGCTTCCTAGTGCTGGGCAAGATCAAATTTGTGTGCCTCTCCCAAGGTTCTACTAGTGAAGCCTTAAGTCCCCACTCGGACTAATGAGGCGGATTCGCTCGCCTTTTATTAGATACACAAGCATTAGATTCCACTTAAGTACCCGCTTATGCACCATTCGAGATGCCTTCGAGAAGACGGAACTCTCGGATCTTTTTTCCTCCCCTAGACCCGTAGGCCCCTATTGCCTCTCGCCTTACTCTAAACATGGCTGTGGCGCTCTCAAGGTTACTGGTGAATGGCGTTCTCCTTGCTATTCCAATCGGTGCCAGTTTAGGGGTATTGTTCGGGATCGACGCTTACCGATCAAATCATGGACAGGCGGCTCTGTTCAGCGGAGACACTGACGGCACTGGAAGCGGAGGATCGACAGGTTCTGGCGGTAGTACCGTCACCAACAATGGTGTGAACAGCACCATCTACTGCCAGCTATCGTACGGCATTACACCAGCCTCGACAGGAGAACAGTTCACATGTAAGTTGACTGAGGCTTAGAATATTCGCCGAGGTTGAAAACTGGCTGACTCGGAGGATTTAGTAAACCCTAACCAATGGGGTGTTACGGATAGCACTTCAGGTGCACTTTGCATGAATGTGAGCACTCTACGCAAATGTCTGAGACCACATATGCGAATTCGCTACTAATGCATATCAAAGATCACCACATTCAATAATGAAACCTACCCGACCAAAACAACCGCCCCCGAGTTCTCCGTCACATGGCAGTTCGACCCCGGCTCAGAAACCGCACCAGTGCATGCCTTCCCCAACATCATGGTTGACGGAGTTCTCCCTATAGAGCTAGAGAAGATGACGGAGATCGCAATGGATTTCCGATGGACATACGGTGTGGGCGATACACCCGCGGAATCAACAAACACAACGGATCTAACTGCCAACTCGGCCAACTTCAACGTCGCGGTCGATATGTTCTTCGACAGCGACAAAACGGCCGCTCAGAACAGTAGTAAGGCAAAGTACGAGGTGATGGTGTGGTTTGCCAAGATTGGCGATTCAACCCAGCCGAATGGAAACCAGACGACGACCACGAGGAAATTGGACGGCACAACGTTTGACCTGTGGTCTGGTACAAATGATGTTGAGCAATACGTCCTTACCTGGGTGGCGACTAACGTCACGGATACGTTTACTGGAGATATCTATCCTCTTATCACCGATCTATACGAGCTTAGCGGAGATGAGTACCCTTCTAGCACGGACTATATGGGTATCTTCAGTTATGGCTCTGAGGTGTTCTCGTCGGACAAGAATGTCACATTCTGGTCACCGAAATTGTCAATAGACATCCAGAAATAAATCTCCGTCGAAGATACCTCCTGGTATCATATACTATATCTAGCAAATCAAATGAATCTACTTAAGTGAAATTTGGTGTATGAAATTTGAATTAGTCATGCCGTTGCCCAAGATTGGAATCAACCAGACGCGTTGATGGCAGGCTCTCCACCAGAGGCGGAAACACGCCACAACAATTGAATAACCGGAAGACTACGGAAACCTAGGTCTATGCTTCTTTCAGTAGTCTAGGATATGGGGGAAAGCAATTCAGAGCCAAGCTTCGATAAGTAAAATTGAGAAACACCAGAATTGTAGCCTGGAGGCTGTATTGAAGCTGTATATACGTCTTCAAGACTAAGCAAAAAGTAAACAAAGCACCTGCAAGTGCGGCCAAGAGTAACCTAAACATCCGAGATGCAGCTCCAAAAAGGAAAATAAAGAAAAGAGAGGGAGAACCCTGAAAAGCATCGTCAGCTGTTTAGGACCTGAATGGCCCACCAGTGGGCATAACGTCCAGCGTCTATCCTTGTAGATGACCCGAGTCCAACAATTGCAGGGCATGGAGAGAGTAAAATATCATTTGAGGCCAAATCCCTCGCTGTTCAATACAGCATCCCAGAGCAGCTTTTGGAACTTCTCGCGTGTAGCATATCGGTACAGGCTCAGCGTGTTGAAGCAGGTTCGTGCTGTAGGGTATCGGGGAGAGTCGTCGCCCAAACAAGCCAGTCGAATGGTCAGACTTGTGGCACCCATAGCGGGTATGCGGTCACTACCGGTAACGAATGACAGGATTTTCCGTTGCGATGGGGGCGGGGCAGTCTCGAAAAAGTCCCAGAACCACTGGACTACAGGAATTGACTCAGGGCGGTGGTGAGACCAGTTATCATAGGTGGCTACCGCACGCAGGGAGGTCACATCGAGTGGCTCGTCAGAGCCGCGTACAAGCAGTTCAATTTCCTCTGGTCTGAATAGTGATAAGGCATTGCCGCCGCAAACTGTGAAGAAACCCCTTTTGAACGGTTCGTACTGCCGAGCTACCGCAGTGTCCAGAAGATAGTAGACGTATGCATCCACAAACTCTTGCCGGTTTGCGTTTGTGACGGGTCGCTTCTCGCCTCCTGTGCAAAGAGGCACACTGACTATCTCTCCGTACCGGTCGGTCTGGGCAACGAAATCATAGCAAAAAGTTTCGGCAACGTCTCCTTCGTATTCCAGAAGCATACGGAGACCTTTAGCAAGTGCTGGACGGTACTCGGCAAGATCATCCAACGTGCATTTGAACTTCGATCGTTGAGAGGTTGCCGTCTGCGGAGCAGTGTTCTGTGGTGCTGAGGCCAACAATTTTCTGAAAGCAAACGGCGGCAGATCCACGTCGAGAATTGTAGAGTTGTAAATGGCAAGTCCGAGCAAAACCCCGACCAAGAAAAATTGCTCGGATGATTCGAAGCAGAACGGGTTGAAGTAGCAATACTTGGAATCGTCGTCGTAGATAAATAGTCCTGTAAGGGGTCAGATACATCAATCAAAAACCTTTCATATTCTACTTACCATGATGCGGATCGAAAACCTCACGGACAAGCAAGAGGAACCACTCCTTGCGCAGACCTCCAGCGTCGATTCCTTCCTCTCCAACGAATTCAATTCGAAGGCCCTTCTTGATCTCCTCTTGGCCTGTGCCTACAACTTCACTGACACCACGAAGACTATCTTCGACTAGGCATTCTCGCCGCACCTTCAGAACAAGATACTGGCTGACCGCCCGGTGGTTGAGAATGCTGCTGAAAAAGGCTTCACGGGCTTTCAGTTCCATTTGACGGCGTGCATCGTGCTCGAGGATATGAATCTTTGCCCAGATGCTGAGGAAGAAAGGGTACTGGCAAAAGGAAAACTTTGAGCCTCGTGATTCCCAATTCTCAAAGTCTGCCACCAGGTCTGAATAATCTAGCAAGGTGTTGTAGAACGAGCTGATAGGGACGACATAGTCTTGGATATATCTAGAGCCGTTTGCAGAGTCGTTTGGCCGTATTCTCGCATCTGTGCCTGTATCGAGCCTGCGCGGCGCTTGGGAAATGTTTGCTGTAAACAGCAAAGACATGATTCTTGCTGCTGATCTTATCTGCCAGTCTTCCGCGTAGACGATAGGAGACTCCTGCTTCTTAGGAGGTGGCTTGCTAGGATGACGACGATTGATAGCAGCATGCAGTTCAGCGGGAGTATTCCCAGAAGCACTTGCAAAACTTGGAATTAAGTCATTTCCATCTTTGGGGTTCTCGCTGCGCTTTCGACCATGCTGGCGCGTCAAGCGATACGTAACAAATCCACCAACCAACTCCACCAGGCGTTCAAATTGACCCGGTGGATAACGCGCGAACCAGGACACAAAGTAGTGGTGACAATCATTGGGCATGTTAGACAGCAGACCAAGAATTCGCTTCAGTATCCCATAATGATGGTTGGAGCTTCCAGAGCGAGCAATCGGCGCAGAAGCATCTTTCCGGGAAAACTTTCCATCTCTGGTTGTTGATCGGGGGACATCTTTTGGATGCGATGGACGCCGTTCATCCCGGTGGGTTGATTGGAGCATTTTAGGTGAAGCGTAGGCTATTGGAGATGACAGTAGAGGGTTCGCCAATAGGATGAGTAGAAACCGAGTGTCTTCTGGCTTCTTCAATAGTTTCCGAGGACGCTTGAGAAGATTCTCAGTAGCCTTCATCAATGTTCGGTGGAGATGCAGCCGAGATTCGGTAATGTCTTTTTCAATGACAGACATGTCAACTGACTCCCATCTCTTATATCTAGCCAAATCTGTGCCCGGACGTGGTGATAGGTCCGGCTTCTTAGCTGCCCACCTCTCCGACCAAGAGCTTCCTGCAGTCAGAACTAGCTGGTACCACTGGTTGGCTTCAGTCCAGTTGATCCGAGGGCTTCGAGATGATACTGAACGAGACTTATGCGGGGCTCGTTCCTTAGCATTTTGGGGTACTTGTCCCTCGGCCTCGGCCCACTCATTCATCCACCAAGTTGAGTTCTCCGCAACATCTCCCAAGAGAAGAGTTTTTGCATCAGGCTCGAACACGGGGGCGTTGACAGCTGGGTCAGGTACGCTTTTAGGATCGACTTTCATGCGCGGAGGGTTACCACTGCTAGCAGACCGGATGGACGGCTGGTAGACGGGAAATGACGCATTAAGAGCTCCACAGCCTTTGAAAGCCGCAATGATGTAGTTTTCAAGTCGCTTGAATACTACTGGCTGGTTCTCGTGATCTTTTTCCTTGGTGCTTTTAGGCTGTACTGTCGGCTGGGGTCGCTGGCCTGCTTTCGAACAACTCTGCAAATCAGAATTGGCACGACTCCGGATAGGCATGTCCTTGCCTTCCCATGGGAAAGCATGTGGTTTCAGGAGATTTGAGTTCTCCTTTGTCCCATAAAATCCGCCTCGCTCAGTTGACGTGGACGTGCTCCGGCTACGAGGATCTCGTGGGGTTGAGAGCTTCCCAGGAATAGAGACAGAGTCCGATACCATGGGATAAGGTTGGCCATTTGCTGAGCGATCCCTGCCTACGCGGTTTTCGTCCGGCGTCACCCCTGAACGGGATCCATCGAGGAGTGTCTGGAAATACGCAGCAATACATCCGTCAATAATACGCCTAGTATAGTTGATTGACAAAGGCGCATCTACCACTAGTTAGCAAGATTCGAAAAAAGGAGAGCTCCGTGGTGAAATACCTGGCTTCGGCTCATGCGGTAGCGGTGGGAGCTGGGACTCGGGCGGGTCTGGGGGCAGTGGTTTTTGTAGCCGGTCTTCCAGATTTGGATCAGCTTGATCTTTCATTTTCTTCGAAAGCTCCCCATCAAGGTCGGTGACCATCAAACAGGAAGTGCAGCGGTAGACTTGCAGGTGCCGAGGCCAGCGCACAGTCGAGTTGCAGGTTGGGCATTTCCCTTCCGCAAGATCACTTCCTGGTCCTCCCTTAGGTACATCCTTACGAGGACTTGTTGTGAGGGTCTTGGCTGGGTGTGTGTCCCCGTCAGAGTCCGAGTCCGAGTTCCAAGCGGCATTTTTGGGCGTAGTCTTGCCACGCTTCTTCACAAGTCCGCTGAATGGAGAAGTAAACGGGTGACTAATGGAGCGATTGTGCCCACGGCGGTACGGGCTGGTGGGCGAGGTGCCATTCATTGAAGGCATTGTCCGGTCATTCTGAGCCTGAGACGGGTATCGCAGAGCGTTGTCAGAGTCGAAGTGTGAAGGAGCGTTCGAGGCAGCGAAGCCGGAGTTCGAGGTCGATGGAATCGGTGGATTACGTCCGGACCGGGATGGCATAAGGGTGCATTTGTTCCAGTCAAGCTGGGTGGAATGTTCGGGATGGATCAGGCCAGGTAGTAAGCCAAAAGGTGGAGCTTGGGCCTCGTGCTGAACGCATACAAGTCGTTCGTGGGGGAGTTGACGATAACGATGGACAGAGGACAGGAGAGGTAACTACTCCCTTTTTCTCGAGCTAAACTGATATTGAGCTGCCGGCAGCTGACAGGAATCTTTGTCAATTCAAGTTCAGAAAACAAGAACAAATGAGTGAAATGAAAGAAGGCAGAGAAAGTTGTATGTTCATAGTCCCTGGACGGATTGGGAAAGCGGGCTAAGAGTGAACTGGGAAAGCGCGGGCAACGGAGGAGTGCCTCAGGCGGCAACGGTCCTTGCTATTTTTGGCTTGGGGCAACGCAATCCAAGTGGGCTGATCCAATGATCTACCTTTTAAGATATTTTTTAGCTCACAGAAGTACATTTTTAGACCGCAATTGATAATGGGTATTCTTGATAAACCTAGATTTTCAATATAGGTGGAGTACGCACGAGATTGCCCCAGAGTACGCGGCCATTCCGGCAGGTCTACTGTAATACAACATACGAGGACCAGGTGAAATTACAACCACCATGCTACCAGTGGCAGTTCTACAAGACCGTAGCGGCATGGAGTTGAACCAGTCATACTTCGTTAATCAAGGGGGGATTCAACATAAAACAAAATGGCTTTTTGGCTAAAAACAGAGCCTTCCGGTCTGCATTAAACTCGGGCCCATGGCAGATGACACTGCTCGGGTGAGAAATGTTTGAAAAGATAACCACATGCAGCCAATATTTTCCAGCCTATACCACAGTGCACTAGCGCACTTAACGGTAACGCCAGTAGCTCTGGGTGTTCTGGAGCTTCCAGGTGTGGCGACGGCCAGCCTTGGTGTTGTTGTAGCGGTGACCCTTGTTGATACCACGGGACTTCTTGCCGGTAGCAGTGAGACCACGAGCCTCGCGGTGCTAAGAAAAAAATTTTCATCAGTATGGCTATTCCGTAGATAATAATTTTGTCGAGATGGAAGAAAACTCACCTTGTGGACGGGGTTGCAGATCCAGTTGATGCGGGCATCACGGCGGATAGCCTTGTGCTGGGGGTCGACGAGGATGACCTCGAAGTACTTGTAGGTCGAGTCCTGGTTGATCCAGTAGGAGTTGAGGACGCGCAAGTTGGCGCAGCGGCGACCGACACGCTCCTCAGCGGTGGCGCGGAGGGCACGCTGGTACTTGAGCTGGTTGATACCGTGGTTGGTGGGCTTGCCGTAGGTGGCACCCTTGGGGGCAGGGCGCTTGCGACCACCGCGGCGGACACGGACACGGTAGACGACGTAACCCTGCTTGGCCTTGTAACCCAGACGGCGAGCCTTGTCGGGGCGGGAGGGGCGGGAAGCACGGTGGATGACGTTCAGCTGGCGAAGCTATATTGATGCACTCTCAGCAAAGTTCAACGAGTGTATAGCAAGACACACGAGACAAAGTCTCTTGCGTGCCACAAATCATTTCCGCCGCAGGTTCGTTTCGAGCCACCAATACCAATATTCAGGCATTTCCTATGGCTGTACGCATACGAGCGCTCGGCGGGAATGTTAGGCAATCGAGGGTCAGGGGATTTTTATCTCACCTCCCAGCAGCGAACGCGGAGCAAGAACCGAATAACATCGGACTGCTTCTTCTTCTGGATCTCTTCGACGTACTTGAGGGCACCCATCTGAACAATTGCGAGTCAGCGATTAGAACTGAATGATAGAAAGTCGTTCGTGGTGGTGATCATACCTTGTCGGCTTCGTCGTCGGTTGGTCGTTTGTCGCAACTGCAAGAAAAGTTCACGAAAGAAGAGAAGAGAGGATTGTGTGTGGGACGCTAGTGATTAACCGAGTGTCGGTGATAAGCCAATCACGTTTGTGTGACCCACTTACTACCAACCCTGGATTGTGTAGAGCCTCAGGTGTCTAATTTCGGGTTTCTTCCGGATTGGTTCCAGACTTCGTGAACATCAATGCAGGAGGTGGCAATCATGAAACCTTAGAATAATGGACAAAATCACAGAAGGATCAAAATACATTTATAAATAACATGTCACTCATCAACCGATGCAATATTATATACAAAATTTGAGATACTCCAACAAATGCTCTCCATGCAACTGACAAATGCACCTGACACCCTTCTTCCCTTTGTATATTCATGGGAAGGATAAAAAGACAAACAAAGAGGAACAAAGCTCGCTCATGACTCCAATCGCTCAGATATTTACTAATGCTTGTGGATTTTGAATGATTCATCATGATGACCTTCATCCACTGCGTCGTGAGGCATTGTCTTGACGAACCATGTGGTTCGTCACCGGGATTTCAAGGGAACCCAGCGGCAACACACTCTTCTTACACAGAGGACACAGGCTGCTATTTTCCATGAGAAAAGGGTCGATACATCCGGGGTCGAAAATGTGACCGCAAGGCAGTTCACGGACCGTGGACGATCCAACAACAAAATCATCGAGGCAAATTGCACAGGTCGTCTGAGTGTGGCTCAGTCGATAACGATTGGGAGTGGAACTAGATGATGTGGACTGGTCATCGGTCACTGGGTTTATTACCGCAGCCTGAGGCTTTCGGATTCCAGTGGGGGTTCTAGGAGGTCGGGAGGTCGGCTCGTGTTCTTCAGGTGTTGGCGAGGGAGTCTTGCTTCGGGGGTCGACCTCGGCCACTTCAGCATGTACTTCATCCTTTGAGTCTGTTGTTGATACATTTGGATAGGTGTAAAGAGGCATTTTTTCCACAAGCTCTCCAGGCACTTTGATCTGGTTAAGTGCCAGGTATTCAATGTCCACTTCGCCTGATTCGATTCGTTGGCGCAGTACCTCTCGCCGTCTCCGTTGCATCATGCGATATAAGACGACAAGAATCAAGGTCAAGCCAAATATTGTTCCCAGTATTGCAAGCACAAAGCTCCAAAGGCTCGGCGATGAGGCGGCTGCTTTGTCTGTGTCTGGTTAGCGTTGACCATATAGTTCAGACCAATTCCGACTTACCCGCATCAAGCATCGTAAAAAGGCGTGTATCTGACTTTCGTACCGGCTTTGTTGAGGTATCAGAAGCGTTATGAGTTTGATTGTGGCTAGTCCCGTCTGAGAACGTTGCGAGTTCGTTCATCAGGGTCACCCCGGCTGGGCCGGGCACGGCATATATAGGATAATTGTTGTCAATCATCCACTCATCATCATCATGCAAATTCCATTGGTCCGAGCTTGGGGGTGGCGGTATTCCAGACTCATTACTGGAAGGCTGAAAGAACACGAGGGCATTGGTGCCTGCTTCTCGGCTGGCGGCCAGAAAGGATTGAGTACACTCTGGGGAAACCCATGGCGCCAGACCAATGACGGGATAGCCGAACCCCGAGACATCCTTGTGACGGGTCACGTTTTCTGGAATGAATGGGCCCGTGGTCTGTTTACATGGATCGTGGGGTGACAGATCTGGCACAAATAGCAGACCGGATAAATGCCCCGAGTCCGGGAGCCCATGATGGGAGAGCATTTGAACGGTCCGGTCCAAAACGAAGCGAAAACCAACATTTTCCTATTCCCATGTGGTCGTGTGAGTATAAAATCTTGAAACATTCCAGGGACAGGGCTGGGGCTGTCCAATGACTTACACTGACTGACGATGAGGAGTTGGAGGCACTGCCGGGGCCCGCGAATAGCGTGGCAACGGTGCCCTTGGAGTCCGGGGTCTCCGTGCGAGACATAGCTGTAGCAGATTTGGGTTTGGTATGTTGGAATCTCGGCTATCTAGCAAAATAACATTGTTCACAGGGCAATTGAGTAACAGCCTGTGCGTAGTCTTGCTGGAAGGTCAATAATGAAGTGAAAAAGAAGAGAAGACGAGATGGAAATGACTATTATTTTACTCATTAAGACTAGATACAATTTGCATCATATTTTTGAACGATCCCGGCGATTTCAGGCTCAACATGGCCCTTGTCGCTAATTTTGAATCGGTAGCGGCTACAGGAATGCAAGGGCAAATCCGAGGCCAGGGCCAGGGCCAGCACAAGAATGTGGGAAAGATCCAAGCCACGAGGCGATCGAGTCACTGTGCGACATGCAGAAAACATTATTTCTCAAAATAGAATTAAAAAAAAACAGGGTGCAAATATCCTGAAACAGGAAATGGATCGAAGGTGAAGTATATAGCCCTAGAGACTCCGGATTTGGCTGGCCGTTTGCGGAAGCCGCGCGCAGTATTGATCGGCGTATTTACCACCACAATATCCTTGAGTTATGTTCTACTATGAGATGACGAGATGCTGTCCACGGAGCATTTGAATATTATGCACATGGGTTTGGAAGTCATTCTATGACGGCGTCACTAGGCATATAGTATTGTTGTTATGCATGTGGGTCTATATTTAACAGGCTGGGGCTGGAATATTTATATTTCTCCCCCAGATTCAAAAAAGGCATATAGCGGCTTCAAGTGCTGAAGATTTGGAGTAGGTTGAATGTATTTCGAACACGAGGAAACGGAGGAAGTACTCAGGGCTACCAGTACAGATGCCTAGACCATAAAGTTCGATAACATTCGTTTGCCTCTTTCTCTTTGTATGTCAGTTGCTCAACTCAGTGCTGCGGCTTAGTAAGGAACTCGGGAAACCCAAACTTTATCTTCACCGTCCACCTCACCGCCTCACGTGCCCTCAGTACACGATCACGTGTAAGTATCCCCAGATCGAGGCACGGAGTCTCACAGCTTCAAGTGCTTCATCTCGGACCATCAGAACCATCGTGCCAGTGGCTTCCTTGACTTTGGTGAACTAGCTGGAGCCCACTCTGATCTTCTTATATCGGACCTGGCCAGAATGTGGCTCCCGATTACGATCAACATCTAAGAATCCCTCGACCGACTCGCCAGCCGACTCCTCAACTGATTTCCTAATCCCCCTTTCACTGTCGAGAAAGAATCCAATAAGCACGCTCTAATGCCATCAGCATATAAGAGCAAGGGCAAAGGCCGCGATGCGCGCCAGTCGCGTAGTCGCAATACCACCCCATCCAACGCGGGAGGAGCAGCGGCCGCATCGCTCCCAAGCTACCTGGAGAATGACGTGACCAAGCTCATTGACGTGGCCAACGGCCAGTATACGGAACTGCTTGAATTAGTCGCAGCTCCAAATATCCCCGACTCCAAGACGTTGGAAACCCTTGTGGAACATCTCAACAATCTTAGTGATATGGCAGATACCCGCGGTGAGGTTTTTAACGCGGGGATGAGGGAGATGTCACAGAAGCGAAAGGAAGTCGTGGAGGACCAGGAGCTGAGCCATGAAGTGGCAGACCGCGCAAAGCTGAAGCGCGAGACGGAGGATGATGATGATCCGATCCATAAAGGAAAGGTGAAGAAGCGCAAAGACCGTTCAAGCATCAAGGAGGAACGACCCTTAAGCCACGGAGCTCATGAAATTACCCGCCAAGATGGCGCAGAAACAAAAGTTGAAGGTGGTAAGTTATCCAAAAAACCTCTCCATTGCTCCGACACTTTTGTTGTGAGCCTCCACCTCCACTTCCCACAGTTACTCCACCTCCCATCCTTCTTTCTCAAACCCCATCCACCCAAAAACAACGAATTGACAAATTTTAGCGGCATCTCCAGTGTCTAAGCATTCCAAAACCGCGGCTTCCGACGGGAGTTCTTCCCTTTCCCCTCCCTCCATGTTGTCTCCAAACGGCGCCACGACCGGAAACGATGGCGCTGAAGCGCCTGAATCCCCCGAATCTGATTCGAGCGAATCCTCTCACCAGCCCGAACCCGCGCCAGCTGTGCCAAATGTCCAGGTGTTTGGAAGCAATCCTTTGAAATTCGATGACCCGACGATCTACCACATTCGAGACATTCTCCCCGGCATGAGCGATGATGAGAAGAAGGAAATCTACAGCGTTGCTCACTTCCCTAAAAGTGACCTTTCTCATATGTTGGGTGGTGTCCCGCCTGACAAGGACTTTAGCAATGCGAAGCCCACCAACCAAGTCAGTGCCAATACCTTCCAGGCCTACATTGAACCTTATGTTCGGCCTCTCATGGAAGAGGACATTGCTTGGTTGCGAGAACGAGGAGATCGCGTGACGCCCTTCATCAACCCGCGGCGAGGCAAGAGAAGCTATCGTCAGGTCTGGGCCGAGGAGGACGGTATATCTTATGACCAGAGCCAGGATGACAAAGACCAACTTCCGTTGAACCAAGGTCGCGGTGGTATTGAACAATTGACAGATGACAAACTTGAAACCAACGAGGTTTCGATCGGACCACTGCTTAGTCGCCTCTGTTCTCTTCTGCGCTATGAACATCGTGCTCTTCCCGAGGACAAAGACAATGCGAACTCGATCAACGGCGATGCAACTGGCCTACCAGCGCCCGGTGGGGATGCAATGGACCTAGACCCGCCGCCCAATGGATTAGGGACAGATATGGAGACCAAGCCCGATAGCAAAACCCTTCCCCCAGCAACAGCCTTCCGCGATGCCAATCCCAATGAATTCAAAACCTCAGTTGCCAAACTTGATCACGCCCAGCTCGACGAGCGCGCCAAGGCCGAATTGCGATACATTGGGTTCCTGGGACCCGAGGATAACCCAGACTACGATGCCCACTATGACGATGAAGTGGCCGAGCGCCTCCGTCTTCTCCAAGGCGAGCTGAAAAAGCAAATTGTCACCAACAACGCACGCAAAGCCCGAATTCTCAAGATCGCCCAGGATCATATGGCTCTCCTTGAATTCACGACTATCCAAGATGACCTCGATTCTCAGGTCCAGCAGGCTTATCTCAAACGTACCCGCACAATGGGTAAGAGTAAGAAGGGTGCTCAGGCCAAGCACAGGCCCGGCGGTGCGGGCGGTGGCAGCCACATTGCTGCGGGTGTCTCACGCCCCGCTGTTGGGGACGCGGCGAAGATCGTTATGGATCGTCGTAAGCGCTGGAACGACGCTTTCTTGCCAATCTTTGAGGATATCAAGACTACCATCCCATCAGAGGGTGAAACAATCTTCGATCCCGCCACAATGGCTGAATATGAGAAGGCCGAGCTGGAGAATTGGGAGGAGGAGTAGTTTCGAAGTCTTCTTCATGCACCCTTCCCCATTCTCTCCATCCTTTTAGCTCTCTCACTTCCATGGGCGTACTTCTCTTGCTTCCATTTGATCCTACTTTTCAGCATGGCTCCTGCTACCATGTGCAATTCCCCTTTTTTGTTCTTGCATGATACAACACGACCGGAACGATGGGTTGGCGCGGCGTTTTTCGGGTTTATTTCATCTTTCTGACTGCCAAATTAGCAACCTCTGTCCTGAAGATACCGGTAGCTTTACAGTCCCATCGTAATGCAAATGAGATGGATTCATTCTTGTTTTTGTTTTCATTAAGGCGGCGGCATCTTGATTCTTTACCTCCATGTCCTGTATCTACTTGTTCATACTACGCATAGACTGAAATACTCTATGGCCCCTTGACACTTCACTTTTGTAAGTTAAGGCACATTCTAGTCGTAATTACTTTGAGGACCCCCAATGCCTAGGAATTAGATAGTGGGCACCACCTAAGAAATCCAACGAATACTAACATCACCGTATTTGATATAAAACCAAGGGTATCTAGACTTTAAACACTCACCAGCACTTGAGAGGATATCACCGATGAATAATAACCACCTCCCCAGGGAACCTCTTCAATCTCGCCGTTAACTCCCGCTCACTAATTTCCAATTCCGTACAGATCTGATCGAAACAATGTGTCCCATCAAGATACCGTCCAAATAACCTCTCATCAATCCCATCCTCCTCATCCTCTTCAAACAACCCGCCTAATGGCGCATTCCCAGCAATCCTGACATTCCCACTCCGACCCCCACTATGAAAGCTAGAAGCCCGCTCATGTGAGCCATCCTGTCTAGTTCCAACAACAGAGGAGATAGGGGCCTCCTCGGCAACACTGGACGCATAAGGAGTATTATTTCCCGTCGTAGCGCGCGAAGAAGGCCCGGTGGATAAATGCGCAGGCGTATTCACTGCACCCGTCCCCGGAGCCGTTCCAGGAACGAGCGGAGAAGAATTTCGAGGCGCGGGTGCAGGTTGACCCGTTGCACAAGCGTATTTGTGTACACGGTATAGAAAGCCCTTAATCACGCCGAAGGTGATAAAGCGTCTTATATCGATGTTTGCTAATTCGCGGCTATGTTGTGCGTACCACTGTTTGATACTTTGGCCTTGTTTGAGCCCGGCATAGAGCTCGACTATACCTACGCCATCGACGATAGGTGGTCCCTGTGGGATGCTTGGGTTTGTTGTTTCGGGGCTGTGCGATTTCTCTTCTGAGTCACCTAGTAACGGCCAGATCTCTTCTGCGTCGAAGCGGGACCCGTCGCGGGATAGACTTGGTGCTGGGTCAGTTATTGGGCTGGCGAGGGGCATTCCGCCGATGATGGTGTTTGCGCTGCCGTTGTTTGCTGAGGCCATGGCAGCTGTTGGTGGGGGAAGGGACGTGGGGGGTGCCATGGGACTATGTGGTGCGAAGCGGGTGTTTACGTAGCGGGCGCATTCAAGTTGCATTGTTTCGTCTGAGGCGATGGTGCCGTTGAATTGGGCTGTGGGTGCGTAAATGGCTGAGAAGGAGAATATGTCGAGGAGGTAGACACAGCCGTAGTATAGAAGATGGCGGATTGCACGACAGGTGAGGGAGAAGTCTGTGTCTGCGAGAATTGAGATTATACGGATGCTGTTCACACCATTTATGTGCGGGACGACCTAAGGGTAATAGTGAGCAGAGTTGTTTCAATAGGTGGCGGGGATATCATACTCGTTGCATGGTCAAATCCCAATTCTCGTCCATGAAAGCTTGATACCGCACTGTAAACAGTGGGACGTACCATGCCTTGACAGATGGCGGGGAAGGGTATATAGGGAACAGCTTTATGTTCAATGTGTTGAGCTCGTCTGTTTCAATCATCAGTTGCAATCGCAGCCAACTTGGAGCTCGACAAACATACCAATAGGAATCATGCACTCGCAATAATTATTGAGGTCCTCCATCAACATTTCACAGAGACTGTATACCTTCCCCTCGCCGTTCTTGGAGAAGTCGCGCGACAAGAAACCGCTCTGCTCTTCTAGGGCGTGCATCAAGTCGGCCAGCTTCCGCACCACGCTTTTGTATGTGCTGAAATCGTCCTCTTCGGACAGCACGAGGCAGAAATTAAAGATAAACTCGTTGCGGTCATAGCGAACAGACTTCATGCAAATTGGGTAGCCCAGGATACGGTATCCATTTGTGCAAACCTGAAGCAGGTTTCCGCAGAGCTCCTGGCGGGGAATCACAAAGAACGAGACGTCGGAGAAGGTCAGGAAGAGGGGTTGTGTCGGGGCAGTGGAGGAGGGAACGATGGCCCCATCTGGGACTTGGTGGACGACTTTGGGACCTAGAAAACATTGTTAGCACAATAGTGTGACCAAGAGCATGCCTTGCTTACCCTCTTGCGTGTCGAATTTGCTGTAGAAGATTGCCTTGATCATGATGGAGATTGTGGGCGCGAAGCCCGGGGTAGCGCCTTGACTGGCAGTGCGTATTGAGCTGTCGCAAATTTCGCAGAGCTAGCAGCTGATTTCCCTCTTTTATGAAACAGAAGCGCACGGCATGGCGGAGTCGCGATCGACGCGTGAAGTTGGAGATGCGGGAGTCGGAGTCGACGCTTATCGGCGGGTCCAGCTCCACTCAATCCAAATGTCTACAAAGTACGTACATGATGAATTTTTTTGGAACTAGATAATGGACTTGGATTTCATGTACGCAATTACAAGTCTAAATGCATTGGAAAAGCAAGCAGATCAATTCGAAAGAGCAATGGAATGCACTAGCTAAGCCGAGGGTATTAAGTCGAAAGAATATCGTGAACCATTGCCCGCAGTGAAAGATCTATGCGTCGAGATTGATCTTAAGCCCCGCAGCGCTATCGATACGGGCAATAAGAATCTTCGAATGGGAACCAGTCCTCCTCGAAAAAAGTGCATGTGAAGTGCTGAGGCTAAAAAGCGAGAAAGAGAACAAACAAAGTAAAGCGCCGAATATGCATGATCATCTTGTCTTTTGGTAAAGGATTGCGCGAGCAAATACCTGTATTCATCTTGCTGTCCCAGAAGTGTGGCTCGAGGATTGAGGCATGACGGGACTTGAGGCGAACAGGTTGGCAGTTGAATACAGAAATGTTTCTGCAGACATCGTCGACGGCAGGGGTCCCTCGTCGACATGGACTTCATGCCGGAGTGCAGATGTTGGTGCCTCGGGGATGAAGCTCAAGGGCTGCGTGGATCGAATGGCATGGACCATGTCGCCGTAGCCTCCCCGTTCCCCGGCCTCCTTCAGCCATTGCTCCCAGTCCTCGTCCAGAGGCACATCGGCTCCCTCGTCGCGTGCAGCCATGGCTGCCAGCAATCGATGGTTTAATGCCCAGCCACAGCTCTCTATCTCCTCGTCGCTGGAGTCTTCTTCGACGAGTTCCTGTGTCGGGTAGTCCGACATAACACTAGAGCTGCGGGTATCGCTCGCGCGCACCGTGTCGTCGCTACCGGTCTCAATGAATTGGTCCTGGTCATCTTCTGGCCCGCAGAATTCATCATGTATCGTAATCGAGGGTGGTTGTGTTGGTGATGCCGGCCGAATCAAATGGCCCGTTGTGTCCCGCACTGTGACCCCTTCCTCCAACTCGTATCGCGCCCGCGCGAATTTGGTGCCTTCCCAACAACATAGCTCCAAAATTTCTTCCCTGGTCAGCTTCAATTCGTCGAAGGTCCTAAACAGCCGCCTGTGCCATGGGAAACGACCCAGTCGCATGCGATGGGGGCCATAGGTATAATCAAGCCCTGGATATTGGGCTTCAATGCAATCCAGGGGGCCATAAAAGGTGTTGGTCTCCACTCGAACTTCAGGAACCAGGTGCTTGGCCACATGGGCTGCAAAGGACGATGGATCATGGGAACCAGGGCGAGGGAACGTCGTGTTGTACACAACCTGAGCGACCGAGGGTTTACGCATATTGAACTTAGGGAGGAGAGATGCTTTGAGAGAGAACAGGGAAAACAAGAACGCAAGGGCATGTAACGCAATTTTGAAGGGGGAGCGCTTGGAAGGCGCCTCAGCCACCGAGATGGATGAAAGGGAAGAGAGATGAGACTCCCGTGGTGGGGAATGTCTAAACGCGGGACAGTAAACAGTTCATTTGACGTTTCAAGGTTATGAGAGATGAAAATCCAATTTGTAAGAGAAATATATGTGACGGAGTTAGGAGGGAAGAAAAGAAGAAGAAAAAGTAGAAAAGAAGAAGAAAAGGGTGAAGACTAATAATCATGGGATCGTGTCACTGTGAGTTAATGTGATGTGTTGTTCCTGCACGAACAGCTGGTTCAACTCAACTCCACTTCTTGCTGCTACAGGCCCGCTTGAGCCATTTCTGCTCCGATGTCGACTTTCAATGGAATTGTTGAAGGTTCGCGAATCCTTGACCCATATATTATGAGATACTAAATACCTTGCAGAGTTCCCGGAGATCAAGAGTATGTATCCCTGTACGCCTGATCAGGATCTTCAGCTGAACCCATGCAGTCGATTACTTCCGCAAGAACCCTGAGAGACCAGCTCCGCTGGCCTGCTTCCTGAGCCATGTCCATAGTGATCACCTACAGGGCCTGGAATCCTTTCGGGCTCCCTTCATTTATTGCTCCCCTGCAACTCGAGAAGTAAGTCTTCCATGTCTTGGCAAACCAACTCGAGTACTAATTAAAGTGTACAGCTACTACTGCGCATTGAAAAATATCCACATCGCATGAACTTCCAGAAAGGTATCCTAGAGTCAAGGCGATTGCACTACAAGCATCTAGGCAAAATTCTGGTTAGTCAATCTCAATTATGAATTATAGAAAATCCCCGCTTACTCCAATCAGCGCCCGATCCCGTTAAACACACCCACCGAGATTGAACTAACCCCGAGGAAGCATGTTCGGGTCACTCTGTTCGATGCAAATCACTGCCCCGGGGCTGTAATGTTCCTCATCGAGGGGGCCGGGAAGGCCATCCTCTATACGGGGGACATCCGAGGTCAGCTCTTTTCTCATTGGATCTATCGCAAAGTTAACATTCGACAGCGGAACAATGGTGGACCAATGCTCTGGTGCGACATCCAGTCCTCATTCCATATACCCTGTCTCGGAAGCGACTGGACAAGGTGTACCTGGACACAACTTTTGCCGGTGCATCTAACCCGCTGCGGGAATTCCCATCCAAGGCCGAGGGGCTCGCCGAGCTGCTTCGGAAAGTAGAGACCTATCCAGAGGACACAGTCTTTTATTTCCGCTCATGGACATTTGGCTACGAGGACATATGGCTAGCACTGTCTACCGCATTGCATACAAAGGTGAAACCCATTCATATATTCCGAGTTCCGAAATTGGAACTAATAATTGGCCAGATTCATTTAGATCCATATCAGATGGGTCTTTATCGGGCTCTCTTGAATGCCCCCGGGGGCATCAATGAAGCCCCCGGGCTTTGCGGGTTTCGACTGGGCAATAGACCTGTGGAAGGTTGCTTGAGTGAGAACGAATCCAGCAGGATTCACAGCTGTGAGCCGGGGGTATCGTGCAAGGCTGCTCGGGACCCGAACACAATTTACATCACACCCATCGTAAACCGTACTATCGATGGTATAGAGATTCCCGAGGTTGGGGCTGGTGGCGGTGGTGGCGATTTGTACCAGGTCCATGAGCTAGAGCTACCAGACGAGTCTGCTCTGGCGGGTTTGGAGAAGCTATGTGCTCAGCATATACCTGACCAGGAGGTCCTATCACAAACCCGTGATGCACTTTTGAAAGCGTTTAGGTCAAGCAAGAAAGCCCTATCTCTTGACCAATACGGCGTTCAAGATGATGAAATCTCTCTGGAGCAGCTAGTGACGAAGCTCAGTCGGGGCAATGATCAGGTCACGAAGCCCAATCTGCCAAACACTATTGTAAGTCTCATGCATTACCACTCGAGTTCTACTAATTCTTTCAGCGGTTTCCATATTCTCGACATTCATCGTACTCTGAGCTGTGTGCATTAGTCGCTGCATTCAGACCCAAGGATATTCATCCCTGCACAGTAGACCCCTCCACCTGGTCCGAAACCGTCTCCATCCGGAGTCTTTTTGGTCACCTATGCTCTGGAGAAGATTTCATCCATGATGCTTATATGCGTGAGACACTCGGCTCGCAGTGCGATGAGGAGCACCATGCAAGAAAACGAGCCCGGTATGAGGTAGCCTCAACTCAGTCGACACAATCCAGCGAAGATGAAGAAGATGAAGAGCTTCCCTCTGGCATGACCGGAACCCATCAACCTGAATCCTCAATCCTGTGCACAATTCCAGACAGAATTCAAGGCAAAAATGAGGAAATCCGACGGGCACACCGCTACTTACTTGAACACGCCGACCCGAAAGTATTGCAAATTGGGCCTCTCCCTCCCTCGGTCCAAACAGTCAGAGAGGAGAATAGCTTCAACACCATCAACGACTTAGAGCCAGAAGCAATAACTCCGCGTCAGCCCACATACACAAGCTTCAACAATGATGGAGCTAATTCCCCACTGCCGGACAACCAATCGCCCTCTCAACTACATGAAAGTCAACAAACTGATAGCTTCACACTTCCAATCTCCGAATCCGCACTCGCCCCTTCTTCCCCCATAGATGCAGAGACTTCTCTACTTGCCGAAGACTCTTTTCCAATCCAAGGAGAGCCAACCTCCGAATCTAGATCCGGACTAGGAGCAAGCGCCGGTCGACAACGAATCATGTCGCGCCTGCGTTCCCGTATTTCGGCGTATCTCGCAGCTCAAGAGGGGTCGTATTCGGCGTGGGAGGATCATTCGCTCGTTTCAGCGGGATCTAATCATGCTGAGGAGGAGCCGGAGTTGTGAGCTAGCATGGGGTAGGAAGTAGGTACAGTGAAGCATGGTGCATTCTCATCTTCATTTCCATTTATTTTCATTCTTAGGCTTTTCTTTTCAAAAAGTCCTTTCAAAGCGTGTTTCTTTTTGGCTTCTACCATACATACCCCGAAGCTTATTCGTTGACATCTAATTTCCGGGTATGTTATCTAAAGTTGCTCGATTTATACCCCAATTAATTGATTGTCTTTTGTCTTGTTGCAGTCCAGAGTAATCTCCCGCATCTCGGGAACAACCCTGACATCCCCGGCTTATTTTCTAGTGTGGGGTCTTAAGGTGCATATGCATCGGGGAACCAACACGTAGTACGCTGCGGCGAAATCCGCCGAGTGCCCTGGTGGGGTCGAGTTGGCCGCAACCCGCCGTATCTCGCAAACCTTTTGAGCTGTGGAAAGTAACGATGGATTGAATCCACGCTATTTATGATTGCAAGGGCTTACAGCAGTTTCCAAAATCAGCTATACGCACTCTTGCAATTCGGTTTCCGAAAATAAAATCCAACGGCTGAGTCAAGTTGCCTCCAGCGCGCAGATACTTTCTTAGCCAATGTAGATCCTTAGATTCTCAAAATGTTAAAAGAGCTGAAAGCGTCATATTAATATCTTAGATCAAGCTTCAGTATCAATCAACGAAGATTTCCTAAGAATTGAACAAGCCTCCGATAAGTCGACGGACGCGGCCCCATCGAAGCCGTCTTCTCGGCAACGAGATGATATGCCTGCAAAGAATTGGTCTTGAAAGCGTGAGATCCGCCCCATAAGAATACACGGAACACACGATAAGTCTCTTCGCCCCAGCCTGCAATAACCTCGTCTCGAGCCTGATCAAGCCTCTTCGCCCATTCGAGCATAGTCAACTCATAGTCCTTCGTCTCCCTAGCCACCTCCACAACCTCAAAGCCATGGTACAAGAATTCCGCCATGACATCTTGCAGGGTCATGAAAGTATGCGTCCCACCCCAAATATTTTCTCGAGTCCAAGAACTAACTGCATACTTAGTGACAGCAGCCGAACCATCGAGATAAATCCGTCCACCAGGCTTCAACACGTCCCAAACGCAGCGTGAGAATCGCCGGTAATCGGGGAGGTGCTCGATCACCCCAAGTGTAATGATATGATCATATAGCTCGTCGGGCTTATGCTCCAGAAAATCTTGCAAGAACACTTGACCAGGAAGATTATTTTCCGTAATGATCCGCTCAACAAAGCGCGCTGAGTCCGCTGACAACGTCAACGTCGTAACATGTATACCTCGCGCGCCACAATACTGTGTCACGCCGCCCCATCCACCACCAAGATCGAGTACTCTCATGCCAGCTTTGAGATCGAGAGCCTTGAAGATTATGTCCAATTTATTCTCTGAGGCCTGCTCGATGCTCTCATCTGGATCCTTGAATATCCCCTGGGTGTAGAACCGATATTTCTTGTCTATGAATGTGAGGTACATACCATCACCGCGGCCGTAGTGGTCGCTGATGACTTTTTTGTTCATGGCCGTCGCAGATCGAATGTAATAGTCGTACAGGAACTGGAGTTTTTGTCTCAGAGGCACTTTCTCAGTCAAACTTTGTCGTGCGCCGAAGAGAGCGCTGAAATCGCCTTCGATTTCAATATCACCGGATACATAGGCGCGTCCGACGCTCAGCTCTGTCATTGGTGTTCTGAGTGCACTCTCCGAGCGAAAGATAACACGGTATTTGGGCGACCCTGACCCGACGAGGACGATCGAGCCATCTGGAAGCTGGATCTCACCTGGGATATCGAGGGTTGCAAGCAGGGCAGCTAAACCGGTGCGCGGCAGCTTGCTTTTGGGTGTTCCTACAGCCATTGTGCGGAGAATAATTTGAGAAATTGAAAAGTTGCGAGAGCAGAAGATAGCAGTCAGCTCTAGCTTCTCAGCTTTTATGAGCTGGCAATGCCAATGTGTGGAGGTCGTTGTTCAGCTCTCATTTGTCAAAGATGTGGAGAGCTGTGATCTGACTGCATGGTGATACTGTAAGCACTGAACTCTACCTATCATTTTCTTCATCATGATGGGTGCATAATGACGAGTCCAATCGGCCCACTCTTTTTAGCAGCCAATGGCTAATTCGATAGCATGGGAAGCGCAGTAGATAGCGAAATCCATGTAGACAAACATCTTTCCCTATCGGGTTTAGCTCTCTGCATGGTAGCACGGCCTTTTTAATTTTGACTGGCGAACAGAGACGAGAGCTGCGCTGCATGCCGGAAATATGAGCTAGCAGGCAATGTTGACAGATCGCCAGATCTATGTAGTACACAAGCCGATGCTGGATGGCAATATTGTAATATTACTGTACTACATTGCCTCATATATGGTGGTACTCCATACAGTCATTGCGATAACACTACTGCCTACATAAAGTACCAAAAGCATGGCGGTATAGATGACTTCGAAACCACTGTACCTAGTACATCTATAAACTTCGATGAGGAGATCCAGACAGGAGCTAGCCATTGAATGAGGTCAAATTGATAGAAAGTCATCATTTCGTTCGTAGCTAAGCTACCTAAGGTAGCATGCTCAAGTTTAGATACCTAAGCTACCTACATTATGCATAAACAATCCGCGTACACACTCTTCGCTATGACAACATGACGGATATGAACAGGGGAAAAACGAGAGCAGGAACACAACACGAACTCCTGGAGTAATAGCAAACGCTCGAAGGGGGTGGTATATAACCGAGACAATGCTGATAATGAAATCGGAGACAGACCAATGGAAAAGGGGGAATGAATAGAAGAAAGGGTCGAAAAGAGAAGAGAAAAATCAGATGTTGGCATCTTCATCTAGAAGATGTAGTACGCCTGTGTCAAGGGTAACTCAGTCGCCGGTTCAGCGTCACAAAGCATATCATCCGCTTCGACAGTCTATCAAGTAGCGTTAGTATCAGTTTTCGAGTGATTGAAGGGGAGAAAAATAGTGACAACTTACATAGCTCTCCGGGTCAACCTTCATCTTAGGCATGGCGTCATTAAACTTCATATCCTTCTTCCCAATTGTTCGGCATCCCTTCACAGCTTCGATCCGCTTCTTAAGACCGTACGTCTGAACAATGCCTTCGTCGATGGAAGCTTGAGAAACGAACATGACCGAAGTGCTGGGGACACGGGCACCGAACATGGGTCGCATGACCATCGGCTCAATAGTCGGGATCGAGGCGTTAGGATCACCCATCTCGGCGACGGCGATCATACCGCTCTTGAGAACCTGAATAGGCTTCGTACCAAAGTTGCTTGGTTTCCAGAGGACCAAATCGGCGATCTTGCCCACCTCCACACTACCAATCAGATGGCCCATACCCTGTGCCAGGGCCGGGTTGATTGTATACTTGCTAATGTAGCGCTTCACTCGGAAGTTGTCGTTGTTGGTACCGGCGTCTTCCGGGAGAGGACCCCGTTGGGTCTTGTTCTTGTGTGCGGTGTGCCAGGTACGCAGGATAACCTCGCCGCAGCGGCCCATGGCTTGCGAGTCAGAGGACATCATGCTGATGGCGCCAAGATCGTGGAGAACGTCTTCGGCGGCGATAGTCTCGGCGCGGATACGGCTCTCGGCGAAGGCAACATCCTCGGGAATGTTTTTCGACAGATGGTGGCAGACCATCAGCATATCGAGGTGCTCGTCCAATGTGTTCAGTGTGAAGGGACGGGTCGGGTTAGTACTGCTGGGCAGGACGTAAGGGTGCTCGACGACACTGATGATATCGGGTGCGTGACCACCACCAGCACCCTCAGTGTGGTATGTGTGGATGGTACGGCCCTTGAAGGCCTCAACGGTCTGCTCGACGAATCCGGACTCGTTCAAGGTGTCCGTGTGGATCATGCACTGCACGTCATACTCATCGCAGAGTGTCAGACAGTTGTCGATAGCAGCGGGGGTGGAACCCCAATCCTCGTGCAGCTTAAGACCGGCTGCACCCGCCTTGATCTGTTCCTCAATACTGATCCTTCCGCAGTCGTTACCCTTACCAGTAATACCAATGTTGATTGGCAGGCTATCGCACGCCTGCATCATCTGGCGCAAGTGGTTCGGACCAGGTGTGCAGGTAGTGGCGTTGGATCCAGTACTGGGGCCAGTGCCACCACCCAGGAAAGTGGTAATTCCCGAAGCCAAAGCCTCGTCCACCTGCTGTGGGCAAATCAAGTGGATGTGCGTATCGAAACCACCAGCAGTGACGATCTTGTTCTCGCCAGCAATGACATCGGTAGAGGAACCAACCACCAAATCGGGGTGCACTCCATCCATCACATCGGGGTTACCGGCCTTTCCAATTCCAACAATCATACCATCCTTGATTCCAATATCGGCCTTGTAGATACCGGTCCAATCAATGATAAGCGCATTCGTAATGACCGTGTCTACACACTCGGAGGCAGAGCGGCCTGATGCCTGGCCCATACCATCACGAACCGTCTTACCACCACCAAAGGTACACTCGTCTCCGTGGCTCGTCATATCGTTCTCAACCTGCACCCACAAGTCGGTCAAACCAAGACGCACCAAGTCTCCAGTCGTGGGACCAAACATGCGAGAATAAGCTTCCCGCTCCATCGAGAATCCAGTAATCAACGCATTATCCGCCATTGGCTCCGGGACGTGCGCAAATCCAGCAACCTGCAGCTTTGTCACAATCTCATCGGCACGGCTAAAATCAACGGGCCCGTTTGCCAAGAAGTTGCCTCCACGAATAATCTTGTTACCAGCAATCTCCACCAAAGTGACAGTCTTGGTATCACCGGGCTCGAACCGAATAGAGGTTCCAGCGGCGATATCCAATCGGAATCCATATGATCGAACACGATCAAAGTGCAATTGTGGGTTCGTTTCAATAAAGTGGTAGTGCGATCCAACCTGAATTGGTCGATCACCCTTGCTCATGACCTTGAGCTTAATGCGCTTCCGTCCGTCATTCAGTTGTACTCGCGCATTCTTCACGGGAATAACGGCGCCAGGCATCTTCTCCGGCAAGAAGTCACTGGGGTCCGGGTCGGGGAAAGGCCTCAGCGGCGGGAACGGGCAGGAAGCTTCCATACAGCGCACGCTCGAGATCACCCTCATCACTACTGATGGGGTGGTGTACTGTGACCAGGTATGTACCTGATGGGAAAGTTCCTTCGACCTGGAGCTCAACGAGGGTAGCAGTGACAGAAGGAAGGACATGACGGCGACCCAGCATGGTCTTTCCGATAGACATCAGATCGGCGACGGAGTAATGTCCATCGCGAATAAGCTATATTATTCATGATGATCAATTAGTTTTGTGTTCATCGTTGACAAATTGCAATGCCATTGGCTGCTGGATTTGTATTGTAACTGCCGATAGAGGGGGAAGGGCCAAAAAAAAGTGGGGAAATCGTACCTCGTGCAGGACGGATGAGATCAAGGCCTGCAGCACAAAAAAATTAGCGTCGGGTACTTTCACACCATATTGGATTTCGTGTTTTTGAGTTTTGTAAGAATAACATACCACTGATTCAGCATGGTTAAGTCGCACACCCCGGGCCAGACGCCGTTGGGCCAGGAACCCGAGGTTTGAGATGGTGAGCTTGTCAAGCTATAACCGGATGTCAGTGGAAGGGATCTTAAAGACCATATTCAGGAAGCTTGGCGAATCCGTACCTCCTTCGGAACAAGCTGCATGACGCAGGTGGAACCCGAATCTCTTGCTTGGCAGGGAATTAGGGATTCAGGAAGAAAGATTTAACTCCTGATATCAAGATCCCCAGATGGTTGAGAGTGTCAGAATGTGGGGGACGCGGTATATTTCAAGTCGAATGCCGTGTTGGCGACCTCCGATAACGATGATAAGAGTCAAAACGCTGGCCGATTGGATCCCTACATTCCCCCGTTTTAGTCACGGTTTTGCTAATGGATTTCTGTCAGGACCCAGGGGACCCATTCACCAGGTTCTTATGAATAATAGTATTGAATATTGGAAATGTTTAATTACTTTTAAATATTAGAATTGCCTGGACTCTGGTAGGCTCATCACTATTTTTGACATAACCCTACACGCACTCTTTTTGCAAGCCCCGCAAACTAAATTTTCTGCTTATACTAAATTATACCTATTCCGTACAGGGTATAAAGTACATCAGGAAAATCAAAGAGTAATATATGAATTGAAATTTTTGCTGATATTAAAGAAACAGTCATTTAAGCCGCCTCGCTCTTGCGCTTTCTGCTCTTGCCCTTGGGGGTCTTGGTCTCTGCAGCGGGAGTCTCTTTAGCCGCGGGCTCCGCCTTTTTGCTGCGGGATCCTCTCTTAGGAGGCGAGGCTTGCTTCACTGCCGACTCGGGCACTTCCTTCTTTGAGTCGCTGCCGCGACGGCGCTTGGTGCTGCGGGGGGTCTTCTCCTTGGGAGGAGGCTGGGCAGGAGACGGGGAGGACTCGCCAGATTCCTCTTCGTCGTCTTCCTCGTCCTCGGAAGACGAAGTCTCATTATCGGAAACCTCCTTGGGAGCTTCAGCAAAGTCGGCCTGCAGCTGGGTAGCAGCTGGATCCTGCTCCTCCTCCTTGCCAGCCTTGTAAGCGGCCATATCGACCTTGTACTTCTCGTAGTTCTGCAGGTAAAGCTCCTTCCAGATCTTTTTCAAATGTCAGTTGAATGTATCCGAATGATTGTCAATTGAAATGGATTTAGTTTCTTACCTCCTTCTGCGAAGCAGGCATCTCTTGCCAGCGGCGGGTGCCCTCATCGGCCACATCCTTGGGCTTGGCGACGTCGCCAAGGTCCGCGGCGATCTTCGAGCGGTTGCTCTGCATGTACAGGAAGTACGGGGTCAAGGCACGCTTGGGTGCATTGGGGTCGACGGGCGCACGCTTGCGCTTCTTGGTGCCGGTCTCAGACTTCGCACCGGGGCTGCTGGCCCGTTCAAAGTGGCTGACATTTAACCCGGCGGGCACAGCAGGGATATCAATGGTGGCAGGGCCACCGCTGATGACATTGTTGGCATGCTCCAAGTAAGCTTTGCTCAGGTCGGCAATGTAAGCTTGGAGGGACATCAACCGCATGAGCATCTATCGGGTTGTTAGTGCCGTATTTCTTTTACATTAACATGGTCTATAGATAAGATGGGACATATCATATGGATATGCTGTAGGAATGTGCCACACGTGAAAGGATGAATGGGGGAAAGGTGCTGTCCGGTGTTCAAGGGCAGGATAACACGCGCATGATGTCATGACTGTTGAGACGCTTGATGCGCAACAGATAAATTTGAATATCTGGAGAGGTTTCAAGTCCATCAAGACAAAGTGAAAGGCTTTTCATGGTTGAAAGATAAAATCAGGCGCGATAATGCAGGTCAAACCCCCGTTGTTGATATGCGACGCGTCAAGGCAAGCGCGAAGTGGGTGCACCGGAACATAACAAAAAAAAAATGAACTCAAGAAAAAGGGGAAAAAAGGAAAATATTGAATCGCGAATAACAGAGTGAAAGGAGAAACATACCGCATCCTTAGAAGCGCGCAGCTCATCAACATTAACTTGAACAGTGGCCTGTTCGGCCTTAGAATCGGTGGGAGACATGGTGTGGTGATGCCGAGAGTGAGGTGAAGGGGGAAGGGAAAAAGAATTTGGGGGGGGGGGGAAAGCCTGAAGGAATAGGGGGGCCGAAGGGGGTGGGAACGATGGCTACTAAATAACCCAGGGCTCACTTTTCCTTAAGCCCCGGCATGTTCGGCCTGTCGCTGCTTTAGGCTTAGGGGGCTTGCTTCTTGGGCGCTTGGGGCTCAAGCTGGTGTCGCCTCAGCGGTCATGCGGTGACCCGGGGGCTCTAGGCTTGTGACATACTAAACCGTTAAACCCCAAATAGTAAATATTTTAATTATACGTTTTTCAACTTTGTAAAAAATCCATAAATACTCAATATCTGATCTATCGTTAATAAATCCTGGGATTTTTTCACTTAGATCAAATGTGGATGTTGGTCGTTCCGGGCGCTTCCCAAAAAATATATTTCGGTACCCGTCTACCCCCCATGCGCGAATGCTCTGGTTAAACCCCGGGGCAGCCAAGATCGCAGAATGATCCTAAGGTACCTATACATATATACGTTTTTTTCTGTTCATTTCAAGGTCAATGAGTTTGTGAGTAAAGAGAATATTCTGAAGTATATTTCTAGACCAAAAAGTCAGATCTCTAAGCAGACAAATGCAGCACATCAAGATGGGGATGGCGCAAGAACAACGCTGAAAACCAGAAACACATCAATGTACACAGCTGTCGCATGTGATTATGCGCTGGTTCAAATATTCTACATATTATCTAGAACTTGAACACCTGGTCCTTGCTGTAACCAAGCTCATTCAGGATACCAGCGAGCTCACCCTGGTCCTGGGGGCTGACCTTGCCGCCAGAGATGGCCTTGTACAGGCCAGGTGGGCCACAGACAAAGAGCTTGATGTTCTCCTCCTTGGGCTCAGGCAGAACGGTCTTCAGCAACTCCTTGGAGATGAAGCCCTTACCACCGGCCCAATCCTTCGGTGGCTGATCGAGGACGTAGAAAGCGCGGAAACGGCGGGGGTAGGTGTTCTCCAACTCCTCGAGCTCCTTCTTCAGCAGGATGTCCTCCTCCTTGACATTGCCAAAGATCAGGGTAACCTTGGTGTTGTCATCGGGGTTCTTGAAGATGTGACGGGCAAGCTGGTACATCGGGGTGATACCGGTACCACCAGCAATCAGAGCGATGTGGTTGTGCTTGTTGGTCTCCCAGGGGTACTTGACGATGGGACCCTTGAAGGCCAGGGTCTGGTCGACAGCTAGCGAGTGGATGTGCTCGGACATGGGTCCATTGGGGTAGACCTTGACGACAAGATCAAGGTAGCCGGGCTGGTCTAAAAGAAGAGTTAGTGTGAGTAAACATGATGAATGCAGGAGAAATCATACCCTCTTCACTGGTCGGGGTGTAGGGGCGAATAGTGAACTTCTCCTTGCCCTCGGGCTTGAAGCGGGTCAATAGAGCAGCTATCATCTGGAGTCAGCACGGAACATATCAACACAAATGTACGGGAAAAGCACTAACAGGCAACGGGAAGACCACCAATGGCCTCCTTGTCATCGAACACAAAGCGGATCTTCTTAGTGTTGTGGCTCAGGGTCTCAATGGCCCCGACCTTCAGGTCCACCCAGTCCTGGCCATTGAAGATCTTGGTGCGCTCCTTGGGCTCAGCCTCAGCAGTGCTGCTGTAGCGGTAAATACCAGCGCCGAGACCAGCAAGACCAACCGCAACGTAGATGGGAGTCAAGTTGGACTTCTTAGGAGGAGGGGGAGGAGTGGACTCGGCAGCCTTGGGAGCAGCCTCCGCGGAGTACTTGCGGAAGCTCTGAAACAGAATCGTTAGTCTTGAGCGGAGTAGTCGGTAAACTTCTGACGAACCTGCTTCAGAGGCTGCGCACAGCGAAAAGCTTGGCGAGCGAACATGTTTGCAGATGAATTGAGGTGATATATGAATTAACAGGTGGAAGGGTGGGTGTAAGAAGAGTGAAGGCTAAAAGAGGGAAGAAATCGGATACGGAAAGCGGACAGTGTTGCTCGGCTCCTCAACACATGACGCAATAAGGGATCGTGCAATCCTGCGATTAAAGATATTCGCCATATTGCGTAAGCGCACATGTGGTACCAGGGTCCCCAATTTTCTGAGAAATACCGTTATTTGATTTGCTTAAAAAGAACTTTCCCGATATTCAATGTACAGGCTGATGCGGTTGGCTCGACGCGGAGGAGGGATCGGGTACAGGCTCAGGTACGCCCGAACCTCCGACGGATTACTTACTGGTGTGGCGCCCCGGGAATGTTAGCCATGGCCCGTAGGACCCCTCTGTGCCTACTTCTATATCGGCTTAGTTCTAGCTAGGCAAGACCGTGAATGAATCTAGATCTGCGGCCCGTCACTCCATCTTTAGCTTAAAATAACTAGCACGGACCATGTGCAGTCAAGAGTATGTACTTTGTCCCCCATTAGACTTGATACGAAGGGGAACCGTTTCGATTTACAATCCGAAAAATCTGTCTCCATAGCGACAACCAAACGTCTTATCTTTTGAGATTGCTCCAGCGGAAGATCTAAGATCGATGCAGAAAGGTCTACAAAGGACAGATGCAGAACGTGAACCCGATATTTTTGAAATTTAACCTCAGATGTCACTATACGGGGCTAGAGACATCTCCCCATTACTGGGTACAAACAGGCCGTAGCCGCGCGGCCAATATCTTTCATGCATGCTATGGCCGTAACGCAGTTATTCATCCACACTCCTTTCCCAAACCCAAAAACATCACATTTAAGCAAAGGTAGAGGGGCGAGAGTAGGAGAACAGCTTCTTGCCGGGGTTGGCGGAGCGGTGGGGCAGGGGGAACTTGACGTTCTTGCCGAGGAGCTGCTTGATGTAGGGGCGACGGATGCTGTCGGCATCGGTGATCTCAACGACCTTGAGGACCTGTGGGGTTGTTAGAAAGAATGTTTTAAGGAACAAGGACTGATTCGAGACGTACGTGGATGGAACCGAAGCGGGCACGGTGACGGGCAGCCATGTCCTGGTAAAGGGCATCGACGGCGTCGGTGCGGCTCATCTCGCGGAACTCCTTGTACATGTTGTGGGTACCGGAGCGCGAGTCGTAGCGGAGCCAGATACCGAAGTTCTTGACCTTGAGGGGACGCTTCTCAGCGATCTAGATGGAAATCAGCAGTTGTTCGCTTGGTCGTGAAGAAAAAAATTCTATACATACCACGTTCAAGCTGACGATCTCACCGTTGGACTTCTTCAGCTTGCGGAGCTGAGCAAGGAAGTACCAGAACCGGGACTTAGCGACAACGGTGTTGGGCGCAAAGATGCGCATGCGGTACAGCTTGGGCGTGGGGTTCGCCTCGGTGGGCAGGTGACGCCCGATAACCTGGTACTCAGTAAGACGCCCTGTTGTGAATCCGTCAGTCATGACTCCTGGAATTGTATGCGCTCAGCAATTCTCCTCGGACGGTATAGCGATGTGCGATGGTGGTTGGCGAGTATCCCTGCAGGTGACAAGGGGGACGTTGGATTGGTCGTTGTTAAAAATTTCAAGATCGGTACCGCAGCGGATTTTTTCTTGTTGAATTCAAGTCGATCCCATCGTACACAAATTCCCCCATAATGATATCGCGAATTGATTGAATGTTGTTCTTGTTGCTTCGAGGCCCTTGTGTCATTGTTGAAGAGATTGTCGCTCCGCCTGATATATCATCGCACCGATCGCACACACCGTAACCGTCTCGAGAAGAATGCTGGAAAATCGAAAATAAGTGACACGTACCCATCTGGAAATAAGATGTTAGCAATGACTTCGTCGGAGGTGAATATGGGGGTGTACTAACTGTGATTGTCGCTGTGGTGGTTGAGTCGTTAGTGTGCCGGGGAAGAGGAAATCAGGAAGTGTGTTGCATTGTGCTTAGGGCTATCGCCCTTCGGTTAAGCGAGTGGATCGCATTGGTTTGCACTAGTCCCGGATAGGAAGTGCTGTAACGGGGTTCCTTCTGCCACACCTTCCCGCCACATTTTCTGCACCGCCGCACCGCTCACGCCCCACGTTCTTGTCCGGACTGACTAAGCCACGGTTCGAGTGGTGACTTGAGTGAAGCTTATTGAATGCTGCTGTGATACGCTCCACGACTTTCTCCTTGATTCAATCACCTCAGAAGGAGGGGTAACGCTCAGAATGAGCACCCTTGCGGCCGAATTTCGAAATGCCTATATTCACGGGTCGGGTCCCGCCCTCGCGACGGTGTTCACTCCAATTGCGACTACGAATAGCCCTCATCGCTTGAGCTCGTTCTACGATTTCACCAATGCTCAATACCTCACACAAGACCTCGCCTCATCTCTCTTTCACGGAAAAGGCCTGAAGGTGTCGAAAGCCGAACAAACTGCTTGGGTTAACGTATTTGCCGCGTACTGGGAAGCAGTGGGGGAGGTTTTGAGGTTCGAAGATGGTCATTCCGAGGCTAGCGCAGCGGCTATATTTAAAGCTTGGAAGAAGATGGCCATGGCACTCAACAAAGGATACACGGATGCAGGCTTTCCTGCCTGGACATTACCGTGCATGTACACCGTCGGCAAGTTCTTGCGCACCTTTGCGATCAAGGCCGACAACGAGGCAGCCTCTCAGAGCTCGACCGCATTTGGAGTCTTGGATGATGTAGCTGCAGATGTTGAGAAAAACGCCTACTTGGAGGATGGAGCTCGAATTATCAACCGCATGTTCACCTTGTGTTTGACTGACCGGTGAGTAATAGCCACCAATGGTCATGGACTTAGTCGCTGATAAGACGTAGGGCTCCTATTGAAGACTCTCGAAAGTGGGGGATCTACAACATTACCAGTCTGCTGTTCAAGACTTACTTCAAGGTTTGTGCACGTCCACTCAGTACAGCTGGATGTCCACTAACTGGGTCTAGATCAACTCCGTTGGCCTCACCAAGAATCTGCTGCGCGCCATCAATGCCCAGTCGCATGAACTACCGCCATTAGAATCATTCCCAAAGTCCCATATTGTCACGTTCGAGTACTACATTGGTGTTATACACTTCCTGGATGAAAACTACACGGAGGTCCGTGGAGTACCCCTGCAATGAGATGCGTTCGGCTGGTTAACATCTTGCAGGCTGAAAAACATCTGTCCACTGCTTGGAGGATGTGTCACCGACAAGCACTTAAAAACCGCGAGTAAGTAGATCTGGATGATTCCGTTTGGCCATTACTCACCGACACAATAGATTGATTCTCATGTATTTGATTCCCTGCCATTTGGTAACGACCCATACCCTCCCCAGCAAACAACTCCTCGCTCCCTTCCCACAACTTGAGTTGTTTTTCCGCCCACTATCGAATTGCATTCGGAAAGGCGATCTTGTTGGCTTTGACGCAGCCATGGCCGCCGGTGAAGAGGAGTTTGTGAAAAGACGCATTTATTTGCCTCTCGAGCGAGGCCGTGATATTGCCCTACGCAATCTTTTCCGAAAAGTGTTCATTGCTGGTGGCTTTGAAGAGCCCAAAGAGGGCCAACCGCCTATTCGACGAACCCGTGTACCAGTCGTCGAATTTGCAGCTGCGTTGCGGATCGGGACCCACGCAACGGGCCGGACCCGCGTCGATATCGATGAGGTGGAGTGTTTGCTCTCCAACCTTATCTACAAGGTTCGTGCTAGCTCAAGATATTGATGTTTCATGCTTACTCACAATTGTCATAGGGCCTTATGAAGGGCTACATTGCCCGCGAGCGAGGCTTTGTCGTGCTGAGCAAGAACAATGCCGCCTTCCCCGGGACTGGTGTCTAAGGTAGGCGAAATAAATGAATATGCCACTCTAATATTACATACGTTCTTGTCAGCCAGGCAGAGCAAAGGCTGTAAGAACTTCAATGGGGCAACACGCGAGTTGTTTTGGTCTGGTACCAACTATCTTTATGACCTACTATGAATAAGTTTGCATAGAACAAAAACATGACAACCTTCAATTTGCCTTATCATCAAACCTCAATTAATAGTACATGGGTATAAAATAATACAATACCATCTGCGCAGTACAATTGAAAACCCCCCTCGCATATATCACTCCAGCCCTTCAAAAAGTACAGTCTTGCCTTTGTTTCCAACTCACCCAAATCTCCATCAACACATTCGTCAATCGAATACCAAACCGAAACCGTTATCCAACACCAGTCCCGATCACTCCCTTGCTGCAGCAGAACTGCAAACCGACAAAGCCGGGAAAACATCATCCTAAAGGCCGTTAGCCACAGCTCCCAATCACTAACCAACCCAGCCACCCGACCAAGTCCGGCAGTATATAGATAGGGGACATACCATATGGTTACACATAGCAACAAACAAATCAAAGAACAACTTCCCACCTTTTTCCATCTCCATTTGCATAGTCCCACTACGCTTAAACGTCCCCCGACATCGAATAATCAGCGCAAGGTAATGCGCCCGCAGTTTCGACTCTGTATCAGGTGTATGCGCATATGCGTACCGCGCACTCGCAAGAATGGTATTCACCGTGATACCCGAGTGCAGACCCTGTTTGCGGAGTGCGAGTCGTTGAAGAGCGGGGAGATTGAATCTCTCAGCAGCGCAGCTGGAATTGAGTATTAGTTATGTTGGGGTGAGTGTGATTAGATTTGAGACTTACTATACAGCGGTATCCCGCAAGATAACTTCACCCGCTCCGGTGTGGAATAGAGTTGCGCCTGCGCTTGTTCCCTCGTCGTTATCTTTGTCACTTTCGTCCTCCTCGAGTTCCCATGCTCTGCGTCGCGCATTGTGGCGCAAGCGGGGGTAATAATCGCCTTTGTATAGGTACTCCAGTACACAGGAGAGAACTTCGGGTTGTTCATCTGGGAGATTGATTCTTTTACCTGGGGATTGGATGTGCGGGTGGGAGCGGGAGGGTGGGGAGGGGGTTTGCGATTGGCAGCGCTCAGCGAAGAATGGCGATGCGGAGAGGATGGCTTCGTGTGCTGCGAATAGGCGTTTCTCTGCACCGACGTTGATGAGGACGATGGGTGATGTAGATGGGGTTGGGGAGCTGTTCAATTGCCATGTTAATCATCGCGTTGGATAACAAGCAGATGATCTTGTCGCTAGATCAATGGCTAGAAAGAATGGGAAAATATCACTTACGATACGTCTGGAGGACATGCCGGTCTTCGCCGCGGGTCTATCTCTATGCGCCTGGAATTGCTGGAGCTGGAACTATCTCTGATATTCCGTCTCGATCTGCTCATCGACGCCTTCGTGGCTCGATAACGAGTGAAGGCATCCGAAGGAGTCTGCGGGGGATTTCTTTTGGAGAGCATGTTGGGAATAAAATTTGATTCTAAAGGGACAGCTGTATTGAAGGACGGTATGATGCGCAAACTCGATTCAAGATCAGAATTCGTATCAGGGGCTACAAGCTCTATTTATACGCAAGCGCACCTTACCCGGGTAATTCCCCTGGGCAAATTGGTAAACCTGGGCTTGGTCACGAATGTACATGACAGGAACTGGACGGGGGAGTTGTGACCTAAATACGGGTTTGACAGGGCCAATATTACCCCATTTGGAGCTTTCAGGACGTTCCGACGCGTCATGACGGGGTTCAAACGCGTAAAGGGGGAGTGGGGAGTCGCCAAATGGGCGCGTGGTCACGGGATGATGAGGGCCAATGAGGAGGTGAAGTGCTGCTGAAAGTGGAGACATGGGAAATTAGTGAAAATTATGGAGTTGACCAGTCCAAACTACTGTTCCCCTGTTCCAGGATTTGCAAGTTTCAGAAGTTAGTGAGAAAGGTCGTGTGACAGTCCAGAGAGCAGATGGAATTTTCTGATTTGAAATCTAAGGGGTCAATTGAAAATGCATGGAGAAGGCGGTATAGTTATATCATTCGTCTCTTCGAATGGACCTTACAGGCAACCTTGCGCTTTGAAACAGCCCTGGAGAAAGATGCACTATCCCATACACTAACTCGGTCCCTCACATCCGAGCAGTGCTCCACTACACTTCCGCAGGTTTCTACGATAATGGATCCCGAGGTCCAATGTATGAAAATTGACGAGCAAATTATGGGTTCACACGGAAGCTCAGGGCATGATCAATCGTCACTATTTTTCAGTAATGATCGACAATAAAGCTTGAGCCTTGCAAAATAATGTCTACATGTAGTTACCTAAGCCCCTGCAGCTAGCCAGGCTGTAAGCATTGCGCATGCAGAGCTCAGCAGCACTTTGCCGAAAATGAGCCCCTACCCACGATCTAGATTGGGAAGGAGTACATAGGAACGACGCATGATACTTATACGAGGGAAATTGAGATAAAGATTGTAAAACCAATGGCTATTAATTAACACCATGAAACCCGCAGCAAAAAGATCTTTACCTCGTAAGTCAAGATGACCTACAATAAATATACATTTATACAAAAGCAAATAGACAAACAAGCACTTGAGGCCCCGGGCGGCCCAGACCTCCCATTTCCCTGCTTCTGGGAATAGATCACACAGCACAGCAGGTCCTAATCTTTAGGCAGTGTCGGGGTTATTCATAATCTATCTCATCCAAATCCGATAACTTTTCAGGCGCCAGTACTGCGATGAAGAGGATAATGATGCAAAAGATCACCACTAACAGGGCAAGGGCAGCTAGCGTAGCTTGCTTTCCCCGTTCTGAATGACGTTTCTCCCGACTCTGGTAGATACTAAGGGAGGACCGGGGCACCTGGGTCTCTATATCCCCAGCCATCTCATGCTGCCGTTGCCCACCGAAGTGTGCCCGTTCAGGTAGTGCAGTCTCGGCGAGAAAAGACAAAGGGAATGAAGTTTCCATGAGGCGGGGCAGACGTAATAAAGTCTGCATGAGAAAATACATAGTGTCTTTTGTAGTTGAGACGAATCTTATCAAGTCTGTTGTGAAGCAGATTGAGAAATGGAGATTGCAAGGAAGAGAAGAAAGGATAAGAAAGGGAGGAACGAAGGAGTTTGTACTCCTATAAACTTTGATTTCTGAACAGTATTAGTATACATAATGATGATATCTATATTGGTATTAGTCCAGTCAGTCCTTTACCAAAGTAAATTGATGGCTGTGAGTTAAGCTTAGTTCTGATGGGCGGCGCCTATTTCGGCCAACTCCCGGAAATCTGAGCAACCTTGGGAGGCTCATACAGACACGTCCATATGCAGTGATGCCTCTCTAAGTACACTCTCCCGGCACTTCACTGATTTTGATCCTCGGGATCCTGCTTCCCTGGATGATTCACTCCGCCGCATGAAGGAACCGCAGCGTGCCAAGCTCAAGTAACCCATACTGATTTGGCCGAGACCAGACAGTTTCGCATCGTAGATTCACGAGACTTCCAGCAGGTGTTTCAATTATCCCCACCATATGCCTTTATGCCTTTGGGCATAGAGCCGCCCCAGCTTTCGAAACCATTGTGGACATGATAACCCTGCAGATCCCCTACCGCCCTGTTCGATGACCACGAGAGTCAAATAGTACTTCTCAGTATGGAAAATGCTAAGGTGTGGGTAGGCTACGAGCTGCGGTTAGGAGCATACAAAAAGAATAATGAAAGTCATTTCCACGAAACACCAATTCCGAAACGCTAGTGACATATCCTAGGAAATTCCCGAACACCTTGCGCCGACGACATCACAAAAATATCAAAACATTGGAAGTCCGCTACAAGAATATCTTCCGGGCATCCTTGGGGTGACTCTCATTGGGGCAATAGGGACACTTGAAACGATTGCTCTTACTGAGTCTGTGCAGCGACTCCTCGGCGATGACATGCCCGCATGGCATCATCATGGGTGGGTTCTCGTCGGTGGCTTGCTCCTTTGAGACTGGGCAGACGAAGATCGAATGGAAGAGGTACGAGGGTGGCAATGGGATTTCGACCTGGAAAAATGTAAGTTCGGAGTATATAGTGATAAGACGAAACAGGGAGCACATACTGGGAGCTCATTCTCACTGGTCCACTCAGTGCGCTTGGCTTTCATGATAGTCCGTAGCTTCAGAAGAGTGGGGAGCGCAATGGCACCAGCGGTAGCGGCCACATAGAGCGGGGAGTCAGCGGACAAACCCAGCAGAGAGCAGAATTCGCGGGTGAAGAACTGGGCCACATCATCCCAGGCAGAGGGATTATTGAAGATGGTCGAGTACGGTGACCCCCCCAGGTTTGGGCAAAAGGCCATGGCACCCATCAGTTGCTGAACCTCCGGCAGGTAGCGGGGCATGAATGCTTGGAATTCCCGTTGGGCATAGCTGACGGCCGCTTGCCAGTTGCGAACGTCTTGCGCATGAGACTCGCCGTGGAAGAGCCATACAAACTGTAAGCGAGACAATTCAAACTCTAGATTGCTGCCGCGGGCCTCGAGAGCTTCGCGATTCTCTCGAGACCATTCGATGGCGGGGAGAAGGTTCTTCTTCTCCTTCATTTCGTGGAGAATGTAGTACATGGAAGCGAACTGCTTCCGAATTTCGCTGGAGGGGACCTCATCGATGTCAAGTAGACTAGTAGCAGGCTTGGGGGAGAGAGGGGTTGAGTCGGGATTATCCATCGCTTTCTGGTCTGCGATTTCAGCCAGGAAGGTTGCAGCAACTGAAAATTGTCCTTCACGGAGCAGGTGCATCGCAATCGCTCGGTTGATTAGATTCTCTTGTTGCGAGAGGGCGTCATGTTCTGTGGTGGGGAGAGGTCGATCTTTGAATAGCTGAAAGAGCAAGTTTGGACATATTAGAGGGGCCTTCACGATGGTTTAAATGAAGTGCATTACCTTATCGAGGGACTTGGTGTACTTGTTTAAGCCGCTGTGGGTTTCCTTCAGATTGTCATTGATGGAGTCGAATGACGACTTCACAGGGTTCTGGAGTTTAGTCAGGGTGATAGCAGCCTGGTTTGGATCTACAAAGGAGGGAAGAGTGTTAGTTCACGATCAGCCCAGCGACAATATGCGAGTCCTAGACTCTCATGGATGCGACTTGGGCATGCGGAACTAACCAGAAGCTATAGTGTCCCGGGCTGACTGTAGTAAATCGATAGTGGCATCCACATTTTTAATACCGTGAGAAGCTTTCAGCCTCTTCAGGAGTCTGTCATGCTCTTTTTGCACAAGTTCCATGATGTTTGATGGGTGGGTACTCAATGCGGAGGTGAGTGAGATTACCGCCCGAATCCAGCGGGGGCCATATGCAAGCTGAAATCAGAGGCTCGCTTATGATGTAGTTTTAAATCTCCGAGTACCCAGATTTTATAGCATGGGTGTTCTTTGTGCAGGTCCAGGGAAACAGAACAACAAGCAGTTGAGAAGCGATCTCGAGAGTGGGACGTTGGCGATGTTGGATCATTTCCGGGTGATCGACGCCATAGGCACGTGACCAGACTGAGGAGTCGACTGATGCTTTTACAGCAGGGTACTACAGGCCCACTGAATGATGCACTGCATCAAAGATGCAAGCATTCCACTAAAGTCTTGTGTGCTACATACATGCTTTGCAAAATCAGCTACAAAGTGCTTAGAGATGCTCATCATAGTGCTCGTAAATGAAGAGACCGAGCTTCAAGAGGCGCTAGTCCTAGTTGAGAGAGCACCCGCAAGGGATGAGTCATTCACCCCACTTTGGCCAATCACATGTGACACTGGTCCACTCTCGCTTACGCTAGCGTGAGTCACCTCAGGGTATAAATATCTCTCATTCCTGTTTTCCTTTCCCCTTCTTTTTTCTTTTCTTCTTCATCCTAGTGCACGGGTTTTACACGCGTCAGTGAGGAGACATCCGAGACCGTGTTTTTGCTAGTTGAAAACTACCAAATTGACCTCTCCTTATGGTCCTTAGGGATCGCAAGGGAATTTTTGAAAAAACAAGATACCTCAACCTCCTTGGTCCGTCCATCGAGCGTTCTTACTCGCAGCCTCTACGAGGGCTATGGAATTGGACTGTTCGCGTTTCTGCAACGTCCAATCCTGAGTACTGTATGGTCTTCTTTTCACTACTGTTTGCTACCCAGGTTGGTGGCCTGTAGAGAAGAGATTTACCTGTCGTTTTCTGTTTTGTAGATTTTAGCGTGTCGGGACGCGTCGTGTCACTGTAGGACTAAAGGCTTTCCGTGTTAGCTTAGCAGTAATGTTTATGTACGGAGACGTTTTCTCCCTGCAGTAGACGTGCTGACCATTAGTTAAACGGCTGGTCCCTGGATTTACCCTGGATTTACACCCCTGTTTGGTGGATGCCTGATGTCAATCTTCACCGCCCACTCAGTGACGTCGCTGATTCTGCAGGCTTTTGTAGTTAAATCTACACTTTGATGATTGTTACACTATCCAGCGCTTTTTGTTCTTACTGTTCTCCTTTTGCTTTAACTGGAATATGCCTCAAGCGCTGTTCATCCCCTATATCCTCTTTGTGTTTCCTTGACTCGGCTTTAACTCAAACACTCGGCGACGCCTCCCTGACCTGGGCCGAGGCGTGGCGCCGAAGCTGGCGTGATCAATGGTCCTCTCCATCATATTCACTATCTGTTCTCTTGGGTTTTCTCCTCGGGATTCTGCGTCTCGTACTAACCGACAGCCGCCATGTCAACCAACGCAGCCGGCACGTCGGCGCCGGATCGTCGAGACTCCGCGAAGGTCTCCGACGGCCTCAGAGGAAGCCCCGCCTCCCACACGAACGGTCACGAGCAAGTAGTGCGCCAGGGTCACCAAAGACTGGTTTTCACTGACCCTGTCGCCCTACGATACCTTGAGGAAGACCCTTCGACCGACGTCCTTCACCGCCGCTCTACCCTGCAAGGCTACGAGATCTACATTGTCGAACAATGGGCCTGCTCTCGCGTGCATCCGACCTTTGTTATTTCGACATATACTGGAGACCCGTCGCATACAGTTATTGTTGGGGTACTCAGCGTACCAACAGATGAAGCCACATGGTCACCTCGCCTGCGACTGTATTTTGACGCTGTCAAGCAGTACCATGCTCGACAGAAGGAGACCCCACTCGGCACTGTCATGGTCACAGACTTGGGCACTTTCCCATCGGCCCTCACGGTCATACCGGTCCCACAAGGCGATATCAAGAAACACCGAGAGGATTTCATTGTGAACGAAAACTTGAAGCGGCTGGGTTGCGCTGGACGGGCAGGTCTCAAGCTTCAGTCTCCATTACCAGCCACTGAAGCAAAGTTCCATCAGCTATACCGAACAAACGAGCGGGTTCCTCTCTATAATGCAGTAATTGAGTTGGTAAAGCAGTGTCAGATTGCCTTGATGGTGTTTGATAAACTAGCGCCGGAATATGTGGACGGTCTCCTGTGTGATGTGACTGAAGCAGCAATCAGTGACTGGTGGGCAGATATCGGATCAGAATTGTATAATATTGAACCGAGTGATGGTACGTTGGGACCGACCACGGTGTCTGCTCTTCTCGGAACACTTCTGGGTGCCCGGAATCGACTTCACACATATGGAGCCCCTGTGGGGAAGGATGCCTTCGATATCGACAACCTAAAACGGGGTATCAGCGGGTTCCAGAAGTCCCAGAAAATGAGTCGAACAAGGAGACTAGATCGGCCGACCTTGGAGCGACTACATCGCGCAACGGCCAAGGCTGCTAACGCGGAAGGGTGGACCGATGCTGTCAAATCAACGATGGCTGAGCTCAGCGGCCAAGGTGGTGAGATGGTCATGGGAATGGTTCGTGGACGCGAGAAGGGCGGGATTGCCGACATTGAAACACTTGATATCGATACCTTTATCCAGTGCTGTTACGGATCAAGACCAAAGTGGCTGTGGTTGGGGAAACTCCGCAAGAGTGGCCATGATGACTCGTTCACCCGTGCTCCAACGTCAGAAATGATGTTTACCACAGATGACCAGGGCGGCTATCTTTGGACAAGTCGGAAGAAGCACTCCGGAGAGGACTTGCATGCCGAACGAGTGACCTCCAATCTCGACCGACAGTGGAAGCCTTCAGAAATGCTAGCTGCCGAAGAAAAAGACCATCGGAAGAAAGGCGTTAGCGGAAGAGTGTCAGATGCTCGGGCTGGCCTGGGCCGTTTCAAGGACGCAGTGGGCCTGCCTGGTCTGCGGTCTCATCACCACAAGCATTCTCGTGACGGCCCTGAAGTGATGCATGATATTGCTTATCGCCCGTCTATGGACAGCGATACCGAGCCCTCTATCACTAAAACAAGAAGCAGCACCGGTCCAACATCTGAGTCAAAGCTTGACGGAGAGTCGGAATATCGACCTGAGGATGATCAGAGCCAACCCTCCACTCGGACGGATTCAGTGCCCGATGCCAAGCCTCCGGAAATTCACATCGAGGCTGCACCGACAGCCACAGAGCCAGACTCACAGGTGCAGCAACAGGATCATCTTCCAGTCCCAACAACCCTTCCTGGCGTGGAAGAAGAATCGGATCTAGAGCGCACTGTTACCCGGTCTACCGCCGCCTCAAGCGAACCGGGAGATCCAGAAGATCCACGGCCAAGTCTAGCCTTGATGTCTCTTCGGCGAGCTCAAAGCTGCGAAGAGCTTCGAAGTAGTGAAATAGACCCCCAGCGCTGTGATGAGCGATGCCCGAGGCACCTTTCCTTCAGTAACGTGGAAGAAGTGGTCCACGCATCTAAGCCGCTAGTTGAACAGCCGAGAGTCGATAAAACGGCCACGTTGGAAGAAGCCATTGCCCAAGAAGACATCTTGGCATCCGATGCTCGTATCTTCAGCTCCCGAATATTGCATTTGTCTGAACATACTGCCCCTTGGGTTGAACGTCAAGTGGATTCGGTGGACGGCCTCAACAGACTACTCTATGATCAGCACGAAGAACTTAATTCAGTCTACATTGAGCGGTTTGGTGATTATCAACGGCTACGAGAACGATCCAGTGATCTCTTGACCGATGAGAGTTCCTATTTGAATGACAGTGTCAGACGCGTTGAGCTGCTTGGCGCTAAACTGGACTACGAACTTCATGTCCTTGAATCTAAAGTTGACGATATGGAGGAAGGATTGACCGACTTTGAGCGACATATAGTCAACGTGGAAACTCGCGTCAAAGCCCTACTCCAGGGCGAGGAAGAGCATAGCATCTCCTGGATGGCATGGGTTCGACGATCCTTCGGCCTCTCAGGGTCTTCTGGCTCGTAATCATCTCTCACGCGAACGCGCGTGTACAGTAATAATTTTTTTTTCCTTTTGGAAATTCTCCTGTTTTTCCAATTTTTTGCTATTGTACATAGATAGATCGGCGTTCCTCGCCAAATCCAAATGTGATGATATAAACGTGTCCCATCACTAAACAAAGACAAATCGCCCTCCAATGAGCAAGGGATACTTATCGCAGTAGCCAGTCTGCTCTCTAGACGATTGGTTATCGGAGGGGGACTTCAATTTGTTGTCTAATTCCTTCTCCCGCGCGTCAAGTTGTAAAGTCATCGTCACTTTACATGCCGAAACCCTGCTGCTTCTGAGCGGCATCACCCTGCATCTTCTCGCTAACCTTGATGTTGACGTCGAAGAACTTGGAGACACAGCGGTCGAGGCAGACGGACTCGCCCTTGTTCAGGTCACCCTCGCGGTAGTCGACGGGGATACACTTCTTGGTGCAGGACTCGTTCAAACTATTGAGGACCCTGTATCAGCGCGAGGCCATACTGTATTTTATGGCAGACGATTCCTCACCGGTTGAACATGTCAGAGATCATCTCGACTTCGGTCTCGGCCTGAGCGAGCTTCTGCTCCGAGGACATCTTGGGCTGACCGCCGAAAAGGAAAGACATGGTGAATGTGATGTGGTTGGGTAGAGATTAACTGAAGGAAGCGCAATTGATTAGTGTAAACTGACCCAGATCGCGAATAAATATGGTGCATACCTTGATAGATTGGATGATGGTTGGTTGTCAGGGTCGATGCGGACCGGAAGTTGTCGAGTTTGGAAGCTTGGGCCACCTAGTCTTGTCCGCCCGAGTTTTTCCACTTTTCCCGTTTCTTTCGCACTTTTCCTTTCTTTCCTTCTTTCTCTTCCCTCAACCACGCAATGTGAACTGTGAATTGTTCACAATGCAATCAATTCGCCCATGGGCTTTGTCCCGCAGCTTGGAGGGTCTACGCTTCAGGTAAGAAAGACTTTTAGTTTCTTTTTTCTCTCGTTACCTTCTATGATGATATGTACCCTTCTGCTTCAGAACCGCTGCAGTTGATACTCTCACGAGTATATGAACGCACGGACAATATAACTGATCTACCATTCATTCTTGTTTCTTGCATTGCAATTGTTTTGGGAATTTCAACTGACTCCCTTCAAGTGCAGGACGCCTCCAACAATCCCGTATTCAGCCCCTCATTCGGGCTCGACTAACACAGCAGATTATCCGGAATGCTAGCTCTGCTTCATCCCCTGAAAAGACTTTTCACGAACGGGTACAGGGGATCAAGTCTGCCCATGCAGACCCATATCCCCGGCTTGCAGTGGACACGCGTACTATGAGCTGCAAGGAATTCCGCTCACGGTACGACGGGTTAGCCAACGATGATTCTGTAGAAGACACAGTCGTCATCTCTGGTAGGTTGCGTCTGTTGTTCTTGGCTTAAGGCCTCTCTATTGTCCTTGTACTTAGACTAGATTAGGTAGAATACGTACCTACAGACTCGCAGGGAGCAAATTATCTTTCTTCGATATCGTGCAAGATGGCCATAAAGTTCAAGTGATGTGCAACAAAGGCCAACTCGAGGGCATCGAGAGCAGCCAATTTAAAACGTTTAATCGACTCCTTCGTCGTGGTGATGCATTCAGTATGTCTTCGCTCGAGTCCGTGAGCTTGGTATATAATTTCTCACTAACTGCTGTGTCTCTACAGCTGTAACTGGCACCCCGCACCGTACTAGTCGTGGCGAGCTTACTATCAAGGCTACTCAGCTGCCTCAGCTGCTTGCGCCGTGTCTGCATGATGTTCCGGTTCATGACAGCTCACATGAAACCTCGCCTTATCCCCGCCATGTCCAGTTCCTGGCTGATCCCGCAGCGGCGGATATCATTCGAACTAGATCGGCTCTCACTCAGTATCTGCGTCAATTTTTCGTCGATCGCTCTTTCATGGAAGTCAGCACTCCTATCATTGGGGCTGTGGCTGGTGGTGCTATTGCCCGTCCATTCATCACATCTGGCACAGAGTTCCCAGAGCGCCAGCTATCTTTGCGTATTGCGCCGGAATTATGGCTCAAGCGGCTCGTTGTCGGCGGCTTTGACCGGGTATTTGAGATTGGTCCATCGTTCCGCAATGAAGGTAAGTTCAGCTACAATATCGTGAGCGAGGAAACAAAAACTGACAGTACCAGGAATCGACAAAACACATAACCCTGAATTCACGACTTGCGAATTCTACCACGCCTACGCCAACCTAGAAGACCTGATGCGTATCACCGAAGAACTACTGTCCGGCATGGCGGCTCACATCCAAACCCTCAACACCACTCTTGAACCCACCCAGGTCGACTTCACTGCGCCTTTCAAGCGCATCGACTTCATCACTGGCATCGAAGAAGCCATCAATCAGAAACTCCCCGACCTTAACTCCCCCGACGCCCTTGACCAAATCCGCACCCTCTTCCAAACTCTTTCCCTCCCCCTCCCCGAGAATGCAACCCTTCCCCGCCTCCTAGATGAACTCTGCAGCGTCTACGTCGAACCCCAATGCGATGACCCTACATTCATCATCAATCCTCCTGAATGTCTCTCCCCGCTTTCGAAATCATTCACACACCCAACAACCGGTCAATGTGTCGCTGCGCGTGGAGAACTTTTCATCCAAGGCAAGGAGTTGGTCAACACCTACGAAGAGGAAAACTCGCCCTTCGAGCAGCGCCGTAAGTTTGAGGACCAATTGCGGTTTAGTCATGCAGTTGGTGAGCCTGGCGAGATAGATGAGAGCTATCTCGAGGCTCTGGAATGGGGTCTCCCTGCGACAGGAGGATGGGGATGTGGCATTGATCGCCTTGTCATGCTTTTCACGGGTGCAAAGCGTATTGGTGATGTCCTGGCCTTTGGAAATTTGAGGACTGTTACGAGAAGGCCTGGTTCAACTGAGGCTTAGGATACCTCTACCTAGTATAGCATTAGCATATCCCTCGGATATATTGTACGATAGATCTAATTCATGTATCAACATCTACTCTACTATAATCTCTTGTCTTGACACTGTAGTTTAACGTGCGTGAAGTATAGACTCGCCCGCTTTATCAAGCCGTCGCTAACCGTCTTATCGGCCGCTCCCGTTAACCCAATTGTTGAAGCGGGGAAAAACATGACACATTTGTTAACTCCAACAACATGGCTGTCAACAAGACACCAGTAGCCCAAGCGGTGACCGTAAGCCTCAAGGACCTCGAGAATGGTAAGAGTCGCCTTGGAAATGTATGCAGCCCTCTATAATCACTAATTGGCACCAGGCGCCGTTTCCTTCGACACCCTCACAGAAGCTTTTGGTCCAGCCTCGCTAGGAATCATCGTCGTGAAAGACCTCCCCGAAGAATTTAAACAGCTGCGCGCACAAGTTCTCTCAAATTCATCTTACCTAGCAGCCCTCCCACCCAAAGAACTAGGTACGCAACATAAGCAAAACCATAATCAAAAACAAGCATCGTTACTAACAAATCCAGAATCCCTCGAAAGCCCTGAATCAAACTACTTAGTAGGCTGGTCTTGCGGCAAAGAGACCCTCAAATCAGGTCAATTCGACACATTAAAGGGCTCCTACTACGTCAACTGCGCTTTCTACCAAGACCCAACCCTAGATAGCGCGCCTGCAGATGGATTCCCCGATCTACCGCAGTACACGGCACCTAATATTTGGCCCTCCCCAGAACATCTACCAACTTTCAGACCTAGTATCGAGAGTCTCTGCTCGCTGATCATTCAGACCGCGGGACTGGTAGCGCGCGCATGTGATCGGTACGCCGAGGCGAATATCGAGGACTACAAACCGGGATATCTGCAGCGGGTTGTTGAGACGAGTCTCACCACCAAAGCGAGGCTTTTGCATTACTTCCCTTCCAACGAAGAGACAGTATCCGCAGAGGAGGAAGACGAGAAAGACGACGATGATTGGTGCGCTACGCATATCGACCACGGCTGTCTGACAGGCCTTACATCCGCCATGTTCCTCGATGAAGCAGCTACACCCCCAACACTTGATTCTGCATCATCTGCTCTTCCCGAATTGACTGTTTCCCCGGATCCCTCCGCGGGACTGTATATCCGTTCCCGAGCCGGTGAGGTCGTCAAAGTTAACATTCCCAAGGACTGCCTCGCGTTCCAGACTGGTGAGGCGCTTCAACTCATCACACGGGGTAAATTTCGGGCTGTACCGCATTTTGTGAAGGGGGCGAAGTGTGGAGAGGGACGGATTGCGAGGAATACGTTAGCAGTGTTTACGCAGCCGAATTTGGGGGAGGAGGTTGAGGCTGGTTTGACTTTCGCGGAGTTTGCGAGGGCAGTTGTGAAAAAGAATTACTAGTAGGAGTGTCAGAGAATGAAGAGTGTTCAAAGTGGACTGATTGACTTGTATGGGGACTTTTCGGAAGGAGAGACGTTTGTTAACAGTAATTTAATTCATATTTGAGCCTCATCTTTACCGTAAAATATAACCCCTGTGACCTTGGAACCCCTCCTTCCCCGCCTTATAATCCATCCTCTTCACCTAACGCATCTTGCCATCTGAAAAAAGAGTCTTGAGTACAGGATTTGGACAGCTCAGTCGGTCGAAAACGCCAAATACGGAAGAAACAGCTCATTCGCGCAAGGGACGCGCGCAACCCAGTCATGGACAAGCTAATCAACGAAGATGGCATCCTCTTAGCCACAAACCAATTTCGAACAGACGGACAAGTCCCTGCCCTGAGTGACTTCTTCAAGACTTTCAGGTTCCAAGTTTTCAAGGTTGATTTTGAAGACGGCGAGAGCTGGGCTATTCGTGTGCCAACCGTTTCCCCAAGCTCTCCTGGTCTCATCGTTTATCTTGTTGAGGCTGAAGCTCGTGCTCTCACAGAGCTGGAGGAAAAGGGATTCAAATGGGCCCCGAAGCTGAAGGGCTGTGATCTCACATTCGACAATCCTATCGGACATCCTTTCATTGCCACAACTTGGATACAGGGCACTCGGCTAGTGTGGACTGATGATTTTCCCTCGCGACCTATTCGTGACAAAGTACTTGAGCAGCTCGCTAAGATACAAGCTGAATTGATCGAATGCTCCCAGGAGAATAGTAGGTGAGCCTTTCATTCAAGCCCACCCTGCTGACTATATATAGGACCCACCACTGCTACGGAGCATTACACGAAAGTGATTCAGAACAAGATCGTCCGCATACGTGATGGGAAGCTTCCGGAGCTTACAGAGCAAGACGTTTCCGATCAACAGAGCCTCCTACCTACTGTCCTCATACCCGATCTGGATGAAACCTCCTGGGCGATCGATCACGGCGAGCTTGCAGGGGAGACAATACTTGTGGATTCTGAGCACGATATTATGGGGTAAGACTCCGAAAGAGTCTGTGTTGCACCCTGTACCTACAAGTCTAACGTATCTAGTATCACCAATTGGGACCTCTCTGCAAAGATGCCCTTACAACAGGCAGCTACCTTTCCCCGACTCCTCCGTCTCCAAGACCTTGCTGTAACACCGAGCGCCACTATCAAGAAAGATCAGGAAACATACCTTGCATCAATTCTCGCGCAGGATACAAATGCTGCGAAATCGATGGCGGTCGTACAAAATGCGAAAGATGCAGACTTCTATGCTTTCTTTTTGGACTCGATCATCAGCAAATCACAGCACCGAGAGCTGGCGAGCCATAAGTGGAAGAAGGCTGTCGCCTTTCAAAAGGATCAGTGATGGGGGTAAGCGCGAGCTGAAAAAGGATGGAATCGTACCTTTGCTGGTTTGAGCGAGGTTATCTTTTTACATGTATTTTGCAGCTCTGGCGCATGGACAAATTCCTCTTTCCAGAGGACTATTATTAGAATTTGGCGAGGGATTGAGTTTCGAAATTTGACGATATCTTAATCAAATTTTCCATAATCATTAGAAGGGTAATAGCTAAGAGATGGCAGTACCGAGTTATTTAGCCGGGAGAAAATCCCACGAGAAATTGCATTTGAGATGAAGCAGCCGAGGAAGTACTATTAGTACATTTTCGCGTCGCGTTGAATGAAGATTTTCTTAGATCTTCCATCCCTCAGCCTAATCTGAGAGGATTATCAAATTTGCAGAGTTTCAGTGTATAAAGTTATGGGGGTATATTGCCATACATGCTGTTTTATTCACTATGTACTGTATAGGGTCACGATTCCTCCTTGTAAATTACATACAGTAGGTAATTGAAATGGGACAATAACAACGGTAATTTTTGAAATATTCGAACATCGATTGTTGGGATTCGTATTTTACAATCTCAGATTTTCCTTTTATTGGCACATGCTTGCATATGCACAGCTGCAACCGAGATTCCAGTGTTGAGCGGTTGACGTTTTCCTTAATGGGGCGCCTGATCATGCTACATATCTTCTATAGATGGAGGTATCCACTGTCGACACCCGTGGAGATTACATAAGGCATTCACTGTCGACACCCGTGGCGTTTACAGAGTCTACATGTGGCGTCGCCACTGACATAAGCAGAGGTCGCCAGTAACTAGGCCTAATTAGGAAATAGAATAATTTTTTCTGGCGACCTCTGCTTATGTCAGTGGCGACGTGACCCCCTCGCGTTTACATAAGGTATCCACTGTCGACACCCGTGATTGCCACCCTTTTCTGCTAAGCAAAATCTCATATATCATATTATACTCGCTAATAAAGCAGGCCCTGGCCTGCGCGAACGGAAGGCATATTGTGACCTCATGACTTTGGTGAAATAATTAAATATGCGCATTGTGTTTAGTCTGTTTATGAGCGCCTTCGAGGCCGGTGAAGTGAGTGAAATCACTATACTCCGTATAACGATCTCCAGCCGTCTCCGAAGCACGTTATCAGGTTCGATGGCCGTTTACCCGATTAAATTTAGTCCACTACTGTAACTGGGCTTGGCACGCCATTTGTATCATACTCTCCACGTCCCATGTTCAACAGAAACCAGATTATCCAGAAATGTCTTGATTCACAAAACTAAAAATCATCTCATACTAGAGACATTCAAACTCGAACCCCGTGAACCCTGCGTAAATGTTCCTCCATATTATCTTTGCGGCTAAAGAACCTGTTGCACGACTGGAGTGGACACTTAAACGAACGTGGAGCTATATGCTGCGTGTCGATGTGCCGCATCAAAGCTCCCTTGGTTTGGAATGGGGGCTTTCGGCAATTCTCCCATTTGCATATCAAAGTACTGGGAATCTCATTAGCATATAACGACTTTGGTCTGGAGATGAAATGGCTTACTCAATCCTCTCCGGACGACCGTGAGTGTTTAGAAGGCCACTTGTGGTTCCGGTAGGCCATGGCTGACGACCACCGTTGCATGTCGAGCATGGGAGAGCAGAGCGGGAGGGTATAGAGTTGTTCCGATTAAGATCATCGCGCTCAATAGGATCATTACAAGCGTGGCGAACATCGTAAGGATTGGCATTGAGCAAATTGTAAGAGGGTTGAACGACGAGGTTGTGTGAGGACGGCTCTTCTGAAAGATAGGTAGAAAAAGAAGATAGGTTTATGAGCGGAGATATTGATGGACGAGGTTCGGGCGCTGTTGAATGAGTAACGATATTGTCGAATGGAACACTACTCCAGTCTGATGAGATGTGTGACGACCAGTCCATCTTAGGCTACAGACAAAGCTCTGATAATTTCAGATTGAAATCTGTATAAAATTTTTACAGCACGCGGGAGAAAGGTTTTATATCTGCTGGTTACGGCCCAGGTTCCTGGGAAAGATGATCGATTCACCCTCAGACCCCCCACAAAAAAAATTTGATGACAAAACCCCCAGTAGGATCGAAGCGGGGTGGGATCGAAAAGGATCGGAAACGTTAAGTATTTGGGGGCATTCTGATTGGCGTCCGGCCCACTGCAATTCACTTAAGGGGATAATAGAATAACAGACCAAGAGCTGTCGGGCTGAGTACATCACAATTTGGGTACGCTGCGAGACCCAACTCTCCAATAAAATCGACGCAAGCCGACCTGATCGCACGCGCATAGAAGCCCTCTCCCAGTCACACTTTCATCCCAGGTTAACGTGACGTGGGCCAATCTAATGTCTTCTGGATTGATAGTTAGTCACACACTGCCGCTTTGGTAAGCATAACAGTTAAGTTAATTAACTTGGTAGTCCAGGATATGCACTGCACCATACTTTGGACACAGAATCTTTGGCGCTTTGGTAAGCAGACATACCACTTGACTTAGCTAGTACAGGATATGCTCTGCACCGGCTACTGGTCACAGAATCTTTGGATGTGGGGCTCGAAGCGCGCCCCAAAAGGCTGGAATGGGTCCTGGGATTTGTATCATAACTGAAAACTTTCGTATCATTTAGAGCCCCGAACATTTGCTTGACCATACGGTATTGTATTTTCAAAACCTAGACCGGAAGGCCCAACCTCAAAAGATCTCTGTAGAAATGACATCTCATTAATCTTTGCTGCAATGACATCTGGTTGCCAACGGGTTATCGATGCCCAGCAAATCGAATAATCGAGAAATCCAGAAATTTTTGAAAAAGGTCGGAAACTTCTAGACCACTAAAGGAGAATTTTTGCAAGTACACGTCCGAAGAGGGAGTATAATCAGTGCACGTGCGGCTACCGGTTGCAAGATGTGCATTTTAACACTCCAGAGGTATCTGCCACATATTTCGACACAGCTCCCTGGGACCTTGGTCCCTTCCATTGGATTAATATCGTACATTAAGGTCGTTATTCGTTTCCTTAAGACCCTATTGTCGAGTCCTACCCAGACGAAGTGCAGCAAGACTGGCTCGCCTCGCCATAGTCTGAGATCATATCCCCGCGTATCAATACTGTCCCTTGCCCTGAAATCAATCTCAAGCATTGCGAGGATCATAGTCGCCGCCCTCCGTTTCTTCCGTGCCACCGCGGTACAAGACTGGAGCAGTCAGTTCTCCCTCTGAGAGATCCTTCTCGGATGGATCCTCGTCCTCATCCATCATATCAACTCCCACCGCATCACTGGAACTAGAGCCAGAGCGTACACCCAATCCAGTGCTAACAAGTTTACTCGTCTTCCCCACTTCCCCAAACCTGTTCTTTGGAGGTCGCCCGACTTTCCGTGGCAGCTCAGCCTTTCTGATATCCGCATCTGAATAAGGCAAATGGAGCATCCGCAAGATAGTTTGCCATCGGTCGGGTCTCTCGCGCTGTTCCGCTCCAATGCCGACGTCAACACCATTGACCGTGGCTAGGCCCAGGGTCTCAACACGATTATCACCCCAAAACCATTCATAACCCTCTGGCATCCGGGTATCCACTTCGCCGGAATACCGACGTCCATTTAGAGTTCCGTGGAGATCGTAGTCAAGCCTTTTACTTCCGAAGTGCAGGATTGTAGCTTCAGGCTCGTAGCACCGGCCTATGATCATTGGCGGAGAGACGACGCATGTACGTCCACCAGCGACGCGATACCAGTCGCCATAGGTGCTCATTCCAACCTGGCAGAATGCATTGGTAGTTTCGTCAATAGTCAATTTCTGGAGAGGGTCTTTGTCGAAGGAGATATCGTGGGTGAGACGATTGGCATCGCGCGTGTACACTTTCCCTGAGATGTAAGGGACGCACCGGGTTGCGAGAAGAGGGTCTTTGGGGTCTTCGTGGCATTCTTCAAGCTCGAGCCATATCTTTTCAATGACCATCACGTCCACGGGGTCATGCTCGCTGTGTAAAACACTGCCCTTATCCTCCATTTGTTCCTGTTTCAGGCCGAAGGGTTTCAGGCGCACGGTGTCTTTGACAGCGAGTAGTTCTGGCCCAATGAAAATGCCTTGGCTGTAGACCTTGGCGTTGGGCCAGGCTCCCTTGAAGCGGGTGTGTGAGAGGAGACTCCATGAGGCCATGGTTGTCATAGCATATTCGATGGAAGGATGAAGATTTTCGCGAGGGGTCCCATGCAGAAATTTCTCATAAGCACTGAATGGCTTGATGCATTTCAGAGGGACATAGCTGTACTGCGACGAGTAGGCCTTGTCATCATCGTTGAGAGGGTCTGGAACCGTCTCGACTCGGAATCCCGAGTACGAGATAGATGGATTTGTTTTATCGGTTGATTGGACGATGTCCAGGAAACTTGTTGGTTCTTCTGGGGTTTGAGTGATGATACCGGCACGCCATTCTGGGGCGATCCAGGTGCTGTCTTTGTGAATCATGTAGCGCTTGGCTTGACCGTTCCACACAAGCGGGCCTTCGAGCTCACGGGTCCAGAGAACGGCCTCCCCTCGTCGAGGAATAAAAGCTGGCTGGAGCTGTAGTCGGACGAAGTGATCGGCCAGCCATTCGTGGGTCAGCGCCCAGTCCATATTGAGCGGATGGTTGATCTCTTCGTCAATAGTGCCGCTCTTCTTCAGCTTCGCAACATGTATCTTCCAGTAATCAGGGCCCTCATTATCTTGGGGCATGTCTGCTAAGCTGTCTACCTGGCTGTCCACCTTGACCAGTGTACGTTTGACACTTGACCTGGCGCTTCCATTTGTAGTCCCCGCTGCCCTGCTTGCCCCTTCCAAGGCCCTGGCAGCTTCCATTTCAGCCTTTGTGCGACCTGAAGAATGTCAGAAATAAGAAGGAGTATGCAATGGTATTTGACTTACGCCTTCGACGTTGACCTCCCTTTGCAAGCTGATCTCCCTTTGTAGGCTGGTCTCCTTTCGCAGGCTGATCTTCTTTTAAAGGCCTTTTACAATGCTTACATTCACAAGGTTTTTGTCTTCCACTCATCAGCCAGTAAAAATGTGGAAAGAATTCTGGACAAGACTGGAAATAGGAGCCACTCGGGTATCCAAACAGGAATCTATCTCGCTAAGACAAGACGTTAGAAGAGGGGCTATTCAAGAATGAGAATTCAAAACTCACACCACTAGGATTCTTCAACCGAGCCCGATCATAGACTGCATAGCCTTCGGGCAACTGGTCAAGGATGTACGTAACACCTGAAGAAGATCAGTCATAGACTGTACAAGTATTGATACAGGACAAAGCGGGAGATGAAAGGGCTGGTGATAATAAATTGCCAGAAGCCGTCGGGTGACCACGGGTTATGGGGTTTCAATGCAAGTCCAAGATCAAAAAGATCACAAGTGAATAGTGCAATGAGCATTTGACTTACCTCCTTCTCGAGCCCCGGTCTCTTCGACCCACATTTCAGCAAGGCGACCTCTCCATCCCGAGTCATCAATTGGCCTATAAACAAAGCGATTGCCTGGAGCACCCGTTACAGGCACAGTACCAGAGTCTCCATCACTCAAAATGGGATCCACGGGGATGACCACGAGGTTCTGGTCATCTAAGTCGTCATTCGACATCTCCGGATAGCTAGAACAGGAACAGCTTTAGACCGCAAGCTGTGGGGCTGGGACGCCCCTGTGATCAAAGGAATAAATCAAATGGCCTGATAGATGACGTTGAGAATTCTAGACTTGTCCAGTTGCTAAAATACTGGATGGGTAGTAAACACATGTGAAGTGCATGAGAGTTGAATGTTTGATTCAACAAAGAGTCACGTGGTGATAAGGAATTGGGACAAAAGGGGAATGAATAGTGTTTGTTGATGCGAGAACAATTTCACCTTCACAAGGAGTTTACACTAAGGTTGTAGCAAATTGATGACAATTTTCCAAGGCTGCAATGAGATGGATCACAAAGGATGGTTGTGACAGGAGTTTTAATCCCTACAATTCTCTACAACTCTCTAAACACCCCAGGATACCAGGAAAACCACAACGAAAGATCCCGAATTAAATTCTTTCACCCAAAAGCCTATAAGGTCTTTTTTACCTACTCCATAAGCTCAGAACCTTGGAACGTGGTGAAATCTTCTCTAGCGCCTCTTCACGGGTTGGATTATATGCAGTAGAACAAACCTTGTGGAGATGAGCGCATGGGGAAAGCTCCTGCCGGGAGTACTTCGGGGTTACCGGAATCATGGGAAATTACTACGTCGCACTAAGTAGACATTAAGTATAAGGAAGTATCGATGCGAGCAAATCTATTTTTATTCTTGCATGATTATTTCCTTGATATGCACTCCGTATTCCATATCACATCGTGCTCTCCGGAGCACATATTCAATTCAGTTATCACACGGGGATTGCTTCTTACAGGCTAAATTCCCACCAATGATACCTCACAACCCGTAGCTCCTTTTCCCCTAGTGGAATTTTATTCACAAGCGAGACAAGGAAACAAAAAAAAGGGGGCTTGTGGCTACTGGATCGCTTGGATCTGATCGCCCTAATGGATCACCACGAGTTTCTGCATTTCTTTGGTCCAGGCCCTGCACTAGTTATTGATCCAATACTGGGACTGGAGTTGTGACCGTCAAGTGGGCAACCAGAAATGAGGGGGATCCACCCTCACACTAAACTCAACTAAGCCGGGAATTGAGCGTAGCCGCCGAGGGCTTAAGTAGTGGTAAAGTAGTGAATGGAAGGGAAACTGGAAAACCGAGTCCTCTCACGTGACATCGACTCCTCTTTCTCGACTCTCACTTCACGGTCCCTTGCTCTCAAGATACATTCTAAAGCACAGTGCCATTTCAAAGACATATTTATCAAGTATTATTCTGCTATTCTGTGGGCTGGGGATCCGTAAGCCTTGGCGCAGTCCCTGAACGTGGTTGGCTCGACTTGGGGGCCAAAGGCGGTACGTGCGAACCTGAGCTTCCTTCCCCCCAAAGCAAAGGGCCCTGGGCGCTTGCTGATCCAGGAGGCGTGTTGACATCTTTCCCAGTTGCCGCGCTCTCTGCACTGTTGGAGGAGCTCTCCGCCCTCTCTTCCTGATAAAACTCATCTTCTCCTTTTTGTCCTTCTTGGGTCTCGGTGACCCTCGCTCCCAAAGCCAAACCCCCGATGCGTGGAGCGAGCACGGGGCAAGATCCCTCTCCTCAAGCTCCCGAATCTGCGGGCACGGCGCCCATGAATCCCTCGGAGAATCCAGAGGCCCCTGGTGAGTCCCTACATAGATCGGTTGAAAGCGACTGCCATTTGAAAACCACTCGGTCGCTCATGTTGTCTTGCTTCACAGGCCCGGATTCGACCCATGATCAGAAGGCCTCCGATGCTGCTAATATCCAGCAGTCTACCCCAGGCGCGTCCACTCAGCAAGTCTCCTCCTCGGTCGCCTCTACCTCCAATCCGCCAGAGGTCGAAGGGGCCGACGCGCCTAAGAAACGTAGCCTGTTGATCCCAATTCCGTCGCGCCGGTCTTCGAAGACGGATAAGCAGTCCACGGAAAAGACCGAGGAGTCGGCGCAGGAGGCCCCTGCTCGCCGAAGCTCCAAGGTCAGCATCCTCAAGGTGCACAGGGATCGTAGCCGGGCAAGTAGCAGACGGTCACGACGGGCGCAGGAAGTGGCAAATGTGGAAAAATCACCAGAGTCGGCCACCCCAACCACCCCGGAAATGAATGGTCCTTCACGACCCCAGAAGAAGAGCAAGTTTTTGGCATTCCTGAGCTGCTGTTCCTCACCTGGTGTCGATGGTGACGATGACGCGGTCCCTGCGAAGAAGTCGACAAAACAAGCGCCTACTTCCAACCGACTACCCACCCCCGACAAGGCGGAAGCTCGCACTGGAGACTCAAGTACCGCCGAGTCGAGAGATCCGGCCTACTATGACAACGAGAAAGCCAATTTGACCGTCAGCGATCAACCCAAGAAAGAAGACAAGCCTGTCGCCCAGCCCACAGCCGACGCGCCGGGTGAGGGAACTTCCACTGGGGTCAGTCAGCCTGAGGTCTCCGAAATCGCGGAAGAACATGAATCCACGAAGGCCGGCATCGCCAATGGTGTTGTTTCCGAATCGAAGCCCGATGCTCCCCCATCCGAGGAGGCCGCGACGACAGAAGAACCTCCAGTCGCTGAATCCACGTCTAAGCAACCCGTGAATGGCGACATCGAAGATCACTCGCACCAAGAGGACGTTGTTCACCAAGCTCCTCAGACTACTGTCGTATTGCCTCCCCCTCCGCCTCCACCAGTGCTTCCTGATGTACCTTCGGCGCCGGAAAGAGAGGATCAGCAGTGGCTGCTCCCACCGGTTGTGCCAAACCTTCAGGGTCGAAAATGTCTTGTCCTAGATCTTGATGAAACATTAGTTCACAGTAGTTTTAAGGTAAGACCATCATCCAAATCCTGTTTGACATTCGCTCATTGTTTATGATTCAGGTCCTTGAACGTGCCGATTTCACTATTCCTGTCGAAATCGAGGGACAGTATCACAACATCTATGTCATTAAGCGGCCCGGCGTGGATCAGTTCATGAAACGGGTTGGTGAGTTGTACGAGGTAGTAGTTTTCACGGCATCCGTTTCCAAGGTGAGTTGACGATCTTATTCGTGACTCGGGATAAACACTGACTCGATTCGTAGTATGGTGATCCATTGCTCGACCAGCTTGATATCCACGATGTGGTGCACCATCGATTATTCCGAGAGAGTTGCTACAATCATCAAGGCAACTACGTGAAGGTTGGTGTTTACCCCTCGATCAACATGTACAAACGCAAAACTAACACCACATCATAGGACCTTTCTCAAGTTGGCCGTGACCTACGTGAAACGATCATCATTGACAACTCTCCTACCTCGTATATCTTCCATCCTCAACACGCGATACCCATCAGCAGCTGGTTCTCTGACGCCCACGACAATGAACTGCTTGACCTTATCCCCGTTCTCGAGGATCTTGCTGGGGCTCAAGTCCAAGATGTCAGCATGGTCCTGGACATCACTCTGTGAATGTCTTGTCCGGAGATATTTCTAACGCCCGAGATTCCCCTTTGAGCGCGTCGTTCCCTATGTTTGTTTTCGTTTTTTTTTTGTTGCGAGAAAAGCTTTTACTTCCCAGCATTTTCCTATTTCTTCGCATTTACCCTTAGTTCCCTGTCCCATTACATTGCCGCTTCGCTTCTCGACGCGACCATGGACCTAGATGGGAACTGGTTCCCTTTCGGGCCATGGCTCATCTGATGCATTTGTCGTTTCTATTGTTCTGAATAGCCCATTTTCATAACCCCCGGCATTTATTTTCTTTCTTTGCCTTGCTTTCCCTTCGGCATTGTGACCTTATCTGACCTTGCTCCGAGCGAGCTTTTTTTCCTAGCCCTGTCGATTATTCCCTGTCATGCCCTGATCTTCACGATCTCGCCTTGTCTCTACTCTATCCTTAGTCCGCATTCTCCGATGCATCCTGCAGGCGTCTGTTGGTTCCCAATGTTGCCGCTGTATCCCCCTATGCGTTATCTGCTTCCGTCTTTTTGCGCCTTGCTACTCTGTCGACCGGGTCCAGCCATCACCACGGATAAATGTTGAGTCAGATTCCTTCTAGATTTTCATGGTACCATGAAGGCACATCCAGGCTGTTAATGCGTGCCTTGACCGCGCTACAGCGTGCCAAACTTGAGTTTCGTTGCTGGATTGATTCCCCGCATGCAATGTATGACTATCTGATTGGCTGCGGCATTCTAGTATATAGTCTTCGACATATTTCAGAGAACAAATATAGCTTGGCGCATTGTGAAAGTATTATTCCCTTTGTAGGCTTGTGCATGATAAATTGTCAAATAGAACTTTGGCTGCTTATCAGGACGATCTCATGATGTCGCTTGAGCAGTATCATTCGCGCCGCATTAGGTTGGTGTAGTAAGCGACTCAAATCCGACCAAATCAACCTCAGACCATGCTCAGGTGAGATTTTGCGACTTTAAATTAATGCAATTCCAGGCAAATCCACCTTCCTAGCTTTGATGTCACGTTCCTAGCTCAGTGGCGTATTTTATCCAGTCGCCAACGACCTCCCCCTCACGAGTCATCAAGAAAAAAAGCTCCCCGCAATCCCGCTTCCACCGCCCGCCACTTCGTGCCATCAACACTTTCCTCTCACCCACTCCCATCATGAAGAACAAAGAAGGTTGGGACGGAAAGTTACGAATGGAGCCCCCGAAAGCTGTCATCACAAATCCCGAGGCGTTGGAGGATTCCGATTACTCCGACCCTGAGGCTCCACCAGTGGACGAGATTGATGCTGATGAAGGTACGGAATCAGGCTCAAACTTGCGCGTGGGCCTAGTGAGCTAATGAAATGCAGATTTACTGGAGGGTGAGGACGTGAATGTCGAGGTACGATTTAATCCGAGCCAAGACTTCCCTTGAACGAGGTGCTAACCTGTTTCTCTGCTAGGATATCGATCTCGTCCATTGTCGCATATCTTCGATTGCTGCGCTGCACTTGGAACGGTTCAACAAACTCCAGGTAACTGCATTCTCCCTTCTACCTTTCATACCCAGGTTCTATATACGGACAAAGCGTCACTGCACATAATGCTTCGTGCGGACTGTCATGGCAAATACGTTGAGCTTCAAGCAGCTGGCTAATGGAGTGATCACTAGAGATTATGCCTACGCCAGAACCAAATATCGCGCGTCGACTTCCCGTCTAATGTCGCCGCTACCCTTACCGAGCTTGATCTCTATGACAACCTTATCTCCCATCTCAAGGGTCTGGATGAATTCCATAACTTGACAAGCTTGGATTTCAGCTTCAACAAGCTAAAGCATATTAAGAATATTTCACATCTTGTGAAGCTTACCGAGCTGTTCTTCGTGCAGAATAAGATTTCAAAGATTGAAGGGTTAGAAGGATTGACCGTCCTGCGGAATTTGGAGCTGGGCGCAAATCGGATTAGAGTGAGTATTCTCCCAGTCTTGAAGAGATGGGAGCGAAGGATTAACTTAGCACAGGAAATTGAAAACCTCGAAACTCTTTCTGCGCTGGAAGAACTCTGGTTAGGAAAGAACAAGATCACCGAGATGAAGAACCTCGACAGTCTCTCCAACCTTCGCATTATCTCCATCCAATCCAACCGCCTCACAAGCATCACTGGCCTCTCCGCTCTCCCCAACCTCGAAGAGATCTATCTTTCTCACAACGCCATCACCGACCTCTCCGGCCTTGAGTCAAACACGACCCTGCGTATCTTGGACTTCTCCAATAACCAGGTCACCAACCTGGAGCACCTCTCTACGCTGAAGAACCTCGAAGAGCTCTGGGGATCTAATAACACGCTTGCCAGCTTCGAGGAGGTCGAGCGTGAGCTGAAGGATAAGGAGAAGTTGGAGACCGTCTACTTCGAGGGCAATCCTTTGCAGTTGAACGGGCCTGCTGTCTATCGCAATAAGGTGCGGTTGGCGTTGCCGCAGGTTACTCAGATCGATGCGAGTATGTTTTCCTCCCTTCAAGTTTGCTCTGCGAATGCTAACCTTATTCTGAAGCTTACGTGCGGGTCTGAAATTACCCATTGGAATGATATTGGTGGTTTTGTGTCTCATGGTCAGCTCGAGTAAAGAAGCCTAATAACAAACAAAAATAGGTTTCATGCCCGTGTGATCCTTTGTAGAGTAGTTGGTGGAATCAAGATATCCCAATATATGTACACAATACACGAGTCTTACTTTGGAAAGACAATTGTCTTGAAATATCTATATGAGTTATATACATGCTTTGTCCTCAACGATATGTACAGGGAGGGACTAATCTCCGTCTCGTCGGCAATCCTCCGATGTTAGACACAGACAGCCGTTTCATTTGCATGACCATCCCAAAGTAGTCAGGCTGGAGAAAAGACGCAGCAGGAGAGAGACGGGTAATCTATCAAGACCAAAGGGTCTTCTTTTCTTCTTCAAGGGGGACTTTAGAAAGGGCAATGCAGATCTCAACCCTAGACCCCTCAAACCCTATGAACCCCCTCCTGATCAGACTGAGGCGGTTCCTCATGAGAGTCCCTCGCCTCTCTCCAGATACCCATTATACTCTCCGCCCCAAGCGCCCGTCTAGTCCCCGAAATCCGCGCTGGCGTATACGGAAGTCTATCCTTCCGACTCTGCAGCACATCCCCTAACGCCTTAAGCGGAACACCCGTTTGCGGGCTGTTCATGTCTTTGTAGATGGGATCTTCTTTGTCCGGGTAAAAGGCTGAGAAGTATTGATTGCGTCGAATGGCATTTTCATGGTTGTGGCGCGATGGTTCGATTGTGCATTTTATTGTTCCGGCGGCTACGTTATCGAATATAGGATCGTGGTTCTTGTATTGTTTTGTCGATAACTTGGATTCTGAGGGTTGTGAAGATGAAGATGTGTCGAGGGTTACTGTCAAAGGCGAGGAGGCAATTGCGCGCTGCGCGGCGTCGGTGGACTCGAAGATCGCGACGATGGGACGGTGTTTATTTGTTGATTTATTGGATAGATCATACTGTAAGTATATGTTAGAATCAGATTTCGCTGGTTTTGCGCGCGTGCTGTTTCGCGGCGCGGCGAGGTTCTCACCTTGAGATTGCGGAATGTGGTCACTTCGCCGAATTTTTGGAGCGCGGCTAGGATCTGTCGGGTCTCGCCTATTCTCCGGGGACTAGGGACCATCTGAATGTGTACGCTTGTCGAGGCTAGGCGCCCTAGGGCTGCTGGGGACGTCATTTTGGGTGTTGGAGAGAAAATGTCGGGAGTGCGGAGATGATTGACTTGCCGCTCTTGGCGTAGTATACTTGGACTGCCCCTAACGAAATGTCCAATATAACCAGCTCATCTGGTTTGACTATTTTAAAAACTTATAGTAGATCACTTTGCATTTAGGTTTTATCTCGCAACTAGTTCAGTAAGTTGAAAGTAAGAGCAGTATGGTAGAACTATAATACGCGATATGGTGAGGAAATTACCTAGGCTCTGTCATCTGAAACCTGATGGTTTCTTGCGATTTTAGTATAAGAACTGTGAGAGGATATAGTAGTTTTCGAAATCAGCTATACTACGGCCAAACCCTTTCTATGTACTTCCAAGATTGCTGGAAAACAGTTCGCTTGGCTTACCGCTTCACATCTCCGACAGTATTTTTATCTTTTTGATTGTATTGTTATCAATTCCTCGTATTACTAGGTAGTGCAGTAATATAACATGGCCATGAATCAAAGGGCTATTTAGGCGTCGATACACTCATCAAGGTGGAAGGGATCACTTTTATCACAGCACTGAGCCTCGCTGCCGTCGGCGCTGGCGCTGCAGCTGCTCTTGAAATCAGAAATGTCCTTTGTACTCGGAGCTGTTGAAGGTCAGAAAGGGTTCAGTGATGATTATGCTGGGGACTAAGCGCTAAGCATGTAGCGCTCGTTTCGGGATTCCTTACGGGTTTTGCAGTCCACCTGTCCGAACGATAAAATGCCGGTAGTACAGCATAGAGCAACACTGTAATCAGCGTTTGGGCACACGCCGTCGCGCTTATCGAAGGAGGTAGGCTGGGCCAGGGCAGCGCCAGCGGAGACAGCAAGAAGCAGAATAGATGCCTTCATTTTCAAAGTTGCTTGTGTAGAGCGAATATCGATGGTTGATACCTCACGATGGAATGAGGGAACCTTGAGAATATTTATACACAAGACTTGTCCCCAGGTGCCTCGATCTCAGGTGCCAGGTTCGTGGTACAGATGTCGATCCGGTGGGTCCACTAGGAGCATACTGCATGAACCGCCTTCCACCCCTAGATGCTCCGCTCCATATCAAATACAATATCTGCAGGTTCCCCACTGCTCTATTGACGCTAGATATCAATAGTGTAGACTAGCCACCATATGTAAACAGCGATTGGAGGATGCTAAGATTCATACCTCAGATCGAGATCTCAGCTCATCATTCTATTGCCGATTATTATATCATGCATTCGGGCGCTAAGTTAGCATATGTCCATTAAAAGGGGCTAGACAAAAATAATCGGAGCCCCTCGATCGATGGAATTCCAAGGTTATCGGTGAAGGATCTCACCCCTTGATGTTTCATTCCCCGACTTCGTCCAGGTCTCCTGTAGCTTCGTAGGGCTATATTACACTATGCTAGTGGGTGCTGGCGAGTCACAGTCTCCTCGATAGGTGCTTGCCATTGTGTAGTATTTACCGTTCTGCATTTGCTCGTTAATATGCATGGCACCCGTAGTGTCGCATTTCAATGTTTACTAGGACTCGCCCATCCCATCATTATTGAGTTTATACGAAACGACGAAGCCTTCCAGACATTTGATGGCAGAATGAAGATTCTTCTGTCTGGATCTTTGTCCTGCAAGATGGGTGTATGGTAAATTGTGTGCTAGAGAATGGCCGAATCAACTAAACTTGCCTAAGGCGCTTGATAATCTTCAGGACGTAATGCAAAGTCCAAGGGGGAGGAGGTATACAGGAAATGGTTTTGTTATTAGTTTTGGGGGGTGTGACGGTCGGCTGCTCAGGGTATCACTCTGAGGCACGTTCCACTCGACATTAGTCAATAGGTCGGAGCAGGCGCTTGCTGAAACAGCTACATTTCGATCATTGTGTTAAACAAGCTGTACGGGGATTTTCGGCATCCATTACTGTTTTGAGTCCTACTATGGGAATCTTAGCTTTTCTCTTTACGACTTTTTGATCCATTTCCCCCTCAAAGCTGAAAGATACAGACTTATCTTGAAAGGTATGCTCTACTCCCAGAATCCTGACAGGTAAGTACTCAAGTGCCTACCCGGCTACAGCTTTGCGGCTCCAGTTGCCAAATATGGCAAGTCATCGTCGATCGACTCTATCAGCAGTATGACCCTACTTTGAATTCCAGATTTCACTGATGTAGCCTCAGCTCACTCTTGTTCTTTCATATAATTCTCTAATACTCCAGGTCTCAATAGCACCCGGTATGGATGCACGGGAGAGTTTCTTCTAAGGGTACTTAGCCTGTGCAAATGGAACAAACTCTCTAGGCAATGAGTGGCTATTTGATGCACAAAAACTGAGATATTCTGCGCAATGGGGATACGCATTCAACTCAAAAGTAGGAACTCAATGATTCCAATACGTAGAACTAGATTATGCCCACTTCGCAGTGCTTACCGGATCGGATTACTTAGCCAGAAGCTTAACATCATACGTGGGGGCCAAAGCCCCACCATCAACGGATTCTGGAACTTAAAGCCGAGTCTCACCTGAGGCTGTCCTTCTTTACTTTCACCGTGACTGTTCACTTCAACCCATTTCCTGGTACTCGTGTCCCTTCTGACAGGGCGTTGGTATCATGACCTACTGCGGAAGGCCATCCAGTAGCTGTGCGCCCTGTCGTACACGCAGGCGTCAAGTATGTAAAATGGCACAGACTTGCATTCTATTATTGGTGGCAGTAACTGAATGATCAATATAGTGTGACAAAGCCAAGCCTGGATGCGGTCAATGTGCCCGAAGAGGCGAAACATGCTCTGGATATCCAGATCCCCAGGCCGTGCGGTTTCGGAATGAAACTACGCACGTTATTGGGAGGTCCAGATCAAAATGGAAGAAAGCTGAGGATTCACGGAACCAACAAGATTCGAATCTGGATAGACCCGAGCCGTTAAATGACACAGTAGGAGATCATCCTCTCGAAGCGTCGGGTTCAATGCATGAGATACTGGACTTCTTGATCCCGAGCTCATGTTCGGTAACAGAGAGCTCGTCGGATTTGTCGTCTCTTAATGATTTCTTTTCGTCGTCTGAGTGCTTCATGCCATCACCCCGGTACTCATTGCACGATTCCATGGATAACCTCGGAGTGAACTACTTCATATCAACTGTCATCACACCTCGCACCGATGGCTCATCACGAGGATACTATGATTACATCCCAGACCTTTTTCTCAAAGAAGATCGCTCCGAGGCCATGGGTTCAGCTATTTCGGCGGTAGGACTCGCTGCAATGAGTAATATCAACCATGTCCCAGAGTGGCTTCGTCATTCCCAAGTCCAGTACGCCAATGCAGTCCAGCTCATCAATCACTCTCTGCAGTCACCCAAGGAAGTACGCAAGGACAGCGTCCTCGTGGCAGTCTCGGTGCTATGTCTGTATGATCAAATTGCCCACAACAGCGACAACAAACTGGATACATGGGCCCACCATGCACAAGGAGCGGCTAGCATCCTTGCTATACGTGATGTGGACCAGATTACCACTCCTTTGGGCGTACGAATGTTTTCTCAGGTTATGGGCGATATGCTACTTGCTTGTCTACATGAACGGCTACCAATGCCACCTCATATGGTGGTCCTGCGAGAATTATTGACCCACTCAGGATACATCGATTCATATGACCTTGCATGGCAGATGAGTGGAATTGAAATTGAATGCCTTAATCTTCTGGCCACTTCTCAATCGCTTCCTTTAGTCGAACTGATGGACCAAGCGCTATCCATTGACGACCAATTCCAACGACTCCTGGATTCATTACTATTACAGGGTCACTATATCACCATCTATGACCCAGCTGCAGATCATTCGCAGGTCTACAACCAACGCTATGACATCTACCGTGAGCTCGAACGCGTCAAAGTCTGGAACGGCGGTCGAGCATATCGCAATTTACTCCATCAGGTACTGCATGAGAGGCTAGTACGGGCTTTCGCAGACAATGCCTCGGAAGTGGTCTCTCCCCGTTTCACACAACAACTACAATACTCGCATGAGGTGATGCTGCGGATGCGGGACGATATTCTGGCTAGCATGCCCCAGGTACTTGGACAACTCCCGCCAATCGGTTTAGAGACTGTTCCATTTCCTATGGACAATATGGCTAATCTTATCAACAATCGAACTCCTGGAGGTAGTCATTTTCCTGCCTGGTTCCTTTACGTCATTGCTCAATCGCCTGTCACACCGATGTCAGATCGCATGTGGATCGTTAATCGGATGGATGCTATTTGGCGGGAGAAGGGGATTTTCAAAGCGCGGGACCTTGCGCGGAAGATTGAGAAATTAGGTTCTGGGATGTCTAAGTCCTCGGACTAATCATCTATGCATGGTTTGACATCATGTTCAGAACAAACAATTGTACACTGGGGGCCATTCAATCGGGTTGAACAGTTAAGATTACTCGTGAAATCCGTTTCATTATTCTGTTTATCATATAACATCACGAAAGCCAGATGGAACCCATCCAGCAAGACTCAATTATTTGCATGAAAGAGTGCAATCCCTTAGAAGATAGGGATGTCAAGGCCGTACTACCGAGTAAATTAGCAAAAAGGTTCCACTCAAAAGTAACAAGAGAGATACTCACAGCAACAGGGTCGTTGAAGCGCAGACCCTTGTCCAAAGCAGAGATAGACTCAATCTCACCAGCCTCCAAGTCAAAGTCATTGACCTGCAAGTTCTGAGCCAAACGAGTTGGGCTGTTGCTCTTGGGGATAACAGCAATCTTGCGCTGAGTAGCCCAGCGCAGCAGAACCTGCGCAGGGGTACGTCCGTGCTTCTCGGCAATACCCTTAATAACATCATGCTCAAACAGAGGAGTGGTACCGTGGGCATCCTTCAAGTCTAACTCCAAGAAGCTGAGGGGACCGAAAGAAGAGTAAGCAGTAACAGCAAGACCCTGCTTCTGTGCGTAGTCCACCAAGCGGGTCTGGGTAAGGTAGGGGTGGTGCTCGATCTGCAAGGTAGCAGGACGAACACGGGCATAGCGGAGCAGATCCATAAGCAGCTGGGCGCTGAAGTTGCTAACACCGATGCTGCGGGCAAGCTTCTTATCGGTCAGGGACTCCATGGCGGTCCAGGTCTCCTGGATGGAGGCTTTGCCGAGCTCGACCTTGCCGTCGGCAGTGGTCCAGCTGGGAGGGTAGCGGACTGAGGGGTCGAGGTATTTCAGGGCGATGGGGAAGTGCACGATGTACAGGTCAAAGTAGTCGACGTTCCAGTCGGCGAGCTGCTTGCGGCAGATAGGCTCGACTTGCTCGCCGTCGTGGAAGCTGTTCCAGAGCTTGGAGACGATGAAAAGGTCCTCACGCTTGACGAGACCGTCCTTGATGGCGCGGGTGATACCCTGACCGCACTCGACCTCGTTGCCGTAGTCTTTAGGGGATTGAATTAGGTTTTGGGGTCAAAGGGTAAGAGGATAGAGTGCTTACCACAGGCGCCATCGAACAGACGGTAACCGGCCTTAATGGCGTTGTAAACCTGGTCTGCGCAGGTGTCATTGTTCACCTTCCACAGACCGAAGCCCACGAGGGGCATTTCAAAGCCGCTGTTCAGCTTAACGGTGGGGACAGTCATTGTGAGAGAATTGGAGGGGGATAGCTGGCGGAAGATTTAGTTCCTGGTGCGGTGCTTATGGATCGAGTGACACGTCAATGCTACCGGGGCTACTCACAGGAAATGGAAGAGATACGATTTAGAAAAGGACCGGACAAACGGACACCTATAAGAGAAATTGTGACGCGAAACCTGTTAATCCGGCGTCAGGCTAAATGCGGGACAATCTCGTATAGAGTCTGGGGCCCCACCTAATCCCGCCGGCTAAAGGCGGTTAAACAAAGCACTTTATCCAATATACAGAAAGAAAAGTTAGATTAAATATGGAATAGAATCGAATCGGACACGGGACTCTAAGGCCCGGTCTCTGACTCCCTTTCCCTAGTTAACTCCGGGCCTCCACGTATCATGAAAAAGGGCAAAAGGAAAAAAGTAGCAAAAGGTATAAGAGTACATGGAACCGCTCCAGAAGAAGATTATCATTACCAATAGAATTTTTGTTTTTCGATGATTGGGGTCATTAAACTGCATCCACAGTCCCATCATCGGCGTAGGAAGCATGTGCATGTTCGGGGCCTGCCCCGTGCATACTAGGACCATTGGACATGCGGCCAACGAGCTTGTCCATCAAGTCTTCAGGTATGCCATCGAAATGATGTGGTTGCTGCGACTCACGCGAGACGGGGCCTTGGTGCTCCGGGTATGGGATGTGGTGATATCCACCGGCACTCACATCTCCCGGGATAGAGGCAGAATGGGCTCCCCAAGAAGCTTGGGCGTGGCCCAGATCTTCTAAGGATTGAGAGCCCGAGGTGAAGAAGCCATTAAGCACATTATGGTTGTTGTTGTCGTGAAGACCAACACCGTGCTGTTGAGGTGGCATGTAATGGCCAGTGTCATGGCCAATGTTGTAGCCAAGAGATGGGTGAGAGAGCGGGAGGTCGTGCATGTTCATCATCACTGGCCCCCCGCTGGTGATACTAAGGCTGGTTGGTTGGGATGTCTCTGGGGCAAGGCTGGTGGCGAAGGAGTCCAGCACGGAGGTGACGGCCGTCTTGTCACCGAGGCCATCTTCAGCTTTCGAGATAGAGCTCATAAAGTCAATTTGACCGGAGGAATTAAACATATTAGCCACGTTGTCGTGGGAGGATGGGTACATAGGCCATTGTGAGTGAGATTGACTCTGGTGGATCAGGTCATGGGGCTGCGACGTCTGGTAGACGCTCTGGGGGGGTTTGTTGAGAAGGATGGAATCCAGAGAGAGGGGGGGAAGATCAACACCAACACTAGTAGCTGGCCGAGGGCTATTGGTTTGAGTGCGATCCGGAGGCGGAATAAGCCGGCGCCAGGTAGTTGTGCCGACCTCGCCGGGTCGTGTTTGGCGGAATTTCCAGACCAAGATGGCCATTCGCTCGCTCTCATCTTGTTGCCCATGGCCCTGGAATTGGTTGGAGAGACGTCTGGAAGTGGATGGTACAGCGCGGATCTCCTGTACTGCAGACAGAGAGCGTAGGTAGCGCCGTGTACGCTCATCAGTAGAATGGATAGATTCTGGCTGAGCGGAGTCTTCCGCAATGCGCTTATCCTGGGTTAACTCAGTGAAGAGCTTCGCCCACCATTGCGATTCGAAGAGAGGCTTGACCTTAGTCGATTGGGGTTTCGGAAGAGGGTTGAAGGTCTCCCATTTCTCTCGCCCTGCTTCGTATAGACGTGTACTACAAGTCCAGTCTTCCATCTGGCCAACCATGAACACATCACCGGCTGTAGGGTGGGCAAAGTCAAGGTCTAATTGAATACCAAGACGAGATCCGGGAGGAGGAAAGTCAGACATGAGCTGCAGGTTGACTTCAAGCATGATGATATCACAGTCGAGGGAGCCATCATCCACAATAGATGCTAGCTCAGGGAACGAGGATCGCCAACCATTCACATTTTCCAAAGGCATCGGAGGTGCAGGGTGATGCAGGTCGCCTTGCAAGCGGGTATATGCATGCAGAGCCTTTTCGATTCGGTTAGGCTGTTGAGGCGTGCTAACCCACATGTCAAAGCTAAAGCCATGAATACTTTTAGTCCCTGACTCTTGCATATTCGAGCCCAGAGTGTAGTGAGGTGGTGGTAGGTCTCCTGCATATGGTTGCATCGAGCGCATAGGATCGTGGTACTGTGCCGGGGCTCCGTAGTGACTCGGCGCTCCATGATCAATCGAAGCTCTCCACTTAGGCGTTGAGGCTTGAGAATGTCCACTTGATCGCTCTGCAGACTGTTCGCGGACAAGTCGCTCCCCTAAAACCTATGTTAATGACGGACACTTTGAATTATGCCTATCCGTGTACTAGAACTCACAGTCGGGGTCGCCTTTCAGAAAAGAGTCAAGCACTTGAAGGTGACTCGAAACCTGCTTGCGAGTTCGTCGCTTGCCAGTCAACTTGAAAATGTACTCGGCGATCAACTCATTTCGGCCGTATGACTTTCCCCGTTCAGACCACTTGCGTCGACCCATAGGAGGGTTTGCTTCGAGAGCTGTACTTGACTGTTAGCTTATTTGATATCAGTAGGCATGACTTGATTGCTCACCCTGCTGGAAAGCATCTTCCAACTCATCAGACCACACTGGCTCTCCATCCTTGCCAGTGTCCCGTCTAGGACGGGCCCGATACTCCAAGTACTTCTGGGATTTAAGGTAGCTTCGTCCCCGTCGAGGAGCTACGTTGGGTCCCACTGAGTGAAGCCGGCGAAGCTTCCGAGCATGAAGCCGAGCAGCTACTTGCTGGTGGTGGTGGTGGAGATTGGGGGCGGCGACTTGGTGATGCACAGGAGGATGGGGATACTTGTAAGCCATCTGTTGAAGATGATCGTCCCGGCCAGCGACATCGTGGGTCAAAACATCGGAGTATGACTGCACGTTGCCAGAGGTGTTCTGCAAAGCCCGATCAGAATGAGCCCCCACAGTATCAATGGACGGCTGGTTCTGAGGCACGAGGCACTCTTGTTGCCAGTCAGCAGCCATGGAGCGGACCAAGGACGGGCTTCTCGAAAAGAATGACAGATTCCAACGAGGAGGGGGAGTTGAGAGGCACCGTCAAATGCTTCCTGCCTGGCAAAGAACGCAGCACAGTCACAAACAGCGACCCAAGAACGCAAATGTCTGAAGAGAATGTCAGAACCTGGGAAAGAGAATGTGAGAGCGAGCAAGAAGGTGTTTATAGGGAACCATAACTCCCCTGGGAGAGGGGTGCTGTAGTCCCAGTAGCAACATTGTTCCGACAGGTTTGCTTTGCCTGCACCACGACCCTCGAACGCCAGCTCCATACTCCTACGCAGGTCCCGGCCCTGGGGTCTTCGCGTCCAGGCACTGTGTGGGGTGCAAAGGACGGGCGCCAGCCGTCCTTGCCGCGACAAATCAGGAGTCAAGAAAGGGCATGATATGAAGGAAGTGCTACCGAAGCAAGGGATGCTGCAGCAGCACGATCCAGTGACGAGCGACTCGGAGATTTTGTACAGCCTGAGGTGACCTTGGGGCAGCATCAGTTGGACTATTGTTGACAATAATCGACAATGATTAGTGGCGATTCCAGGTCTATAGGAATGTTGGAGGTCCAACGACGTCGCTGATTGCTCGGATTGAGGAATGTTCAACCACCGACCACCACCACAACCGCCATTGGAATGTAGGTCAAGCTGATCTTCGAAATTAATCAACAAATAAACACGGCAAATAACTCATGCAGCAAAAAACCATGGTTCAATAACTGGGGATGGGATCTTGAGGTTGGAAAGGAGGTTGTAGTACATTAGGGTTGGTTAGGGTTAAGAAAACCTAGAATAGGGACGAACATGGATGAAATGCAAAATGCACGAGCGCTGCACGTATGGTGCATTGACAGCCGCAGGAACGTGTTCGGGGTATCTCTTTTACTATCTCATAGGTAATCAACAAAAAAAGGCTGCAAGTAATCGTACATCGTTTTTCCCCTGAACGCAAGGGATGGTCACCGGCCAATGGACTCGGCGCCCTTCTTGCAGGGAGAAGGAGACTCAGCACCTTCATGCTTCGTCGTTCTCCTGGGCCCCTACAGTGAACTTTTTGCGTCCTCCGCCCGTAAGCTGTTGGATCTTGACCCTGTCTGCTTGTTGGCCCATCTTCTTCTCTATCTTTTCTATCTCCTCCTCGGCATCGACAGCCTCCTCGTTCACAAATTCGAGGACCAAACGTCGACCCAGCAGATGCGTGTTTTTCAACGCGTCCATGGCATTTTCCGCTTCGCGAGCACTGATGAAATCCGCGAAACCGAAACCGCGAGCAGTGCGATCGAACTTTTGAGGCACACGGACCGAGCGCAATTGGCCGTACGCACCAAACAGGGAACGAATTTCCTTCTTGGTGGCCTGGAACGGCAAGTTCTTGATGATGATTTTGGTTCGTCTCGCCGCAATTTTCTTGGCGGTGTCTTCCCGTCTTCGCTCCTCCGCGGCATCGTGGCCCTTGTGAGAGGCGCGAATGACAAGTTCGTGCCCATCTAACTTGTAGCCATCCATGGCGGTAAGTGCTGCTTGGGCCTGATCTTTGGTCCTGAACTCTGCAAAACCGAAACCCATGCTGAGGGTTTGACCCGGCTTCTTGGGGTCGGGCTTGGTCTTGATGCGACCAGTAACAAAGCCCTCCAACGGCTTGAAGGCCTGCAAGAATCCCTCGTTGGTAGTCGAAAAGCTCAAGTTCTTCACGAAGAGAGTTGATGTGACGCTGTTTCCCTCGACCTCATCTGCGGCAAAAGTGTCCGAGGTAGAGAATCCTTGACCCTTGCCTCGCACCTCTGGAGCAGCGACCTGGGCACTGACTGTGCCATCAAACAAGTTCTTTGGGGCCTTCTCCAAGAAGAGAATCGACTCACCCACCTTTCGGTAGGCAAGACCCTTGAATGCCTTCTGCGCTTCATCGGGCCTTCCAAACTCAATAATGGCGATGGTGCCGCTGGGCGGCATCAGCAGTCGAATGATCGTTCCATAAGGCTCGAACAACGACCTGAGATCACTAGATTTCACACCATACGAAAAGTTCTTCACCAAGATAGCTGTGTTGCCTCGTTCACGCTCCTTGAAAGCACCAATGTTGACTCCGTTCGAGGCAAAGTAAGCTTTGGTCTCTTGAATGACGTGCGTCTCAGCATGTGCCTGCTTGACAGCAGCATCAGACGAAGTGGGATCCAACAGCTCTGCCTTAGAAACGCCGAGTCTTTCAGCTACGGATGACATTACAGCATCAGTCTGTATCGTAATTAGCATTCGTAGTTCATTGCAGCGCCGGAAACAAACAACTCACGTTCATGTAAAGGGAATTCCAGCTGAATGAGGAAGACCCAGACTCCATTTTACGTTTAATTTGCTTTTGCTTCTTTAAGGGAAGCTTTGAAAGCTCGTATTCGTCAATTTTGTAGCTCTTCTTGGCTGCAGCTGGAAGAATATGCAAGAGGCGGCCTTGGAAATGCTTTCCATCAAGGGTGCGGTATGCATCAATAGCAGCATCTGCATCACGATACTGGATATAGGCAAAGCCCTTGCTGGTCTCAGTCCGAGTGTCAAAAGCAATATGAATCTGTTTTTATATTCCATTAGTACTTGATCGAAGTAAAAATTTGTAGTGAGTCTTGTGTATGGAATATGGTGTGTTGCTCTTTTCAGATAATCAAGAAGCATCTACTAAAATCTCTTGCCTGGTGACATCATCTGCGCTTGGCATAAGATGTCCCTATCAGGACAGTCATCATACGAGCACACCGCCAGCATTGGTGCTGTCAAAGCACATGCTGGCATGGTGAAGGGAGAGTGTGAAGTGGGGGGTGGGATGGAACAAAGAACTAACCTCTTCAGTTTTACCAAACGGAGAAAATAGAGTGTAAAGGTCCGCCTCTTTCAGATCGTAGGAGAGATTTCTCAGGAACAGCCGAGCAGAATCGCGAATGAGCTCGATGTTTTTGGCCTGCTCAGGCGAAATCTCGTTTTCTTTCTCTTCCTCTTCCTCCTCTGCAGGTTCATCAACTGTCTCATCAGCATTAGTGACAGGCTCGGGCTCGGGCTCAGACGTGATCTGCTCGATGGCGGCACTACGGGATTCATCCTTGGGGGAACTCCGAGACTCGACCGGCTTGTCGACCTTTCGCTCTTCAAACTCGGCCTGCTCATCCTCGTCCAGAAGACCCAACAGACGGCTTGTCTTGGATCGCAGCCAGTCCATATCAGATGCAGGGCCAGCCTCTGCTTCGCCTTGGCCATCTTGTGCTGGGGTCTCCTCCTGTGCTGATGTATCCTCATTCTCATCCTCTTCACCCTGGTCAATGACCATTGGCTCAGGTTCAGGTTCCTGGATAACAACGGGTAGGGGCTCTTGAAACCGGGCCTTCTTAGGCTGGGAAGGTACTTCCTCCGTCACACTGTTGTCTTGGGTAGGTTGGTTAATGACCGGTGTGGAATCCGCGGATGGGGCAGCCATGGTATCATCATTTGCCCATGTTCGGGTCTTGCCTGACTGCATCAAAGTCATATACTCTTTCAGCTTTGGGTCTTGTGCTTTCTCAGCCTCCCTCTTGCGCTTCTTGAGTGCACCCTCCGCGGAATTATCCACATCACGGTTCCGTGTCGGGTGGACAGGCTTGGAATCAATCTACAGTAAACCTGGTCAGTCTCAAGACCAACTGAACTGGTCAGCGTGCACGAAAGCAAAAAAGCAAAAAAAGGATGACAGGAACAATGCGATGAAAGATGCAAACATTCACATACCGGTCGAGCAATATCTACCGTGATCTTAGACATCTTTAAGAAAGTCCGGTTGAAATATTTCACGGCATCTTGAGCCATCTCATTACTTTTAAAGCCGACGAAACCCATGCGGCGTTTAGGCAAGACATGGGCATCTGTGACTTGAAAGCGTGTTGAAAAATGATTGCGAAGCTGATCATTGGAGCAAGTGGGTGGGAGCCCACTGACAAACACCCGAGTATTTTCCATCTTGAAATGTTGTAGCTGGAAAAGCCACGAGCAAGTGTGAAGTAAAAATCCTTGTAGTGAAATTTTTTTTTCTGGCTTTCATAGCATGTTGGGCGGTGAACAGAGCGGTCCTATTTGTTACACCGGCAATATGTCCAACTGGGGTGAAAGCGGTCAACCGTGTCGTCGACGCGCCCTCTTCGATTGCGCCGCTGCACTCTCGAATTACTCACTCGTGTTCACGCCGACGACCCAATTACCTTTGAACCAGCCGCCCCTAAAGATCCTATCTCTCGCAATCATGACTACTGAGAAGAAAGAGAAGATGGAGGGTGAGTCTTGCTCCCCGCCAAAGTCATTATGTCGCTAACCCATGTACAGCGCAGGTCAAGTCGGTCGACATGGTAGGATAGCTATCGCCGTATACTCATGGGCTGGATCTGATACATTCACATAGACCGAGGATATGCAGCGGGAGGCTATTGACCTCGGTATGGGACTTGGACCCCCGACAGAAAGAATAGCGACTAACTTCCACAGCTATCGAGGCCATGGAGAAATACCACATCGAGAAGGTATGGACACACTTTCGACTCTGTATCGAGCTTTTTCATCGCATACTAACTAGTTGCAGGATATCGCACAGTACATCAAGAAAGAGGTTCGACCCCGCCATCATAGCCAACCTACCCCTCCTCCTTTCGACACTAACAATTCGTCTAGTTCGATTCCCGAAAGGGCGCTACTTGGCACTGCGTTGTCGGACGCAATTTTGGTAGCTTCGTCACTCATGGTCAGTGTCTACCACTTCTCTCTTTCCTAAACCATACTCATTGCCTCTACAGAGACGAAGCACTTCATCTACTTCTACCTGGGCCACTGTGCCATTCTCCTTTTCAAGACCCAGTAATCGAACGAATACAGCATCAGTGTGTGGCATCAATTCTTGGGGGCTCTATCTAGGGGTGGAAGTCTACAAAATACTTTGAGCAGCGATCTCTTTTTTTTTCCGTTATGTCTTTCTGGACTTATGCCAGCTACTTCGACTTGTATGCAAATAATTGCCCCATTATGTAAACAGGCTTTTCTGAAGATTCAATAAGATTCCCATTGGTGTTCATTTTCAAAATTTGGCGTGACATATTTGAGGTTCCCAAGTGCAGACGAACAATATATATTGTTGATGCCCTCGGGTTTGTACCTGATCATCACATGGACCTCACGTGCTTCCTGCCAAGGAGCCAAGCCACAACTTAAAGCCGCTGCCTTCAGGTCTGTTGACGTCGGCACCCTTTCTCCCTTTCTTCATCATTCAACAACATCATGGCGCTCTGTATTCCAATCACTTGTGGCACTCACGGTAAGCTATGACCTCGGGTTTTGACCTTGGGCGACATCCGAGTGGGGGCCGGTGCCTTTGGCTGGTCTCGGGCGTTTAGCTTGTGGACTACCCGCCCCATCTAGATTGCGGGAGGCTGACGGATTACACAGAGTTCACCTCGATGCTAGAGGGATATGAGAATGTCCGCGCTTATTGCTACAATTGTATGCTGCCTTATTCTGCATGATTCGTTACGATATGAGTTATGCTGATCGCATTTAGGCCGGAATTGGAATGGACACTGCATCACCCGGTGGTATGTGGCTGAGCACCCCGATTTGTGGAGAGCCCGACTAACAACCATGGAAACAATTTAGGCCTTTTTTCACTGTCTGCTTCGTCGTATGTTTTCGAAATTATGACCGGGCGTTATATCTGCGATAATCTTGGAATATTGCTAATGCTTACATTTAGCCCATAATTCCTCTCTCAACTCACAAGTACAAGGTACGTCATTATGCGGCATGCCCCACGACTAGCTTTTCTAGATTCCTTGAATTGAACACTGGTCCAGTGGCTGATATACTATACTAACAAATTATTATAGGAGGTCTTGTGCTACACCTGTCGCTTTTCGCAGGATCTTCGGTGAGATACAATCTACAAGCACAGGTTGCAGATGACAAAAATTCTGACAATTCATAGCGATCGGACTGACATTACACCTGATACTCGGCCGCCAGCAATGCCAAACTATCAATGGGGTCCCCCAGGCCTGCAACAACCTCCTCAAGCTCATGGGGCTGCAGGGCCTCCGCCCGAAGCTCAGAAAGGCCAACCACCACCGCAGCATCAAGGTCCAGTTGACTATAAGTGAGCGCGGGAGATCTGGAGCTGTATTTGATGGGTGGGAGGAAAGGGGAGGTGTGCTGCCTTTCAAAATGCTTTGATTTTGGGGAGCTTTCGGCGCTTGGGGCTTGATTCGCAAATGTTGTGTATCGTTTATTGTTCTTTTGAGCTAGCATTATCACTGTCTTGATGAGACTTACCTACTCAGGTAAAACTAAATTTATGTTTTGAATAATTGAGAAAAGAATTTCATAATATAAATCGTATTAACTAACCGGATAACGGGGTATAGAAAGACATATCCGACCTAAACAAACCAAAGTGGTACCAGCCCAAATTTTCCAAACATCATATACAATCATAAAAGTCTAAGCTGAGGACTCTGCCTCCTTAGCCTTCTCCCCAATAGCCTCTGTCGGCGTCGCAACCCCAGAAGCCTGCATCTCATCCGCCTTCCTTCCCCGGTAAACGGCAGGCCTTACGCCCATAGCATCATTGGCCATCATCCGAACAACGCGCACAATACTCTCACGTCCCTCGTAAAGCGGGAACACAACGACACCAAACAGTGTGCAGAACAGCCATAGGATACCGACAACAACCCAGCCAGTGAAGAACTTCTTGCTGAAGACATACGAGGTACCGTACATCGGGATCGGCCAGAGGATCAGCATGGCGAAGGCCATGAAAACGGTCAATGTGCGGGAGTAGAGAGCGGCTTTGTTGAGTTTGCGAATTTCCTCTTCGTTCTCAGTATCACTGGGTCCATGTTCACCAGGAACAAGCTCAATGTCGACGTGTGCGTCTGCGGCAACTTCCGAGTCGTCCACCCTGCGGATTTGGCGCATGGACACGTAGTCGTAGTTTTGAGAGCCGAAGATTAGAGTAAGGACGGGGGAGATGATGACAGGGCTGAGGAGAGCGGCGACGTTACCCGCTAGCATGGGGTAGTTGTCACCGGTGGTAGTCACAGTCAAAACACCATATTGCTTCGAGGCAGTCACCAGCCAAGCAATCAAGGAAATAGCCAATCCAAGGGGAGGAGACACAGCAGCTGCAATCCAGTTCTGGCCCTTCCAGAGCAAGGTCATGGCACCGGGGAACACGGCAGAAGAGATGATAACACCCATGAGTAGGTACAGGTAGCCCATACCGATACCGGCGTAGTAGAGACCGGTGGCGAAGCTAGCCATGATGATAGAGTAGACGATACAGGACATGTGCGAGACCCAGACGAGGCGCTTGCCCTTGGCTTGCGGGTTGATGTAAGCCTGGTAGATATCGTAGGTGAAGATCGACGACACGGCGATGAGCTGTGCTGAGAAGGCGGAAGTCACGGCCATGAAGATCATGAGGGTTGTTGCGACTGCGCCACTGTATCCGAGGAGCTTGACGGCTGCGAAGGGGAGGACGAGACCGGCTGTGACGTCGTCGCTGCTAAGGCGGGCGTTGCCTTCAAGAGCGAGAGCTGAGATTCCCAGGGTGGTAGCGCAGAGCCAGGGAATGGCGAACCAACAGAGACCGCCGATAACGTAGCCGGGGAAAGCGTGGACGGGGCTTGCAGCAATAGCTGTTGAAAGTTAGTCTCTTAATTTGTATTGGGTTGAACATCCTGTTTCCCTTGAGAACTTACCCTTGTTGTAGTAACCGTTGTCGAGGAAGACAGTTCCAAAGTTACCGATCAAGTTAATGATCCAGAAGATACCACCCTCCTTCGATCGCATAGTCAGGTAGCTGCCCTCGGCATTGCCCTCAACAGGGTGCTGCTTTGCAGCCTTAACGAGGGCATCATAGACTGCGCTAGGCGAGCCCAGCTCAGCGTTAGTCGCGTAAGCTGAGAACGCAAAGAGGAAGATGACGACCAGAATGACAACAGTGTGCATATAATCGGTAATGAAAGTCGCCTTGATACCACCGAAAAGGGTATACAGAACAACACCGATAGGGAGCAGGTAACAAGCGGCGGTAGTGGAGACTCCAGTCAAGGATGTCATGACTGCAGATCCACCAGTCAACAGCATAGCTGTGACAAGGATGTTGGTCATCAGACAGAAGACGATGAAGACAACGTGGACCGTTGTGCCGTAGCGTGCGCGAATAACTTCGAGGAACGTGTGCGCATTGGGGGCTCGTCTTTTCAACTCGATGGCGATCGTTGCGAAAAGGAGGATTTGAACTGTTGCACCGGATGCATAGAAGAATGGACCTGAGACACCGTATTTGTATGCTACTGCCGAAGATTGGAGGAGTGTTGCTGCCCATGTCCAACTGCTTACTACTGCAGCAGCGACAAGACCGGACTTAACGGAGCGGCCTGCAGTCGAGAACATTTCGGAAGTTTGAACTTCATTCTGGTATCTATTGAGTTTGAATTAGCATACATGGGACGAGTTAATTAAGGTTGTTCCAGCCGGGACGTACCGCTTTAAAGCCCAGGTAATAAAGATCATGAGAAGAGCAAAGGCAAACCCAAGACCCAGGATAATACCATATCCGAATCCCTGGGACAAGGGCGCCGTGAAGGTAACTGTGCCAGTCGACATGGCTATGGATCAGTCGAACTGATCAGATAGATAGCAGCGAAGTGCAAAATAAAAAAAAGTAGGGCTCGATGCGACCAATGTATGACGTCGAATAAATGACCTCGAACTCAATTCAAGGGATACAAAGAGTCAAACCCTAAAGATAGGGTTGAATAAAGCCAGGGAGTGTGGTCAAAGTGAAACACATCCAAATGCAAACCTGGGGCAGCACATTGATATAAGTATGGCAAGACAAGAACCCATTCGCAAGGTTCTCCGACCTCGCACACTAGACCCCGGGAGTTGGGCCCTGAGCTTAGATAGGAACTTGCAATCCACAATCGAAGTCCAGATAAGAGTAGCATAGGCTCTCGTAATGCCATTCGAAGTGACTAGCCTCGCCAATGAGGGCGTAGATCGGCGCTCCTGGCGGTACACCATAAGAAGAATGAAGGGATCCAGCCCCGCCACCCCGCTAGCATATGATCGAATGAAAACGCGGATGGAAAATTAAATGACAATCAAAGGTACCATGCACTCCAGATGCGAGGAACGGGCTATCGACGAGAATTGGTCGATTCTCGTGGGCTTATCAGGTTGGAAGTTTTGGGGTGATGTGATTGGTTGGGAGATCGTTAAGATAAGAGCTTCCGGTTCTGAATCGTGCATTCGGGTGGAGTCTGGGGTGAGATGGGGCACGGCTTTTCTTTTCTTTTCTCGGGAGAGTCCGTTACTAAAGGCTGATAAAGGCTCTTACGGCTGGAATTCGTGATAGGCTTACTCCATGCGTTATTGTCATGACTCCGCGGGCGATATTGATCTATGAGCCTAAAAAGCAGTCCGCCCCACATGTCAAGACGCAGGGCTTTTCTATTCGAACATCATATTGAGTAACCAGCTAACATTTGGATCTCTAACTGATTTCCGTTAGCTTTACAGGCTTTTTTACTTTTCATTTCTGGCTATCTTGAAATGCGCGAATCCCGGATGCACTAATTAAAGCTAGATATGTACATAAACTTTCCATGGTTACGAATTGATTTACGGTTCTTCCTCGCCACATGAATCCACCAGAGCCATGCAACTCAATTACCCTTGATATTGTCAATTTCCCGAGAATAATGGGTCATGGTGGAATGGATCCCGGGAAAACGCATTACCGCGAATACCATGCTTGGGTTATACTTGCAGTTTTATTCAAAGAATCCATTACCTATCAATTGTCGGTTGCAAGAGTCCTCGATTAATCTTGGATAAGTCGGTCTTGAAGACTTGTTGCTTAAGTCTTTACCCCGGCCCTCGACTAACTTTTGTTTGAATGACAACTTGAAACCTTAGGATGACAGTACATAAGAAATTAATGCATCAGGTACTGACAAATTGGAATCCATATGTCTAAGGACAGCCAAGGACAAACATGCTTGAAACTACAACGCATACAATTGCAAAGCAAAGAAATCAGATGCAAGATCTTTGAGACCAAGTCAATTAATAATTCAATGCGAGACAGTGAACACATTTAGCTTGGATATGGTACACAGCCTCGGACTAAATCACTGCCCAGACACCCCATTGTACAAGCCAACCCACTTCCTCCAGCGCATAGCATCGCAGGGAAGGAAGCAGCAAGCCTGCAGTACAGATGCCATCAACAGAGATAGCCCAGCCGACCGACCTACACAGCGGATAGGTCTAGGATGCTCATTTGCAGCACCCACAAAAACGAAAAACACCACACATGAGAGAAAAGCTTTGATTTAAAAAACAGGATTCACACCAGCGTAGCCAAACGGGGGTCCTGGCTGCTTTTAAGTGCAGCGGAAAGGATCAAATGTCACGGGGGTATAGGAGAAAGGGTTGAGGTGGAAGGTGAAAGGTTGGAGGTGGAACACAATCCATGTTCATGCCGAGGATAAAATTGGACATGTCATCGATTGCGCGTGGATTGTATAGTCGATGAAATTGCTTATGCGGCGAACTTGCGGGTGATCTTGGCGATGACTGGATAACGCACAGACAAATCAGTAACTCATCCAAAACCATCAATGACTCTTTTGGACTTGAAAAGGAAACACAAAGCTTACCGTGCAGGCCAACGACCGAGAAAATGAAACCCAGACTCAGAACCAGAACAACGACGGGGTCGACACGCAGACCGGGGCTCTCATCGGTGTAGAGCTTGAGCATGGTACCGGAGGAACCACCAGCACCAGCGGAGCGAGTAGAGCTGGGGCGAGCATTGCGGAGAGACTCCTTGTGGTCGGCAGCAGCGCGACGGCGCATGGCAGCACGGGGACCACCGGGGGCAGAGGGCGACGAGGGACGGCTGACAGACGAGCCGGAGGCGACAGCACCGGCGGCGCCAGCGGACTTGGACTCGGCGCCAGACTCAGCGCCGGAGGTGAGAGGGGAACCAGGACGAGGGGAAGCCTGGATTCACGATCGATTAGAGATGATCATCAAGTGAGGTATTGGGGTACTGGGAAGAAAGGAGGTTTGGTGGGCAGGCATGAGTGGGCATTGGATGGAGTTAAGCTGCTATTCCAGCAATTGAGGGGCTGTATGAGCTTACCATGATGATTAGTTAGGTGTGGATGATAGAACGAAAGAATGAAAGAAAAGGAGAGAAGGGGTTCGGGGATGAGCGAGGTTTGCGGAGTTGAATTGAGGCCACGATCACGGTTTCCTGATTGATACTAGGCGGTGTATTGGTATAGTAACAGCAACCATCGGTAATGGTAATTTACAGTATCAGATACAAGAGACCCACCAATGAGAAGGGAAGAAGCCTGGAACCGGGGTAGTGTTTGTGAGAGCTTCACAGTTTAAATTATTAAAATCAATACGCAGAAATACTTTCAATCCTGATCAATTCCACATCAACATCGATTAGTTTCATCATTATATTGAGCACATTGAACACATTGATCTTTTGATTTCCTAGACTAATCCAGGTCGTGGAAAAAGTGTCCAAGGCATGGGACTGTCGTAAATGACATAGAGAAAGGAACACCTCCGGGAATCATATCCAGATAACGCCACCGGTGCACTCGTGAAGAATATGTAAAGCAGGGTAGTAGAGTCACACGAATTTTGGATCAAAGGCTGAGGCAATGAGAGAAGAATTAGAAAGGAAGGTCGCTGGTGAGGTATCATAGAGCCCAAATAATCAAACGCATAGGCTTCAAAAAACGCTTATCCAACAGTCATGGATAGAAAGAAGTAGTAAGAGAACGCTGCTGATTCCAATGCTGGGAGAGATCAGTCGATCATCATTCGTGATGGGACTGCGCTACTGGCTAAGTTGGATGAAAGCTCAGTGGTCTTCTCCTCAGGCTTAACCTTCTTCTTGCTGATATGCGGTTTCAGACCACGGTGGAAGTTGTTCACACACATGCAAGCATTGATGATGGTGATGACAATGAGAATGAGCGTGATGACGGCGAAGAATGTCATTGATGGACGGGCTGGGAGATAGTCGATGTAGGTTGCCTGGGCGTACATGCGGAAGAGCTTGAAGACAAAGTATGCCATGGCGGCAAAGAACAGCAGCTACAGGAATAGTCAGATGCTGAGTTCATGCACTCTACAATTCGAATGACTTACAATAATAACAATCATGCCACTAGTCGATTCCCGACGGACAAACCAAGCACCAAAGGCAAGGATGATGATGGTCACGGGAACGGCGACAATGGTGAGGTAGAACTCGGCATTATGGCTGGAGGACGACACGACGACCAGGAACTGGACGGTGAAACCGAGGAAGAAGAAGAAATCAAACTTCAACAGGGCGATGTAAATCTAGAGAGAGTTAGTCACGTCCAGCTCGGTAAATGTTTCTCAGATGCCCTACCTGGTAAGTTAAATAACGGCGCTTCATGCGCAAGTCAGCACTAATGTGCTTGTAGATTGTCCAGGCAAATTCGTCATATAATTGCCAAGCCACAAAAGTCATCAACACAGTGCCTAATGCGACAATGCATGGAATGATAATGAGGAATGGCTCTGACTCCACCCAAACAAGATCATTAATTTTACCGTTGACGTGTAAGTTGTTGACCGCATTTCGGATTTGTTGCACCTGGACCGCGCCATAGATCAACAGGCCCACGTTGCACAAGCACAGACCGATAACCTGAATGGTGTTTTTTGCTTGTAAGGCATCATATACCAAGACCAGTTCGTAGATGAAGCCGAAACTGTACAGCGCGAGGAAAGTCGGGATAGTTTTGGATGAGGGACTATCGTTGGCCACTTCCTGGATCTGGAAATTGACGAAGACATAACTGCAGACCGTTAGTTTTGACGGAAAAGTAAACCTGGATCATGATTTCGGGGTTCCATACATCTCTAAGGCGAGGGTCACGAGTGTTTGGACGAAGGTCACGCCAGCGAAAGACCAGGTCCACGTCGTGTTTGGGAGGTACATCTTGCGGTTGCGAGAGGCAGCGGTTGGGGCGACATTCGTATAACCTTCTCGGGCGCGAAACCCAGGACCTTGTCGAAAAGAAGGATCAAACGAAGTCCCGCCTAGGAGAGAAGCGCGCGATCCATGAGATAGGACCTTGCCGAAATCCGACGCGGTGCTCGGTTCCGCGGAGTGCTTTGGGGAAGACACTGTGGCGGCGTTGACCTCCTGACGGAGGGTTTCACTTATTTAATGGGAAGGAGAGCTGCAGGTGGGAGGGAAAGGACTGCCGGTCCCTGATACGTGGGAGCCTCGAAACACCGGAATGCTCGTGTGTCGTGACTGGCTTGGCGGGTTGCACAAGTGACCGGGGGTTGCAGGTAACGAAAGGGGGGGAGCAAGGCTGGGAGAACTAGATTCGAGGTCGTGGGAACATCGGAAGAGCACTGCGCATAGCCCGGAATCTTAAAAGTGAAGGTAAACGAGTGTTTTGAAGAACGAAGAAACGAGCGGTCTCCAATTTTTCGCGAGGGTGGCTTTCGGGTTCTTTTGGGTCTGGCGGGGCGAAGCCTGGATCAGCGTTACAGGCAGCAAGATGTGCAGTAGGGAACCCTTCCCAAAGCCGTAGTCTTATGAGGCTGATTTAGAGGAGAATTAACGAGAGAGTAGATTATCGGTTAAAGAGAAATGAGGATAGATCTTCACTAAGATGAACGGGTCAAGGGGTGGGATTATCCGGGGTTCACTAGTCTACGCATATCTTCGACCACATACCGGCTTGGTGCGGCTACTGTTAATTTGGGGGCTGACCCATTCTAGCGGCAGAAATGGACTCGTTCTCGAATGTCTAACCCCCCTGAATAAAGAAAAAAAACCAACATGGTTCATGTGGGGCAAACTTTGGATCCAAACATGCAGTTCAGGTACAACCACACCTTGCCGTGGTCTCGAATTGTCGGTGGATGCTTGACTGCGCGGATTCCTCTGATTGATTCCACTCACTTGCCGTGATACGTATGCCATTCTGCATGAACGGAGGTCCATCCCCCATGCATGTTCCTCCGTTTACACTTTTTACGTTTTGCGGACTCAGCCTTATCCACCCATCCGAAACCGTGGAACCCGTCAGACGTTAGGGATCACGGCACGCGGTCCACTGTTATTGCTGCTCCTCCCGCAAGAATCCGGGACTCAAGGGGCTGTGGCTCGTTTCCCCGTGGACCCCCAAAACCGTGGTGGCTGGGGTGTCCAAGCCAGGATTAGCCGCATTCCAGTGGCTGTGGTCACTTGCATAAGCCACGCTGCGGCTTTCGGCCCCATTGACTATCCTGCGAATACTGCTCATTATGTGGAGTCATATTCTTAGATACGAGACTGATCCTGGAAGTTGCTGACCACGATGTGCTCTGGATCTCCGATGACAACTGGACATCCCTGTCCTGGTCGTCGGGTTCTGCCAAGACCACACATCTACGCTAATCCGTATTAGTCTCAAGTAGGAAAGCCACCAAACACTGTTCGTCATCCTCCTGCGCGACTTAAGTTAGTCAACCAATCAACCAATTGCCCCGTACAGCGACCACGAAATGTGCGTGACTAGCCTGCCTGATTTAGTCATGTTAAAAACGACTATCAGAGCTAGTGCCCAGGGGGGTAACGTGTTGTTTCGTTGCGAGCTGAATATTCTTGCATCATATTTCAATCTCAACTAAGCGGGAAGAGTGATGAAAGCACGATTCCCATTAGTGATAGTGTTAAAGTATAGCCAGAAGCAAGAGAAGCCAGAGACTCCTGAAAGAAAAGAAAAACAACCAACCAATTCTCTGGAGGCATTTTCCTTCGTAAACAAAAATGTGCTAAGCCATTTGTCTTTGCCATAGGATATTTGACCAGCATCTAAACACTTCTAGGGCTTCTCATCAAGAGCCGGTGTGCATCCTTTGGTCCACCGGAATGGCAAATTCGACATTGGTCCTATCAGTAGGTACTGCTCCAGTCGCTGGCTTAATAGTGCGCGTTTTGCAAAGCAGGTCCGCCCCCCCAAATCGCCTGAGCACATTTCGCTCCTTGTAGCAATATCCAATGCATATCTTCATATTGGAACCTTTATCTCAAATTATTTCATAGCTCAGGGAACTTTATAGTGCAGGCTCTAGTGGATCTAATATGTGGATCGGCATACGCCGGATTTCAGCTAATACCGGCAATAAATTTCCAAATAACGTTTACCATTATTCATTGTCAGGTTTCCTTAAAAGGCCTGTGCTAGGATTGCTTTTGCTGTGCATGGGTTAGTCACCCCTTCATTCTAAGGTCCGTTGGTGCTGGTGAATTGGTCCATTGACGGTGATTATGTCCACACCCTCGCGGACGAGTATACGCCACACATAATTTCGCAACTTGCGAGGCCAAACTGGCGTACCCGTATATCGGACTTTAAGGCCAAGCCCATGAGCCACCTGTACCTGTTGACGAATAGCGGCGAGTTGTTTGTCCGAGAATCCATTGGGATCCACGGTCCCTATTGCTGTACAGAAGTCGGCAGATGCATAGTAGCTGGTTTGGGCGTTGTAGTCGGAATATGAGGGAAATTCTTGGTCGAAAGGAGGCAAAAGCTTCAAGAGCGGAGCATCAAAGAAAATATATCTGAAGATGCTTTCTTCTGAGATACGACTCAACGGCACATTTCCGGTAGCAACAATTGTAATAGAACCTTGCACAACAGTGGATCCGCTGTAATGTGTTAGGAAGCCGGCCTCTCGAAGAGGCTCGATGTGTGGAGTAAGATGAGACCATACGCGCTCCGGGTCAGCGTTAAAGTCTAACAGCAACACCAGGCTTTGTGTAGGATCATTTGAAAACACCCCAGAAAGTTGAGCATCTTGCGGAAGGGCTCCAGAAGGTAAGTTTTCCAATTTCTTGTTGTAGTCTTGAATCGTCCGCAGCAAAGGATTAATGTAGAGATCCCGGAGGTTCATTGCTCGAGAAAGCATCTCAGGATTTGGCCCGACAAGAAGCTCTTTTCCAGCAGGGAAAAGGGTCATTTCAATGCTCGTGCAGCCTGAGGAGATCGCTGATTGCAGTGGGATGTGGTGACCACGGTCGTTGTGTGAAGAACAGGTGATAGAAATTGTATCGTGTGCCCAATGTGAGACTACCAAGTTTTCGTTCTCGAGTATACTAAAGTTCTCAAGGGAGGTACCCCCATGCGCTCGATAGTAAGCATCATCAGCTAATTGAGCCAAGTAAAGAAGCTTGTAGATAACCCTGGATCGGCCGAAGGAATCAGTCGTGTTCAGCATGAAAGTGCAGGGAACTGAAAGGACGACTATTACCAGACGGCTAAAAGCCCCCAACAGACGCACCGTGCTACTCGGCAAGACAGTGCCCGTCTTAACGGACCGGATTTGGAGGGCTTCCCAGTGTAAAGAATATGTCCGGGCTCTCGCAAATGCCTCTCAGGTCTGGTCCCGGGCTGTCCAAGCTCGCAAGTATTCAAATTCCATCCCTGCGAGGACATAATGAACTCTGTGATGAATTAGACGGTCAAGAGATGTCACAGGGCTCGACAATAAAACCCTTGGGAAAGCATCTCTAATCTAAGATCCTGCAACGTATAGTCGAGGGGTGGCTCATAGGATGCTTAACCGCCCTGAAAGTCGGATCTCTGGGAAAAATCAAGCTTACGACTGCTTTCCACACTTTCCATATCGGGAACGTGTCTGCCTAGACCCTCGAAGCAGGGTACGGAGATCGTAGTACGTTTAATGACTGCCCTCCAATAGTTAACGATTGTGACGCAAGCTAATACATGGTCTGTGCGAGACTGGCAAAGTGCCCGGGTGGAGCCAAGGCGCCAAGGCCCACTAAGCCCGTTTCCCCAGAAAGCTTGACCCGCTTGACCAATCCGATGCTGCTAGTGACATTCTTTCCCTTGCACTGCCCAATAGCAAGCATGGATCTGGGAATGAAAGCTTTGAATCTGGCATACATGATTTGTTGCACGATCCATCAAACGAAATACGAACGGAACCACTAACCAGTACACCGAAAATACAGTGCTGTAGGTTAAAGGAAGCCAAATCAATCTTTCAGACCAGGAAAGTAACACTCGAAGGCAAACTCAAATATGTCTGGAGACTAGTCGCTGGCAGGATCTGTCAAGGCGGTACTATGACTGACGCGTAATATATGATGAGGTGGAGGCAAGTAGCAAAGGAGGATTATCTGTGGGAATTGCGAAACAGACGTATCCGTGGCCGTGGGAGTTGCGAAAGACTATTCTAGAAGTGCTTTATTTTCTTGAAGAAAGAAAAGGGCCCGAATTCGGATATGAGCACTTCACATCCTGTATTGGAATGTAAACTTTCATCTACCCGCTACAGTAGTGACATGTCTCTATTAACGATTCGCACAAATTCAGAGATTGCTTATGTTAGTTATCAAAGACTTCTTATCATCCATTTTCGTTTGTTACAGCTACCCTTCTGGTAGTTCTTTAGGTCAGACAAACTTTTCGTCTCCTATAAATCCTCCAGCAGCTTTGAATTGTCAATGCCATAGGAAACCTGATAAAGCAGAAGCTCAACATCCATCATCAACTTGCGATTCAATACAAACAAATATATGAAAAGTCCAATTGCGCCCAATATTGAACCAAATTCACGGCTGAGGTCCAAGCCATATGAAGATCTTCGTGCCCGCTCCGTGCCAACTGCTAGTCTCTAAATCGGCAACGTAGGGAATTATCTCAGATTGACGAAATCGCCTGCCAAGTAGTGAAGCCGCTTAAACGAGTAATCCTTAACGACCATTGTCAAGAACAATGTTCCTGCTGGATCTGCACTCAGATGCTTAGGATCATTGAACACAACTATTCAAGCCATCTCCTCTATCGCTTCTAGCTCATAATAGTCAGTATTGTAATATATATGGCTTCATGTAGGGTGTGGAAGATTTTATCGATACATGATGTCATTTCATGGCCTATCTTACAATGACTGGTCAGCGTAAACTTCGCCGACCTCAACCGCAAGGTCTCCTAGTATCCCAACGTCCGAGGGAATAGACACATTCACGCTGTAATGTTCGTCATCAACGTTGGCCAAATGGAGCTCATTCCTAACGCATTTCCAATGTCCGTTCCAATACACAGAAGTAATCCGTCTTGTGTCGTGATAGAGATCTAGCATGCCCTCCACTCCTACCCCAAACGTTGCACTTCCGCAGAATGACACCACTTGACTTTGACCATGTCGAATTGATTTTTTTTCAACATCTTCCACGGATATGAGCTTCGGTGGATCACCTTCTTGAAACACTTGGCCGCTAAAAATTCCGACCGGTTAGTATTCATGTCATAGCGGTACACAACTTTGAAAGGTCATTATACCGGAAACAGGTGACATTCTTCACAACGATAGTGCCCTCCGTCAATTCATTATGTATTGTTAAGGAAAGCCGCTGGGTCACTGGGCCACTCATATTCTTTTTAACTGTGTGAAGGGGAAATTTGCCGTCAAGTTCGACCAGGTATGTCTTTCGTAGCAAGACAAGTGCGTTGCCCGCGACAAGAATCTTCTATGATGGATACAATTTTGTGAATGATTTTCTACGATAACCAATCCCTTTTATATAGGACCCAACGTATTGTGCTTCAAGTACGTGGCCCGACGCATAAAATCGAAAGTAACGACCGGTTAGATACCGAGTCGATCTTATTGGTTGGGGTTTAATGAACCTTGGCGTCGTACACCACTTCCTAGTCCGGTAAATGAAAGTCGCAGAATAAGAAAATGCACCGGTGGCGGATTAATCTGGAGATCCAACAAGCCAAGCCTTCGTCATGTGGACCTTTGCAGGCTAGTACCGGGGATCTACATACGGACCACCGATACACTTTTACACCGTGCCAATGTAGATGGTTCCTGCTAGTAACATGGACCCTGGGAGGCTCTCACTGTAGTTATGGAGCTGGCTTAACTTCCATTCAACTTTGAGGAGAGTTAGAGACCCGTACAAAGGAGCTTGAGATGGCCAAAATGAGAGACGGCCAATTTCACTAGGCTCTCGGCCTCCTAATATGAAGTTATTAGTCCAGGTACTCGACGGGCGTGCGGCTTGCAGCGGCAATTATGAGCTCAAAGTGAAGACCAAATATTTTCATGACAAAGAGAAGCAGAAGTTGAGATATTTAACCAAATAAGAGTTGCGTAAGTGGTCACGCTAGGACGAACAGCATCGTCCGCAGCCCAATCTCATGATTGCAAAGCAAAGAAGCGGCACCATTCCGAGGCCAGAAAGGCGAGGTGAAGTATTGTGAGCAAGATCAAAATCATAAAAGGGAGCATCCGAGAAGGCGCACTCAACCATTGACCACATCTCAGCTGTAGTCGAAGGATATTTTTGACTGTGATAAATGCATTTTCGGAAGGACCAAGTGAGACTGGTTGGGGCTGGCCAGCCTCGGCGATGACAGGCGATTTTGCAAACCTAGCGTTACTACCAAGCATGTCTTCACTTAAAGAGAAGCCAATTCTTATAGTATAATCGAAAAAAAAATTTGTACATCATAAGGTTTGTGCCAATCGTATCACTTTTAGTAAGTCATAACCTGGACACTGAAAAGAACTACCCTTATCTCCCCCGTACCCCGTCATACTAACCTTATCCGAGAACAGTAGATAAGCGGGGGGTACACCTTGCTCTACCGTCGGTTACCCCGATGTGTTTAGTGCCTGTCATCTCTTCAGCTTTCCCTTTTAGTACCAAGTGCCAAATGTTATCGCTTAGGCCCAAGCCACTCACTGCTTGCCCGTTCGCCTTCCCCGCACCAACCCCATTCGCGTCCCATACCGACTCACTAGCAGATCGGCAATTCGTCCTTCGAGATTAACAACAGTGTCAGGACTATGCTTATCTAAGAGTTCGGAGCCCGCGGGTTCAATCAAATTTCTGGTATAAATAAGAGTGAACAGGGTATTCACAGTCGCAATCGCAAACAGTCAAGGAAGATTCTTTAAGTCTTCCACTTCGAGGATACGAACACAATTCAATAAACTTCATCATGCTGTCGCTGTGGATAGGAGCTATTATCTTGCTTGGATACTTTTTAGGCAGTGGATTCTTGTCGGCCACATCCAAGGTACCAGGTCCATGGTATACAAAATTCACCAGCTTGTGGATCAAGTATCAGGAGTTTACAGCCAACAGACGGGAATCGATTCATAAACTGCATAGCATTTATGGACCCATTGTCCGTCTAGGTCCCAATGAGATCTCGTTCACCAGTCTTGATGCCATCAAGGAGATTTACGCCTCTGGAGGAAGTGGCTACGAGAAGACCGAGTTCTATACTCTCTTCAGGCAATTCAAAATTAGGTAAGTCATCTCGGCCTACTACTTGCTTGAGACCCCTTGCTGACAAGTTAAAAGAACCATGTTCTCTACCTTGAATAAGGATGAGGTAAAGATATCCTTGGAACGCCAGTGATCAGGGCTGATATCTGTAAAGCATAGCAAAAGGAAACGCATTTTCGCGGACCGATATGCGATGACCAATATCATGAAATCAGGGCCTCTAACTTCTATTCAAGAGCGGGCAATGGCATTTGTATCTCACTGCACTGAAGCTGGCAAGAAGAGTGTCGACGTCTATGTAAGTCGCATTTTTCCAAAAGCCTCCAAGCCTCGCTGATCTGGATTTAGGTACTACTCCATTGCTATGCCGTTGATTGTGTCACCTCTTTCATGTTCAGCCCTGGTGGACTTGATTCTATCAACAATTCGAAAGATTTCGAGATCATGGAAGAGCTCACCTATCACCAAAGTCTTCAAAGTACGCCCTACAACCCTGAGGGAGATCTCCTATATCTAACCAAGCCACAGAAAGTCTACTCGCATACTACCTCCCAACTTGGGAACCCTACTTCCCCAACTTCCTCCACCCTAGGAGCTCCCCCAAAGCAAATCAATATGTGCTTGACATGGTAGCCCAATCCGAAATCAAGAACTACACACTTCTCGAAAAGCTCAAGCGCAAGGAATCAAACCTCGAATCCATGCAAGCAGCCGCAGAATGCAAAGACCACATGGCTGCCGGAATCGACACAACAGGCGACGGACTCTGCTTTCTTCTGTGGGAATTATCTCAATCGCAGAACCTACACTTCCAACAGAAACTACGAGACGAACTGCTCTCGGCGGCTTCCGATGCCCCGCTCGATAGCCTTATCTACCTTGATGCCGTCATTAAAGAGGCGCTGCGCTGTTCCCCACCTATTCCCATGTCTTTACCACGGTATGTACCCGAAGGCGGGCGGACGATTGATGGGTATTTCATTCCTGCCCATGCGATTGTGAGTGTACAGCCGTATACGGTGCATCGTGCACACGAGGACGTGTTCCCCGAGCCGGATCGGTTTTTGCCTGATCGGTGGTTGGGAGAGGAGGGTGCTGTGGAGCGAAATAGGTATTTCTTTGCTTTTGCGACTGGTGGACGAGGATGTATTGGGAAAAAGTAAGTTCTGACGATGCCTACTCTATTGAGATCTTCTGCTAACTTCGGCAGTCTTGCGCTGGTGGAGATGAAAATTTTGCTTCGGGAGGTTTATTCTCGGTTCCAGACTACGGTTGCCTCAGATATGGAGGGATCTATGAAGCTGGATGATCAGATTATTTCTGCGAGGCCTAAGAGTCAGACGTGTAAATTGGTTTTTACACCTGTGTAGATTCAGGTCTTTGGTAGCGGGGTACCCTCGGTTACAGTAGACGTGTGGATAGACACGAAGAAAATTGCATATGATACTCTTGGGTGAATTGAATCATTTCCATACGTAAGAGTATAAAATAGAATTTATCAATAGTAGACTTGATCCAAAACGGATGCTCCAGCCGATGCGGGGTGAGGGGAACGATAAGACCGAAGCGATAACTCTGATAGGCCGTTTCTCTTACACTCCCCCGATCTGTTTACTCCAGTGTAATTTCTGCCTTTCTCTGATATACGGCGCTTAAAGACTGCCGACCAGTCCGATTACTGATTTCCAAGACTGGCTGTACTGTTTCGCACGCCTCCCAGAGTATCGCACCTCAACACCTACAGGGAAACATCGAAAAAATTACAATGGCAGAAGATACTCGGGCGGCTTCATCGTGTCGCTTTTCGACACGAATCTCACTACGATGGCTTCCAGGGCCGGCCCATGAGACAACAGACACAATCGTCATGTCTGTAAAAGACTGGTATCTCGATCTACGAATCGACAAACAAACCCAGAAAATCGACTGGGCAATTGCCGGGCAGAGGATAGTCGAAAGTCAAGAACCACGTATGTCCACACCAGCCATTTGTCCAAGGATTGATGCTAATTGTTCAAGTCCGGGTTTCCTTCACCCACGAACTAGACTCGCATGATGCATTCGAGAGCGTAGACTGTGGCACATTTGTCTCGCTCCCAAATGGAGATGATCTTGAGACAGGCTCTATGCCTCGTCCTGATCTTCCTGGTGCACCCGAGACGGAGTATGAAGAGGTGTGGAGAGAATTGCCGTTTCGAGAGGGGCCGGAGGGGGCAAACAAGGGAATCTCATGGGTTCTCGAGTCTGACGATGGTGATCTGAGTGAGCAGGAGGGTGAATTCACGGTGGTGAAGACATTCTTAGGGCGGATTTGGGGCACGTATTTGGCGTTACAGCAGAAGCAGGTTCATGTGCGGCGCAAGGATGCATCTGGCAGGTGGGTCGTGAGTAAGAACGGGGCCGCGGCCAGTGCTCGAAGGGAAGAATGGGTGGGTTCTCGATGGGAAGCACGATATGTGGTCGGCGATGCTGGTGATGAGCTCGCTTCGATGATAACCGGGATAGCCGAAGGAAAGGGGTGGAGGGCGCCTGGGGAGCGGGTTGTTATTCACGGGAAGACATTTATTGTCCGAGCATTTGAAGAGATCTAGAAGGAAAGATCTGCTCTGAATTTTATTAATAGATGTTATTGGGCTCGTCGAGACCCGGCCCCTTGCGATCATCATTTCGGGAAATCAGCCTTGTGCTTCACTCCGGACTCCGTAAAGACATGTACCACCCCTGTTCAGTTGACGTACGAGAATAAGAGAATAAGCGGAACAATTGAATCGGGCCATACGGATGTACTGTATACAATGTATTTCACCGCCACGAATCACATGTTTACATCGTGAATGGAGCCACTACGGAGTCGATGGGCCAAAAGGACGCGGCAATGGGCTTTGTGGGTTTCAGCCCGTTAAGTTACGTTCGTATCATGCATACGACGCCAAAATTAGCATTGACCAATAAGAAATCACTGCATGGAAGAATTGATTGAGATTGATTGAAATTTCCAATTTTAGGCCGCTAAATTACGCACTGTAAAGCTAGCAGACCGATAGTGTCGGTACCTCATCTCCCGTTTGGTTTCGTCTCCACTTGCTCTCTCCAGCAGTACGTAAACCTTTTTTCTTGTCAATCACAATATTTACTGCTAGCTATAGCTCATTTACAACGCGCCGTCTTGTTTACTCCATGGCCTCTAGCCACCATGCGATCTGATGTGGGAGCTGCATCTGTCTCCACCCCTATTCAATCTTTCTCTGCCCGGACCCGCTCCAGTGTTGCCTTTGCGAAATCGGCCTTTTCCCCCCACAATAACGGCCAATACGTTGAACTCGATGATTTGGGGGTAGCGACCAGTCCCATTGAGAACGATGAGCCGAATCTTGAACAAGATCATAATCGCTATGCCTCGCCTCCCAAACGTCGAAGGAAATTATATATCCCGCACACCTTGTGGACACGTCTTTTCGCTATCACCGGAATTATTGAGACACTAGGCACAGTCGGCATTGAGAGGTAAGTAGAAATTTGCGAATGCATTTCATATAGAATCTCCAATCTAATATATGCTTTCTGTAGTTGGATTTTCATTAGCATTTCAAAGCATTTCGACGATAATGGCGAGGAGGATGCGACGCTGCGCCTTCGGTCGTTCTTGGGTCTCTACATCTTCGCCCTTTTCTATGAGCTTGCGCTCAGTTACGATGCGTTGCGACGAAAAAATACTTTCCAACTGATCGGACTGTGCATCTGTAACCTGGGCTTGCTGGTCTATGGTATTATTCAGACGAAGGAAATTAAAGACACACTTTCCAGCCTGAGCGGGAGTACCGTCAATGCGACTCATCTGTGGGTGCAATACCGGATTGCCTTGATCTTAGTACCAGTGGTTCTGGGAGTTGGTACTGTCTGCATGTCAGCAGTGACATGGAAGCTGCGCGCGGAGTTCTCTTGGACTATTTACAAGAGTATCAGTGCTGATTTGCAAATGAGTTGGCGATATACAACTTATCAGGTTGGTGGTGCTTCAGACTTCTGTTACTTGGGATATCTAACTAATAATTTGCAGGTATATATTGCGCTCCTAAAGTTCGATTTCTTTTTCATTTTCGGTACGCAGCTACAAGTGTTGCTCGCCCTGAAAGATTACACCGATGAGGAGTTCATCATCCAAGCCGCTATGATACCCATCGCCATCATCAGCCTTATTCTAGCTGCTCGCTTCTGTCGACTAGAAAAGACTAAATCTTTGATCTGCATTATGGTAAGGAGCCAAAGAAATCTTGGAAGCGATTCGCACTCATATTGACCCATCAATAGGTGCTTTTTGTTGTGCTCATCGCCAGTTTTGTCAACACTGTGATGAAAGTATTCAGCGGCAGCGATAGTGGCCAATTGACCAGCTACCGAGTTTCCTTGACCTTATTTGCCACATTGGCAGTTCTACTTCTGGCCGGCACAATGGCCAATTCTGTGATGTGCATTCTAAATTTCAGAAAAGGATTGAAAGAGCATATCAACAACGCTAGAAAGCAGGCGCCGGCTGCAGATACGGAAAATGCCTGGACGGAAGACACGAAGTCACGATTTGTATTAAATTAAAGATACCTAGGTAGGATACGAACAAAATGTATGCATGGAATGTACAAGACAATCAGGAGTATGGTCAATTGATCCATCGAACTTAGACTTCCTGAAATATTGATGGCGCCAAGACATGGTCGTCAGTAGTATTAGTGCCCAGCATTGGCGGTCTCACTTTCAGGTCGACGAGGTCATGCAGGGGTAACTATGGACTAATTCCACAACCCATGAACGGCCAGTGGTCTCAGTTCAGGAGTTGAGGCTTAGAAGGTCCTGTAGACCAGCCGCGAGTGGCCCACGGTTGAGCACGGCTAGCTGATGATAGGTCGAAACTGATCCTTCAAACGACCTTGAAAATAACTATCATCGTAGACTCTCATGATCGGAGAATCCTCAAGTAAAGAAAAATAAACAGAATCAACCGTCGCAATAAAACAATGAAGCTTATTTGCCAGCTTAATTGCTCATCATCCCAAAAGCGGAAACCCGCGGCAAAAAACTAGCTCCTCGCTTGACTCAATATTTAACCCACCAAACCTCGACTTCTCTTTCTTCTCCTCCAGGCGCCACCCCCACCAATGCTGCGTTTCTTTGCTACACACGACAGGGAAACCTGTCCTCGGATTCGTCCGAGACCCCGCAAATGAGAAATTCGGAGGAATCTTCAATAACCAACCCGCTTCCGATTCGCGCAAGTGAAAAGGAAGCCGGTACTGCCCGTGAGGGCCTGGTGTGAACTCACCTGCACTCGGCATCAGAAACATCGGGGCCACCCGGCTTGCCGGTCACTGGATTTCCCCTTGGGAGAGTCGGTGCGAAGATTGTGCCTGATAACACTTTAGTGCAATACGCAGCATGCTGTTCTTTCCTTGTGGAAGACGGTATAATTCGATTCCGATTATTCTGGTGGGGGTGGCGCTTCCTCTTTTTCTTTTCTTGTGAGTTGCTTCTTTTTTGTTTACCCACCTACACTTTATTGTGTGCCTGCCTTTTGTGTGCTAGGTGTGGGGTTTGAGAGGAATGGGTTTTTTGGTGACTTTACTAATTTGTGAGGTTGTGGCTTCGTTCACGAGGTCTAGGGGTGTACTATCGTGATTTGTGGGCATCGGAAATTGATTGTTGCATGTTGATGGGCTGAAGAAGATGAGATGGGATGAAAATTTTGGTCGTGAAGAGGATATACACTGCACTTTGCTGCAAGCTTGGCCCGTGACAAGAGGAGTTTTCAACTGAATGATATATAATTCGAGCTTGAATTTCTTTTCTACTTTCCTGACTTTCGTAATCTTGTAAAACCATCTAGCTTGAATTTGAGCTCAATAGACCTTAGTTCGGCGCTTGAGATGTAAATGAAGAAATAATCGTGTAATATTTGGAACTTTGCCATCCCTTCTATTCCGGGATAAATTGTAGAAAAAAAAATAAATCATTGCCTCCGTCAGGCGTCAGGTACTCTCCATTATCATAGGGGGGATCATTTTGTATTGCCTAATCAGGCCACTACTCCTCATCACCGATCTGTAAATGACAATTAGCATCGCCGAAAAGAGAACAAATCCGTGGAGTTGACGTACCTTGGGGGCCAGGTAGAACCGCAAGTGGCCGCTGCCCAGACCGTACTCAACCAGGAGGGGCACCTCCTGCGACAGGTGCAGGGTTACGGAGGTGGACAGGTTGGAAGCCTTGCAGAAGTTGACAAGGTACTTAAGAGAGAAGGTCAAAGCGACGGGTTCAGACAGAGAGATGGTAGTGTTCTGCTCGGGCTTGTCGATGTTGGTGTGCTGGCGGATGGTGACAGAGCCGTTACCGATGTCACCCTGGCAAGAGAACTTGACACCCTCCTTGGAGGCCTCAATAACGACTAGAAGAAATTAGCGGTAATAACCAAAATCACTCAGGATTATCTTGCTTACCGGACTCAGAGAGAGCGTTCAAGTCACGGCAAATACGCTGGAACTCGCCTGAGGGCATGGTCACAGTAGCAGCATATTCAGTCTCGGGAATAGCCAGGTGCTCCTGGTCAATGTCCATAAGCTTGATATCATACTCGCTAAGACGGTCGGTCTCGGCGCTCTCGAACATCAGGTTGACGGCATCGGGCGAGTCCTCAGCCTTCAAGGTGAGGATATCTTCATTCTGGGCGGCACGCAGGACCTTGGTCAGGGAGGTAAGGTTAATACCAAGAGCGATATTACGGTCGCAGCGGTATGGCGAGAAACCCTCGGCGCGGAGCAGCATGGAGACCAGGGCAACGTGGGAGTTGTCCATGGCCTGGAGGGCGATTCCGGAGTCATTGCAGTCGAAGTTACAGTCCTGGACAAGGTCCTTGATGGCGTCGACAACCTATAGACGTCATAATCAGAGGCCGATCAGCGGCGATATTGTGGTTGCCGGCTTGGACGTACCCGCTTCAGGAGGGAAGCCTGTTCAAGTCGTGCTTCAAGCACTGATCCATTGGGTTAGCTTGGCTGTTTCGCGTTCCGGTCGGATGAAGGCATTGTGGACTCACTGTTGGCGAGGGGTATGTGGTATGTGTGGGTATAGAAAAGGTAGAGAGCTTATAGTGAAGCGAAAGAGAAGAGAGTGGGATTATTATCGTAAGAAAATTGTGGGAAGAAGAATTGACACAAGTCTGATGAAGACAAAAGTAGGCAGAAGTTACAGGAATATAAAGAGAAATCGCGTTCGAGGGTTTAGAGTGGGGAAAGATACGCGTGAGCGCGTTTTTGGCGATATGCCCTAATTAGGCTAGACTGGTGCCCCAGGCCACAAGGTGTCTTACTTCCTATGTCAAGGATGAATGATGGGTTAAAGACTGAAATATGCTCTTTAAATAGTCTCATTTGTACTAGAATATTGATATGGCTATTTTGTACAAGAGAAAAAAAAAGCAAATGACAAGTGAAAACAAGTAAAAAGAGAATCAGCAGACGATCGAGACCCCAGCTCCGGGGGATGATACAAATGAAAATGCTATGACCGCAAATTAAGACAAATAAGAAAGCAAAAATCCCTAGAAACACCATTGTCGCCGGTTCCTTCTATTTACATGAGGGGTATCAAATCTTCCATGGCAAACCTTCTTATATACTGGTGACCCGTTTGGAATGGTTATTTCGTGGTCGTTGCTGAATGACCATTTCCAATTCCTTTAGCATGTTGGTATTGGCATCTACCTTCTCCCTGACTGTGGCTTGCCGGACTCGCTCTTCTCGCACGCGTGCCAGGCGCTCATCTCGAGTGAGTGATGCTCGTTTATTTCTGGATGTGGGAAGAACGACTGCCTCGAATATCTCCTCGTCGTCGTAGCTGTGTGTCAAGTCGGGTCGAAGGTCCCCAGTCAAGGCTTTGAGGGCATCAGAAGGGCTACCCTCAACTGCAGTAGTACCCCCAAGGCTAGGGGTGGGTGACATGGGTAGGGTGGTGCTCGAGGGCCGCGTGTAGTCTGTAGCATGGAGACGATCCTGGCTGTTCACGATTGCGGCTTTACCCACTTCCCATTCTTCCAGTAGGGATCGGATGTCATTGCCGATTAAGTCATATTGGGAAAGAAGATTTGATTCAAATTCACTTGTGTTGGGACGTTCGAGATTGGCGTTCGTCTCCTCACCGATGATATGCATTTTGGCATGCAAGGCACGAACTCCTTGAGATAGGGAGTTCAATCTCCGAACTTGCGCGCGCAGGTGATCCTTGCTTGGGGAAGCGGAAGGCAACGGGGAAGGTGGAATTGGGGTATCCCCTGTAAACAATCAGTCGAGGTCTTTGGGTGAATCGAAACAAAACAAGAGCCACTTACTGTCTTCCTCGTTCAGGATGCTCGCCATCTTGCTCATACTTGTCCCGGTAACCGCCGCAAGCTCCCGCATCTCTTCCACGGCGGAGCTCCACCGTGCAATGTCAGATCCACCGCCGTCAGCGCTGAGTGCTAATAAACAGCACAGTACAATTTTTCTTGCGGTGTAAAGCTTCCCGAATAGATCTCGTAAGGAGCGGAGAGAATATTGATCATCCAAGTTCCGTTGTGACAATGTCAGCTCAATATTCTCGAGGTCCTCCAATGCAATATCATAGATATCGTAATATTTGTCTAAATTGGCGGCATCTGTTAGAGGACGCAGTGTATTTTGAGATCGGATATATCGTTCGAGCATCGACCAAAAGCATTCCGACACTGCTCTGCGAAGACGCAAGCAGCGGCGAGTCTGGACTTGGTCTTCCAGTCGACTAATTGGGGGTAGGGGCGTGCTTCTAGGAAGACGTCAGTTGATTGTTGTCATTGGGGAGTACAACGAAATCTTACATTCGATAGCCTCTGGAGACGAGCTCCACCTCCTGTATAAAAACCACAGAAGCCGAAGCAGCCGAATCGAAGCCCTGGGCGTTTCCAATAAATGTACCAGCAGCCTCGACCGCCTGGTGTCGCAGATATTTAAGCCATTGCCTCTTAGCAAAGGCATAAAATACCAATCCAAGAACGGGGACAAGGATTAAGAGAACCCCGACTCTTCTGGGATTGATTCCGGACCCATTTCGTGACCGGCCCCAGTGGAGCAACCAGGCAATGGAGAATGAAGTTGATGCGGTGACAATGGCACCTTGAAGTCCGAATGTTGTGGAGAGGGAGGGAAGGTCTGATGGTTGCGAAGCTGAGACTACATCTGCAGCAGATGTGTAGGACGGTGCGCTGTGTTCGTTTAATAATTGCGACGCGACGATAACGTATCCAAATTGTTCTAGAAATCGCTCGTTGTCTCCTCGTCCGATGCGTGCGTTCAGAGCGGACTGTAAGGCATGTCTCATTAGCAGTGTACTTCCACCGGCGGTCAATCGCTAGCATACCGAGCAAGCACCGTATAGTTTCCCAACAACTGCACCCTGTCGTGTATTTCGTAAATCGAGAGGCTTGGGTAGCTTATTTCGAACTCGTTCCTGAAATCGCGAGGCACCCCGAGGGGCAAAGTCAGAGGAGGGATGGACTCCCTCGTCTTCCGTTTGTGTGTCGCCGACTGGCCAGCTTTCCTCGGGTTCACCTTCTCCTGTGACGAAATAGGTGAGTTTTGCGACAAGCGAGTATTGCGGTGAGTAGCACGAACCTTGAAGGTAGTCGGCCAAAGGCGAGTTCTCATAGACAAGTGACTCCATGACCGAAGATCATTCCGCGGCGCGAAGCGAGGAATGGGGCGGAGACGGGCGGTTTCACGAAATGGCCGTGAGGTTGTGCGGGAAGGGGGTTATAAGGCTAGGCGCGCGCCTGTCATATCGTAGGAACACCGATGCTCTCAGCAGCTGAAGTTATCGAAATCATACAAGGGGTGTTTCCAGGGTTCAAGACGAGAAACACGGCCACGTATCAGAGCTGTGGTCTGGGGAAAGGAGAAGTCACGAGAGTTTAATCTAAGGACCCACTCGCCTCCTTTTTACAATGACATAGGCATGCACATACCTCCCGATAGTACTGTACCTGCATTCTGGGATTATGATTGGCCGGTCCTAAATTAAAACGATATGCAAAACATCTGACCAGGATTGTGTCATTCACTAGGCGCATATGCACTTTTGTAAATCTCCAGCCTTGAGAACCTTAGCGCTTGCAACTAGACTATCCGAGGCGTCTCTAGTCGAAGCATACGTACTCACGTGGAGGGCTTCGTGATCCTTTAGTGCATGTACCGAAAAAAACTTTGGCTAGGACAAATTGATGTATTGCTTCCTCCACCCCGTTGCGAATTTTTCTCAACTACAATTATCTAGATCTCCTCGACAGACTCACCCCCAACTGTCTCCGAGGCTCTCTCCTTCGAGGGCACGACAGTTACTACTTCTCTACGACCAAAGCGGGATCTGTCCATCTGTTTCAAGGTCAATGGATGTCAGAGGAGGAGCGGTTGGAAGGGTAAACTCATCATGATGTGAGTCGGATAAAGTGCCCTACAGCGGAGCTGAGATGCTAAACTTCACGATTATATGTGGACTTCGGGCTGAGATTTGTTTTATTATCATCCCTTCGAGATTATGAGGCATTTCTGGTAAGTAACAGAACCGACATGCCATATAAAATGATTCGCTTAACGTCTACATAGTCTGGGAAAATCCAAGATTGTGGGAGTGGCTGAGGAGTGGCTTTGTGACATGTCAGAAAGCTTCTGCGGATATCACATCCACAGATCTCCGATATAGGACTCTACTTCCGCTTCTGCAACATTCGTAATTCCTTCAGTATCTTCATCTGTGCCATCAAGCGCTTGCCCATCATTGTATCTTTGATATTTTCTTCATTGTGTATTCTAGCAGCACGGTCACTCTTGGGCTTATGAATCTTTCCTAATGATATCCTACAGGAAAAGTCCCAATCAATTTCGGAGTCTCGCCCGCAACATCCGGTTTCGAGATCTCAGAGCGCTTCGTCTTCATTGGATCGTCATAACCAACGCGCGAGTTGAAGAGCTTTCCTAGCATCTGCGGCATCATTAGTAAAGACTCTGATTTTAACTTCGACCAATCTGACCGAGAGGATCCTATTTCTTCCAAGGTCCAGTGGCAATGATGCTATACTGTGATAGTTGTATTGAAACTGAATATTGAGAGCGAGATTCAGGATCTATAGATTGGATGCTCGATATCTTTGAAGAAGAACTAAATCTAAATCCTTCCATCGAGGACCTATGTTTACGACCTTGAGCATGAGTATATCAAAGTTCTGTGCCTTTACTGCATCTGAGGCTTCCATGTGAAGTGGTGAATTACTGTCTGGTACCAGGATTGCCTTCAGCAGGCGACTGTGGGTTACACGAGTATCTTGCTGATCTACTGGATGAAAAACAATGGCAGGGCCCCAGAACACTGGTTTCAGCCTTGGAAGTCTATACATACTAGATTCCGCGTAACCTAGTTGTTGAGGGGTCGAAGGGTACCTTCACGCTCTACCACAAGATTTGTTGGACAAAAGGATAACATCAAATACAGATAAAGTAGATTGGCTGGACACTTCCTCCGTGGTTTGACTATAGCGCGATCAGTCTCGTCACATGATGCAACCCCGCGGTGTTGACATAAGCAATAGTTGCCCTGGACAACGCGTCCTGTCAATAGTCGCCATAATTAGATGTACATATCTCGGATAGAACGTGGACGCGACCGTGGCGCGTGGCATATAATTTTGCATCCAGCGCGTTTACATTGTCGTCCTTTTTTTTTGTCATCACAGTCACTGCTTGCCATTCCTCAATATTCAACCACACCGCCTCAAACACGACAAGCTGCAAGGGAGAAAGGCTATTGTTGTGGCCACCTCCAACCTACAGTACAACTTCCCCATACTTATGCGCCATTAGCCATCCACTATCCAGCCTTAGACTCAACGTCTCAAAATGTCTGGGATTCTCGGCAGCGCCATTACTCCATGTCCATCGAGATCGAGGTTCTCCGGCTACAGCGATCACAGCGGCAGCGATACATTCGACATTTCGATTGGTGGCGATACGGAATGCGAGAATACGGAACAGATCGACTTCACCACTGAAATACGTGGGCCGACAATGACTGGAGTGCGACCCAGACGTGCTAACCAAGCAGGCTCTGGGTTCCAAATACATGATGAGGGGGTAGAGAAGCCATCCGGGCCTGCTGAGAAAAGACAGAGACCAAACGGAACTATGAGGTTACAATCCGAGCGCAAATCGTCTTTGCTTGCCCAACCGGCGCAGAGATTCCGCCCCAAGGTTGGAATTACTCCAAATCAACCGCAGACTGTGAATATAAAACAAGAGACGGAAACAAAGCGCAAACCTGAACGACTCGACTCGAACCCGAAGGTGCAGCCTTCCCGTAGAATGGGCCCGGCTGCAAAAGAGACAACACAACACCGTTCCGACCCTGCTCTCAAGAAAAACGTGCGACGGAACACTGTTTATATCCCGCCGGATGATGCAACCGTGCCTAGCGTTTTTATGGGACTGTTCAGTCCTTTGAAAAAACAACCAGGTACGACTCTGTTGGAGGCTACCGAGGACACACAAATCAATACCCTTGAAGCACGGATAGCAAACCGTCAAGTTAGAAAGTCATTGGCCGCAGGTGCACGAAAGGCTCCGCTGCAACCAAGTACAAAGATTGCACAGGAAGCTGCGTCAAGAATGGATGTGGCCGGCAAAAATGGAGGGAAGGAGAATATTCCTCCTGGAACGCTCTTTAACATTGAGAAAAAACCAGACCTTCAAACTAGGCCGCTTGTCAAGCCTCGAATCAGCACCATGTCATCCTCGAAACCAAATCCTACTTCTCGCACTGTTCGATCGGCTGAAGTCGTCACGGTGGCTCCCAAGCAACCTCTCCCCAGGCGGGACGTACTAGGAGACAAGCAGACTAACGCAAAGTCTTCCGCGGTGCGCGATGGTCGAATTAGAATGGCTGAGCCAAAGGGGCCACCCCTTAGTACGTCACTTAACACTCGCGTATCAGCCATTTCTGATCGCCGCGGTCGGTCTGGGTCAAATTCTGCTTCAAGGCTTCAAAATGCATCATCAAAGTTGAGGGAGCTGAACCATGACTATCCAAAACTGAGTGAGGATATCAAGAAGCCTGCACTTTACGAAGATAATTGGCTCTCACACCAGGAGACTGTGATTACTCAATTGGTCAATGCTTTGTTCGACTGCTCCAATGGTGACTTGGCTTTCCATGACCAGGATGTCCTTCGATTGGAGCTTCTCGAACTTTACCATACCGATGAATTCATTCAGCTGCACAAAAAGCTACGAGCCTCTTTGTCTTGCGGTGCCCTCAACATTCCCAAGCATGCCCTTGCTCGCAGTAGCCGTCTCAAGCAAGACGTTGGCCTTCGCCGCAAGTTCCTTGACATATGGATACAATCATACGATCTCCATGCCTTGGCTGCTGCCGCGGAGACAGTTATTGGTCGAAAGATTTCCAATTGTCCTGACTTGTTCCAGAACATGATGGAATCTGAAAATAGTGCAAGGTGCACGAAAACCATTGTGCGGAAGCTGGAAAACTTCCTGTGCACTTTCCTGCTGCGCAACGAAGACCTGGATCAATCTCTACTGCGTGCCAACGAGATTCCCGCAGAAGCTCAGGCCAAAGTATATCGTCGCACAGTGCTCCGATGTATCATGCTGGTTGCCCTCTTAGACCAAGCAAAACAGTCTTTGGGCTCCAGCCTTCCCCGTCGACTTTTCGTGCCCTCGTCTCCTTTGAAATCATCGATGGATGTACTTCAAGCACTGACACGGGTGCTGTTGCCATCTTGTGGCGACATTTTGAAGCCATTGAGCCACCTCGGCTGCCGCTTATCTTACCACCAACATCAGCTATTGGAGTACAACTACCAAATGGACAACATTGCAGTGGACCTGAGAGATGGAGTCCGGCTTACTCGACTCGTCGAAGTGCTTTTCATTACTGCTAGCCACACTCGACGTGACACTGAGGACCAGACTGAAGTCACTCTCAACACTGGTGAGGCTCTTTCTTTACTTGGCGAACACGCAGACGTTCCTCTCTCGAAGCATCTCAAGTTCCCATGTGTCAGCCGTGCAGCCAAAGTCTTTAATGTCCAGCTAGCTCTGTCCGCCTTGGAGTCTACCAAGGGCTCCAGTGCCATTGTGGACAATGTGCGAGCTGAGGATATTGTTGATGGTTATCGTGAAAAGACAATTGCCCTCTTGTGGGCTCTTGTTGGAAACCGGGGCTTATCAGGTCTCGTTGACTGGGATGACATCAACACAGAGATTTGCCGATTGAAACGCAAAGCTCTCTCGAAATTGGGTTCGGAGCAAGTAAAATACGAAGCTTGGTTTACTGGTGAGCAGTTTGGTGGCGATCAACACGAACATCTTCTTCAGCACTGGGCCGGCCTCTTGGCCGGCCTCAAAGGTCTTCAGATCAACAACATGTCAACCAGTTTTGCCAATGGACGGATCTACGAAAGTATTGTCGACGAATATGAGCCCTACATTACCGGCAATCAAGACTTGAACGCAAACGGGCGGTCTGCGTCCATGTCTTTGGAGAAACGCCTCGGGCTACTAGGCTGCAGCTCTCAATTTGCACACCTTGTTTCTCCTAGTTCAACCTCTTCACACGTTCTCAATCGAGACTTTACACTGGGCGCTCTCGCCTTCCTTTGCTCTCGATTGCTTTCAAGCTCGAAGCGCGCTCGCGCCGCAACCGTCTTGCAACGTGCATGGCGAGCACGCGTGGAATACCGCACCTACCTACGCCGCACAATGGCAAAGGATCTTGCTGCGCATTGCGCCGCCGTTGTACAAACCAGAAATGAAATCGTATGGGCAAAGGAGGTGATCATTCGCTGGTGGAGACAAATCAAATCACGGAGCGTGGAAAACGCCGCGCGGCCTCGGTCTTTACGCAAGACTGATCGGAGACCCGCCGGCCTCCTATGATATCAGATCTCCTTCCCCACAAATTAACCTCGATCGTAATAGAGTCGATCGGTGATATCATGATGTTACGAAAGTGTTGAAACATTCATTTATTTTCCTTTTACATTGTTCATGGAGTTTCATTTTCTACGGATAGGTACCGGATCTTCGGTCTCAAGTCTATTATCTTGTTTCATTGCAGCGCGATACCCTCGTTGTACAAAGTACAGCCCGTCATTCTTTTACTGATATTCCATGAGTTCCTCGAAGTTTATCCTGGGCATGAATCAAGCATCATTGCATTATTTCTAATGCATTTACGATATGTGTAGGAACGGCAAATTGGTTCAACCTTTGACATTGACTATAATATTTAAAAAGTGAGGTTCTCCAAGAACCTTTAGCCACGTGTTAATACAAGCTCAGTCAACAAGCTTGTCAATCCGCAGGACTAATAGACTGTCTGACAATCCCAATTCCAGTCACATGATTTCGTCTCGTATAGATGTTCGTCACATTTACCAGCGGCCGCCGCCCTGCTGTGCGAATGTTAGCAATTGTTGCAATCATTTTTTATAAGGAATACATACGTGACCGCCAGGTCCACCGGGACCTCCGTGACCACCCTCATGACCACCGGGGCCTCCTTGGTGACCACCCTCACGACCGCCAGGGCCTCCGGGGCCGCCTTGGTGACCTCCCTCATGACCACCGGGGCCTCCAGGGCCGCCTTGGGGACCGCCGAAACCACCAGGACCACCGGGGCCTCCTTGGTGACCACCCTCACGGCCGCCAGGGCCGCCTTGGGGACCGCCGAAACCACCGCCAGGTCCTCCATGCTGACCACCCTCATGACCGCCGGGGCCACCAGGACCTCCGTGACCGCCCTCATGGCCGCCAGGGCCTCCGTGAGACTGATCGTGGTGGTGGCTGAAAAGACCCATTGTGATGAATGTGTGAATGTAGGTATGTAGTGTTTGTGGATAGGTAGGTAGAAGGTGAATTCAATTGATGTAATGAAGCTTGGTGAAGATAGCTACAGATATGCGGGGTGCAGCTCATTTATATACCAGAGCGCCAAGATTCCAAGAATAAGTCTCGGAGCTTAGATGGCTACGTGGAAGAATCATGATCGTCATGATCATCGATTCCTATGACCTACCCTGCCCAGGTGGCTCCCAAGTGGCTCTCAAGTGGCGTAATCACTCAATCGGGGACTTGCCAAGCCACACTTGTCACTCATTCAGATTAGGTGCTCAATAGGTCTGATGCCAAGATTCCCAGGTGCAGAAAAGGCAATAGTTGCCTGGGCTGAGCAGACCAAATAGGCGGAGTTTTCGGAATTGGATCTAGGGCTATATGTTTTGCCCGCCTTTTAGCTACTGCCGATCATCGGTTATTAAAGTTAGATGGTATTTCCAACCTTTATATCCGCTGTAAAACTACACAATCCTTCTAAGATAATCCAACACTTTGTTCAAACATAAACACGGCGATGGTACGATTCGAAAACAATAATCACCGGTGTGCAATTATGTCCACGCAAGCGCTCAACAAGCGGCGAATCCGGCGCAGCCCTACCCGCAAAATTAGCTTGGCACTCCACTCGGCATCAAACGTGGCGCTGACTTACGCGTCCCTACTAGCCACAGAAACTATTGAGACTTATTGATTTCCTCGACGATTAAATCATATTCCGGATAGTACCCATAGCTATGCACGGTAATGCAATTGAAGCTGCCTAGCGTGTAGATTTAAAAGGGTCGTTGAAACTCCCCATCTCTTTGTCTATAGATTTCTCCCCAGAAAGATCGTCTTCACTTATCCACAATGTTTGAGACACTCAAAAGCTGGTTCCAAGGGGCTGATGCGCCTCTTAATGAGAATAAGTGGGACGCTAACACTGTCACCATGCAACAACCTAATAGCCCAGCTGCTCCTTCGATGAACCAGACCGTCACTGAGCAGCCCGTACGCTTCCCTAGTATCATTCTGATATCATTGATCGGCGATTGGGACTAATTTAGATCACAGGGTGGCGTCGAATCCATGGGAGTTCACATGCGGGGTGGTGATGGTGGCGATCTTTGCTGCGGAATGTGAGTACTGGAAATTCCCCGAAGTTTCTACATGATTAGGTTCTAATGTGGATTCGAATAGCTGTGCTGGTCTTTGTTGCTTTGAGTGCTGTGAGTGCTGCTGCGGAGACTGCTGCGGTCCCGATGGTCCTCCCGGTCCTCCTGGCGGACCCGGTTTTGGCCCTGGCCCTTGATCGAGAGGCTTGTCTACACAAGACATTTGAAGATGTACACATTTGCTGTTTACCACCCTTAATAGATGTATTTGTATCGGTTCTCAATTCTGGAAAATTCTTGAAAGCATCCAAGGTTCGAACCTTTTGTAGTATAATATCGTAGTTCGTTAGGAAGTGTCAGATTCTTGGGTTTGTAAAAGTGCTAGAATCCAATTTAATTGCATGAGAATAGTAATCCTAGCTTTTCCCTTGAGAGCGCCATTGTTCTCTGTGCTTCCATCGCTGAACACTTGCCCACTATCACAGCATCGTCAACCAGCTTCCTGATAGCCTTGGTACAACACCAAGATAGCGTCTTTATTTGAGACCTTCTCCTCTAAACCTTGCGAAAACTAGCAGCTGAGCGACACCATATCCTGTGAAATACGGGTCATGTAGTACCCTTATCACATCATTCTCCTCCACGCCAATCAAACCCTCCATCCGGCAACACCGGCATCACGACTTGGATCCCATTGGTACAGTCCACACGGATGGCGTTCGCACGGCCTCAATGTGACCCAACAACGAGCCCCAATTCAATCCATAAAGCTCAAATTTTGATCCATGAGCTCAGAATACAGTTCCACCCCGGAACAATGAGAAAAGTCGACGGAACCAGCCGATGGATGTCTTCAAGCTGCTCTTCAGAGTAATCACATCATCGATGAACTGACCTTTCGCCTGGATGAGCGCTTTCCGGGATATCGTCAAGTCCCAACTTGCTAAGGGTGTTACGAACAGGCAGGGTAACAGCAACATACGCAAGGAATCAACCTAGAGCAGCTGGGAACACTAAGGATCGGTTCGCTGCCGTCCATCAATAGAGATGCTGGAAGTTGACATGGGGTTCTCGCAACTGCAAGTTCATCACAGTGCGAGGAGCGCAGACAGAGCATCGTTGATCAAAATCGACTTCTGATCAGACGGCTCAGTGGCACTACTAGGGGAAGCCTCTGCTTTCAACGCTGCCAGCAACTCGAGCTAGAAATGGAAATCATCCACCACCCGCCCTCACCCGCGCCTAAGCTAGATCCATCATGGCGCCTCCAGCTACAAGAGGAAATGTCTCGACCGTCAGGACATTCGGCTGCATGCTCAGATCTAGCTTGACTGCTAATTTTCTGAATGAGGATGCTATTTTGACCATGTCTGCGAAAGCTAGCTAGTCTTATCCTTTTGGGGGGAGGACCTTCGTTGATCGACGACTGGACATATATCATGCGCGATTCGTGCCCTTGGATTGCGCGGTAGAGTGTCTCGGTGGTTCCTACGCCAACTTTCGATTGCGAATTGGTTCGGATGATTATACCTGACAATCAGTCCATTGCTATTCAGTTAAGCTTTGTTTTAGTCTACTCCGCACACACCACCTCCATAGACTCCGTTTGTGGGTGGTATCTGACCATGAAAGGATGGATATTCACGATATGAAATGGAGTTCTCTATAGCTACCTAGGTCTTGGTCTGGCTCTCATGACTAACCTAGGATCAATTCAGATATTGCAATTTCCAGCAATCGCTTTTTCCCGGTCGACTTCGTGATGATGCAAGGTCTTCCCATCTCCTCGATCTCGAGGTGGCTTTGATCATTCACCCAGAACATCTGACGCGGCCAGAGCTTGAGATTCTATGACCCAAATCCAGGGCATTTGTCCCCAACTTCGCAAAAGCGTTTCAAAATGGGACTGAGTGGATCAGTGTCTCTCGGAGCCGAGATGCGCGTCGTCATCGGCCCTATGGTCTCCGATCGGCTTGCATAATGAGTTTATGCATTCGGGATCTGTTCTTGGGAAACGATATTCACTTGCTGGTCTACTTCTATCCTTGCTAGTCTCCACAAATCGCCCCATCCCGGTCATGCTGTCTATACGGAAGGTCCGTTCAATTCTTGAACATGGGCTGAAATATGGTCGAGATGTCGAGAATTAAAGGAAAAATAGTCTAATTTAAAGATTCCCTCATTTCATCCTGCACGAGGCGAATTTCTTCAAGAAGCTCTCGTCCACCACCATCCTCAAGGCATTTCGCAAGCAACTTCCCAAGTGCTTCCGCTTCATCATCACTGGTCACGTCCGCAACTGCGCTTTTGGAGATCTGGCTTGAGCCATGGGGATGAATGATGGTGCCTTCAAGTCGCAGACGACTACCGGGAAGAGATTCGTTATCTTCGTTCTCAATCGTGGAGTTGACAGCAACCGGGGAAGAGCATCCTCCCTGAAGGCTACGCAGGAGTGATCTCTCTGCCAAACAGATCCATCGCGTGAGAGGATCTTCAATGGCTTGTACAACCTTCAAGGTCTGAGTGTCATTTGCACGAATCTCGATACCCAAAGCCCCTTGCCCAATGGCATAGGGAAATTCAGATGGATTCAAATGCTTTGTGATGCGGCTAGTCATGTTGATCCGGTTCAAGCCAGCAGTTGCGATGATGATAGCTGAGAAAGGTCCCTCCGGGTCATCGAGTTTCCGCAGTCGAGTATCACTAAAACAGTCAGCTTATACCCTTCATATTCGAACCGGAGTACAAGTCGAAAGAAGAATCTCACATGTTTCCACGGCATTCCTGCACTTTCAGTTGGGGATACTTGTATCTGAGAAGCGCCTTTCGCCGAGTGGAGCTGGTACCAATCACCGACCCAGCAGGCAATTGGTCTAGATCGGTGTACCGGTCTCGCAAACTTTCTTTGATAACAAGTGCATCGGTAGGATCCTCACGGTGTATAATCGCACCTAGAACACATTCGTCCGGTAGCCGTGTTGGCATGTCTTTCAGACAATGCACGAGCAGATCCAGCTCGCCAGCGCCGAGCTTAGCCTCCATCTCCTCCGTCCAGATGTTCTTGGCCGCATCCGAGGGACCCCCGAACTTTAAGAACGGGCTGGTCTTATCCACGTCCCCACTGACAGAGATTGTTTGCCATGGAAACTTGATCTGGGGGTGTGCGCTGGATAAGGCACTGGAGACCCGCTCGGCTTGGACCAATGCCAATTTGGAATTCCGAGTTCCAATTATTAGCTCTTGACCACTTGAAGTACTGTCTGTCATGATTGAAGAAGTGGAATTGATTATATGTACTTGAAGTAATTGGAAAGGTGGTGCCACTGTAGTGGGAAAGCTGTGGATGGCGCTATCGCTGTATTCGGTAATGTCTTAGCGGTAAGCACCTGATTCGGCCGAGGTTGATGTCGTTCTGTCAGAATGACCAGCATAGATCTCAATTGGAATGCCATCCAAGCTTAAAATTGAGTTTAGATACTGGAATGAAGGGATATATATAGTCCAAGATTCTTCGGAAGAATCACCTGACCAAACTAACTACGCTTTCCCTAGATGATACTGTTTATTCAATTGCTACCGCTTTCTGCACATGATTAAAGCATATCGCATACTTTTTTTTTGAACTGTAATCCTTGGCAGCTGTGGTGATCATTAGCATCAAAGCGGTAATATTTTGCAGACTCGTTCTCTTTGTGAGTTCTCCTTGTTGGTGTTCGCCAATGCCATGATCTCCATTTTCCGATTTTTTGATCAAACATCATGAGCGATGCCCCCATAAGGTCCAGCGCTTGCAGTGCTTGCAGAAAGCAAAATTAGAAGTAGGTTACTTTTATAGCCATGTCATGATAGGCCTTCACTGACTTAGACAGTGCGATCTTCAGCGACCCCAATACGCCCGCTCTTCACGAGGCTGTACATGCGAAGAATACGAAAAAGCGCCCAGATTAATCAATAATACCTTCACCGAGTCAAAAAATAAGTTCCGGATACCATTGTGCCGCAGAAAAAGCGGAAATAGTAAGGAGACGTTCAATCTAATGCCGTCAATATCAATGCCCAGATCCGGTCGCAACTGGTTTCTCTCTTCATCGACTCATATGTTCCATCGCCTCTTGTTGGGCGCATCAATGTCAAGAACTGAGAGGCTACTAGTATAATCAAGGGATCATCACTGATGGGGCGAACAAAAAAGCCAGCTGTTTGATCGAATTCTTTAAGCGCTTTCTTCGGTCTGGGGGCAAGAAGTGCAAAGACAATCGATTGATGCATCACAGTGTCGTTCTTCGAAATCATTCTATTCGAGCTTTTGCTGCTTTAATACCGCGCACTAGGCATTCAGTCTAGGAGATTCTTCGTGCCAATGTTGGTTTTCAGTCATATTAGGTGAGTCTGGTTTGTCTCACTGATTCATAGGTCTTAATTAAAAATGAGATGATCCAATGTGAATATACAGTATATCCCTATTATTCCAACCGCAATGTTGCCTCACGCCATTGCAAATCCCAATCAACCCTCTCTTTCTTTCCAATTGGAAAGCGCTATCACCGCCAACGGAATATTACTCACTGGACAAAGTTATCGATAAGGTTATGACAGTGCTGGTCTGATTGAAGAAGCGAGCAGCGTGCGATCTGAGGCGGGATGTACTCAATATCACAACTCATGCTTGAGCTTAAAAGACCAAGCAGAATCATAGGAACCACAACTCAAGACAGCATGTCCCGATGCTCTCCCAGAGAGATGTGAATTTGGGTCGGTTGATATAAGAGACCTTTACATGCTCTATCAGCGCGCTGCTGATGATATATATCCGTTCTACATGATCGGTACGAGTGGTGTCAGAATGTTTTTACTACTCTGGAATCTATGGGACTGGGAATAACCGGTCATTTACGAGGCACTCCGTGGCTCGCATACAGGTCTGGTGAAATTCAGAGATACGAGGAAACCTTTGCAGAGATCAATGACAACAATACTCCCAAATGACTGCGGTGGTCGCCTTCGATGTTCAGCTTGATTGAGAACGTTGTGCCCACTTTTTTTAGACCAGAATCTTTCCGGTGTGTTATAGCCGGATATCTACCTATGCATAGTTTACATGAGTGACGGAGTATCAATTTCCTTAGTTTGAGTCTATCGTATCTAAATGCCACGGAATATGAGAGATATCTGTTTCACACCAGCCATACTTATCACTCGACAAGAGTCATTCTGCGAAATTTCTGTCGTAAAGTACCCCCAGCAATACGAATGCGGCTGTCGTAAAGATTGTGATAACTATTTCCATACACTCTGATCAAGGTAGGACCCCGATGCCGCGACATATTCCACTAGGACGACCAGGTGGAAGACTAATATTCGATAATGGTGACAAAGAAGATAACAAGAAACGCCCTACGAAAGGAAGCCAGTTGTGCGAGGCCAGTGCTGTCTCCTAGAACTGTCCAGATAAGACTACGCCCATCAAGCTGAGCACAAGCCCAGACAGGCTCCTACACGACGTCAGTTACTGACGCAATTATCCACGAGCCTTCGCAAATGCAGTCCAAGCGAGCAACAAATATCCGAAGTGGAAGTGACCCTGTTGCGGACCTTCTTCAGTCATTATCAGAGCAACCCAAGTTTCTTTGATCGGAATGCCCTCATTTGTACAAGATTATCGGGGAAACATCTGGTATTTTTCCTTTTGCGATCGGACAGCGATTATCGTCTGTGTCACTGCGTGGCAAAGAAGAAGCCGTCCAGTAGATACGATCCCTCATCAGGAAGACAAGAGCAAATTCCTCGAATATTCTTGGAAAATGAAAAGCAGCGGTGAGATATGATTTCGACTTTGCAGAAAAGTATAGATTCAATATTAGATCTGTATATTAAATGTGACATCAGCGGGAAGGTTGATTACACTCCCTGCATACATAACCCGGTACTAAATGCCTCAACCCTTTCCCCAGACCGCTGAAACGTACCCGAGCCCTATGTGAATCGTCATGCCAGGAGGCCCCAACACGCCAAGGATGTGAATGGTAGACCAGGCGAATAAGAAAACGACGGATACCAAACCACTGGTTAAAGGCCGTATTCAGTATCCCGAACCAAACTTACACAAGGCTTCATTGCTGCAAGACCTCTGCACCAGACTGGAGCATTCCAAAAAGAAAATGACAATTGTCGACATCTGATATGTTCATTAGATCGTATACTGATATCCACAGAGAGCGACCAAATAAAGCACAGCATGGGGCTGTGACTACGGTTTCAGCCCCATCGGTGGCCACTTGTACGGGAACGGCAATGATGATATCATGGGTTTCTTATACACGCCACCACAACTCGATTCATAACCCAATACATCCTACATGATCATCCGTTACTCAGACGATAACGATAACGTGGCGCCACAAATGTATTCAGATGACTGGGCTTCCATAATAAGAACAGATGACATCTGCCTCCACCGTGATGGCGATCATCATCCCTATGCGCGTACGTGATGAAGATCGTGATGAAGATCCAGATAAACACACTCCGATGTTATCCGACATGTGTTTTCGTGAGTACACTATTGTTTGTGCTGCTGCCAAAATGCAGTGTTGTTATTGGTAACTGGTTGCCGTCCCGGTGACCAGGTGTTGCGAACCAACCATATTCGGTTGCCAGGTCGATCAGCGACTTGTGTTTTAGATGTTCATGTTCCAAGGGCCAAAGCACGATTTTACTTGTTTGAAAATTGAATGGTTCCTTGTACCGTTACATGCCCAAGTAGGTGTTATGTTACATGTATCAGGGTACCATGTTTTTTAGACTTTGTATTCGGCTTGATCTTGCCGAATATGTATCCATGGGTGGAGTTAGTACAGATGAGGATTGATGTGAGGATTCGATGCAGGGATCATTGATTAAATGAAAGATAACTCCGTTACCTTTCACAGAGCTGTATTCAGGCTGGGCGCAGGAAGCCGGTATCGCCGAGCTTCGAAGCTGAGTACAGTACTTCCAAGTTAGTCTGTTGTGTGTAGTTTCGATGGGACCATCATCTACACATCTAGGCAGCCCGCCTAACCTTTTGGGCAGTTGCCATTTTTGGTCTGATAAAACACACACAATGTAGGGGACGTAAACATCGGGCGCAGCATCCCTAAGCTGCAGCGATCCTGCGTAGATCGAGGGCCAGAATACGCCATCACTCCCAGACAAGGCTGCATCAACCCGTATTGCGCGATAAGCACGGAGTAACTAGCACCTGGTAAGCTGAGCAGCACGAACCCGACCGCAATATGTTACTCGATCGGTCCGTACCGATTCTCAGCCAAGCCTGCAACCTGTAGCCGGTCGATCCCGGGGCCGAGTATCATCGCACTGCAAGGCTTCAACTCAATCCGCCCTGTCCCTTCTCTCACCGGAGTTGTGCAACATCTTGGCGCCAACGCCAATAGTCTTCCTGATAGTTCCTGTGCTGCCAAGACCCTCCCTTTATGCGCGCAGGCAGAGTCGGATCGCCATGATCGCCCTTGGCGCAGGACCATTTGCAATTGCCCTGCCGAGCCTCAGGCGCAGTCGTGGAGGTCATTGAACCGAATTGAGGAATTGCTTGGCGCCGAGAGTGTCCTTACGTATGTTGAAATTGGGCAGTTGCACATTGTCCCTGAAGTTTCTTCAGAAATAGGATAGGAGTCGACGTGGAGGGATCAAGGGGGTAAGCCAAGAACTGGTGTTCGTCCACTTTCTTGACCCCAGACTATTATTGTGGAGCTGGAGTTTATTGTTCCCACCCCCTTGTTTTTTCATTTGTTTTTCTTTAGTGTGGGTTGGGTAGGGATTCTGACACCTCCATCCTTCAGCTGCATCGGGCGTATTCTGAAGCCTGCTTTGTTTTAGGCTTGGCGGTCCGAATTATTGTTTCGCCAAGCTTGCGGAAATGTGTTCGGTCTGTGTCTGTAATGTCCTTCTCCTGACTTTTGGTTTGATTTAGGCCCCCTATATGATCGCAGCATGGATGTTGTTTCAAGGAAATTGCTTGGCAGATGTTGCGGGATGGGATTGGTTCAGGACTCCTTAGTGTTAGCTGGGTTATTTCGTCGATCGATCGAAATGGTTTGTCATTTCGCTGACTGTACTTTGTAAGATAGGGTCCTGGAAGATTCCAGGATTCGGCTTACTGTATGTCAGCTGTACAGTACCTTTGATCAGGTACAACCCTCTCGAGTTGTAGGTACCATTCGCAAGTACCGTTCGCCACAGTAAGTTGTGGCAATGGCGACGGCAACAAG